AGCAGCAATTTGGCAGCCGAAATAGAATCCCCAAAATTCCACTTTGTGGCGCGCGCTCAGAGGCGCGACGATGAAAGGCTGAAGAAGTTAAGGTAAATTGGATGAAAATTGAGGAAATATCTCATTAGAGACTGACTTTCGTGGCGAGAAGGAGAAAAAGAAAACAGCCTGAGAAGTCTTGCCTGTCAGTTGCCAAGCATCGCCAAAAATGAAGCAATACAAGAACATGTCTTCCGGTGTACATTGCAATTTCCCAACACGAGTGCACCTCCACTTTAATTTCCCCTAATTGCATTTTAATTAAATCATCCCTACAGCTTCACCGGGAAAATTCGCATTTCCATAGCCTGAGAAAAGGATTCTCAATTATCCAGATTCAATTCTACCTTCCATCCACTGAAATGCTGATTAGATTTCTCACGAGCGCGAGTAGTTTCCACCCGCTAAAGGTATTCAAAAACTCTCATAGCGTTCAACATCAGTTTAATTGGCCAAGCGTGGAAATTCATTTGAAAATGCCCAGCCAAGGCGAAAATTTAGGAAACTATCTCATGAAAATATCACTGTTATGAATTCTATTTAATTGAATTTAAACTTGAGAAGTCTGAAAAAGAGTTTTCAGAAGAGAAAAAGAGCCAAGAACAACTTTTGTAGCCAAATTAAAATGTGAGAGACTTCATTTGAATATTAATTCAAAACTTAGACAAACTCTGGGTTTGATCGTTTCGAACAAAGAGTAGAAGTTTAAATAGAAGAAATGGAAGTATTTAATGACTTTAGTTGCTAACCTCAATTAGAAACTGATTTCCCATTGAAATCCTCGTCAGTGTTCGAACTGCAACTGGGAAAATTATGTAGGGGTAAATGGGGCAGCTTCAGATTGGGGCAGCTTCAGATTTCTTAATTTTCTCAGAGATTTTCACATGAATAAATTCCTGGTCTTCACACAATGTTTGTAGTCCTTAAGGACTACAATTGACGGAAATTTGCTCAGGATAGCCTTGACTGTTTAGATAAAATAAGTGAAAATTGAAAATCACTCACAAACTAGAATTTTGCTGCCGAATTGATTGCGTGTTTTCTCCATTAAAAAAGCCACAATTCGCGTGAAACACAATCAAAGGTTATTGAGAGTTAAGTTGAGATCTTAAATAAGGACGAACTTTTCCTCCTTGGCACGGCCTTTTCAGTGGGTGGTGGAAAATGCACAAACACTGCACACGGGGCAGTTTCGGATCGCCACGGACTGACAACAGCGCGCTCTGACAGTCTGACGCAACATCACGGTCGAAATTTTCTTGTGGCAAATATTGAAGATTTTTCACAAAGTGCCGTTCTGTGCTGCATTGCTTCATCACGTTAAACGACTTCTTAGTGGAAAAGTGAGAAAATACACGCGAAAATCACTGATTTGCACTGATTTGATTTGTGGTGGCACTGAAGTTGCCACCACTCACGCATGGTGGCGTTGCGATGCAGGAAAAATGACGGGCAACTTGCTTTTCGCTCAGACATTTTGACAGTCCGTGCAAGGGTCCAGAAAAGTCGCGAAAATAGTAATTTAAAGGCGATTTTTAGCGAAATAAACAGTTTCAGTGCGTAGAATAGATATCAAAGTGATTATTTGCCCGCGATTCGACAATTCCACAATGGAATTTATGGTAAATATCAGTGAAAATCTGAAGCTGCCCCAGAGAAATCCGAAACATCCCCGTGCGGGGCAGTTTCAGATAATTTACAATATTATTTTCATTCTCCTTTAGAGGAAAAAGGATCAGTTTTAATGCCCAATGAAAGGCATTTTCTGAAGCTCAATAGACGAGAGTTTATTTGAGCGTTGTGATCATTTCAATATATTCAGCCGATTTTTCAAGAAAAAATCCTAAAGTTGGAACAGCATTTTGAATCTGAAGCTGCCCCACTTACCCCTATTGCAGCTGTCGAATGCCTATCAAATTATCCAAAGAATTACTTAAGCCTAAAAGTCGACTTAATGTTATTGAAATATTCAATATTGGCACACAATTCAAGCCCGCCTACGCTTAGTTTCTCAATTTTCCACCCTTAATTCTCTTGCAAGACCACACAAAAGAGCAGCGCTCCACTTAAGCTTTCCTAAGATAAATCTTGGCATGTTTGGCAATGTTAAAAACTTAATCGTTGCATTGCAATTGAAAATTCACGAGACTCTCTTTCTCTGGGGCTTGATAAATTTTTCAGCAAGCCGAGGTGAACGAAGTGAGGTAATAAATTCAATTCCCTTCACACTAAATCCTTCCACCACTTGGCAGGATGGCAAGGAGGAATTGCTGACCCACCATTTTAGGGTTGCATCTGTAAAGTCTGTGAGAATTTGCCTCTGTGAATTAGTTGAAATTCATTCGGTCGATCGTGATTTATCGCTTACACTTTCCCCGCCCACAATTTTCCGCACCCCCCCAAAAAAGACGTGCAATCGACAGGCAAGCGACAGGAATCTCTTATCGCAATCCTCTCTCTGGTGAATAACAGAATTGGAATGAATGCGGAGATCAATTAACATCCCCAATTTCCAGACTCTCTTTTGTCAAAATGCTCTAAGTGAATTCAATAGATTAATATTTAATCAAGCAGGCGAAAAATCCACCCTTTTCTCCCAACGAAAACCTCCACATGTTTGACTTTCAACTCCTCTCTTCCCTTACACGTCTGTGTGTGTTGTGTTTGACATAACACAATGGCGAAATTTGCACACCCAATTCATGTCTTTACCCATTTCTCCGCAATTGAGAAAAGTACACAGTCGAGGGCAAAGCACATGGGCTTCGCGCGCAACCGAACTTTGTGTGTGAGGACAAGAAAATGAGCTGAAAATGTTCAAATGAATTAATTAACGATAATTTAGTGTGCAAACAAGTCACTTGAGGAAAATGTACAGGCAAACAGCACAAATACAACTCAAGTATTGTTTCATCTTTGGAAACTCAAAAGCCGACAAAACACAAGCTTTCAACAGAAGCAGAAAACTTGCAAATTTCGCAAATGTTAGCAAGATTTCTTGCTGATTAGATTAAGAATGTGTTTTTAATGCAAAAATTTGCATTTTTCACTCAGAACTTCAATTTTCACATGATAAATTCCAAGATATCTTGGTTTAACACTAACTTTTGATCTTATCTTACAGATTAGACGACTTTTGGGATGATTTATCGAAGGATAAATTGAACGAAATGTGCTTTTAACATTGAAAACAATGAAGGTTCATCGATTCTTAAGTCTTATCCTGATTAGTCTGGAAATTTCATCAAGAGAAAACTCAAATTGATAGAGTATTGCAACAATTTGACCCTCAAACTTGCTATTTATCCACCCAAAAGACTCAAAACATCGAAAAGAAACCTCAACTCCACCCGTGAAGTAACAAATCGTTATCAGAAGCTAATAAAACATTGAGCTAACGAGTGATTTCTGTAAATTTTCCATATTTTCTCAACAAATACAAGTCAAAAGAGCCCCAAAACTTTCACTCTCGCTCTTGATCAGTGATTTTGTAACGCGCAAAGAGACTTTTTTTTCACACCTTCTGTCGCAATTTGTGTGACTTTGGTGAGCTTTTTTTCGTTGCGGCGAAGAGAGACAATAAAGTGGCAAATAAACACGTTGGAGAACATTCTGTGCCTGATTCTGTGGCACAATAAAAGTGTGTTTTGCAATTAAAATGGATTTAGAGAAGGCAAAAAAGAACTCACTCTCTTCCTCCTTGTCCTCCACTTTTCCCGCACTTTTGCCCATGTCACAGAGAAATGCACACTCGAAGCGACTCTTTCGCAGCACAAGCATTGATTTCGGGTGTGAACGCAACAACCGGAGAATCTTATCTAGACCAAACCACCTTTTGCCCAAAACTCGCGATGTTATCGCGCGAAAAGCACGCACACACACGACACTGTCAAACAGAAGTGACACAATTTTTCCAGCGCACTCCGTGTGTGGAAATGCGCTGGAAAGAGAGAGAGAAAGATCATTTGGAGACTCACCGTGAATCAGAAGCTCAGAGTCGCGATTGAGCTCGTAGAGGCGAATCGCTTCGTTGAGCTCGAGCTGCGAAGAAATCGTGCACGGATCGTTCTCCTCGTCCACCCACTTGATCGTGAACACCTGATCCGGCGAGAACTGGCACATGCCGCGGATCTCCTGGCACAGCTCGTCGAACGTGATGCTCTCGCTGATGTACGTAATCATCTTCTGACCATTGTAGGCCGTCTTCACGATGATCTCGTTGCTGGTGGAGTTGTTGCTCTCATTGAGCACCGGCGTCGGCATCTTATCCACTTTTCTGCGGGCTCCTCGCGGCCAGGAAACTCACTGGGATGATCAAAACACTGCTCCGCCTGGAAGAGAGATAGAGGAAAAGAACACTTTTAGCCTCTCAATCAACCCAATTTGACGATCTTTCAGGGGCTTCCGCACGTCTAAGCCCATTGTCGCGGCACATTCCGCCCCAGTGCGTCAGCGAGAGAGGTTTTCTTTGTGCCTTGGCGACACTGTTGGACAAGAATGTCAACACTGGACACACTCCATTGCCTCTCGTGGCCCCATTTCGGGCTCCCACGTCCTCTCTCGCGCCGCCGTTACTCTCTCTGCCGCCCAGGAGACTCGCCAGGCGCCAGGACAGCCCCAATAACAGCCGCTACAAGGGGCAGAGCGACCTCCCGGATGATTAACAGGTGGAAAAATAGGGTGGGGGCCGAGAGATAACGGTACAGCGCACTGATAGGATTTCACGTGGTTTTCCTACACAAACACGCGACACACCTTGAGATTGCGATAAGAGACTCCTCGGGGCGCCACACGAGAGCACTTTGGACGCAAAAAACACGCCAAAAAGAAGGGAAAATGAGGAAAAACAGAAGAGAAAAAAAACACAAAAGCAACAACTTTTGACACCTCTCTTCCTCAGTGGCGATCCAAGCGGAAGAGACCGGCAACACACAAATCAAAACAAAACGCGACATAACCTCACAGTATTTTTACTTCTTATCCATGTTCATCTGCTCAATCAGTGCCTCGATTTTGTCCAGATTGGCGGCCAAAGTGGAGGAATCCCGGCCCTCCTGGAGCACCTTTTGGACATGAGCATGCAGTTTCTCCTCCATCTTCATGGCAGGCTCGATGGCAGCATAATTCTCGAAAGCCTGATTGAATCCACGTAGAGTCACGACATTCTGGGCAATACACTGCATTTTCTTCTCCACTTCCTTCTTGAGAGCGTGCTCATCCTGCTCCGTGTACTGCGGCTTGTTTATATCGTGCTCCTTATTCTCAGGAAGCAAAACATAATCCGGAATCGACATGTGCTTGTCAACGTTTGCGTTGAAGGGCGCGAGTTTCTCCCTGACTTCCTTTATGAGATTCTGATGCACTTTCTCCTTCTTCTCCAGAAAGAGCGCCTTTTTGGCCGGATCTTTGATATCAGCCTCAATTGATGCGCAAAGCGTGTCCAGTGTTTGCTTCAGCTTCAGCTGGAGATATTCCTCAGCTAAAAAAACACACATGAATTGGTTTGCTATCAATTCCAAGCTATTTCTACTCACTGTCCGATTTCAACTCCTTCAGGGAATGGCCATAGAGCTGAATTTCGTACTCTTCCTTCGCATATTCCATTTTACCCAAGAAATTCAGGTTAAGAAATCAATGAAAATCGCTAATCAGTCTGTGAAGATAAAATATAACGGTACAGCCGGTCAGCGGGAAGTTTCGATGTGTTTTTCTGTAATTTCAAACAACCAAGCGCCTTACCTTTACACTTCAATGATAGATTCTAACTCTATGCAAAACTCGAAGGCGATTCAAGGCCCAAAACCTCGGGAAAAGCAGGGAAAATAAGAAAAGACCAGGGCGAGAAAAGCAAATACGACTTGCGAATCTCTTATTATACTCTGTACCGATTATGGCGATCCAAGTGGCTGGAATTAGCAACTGCCATCAAAACAATGTGTTACAACCTCACTATTGCCAAAAGGAATCCTGTAAGAAGCGGAAGAAGGTGAAAGTTGGTGTTATCTGGGAAAACTCCCCTTTTTCACACCGGAAATGTCTTCTATGACATTCAGCCAGAAGAAGTTCACACCAACAGCACCGGATAAGGGCAGTTTTCCGCTGGATCACGAGGGTTTGTGCAAGAAGTCCATGCTGAAGTACATGAACTGCCTTCAACAGAAATCAGACTCAAATTCCGAGTGCAGATCCTTCGCCAAGGACTATCTTGACTGTCGTATGCAGAACAACTTGATGGCCAAGGAGGAGTGGAGTAAGCTTGGCTTTGAGGAACAACAATCAGAGAAATAATGGAGCAGGAAAAACGTCTTCCCGGAACTTTCCGGATTCTTATTGGGTGCACAGGCAGTGTGGCCACAATAAAACTCCCTCAGCTTATTCAGTGTCTCGCGGAGAGTATACCTGGTGCGGAGATGAAGGTAGTGGTGACGGAGTGCGCCAGAAGATTCTTCTCAACCGATGAAATTCCCTCCGGAACGCCAGTACTCACGGATGCGAACGAATGGAGCGCATGGAAGCATCGCGGAGATCCTGTTTTGCACATAGATCTTGCCAAGTGGGCGGATCTTATGGTCTTGGCGCCATTGGATGCCAACACGCTGGCCAAAATCGCCCAGGGACTCTGCGACAACCTCTTGTTGTGCATCCTGCGCGCCTGGGAGCCCTCAAAACCGCTCCTCTTCTGCCCAGCCATGAACACGAAGATGTGGCAGCATCCCATCACGGCGGAGCACGTCTCCAGGCTGCGCGCGTGGGGATATCACGAGGTGCCGTGCATCGAGAAGACGCTGATGTGCGGAGACACTGGACCAGGCGCCATGGCTGAAGTCGACACGATCGTGCAGAATGTCCGGGAGTACTTGAAGCTATGACAGTGACTCATTTATTGTTTTTGGGAAGACAAATTGTAGGAAGAGTGATAATTTTTCGATAGATTAAAGGTTTTTGAAGGAAAATTCATCGATTTTCAAAAGCTCTATTGATCAAGGATTAGCTGGAGTCAAAGTCAGTAATTATGCTTGCAGATTATTTAATGAGAGTTCTTCAGGGGAATCATCGTCAGGATCGCTCTTAAGACAGTGTGGTATCTAAGGTGGTATCGGTGGGAGCTTCAGTTGTAGTCTCTTCTGTGCCTTCCGTTGTCTCAGTGGGGCGCACTTCGGGTTCCGTCGTTGGCTCCGGTCGGTGAGGAGGAGTGCTCGAGTGTCCTGGATGCGTGGGCTTGCTGGGCTTCGTCGGCTTGGGACTCGGTGTGACTGGAGGCGGGCAGTCGGCGGACGAGAGAGGCTTGCATGGTGGCGTCCAGCACCAGTCATCCCAGTCCACGCACTCACCATTGTAGTAAGCCGAACCGCCTTCGTCCGTGTCCTCGCACTTCACCAACTTGGCGGGCTCGTTGAGCTTAACGCAGAGCCAAAATGATGTGGGATCCCAGTTGTTTCGCCAGCGACGTCCGAACTCTGCTGCGCTCTTGCAATGCGGTCTGCCGCACGTCTTGTAGTCCACGCGGCACGGATACTCCTTGGTAGTCGTGCTGGAAGGCCGGTCAGTTGTGTTGGCCAAGCACGTAGCCAGGACAACGAGGACGACAGCAAAGTGGAGCAGGACTGGAAAGAGAGCAGATTAGAGAGGATCTCGTGAATCCCAAGAACACTCACTCTTCGCCATGATTCTTCGAAAACTGCGAGATGACTTCTGGTGATTTTCCAAGATTTCCCAACGCCTTTTATATCCCTGAGAAATTGCATATGCAAGCAGATCTTCGCCATGAGCTTATCAGTCGCGTTCCCGATGAGCGGCAATAAGGCGTTCTGCAAATAAAAATCATCAACCAAGAATGTGGAAATACGTGTGAAACACTTTTATGGCCCACTTTAGCACCTTTTCCCGGAACTTTCTTCGCGAGTGCCAATTTTAGGCGATGATGAAGGGCATCAGTGATGGATACTGTCTTATCTCGTGGTGACTTTGAAAAGCCAAACTGAAAATTGTGTCTCTTCGCCACTCTATCAATGGATTAATTTTCATTCGCCTCATTAACATTCCATGCCAAGATGGGAAGTGATTTAAATGGAATTTTCCTTTTGACTGATGATATTTAATCTCTTTTTGACTCTAAATGCAATTTCCTGGGTTTCACACATTAAATTCCACGCAATATTCAGAATTCACACTATATGTTGACGCGACGTAGTGTGAAATTTTGTGTATATCACGAAAAATTCCCCTGATAAGATTCAGTGATAAGATGAGATTTCAGCAAATCCCTCGGGATGGCATCAAATTGTCTTCCACAAAATCCCACGAATGACTGAATGCAGAGCCTTTTCCGGTCTTTCAACTACAGCAAAGCCAGCACAAATGCAGAAAAGCTAAGATAGTGTTCAAGTCACAGGACAAGCCAGGCGATCGCGGTGGGATTAGATTTGCGTGCACGTCAATCAATCTCGCAGAAATTCGTGGAAAAAGTGCTGATTATCTCAATGAGTGACGAAAGATATTGATAAGGATAAGTTAATGAGGGTGGGCGAGCAGTATAAAAGACGAAAATCATCGATGAGAAGCCAATCAGTTTTGTGAACTTGAAGATCAACCATGAAATGTGAGTTTTGATTTTGGCGCGCAAATCCTTCGTTCAATTTTCTGTCACACTCCTGTCAACTCTGTGATTGTGCAGCGGATTTCAGTTAAAGTTCTCCTCTTTTTCTAGTTATCACAGCCCTCCTCGTCTGCGCCCTTGTGGCCGTCGCCGTGGCGGAAAATAGCTACCACGGAAATGGACAACCTGGATGCCGCTCACAGGCTGAGGTGGACGCCGGCTGGTGGAGGCACAACTGGGATCCCACGTCGTACTGGTGGTGTTCGACCGTCGGCCAGGCCGCTGTTCGCGTCCAGTGCACCGCGGATCCCAACGATTCATCGATTACCAGGGGCTGGCAGAACCAGGAAGTCGGCTGCGTGCCATGGTCGCAGTGGGTCTGGACCCCACCAGTCGCCCCACCATCCGAACCATAAATCATCCCGGCCAGAATCCACCTGATGTGCCTCTTCATGCCCACATGTTATCAAAAATAAATATTTCGTTTTGACTGCACAAACCCAGAATTTTGTCTCAGCCCACGAAGGACTCCCGCTGCTTCTGATAAAATATTTGCAGTCTCGCGCCCCGATAACGGTGATGGTTTTATTGAGAGTAGAAACTTTAACCCGGTGACATAGTGAAATCTTTTATCAGGCACGCGCTTATCAACTTATCACGGCAGTCAAACTGCGAAATTGCAAAGATTTATACACGAATGATAGGAAAAAGAGTCACGTCTTAAGTATAATGAGCGTTGAAAATATCTTATTGATTGAAAGCCACGCCCATCGCGATGCTCCGCCCAGTCTTGCATTTTAATTTAAGTATGTCACATATGTGACTCATTTAAATGGGAGTTTTAAAGGAAACTGATTCGAATATGAACATTTTTCTTCCTAAATAGAGTTTGTAAAATTTTAAGATGACTTGCTTAAATCATGAAACATATTTAGGTATTTTTTGTATATTTCGAATGTGCTTGTTTTTATCAGAAAAAAATACTTCAAATAAGTCTGGGTTTTAATCATACTTATGATTTTATTTTAAATTAAGTTCTTGGATAACATCCCATCCAGCAAAAACCCTTTTATTGTTTTCAATTCACTCTTATTCCCTGTTGTTCATATCACAACGCAATTTCTAATGCTTGCCATGCTATCGGCAGACCACTGAAGTCACGCGAATCTCAATTGCCAAGTCATTGCCTCTGTTCTCCGTATAGGAATCCCCTTGATCTTCAGGAGTCTCGAGAAGATTGAGTGAATTGTTCGCTTAATTGCATAATGGAATTACTGTGATAACAGCGCACCGATAAGAGGTGAGAATTAAGCATACATTTCACTGCGTCAGGAAATGGAAAATCAATAGCTCAGACAGGAAGACTGAGGCACTCCGGAATTCCAACTTACAGCAGATATTCTCGGGCGATTGAGAAGTTTCATTGATGATTTACAATCGCTCTCACTGGACTTTGTCTGAAGAGGTGAGATTATTGTCAAGATAATTGCAGCCAATTCACTCGAGTAACATGATAAAGAACAATATATTAGCTTTAAATCATTTCTATTTTCTTCAATTGTCAGCAAAATGTTCAAAATCTCGGCATTCACTTGTGCTTTTGCATAAAAATTTACTTCAAATACCCCTAAAAGTCTGCAAATCCGTGGGTGTTCCTTTGAAATTGAACCTCCAACGGCAAAAGTATGTGGTTTTGCGATCCCGCTGAGCCCAATCGTTCACACTTTAATTAATTAAAGCACACCCGAGGGTGGAAAGTGACGACAAGTGGGCAAATATTGGATCAATTTGCCTCGAGTGCCACCAGTGAAGCTAAAACTGCTGCTCTCGCGAGAGCACAAGCTCGCCACCGACGCAAAGTTGCAGAAGCTGTGATGAGCAATTAGCTGAGAGCGCGCGGCAGGATCCGGCACTGACCAGTCGAGTGCCGACCTCTGATCATGTCTTTCGTGCGTCGCGGCGCCCTTCAACGCGAGACGCGGAGTTTACTGGCTGAGTACAGCGACAGCAGTACGATTCATGGGGTGAAATACCTGGGCGGGCCCAGGAGGAGGTGGCCAGAGAGGCTCTGGTGGCTGCTGGCCTTTGGCGCCTCACTGTACACCTGCGGAGCCCTGATTCTCAACACCTACACGAAGTGGAGCACGGACCCGGTGATTGTGAGCTTTTCGCAGACTCCGACGCCTCTCTGGAGGATTCCCTTTCCCAGCGTCACCATCTGCCCGCTGAACTTGGTCAGACAGAGTGTCTTCAACTTCACAGATGTCCTAACAAGGCTGGAGGACGACAGCACGACAAATCTCACGGACACAGAGTAAAATTTTAAATGCATCATTAGTTGAGAATAAAAAATGAAGTGTTCTAAAATATCTATATCCTAGAAGAATTCATGGGAAAATGCTCAGAATCTTGCTTAGAGTATTCTTTGAAATGTCGCAAATTTAAAAAAAGAGTAATTGAAATTATGTTAATTGCAGAACCTAATAACAATCCATAAGCTCAGCCTTAACAGCTTAAAGTTGTGAAATCAAAAGTAGGTCATTAAGCGAAAATCAATTAATTACGCACGAGCAAACACAAACAGACAAATAATCGCGAAAATAGACAAGGAAGCGCTCTCAAGGTTGATAAGCTCAAGTTTCACATACCGAAAATTGCGATTTGAGCTGGAGTCTATTTATGGAGGGTTGTGAATTTCATTGCAGCGTGCAACAGCTGAGAACTCTGTCTCTCATCTGCTATGATTACAATCTCAAGCACTTAAGAGACGTGCCTGGCTTCTGGATCAATGTCACGGACGAGGATTGCTATCAGCTGATGGACCAGGTCGTGCTGCGCGAGAAGGATCTCTTCGACATGTTCATCTGGAAGGGATCCAACAAGACCTACCTCAGCACCATTGTGACTGAGGCAGGCCTGTGCTTCGCTTTCAATATGATGACCAACACCAGGATCTTTCGCGATGACGTCATATACTTCTCCAAGCCCAACTCCAACATGGCAACGCTCAAGGAGTTGGACTGGACGCCTGAGAAAGGCTTCCCACGCGACACGGGCCTGGATCAATTTCCCTTTCGATTCGTCAACGGCGGCACGGGAAACAGCCTGGAGCTGGCACTAACCACAGATCCTGCGGACTACGACTTCCTCTGCGAAGGACCCTTCCAGGGATACAATGTCCTCATTAACACTCCCGTTGAGGTACCTTCCATCAATGGCGGTTACGTTCGAGTGCCCTCCAACCAGGAGACGCTGATCATGCTGAAGCCCCATCTGATCCACACCTCCAACACTCTGAGGTCCTACGAGCCTTCAGGAAGGCAGTGCTACTACGAATCCGAGCGATACCTGCGCTTTTTCCGAGTTTACACGCAGTTGAATTGCGAAATGGAGTGCGTGACGAACTACACATTGACCAAGTGTGGCTGTGCAGCCTTCTATCTGCCCAGACTTGCTGGAACAGAGATCTGTGGGCCTGCCAAGATAAAGTGCTATCGCGAGGCCGTTGAGGATCTCAACAACGTGGCCGTGGATGGAGTGAAGGATCTGGAAGCGGACGAGAAGACGCCCATTTGTAACTGCCTACCATCCTGCACTTACTTAACCTATGACTCTGAGATTTCCTACGGCGATGTCAGCTTCAAGGGTCACTACAGGTCCAACACATACTTCGCGAGTGGAACCAAGGAGTGAGTCCTGGAAAAGGAATTGAGATTTCTCCCTTATAACGATGCTTCCCTTCCAGGAACGTCTCCTATGCCTACATCATGCTCTTCTTCAAGGAGGATCAATTCATTTCCCTCCGGCGCGGAGAACTATTCGGCAAAACGGACTTCGTTGCGAACTGCGGTGGTCTCCTAGGTCTGTTCATGGGTGTATCTCTGCTGAGCATTGTTGAGATCTTCTACTTCTGCACGATTCGCTTGCTGTATCGCTTGAAGGATCATCGCGAGATCATCACAGCACGCGATCAATCCACATGATGGTTAAAGGTCAAGTCCACAGAGGCAGTTCCTATTCCAAGAATGTGATGGCACGCTATCGAGCACTCGATGTAATGGCGTCACTAATTCCGCCGGAAGAGCACCTTTTGCTTCAATAAAAATATTTTTGTGATTCCACATTCAGTCGTCACTCTCCCAATGCGGCTTTTGGCATAATTTATAACTCTATGGTTTCGATAACGTTTCGAGAGAATCACAAAGTGCGATAAGGATTCTTGGAACTCTTTGAGAGATATAATAAATATTCCTCCTATTTCTCAATAAAATCATCATACAGAAGGTCTATCGTTAATTTGCTCCTTAATTGCATTCTTCTTTATATTATAACGTCATAAATGACCTGGAATTTCTCATTTTCCTGAATATTTGATTCATTTGTCATTTCCTTTACGAAATCCACCTCTCAGTCGACAATCTTGGAGATTTTGAAGTAAGTCACTCTGATATGTTATCAAATATCCGCTGATTGTTCAGAAAAAGAGCTATAAAAGACCCTACAAGTCAATAGAACTTCAGTCCGACCTGAGATGCGATTCATTGTGATCTGTGTGGCTTTATTGGGGCTCTTTGGAGCAGCCAAAGCAGTTGACGTGGTGGCCTATAATGATGGGCAGCCTGGTTGTTTCATTCGTTACGAGTTTACGCGGTTGTGGCGCAACAACTTCGATCAGCACGCGTTTTGGCGCTGTGAAAGATGGGGAGAGGGCGCTGTGAGACATGAATGTCCGCCATTCACCAGTTTCCAAGACTTTTGGCAAACTTGCCTTCCAAATGATGTATGGGAATGGACGCCGTACAGTGACCCGCCGACAAGACCGGATGAGGAAATCTTGGATCAGTGTGAGCCTATCGAGAACCCGACGCCTTGTCCCACTAATCCTCCGATAACGACACCGACACCTGATTGGAACACGACGACTACAGATGAAGGAGAATGGAACACAACGACTACAGACGGAGGAGAATGGAACACAACGACTACAGATGGAGGAGAATGGAATATGACGACTACAGATTCAGGAGAATGGAATACGACAACAACAGATTCGGGAGAATGGAACACAACGACTACAGATGGAGGAGAATGGAACACAACGACTACAGATTCAGGAGAATGGAACACGACGACTACAGATGGAGGAGAATGGAACACAACAACTACAGATTCAGGAGAATGGAACACGACAACAACAGATGGAGGAGAATGGAACACGACACAAACGCCTGATTTTAGCACAAGTCCAAACGAAAATGTAAGAACAATAATAACAAGCCTCAATTTATCAAGATTAATGACATTTTCAATTTGCAGGAAAGCACACCTGATCCAACAACGACAACTCCGGGTTCATCTTGTCCTACTTGCCCTCCCACTTGTCCCACCTGTCCTCCTGAAACCACGACGCCTTCGATACCTACGCCGCCTGAAGAGGGAGAAACCCCTAAGCAACTCTGTCCAGGAGCTGAGCCACATCAATACGTGCCTGGCAACCATAGCTGCACGGCTCCGACATGCACTTATGATCAATGGCTCGATGGAACTCTCTACCCAACCTTAAGTCCTGTAGAGTTCTACCAATGCGGACCAGAGGGTTATCTGTATACAATGCCCTGCGCCCCTGGCACATGCTTCAGCTATGATCACCAAGTGTGCGTGCACTTCAGGGATTGGGTTTATCAATGTGAAGTTTTAATGGTGCCGGATCCACTGTATTAAGCAGAAAATAAAAAAAAACAGCATCAAAAAGAAAAGATCTGTGCGAGACATGTTAAGCAAACCTATATTAAGTATACGATTTTTTGTAATAAAAAAAATTAAGATAAACACAAGCATAGCTTACCTATGATGTGAATTTTTAAATTTATGCAAATCTCATATTTATTTCAAATCGACATGTATATTGCAAAGTGGTTTTTCATAACTGGTTTTTATGCTACAAAACAAGATTTCAAAACAATTCTATGAGTATTTCCCAACAGTTCTTCATCAGCATTGATCGCGAGTGGTCGTGAATGTCCACCAAAATGGACCAAAAACATTATTACGATATAGAAAAATACAAAGCGTCATTAAAACTTCGCTTGGCTTTAACTAAACCTTCCTTAGAACCTTACCACTCTAAGTTTAAATGGCGCGGCGGTGAAAGAGTGCTGGACATTGGCTGCGGTCCTGGAGACATCACAAGATTGTGCATTCTTCCTTTGCTGCCCAAGAACTTTGGGAAGCTCGTTTGTGGAGACATTTTGCCGGAAATGCTCGAAGTTTGCAAATCAGAATTCGATGGGATTGAAAATGTGGAATTCCTGCAAATCGACATTCGCAAGCCCCCTAAAGAATCCCTGGAAGGCAGTTTCGATAGCATCTTCTCATCATATTGCTTCATGTACATCTCTGACCAGAGGAATGCGCTGCAGAACATATTTGATCTTCTGTCGCCGGGCGGTAATTGTTTGGTTCTTCAATTGTCTTTTGCTCCTTTTATAAAACCATTCTTCACCCTGGCTGAATCGTCTAAATGGAAGTCTGAACTTAAAGGATTAAGAGACTTGTACGCTTTTCCCTTCTGGGAAGATCCAAATCCAATATTCACAGTGGAAGATTACATGAAATCCATCGGATTCATCGATATTTCAGTCACTATACAGAAGAATTATGAACAAATAGAATCACAGGAACACTATAAAGGTAAAAAGGACTGTAAATAACAATTGAATATATATTATTAAGGATTATATTTCTAGCATTTATCGAGAGTCTGCCTTCTCCATGGAAAACTCTGCCAGAAGAATATCAGGAAGATTTTATGAATGATCTGCAAGAAACTGCAAAGACGGATAACTTGTTTAAAACCAACATCTCAAGACAATCAGCACCAATTAAGGAACCTCATCAATTTCTGCTGATTTATGGAAGAAAACCAGAATGAGAGAAATCTGTAGTTTACCTTCAAACATCTCAATTCTCAATAAATTAAGCAGAGCGCGCGCTCAGTCACGTTTTTTTGGACTCATGCCTAGAATTTGGCAAATTATGGTGGGAAACGTCAATGAAAATACAACACAAGTTTCATTGCACCCAAGAAATACTCGTGAATATCTTAACATTCACTTTCACCGTGATCATTGCCAAAAGTTGTATAGAAATAGCAGGTGCTATCAAAAAGTGGCTTTGCGTGGCCTTTTAACCCTCATCAGAGCAGGAAAAAAACACACATTCATTCAAGAAAACATATTGAAATAGTGTTGTTCACAAAAAGCACATCATGCTGTTATGATGTTGACTTTTTGTATAATTTGTCCATAATTTTTACTGTCTGTGAACTTGCATATTTTAGCAAATCACTTTAATCATCTCGATCATATTGTTGGTCATCATGGTCATGCTGACCTTTCAAATGCTTAAATACCTCATAAATCGGCCACTTACCTTTCAGTTAAAGAGCAACAGTGATCACGAGAAGTTGACGCAATGGAGAAAAAGGAAGAAAAGTACGATATAAGGGAGTTTCGTGAAACCACAGGATATCGCATAGGATGTATTAAGCCTTGTTTCGATCGTCTTTCCCGAAAGATTCAATGGCGTGGCGGCGAAAGAGTTCTGGACATCGGTTGTGGTCCTGGAGACATCACGAGATCCTGCATTCTTCCTTTGCTTCCACAGAACTTTGAGAAGCTCGTGTGCGCGGACATTTCACCAGAAATGCTCGAAATTTGCAAATCTGAGTTCATTGAAAATGAGAAAGTAGAATTCTTGCAAATGGACATCTTAAAGACTCCCGAAAAATCCCTAAAAGGCAGTTTTGATAGAATTTTCTCGACATACTGCTTCATGTACATTTCCGATCAAAAGACGGCTTTGAAGAACATCTTTGACCTTCTGGCGCCTGGAGGAGATTGTTGGATCAACCAATTGGCTGTTGTTTCAGGTGTCCAACCACTTTTCCAACTCGCCGAATCGCCCAAATGGAAGAACAAATTGCAAGGATTAAGAAACGTGCATGTTTACCCTTTTAATGAAGATCCAAATCCAATTGCAACAGGTGAAAAATACATGAAATCCATCGGGTTTACGAATATTTCAGTGACTATTGAGGAATCCTTTCACCAAATGGAATCAGAGAAACGCTATGAAAGTAAGAATTATTATCCTTAAAAAAATCAATCTGTTTATCAATTCTCTAATCTGAGTGTTATTTTCAGTGTTTCTTGAAGGTCTTCCTAATCCGTCAAAGAACTTCAATGAAGAAGACAGAAAAGCATTAATGAGGGATCAAATTGAGATTGCAAAGTCGCTGAATCTCTTTAAAGAAGAATTCAAATTTAAACCCATGCGAGAGCCTCATCAGTTTCTTGTGTTTTATGGACGCAAATTGCAATGACACATTTTAAAAGTTGTGAACTAGGAAGTAAGTTTAGATGAATATTCTCGAGATCAGAGGTTTCATTACAAAACTGATAACGTACATTATGTGTTTGTAGTAATCATTAGTAAAATATCTTCAATAAAAAAAGAATTACGTCTACATAAACCCAAAAAATAGTGCTGATAAAAATGTTGAAGTATACATAAATTTTCGTCTGCCTCTCAGATTGAAAGTACGAGTGATCGCGAATAGTTGTAGAAATGGAAAAGACACAAGATAGAATTGAGTACAATATTAAAAAGTTATGTGCAACAATAAAATATCGAATAGCAAATGTTAAGCCTTCGTTTGATCGTCTTTCTCGCAAACTTAAGTGGCGCGATGGCGAAAGAGTGCTGGACATTGGCTGCGGTCCGGGAGACATCGCAAAATATTGCATCCTTCCTTTGCTTCCTAAGAACTTTGGGAAGCTCGTGTGCGCGGACATTTCGCCGGAAATGCTGGAAGTTTGCAAATCAGAATTCGATGGGATTGAAAATGTAGAATTTCTACAAATGAACATCTTAAACACGCCAGAAGAAAAGCTCCAAGGAAGTTTCGATAAAATCTTCTCAACACATTGTTTCATGTATTTTCCGGATCAAGAGATGGCTTTGAAGAACGTTTTCGATCTTCTGGCACCGGGAGGAATTTGCTGGATCAATCAATTAGCGAAACCAGAAGGTGCGAAACCACTATTCGTATTGGCTGAAACTCCGAAATGGAAGGAGAAAATGCAAGGATTTAGGGATCTGCATGTTTATCCTTACAATGAAGATCCAGATCCAATTGCAACTGGCACTAAATATATGAAATCCGTTGGTTTCACCGACATTTCCGTAACTATCGAGGAATTGTACCCGCAACTGGAATCAGAGAAGTGTTGTGAAAGTATTAAAAGCGTCTTAAAGAATCTTTGCATGTGTTTTGCGGTAATATGTACTTATGTTTGCTTTCCAGTTTTCTTCGAAAGCCTTCCAAGTCCATCGAAGGATTTCAAAGAAGCGGATATAGCGGAACTTATAAAGGATCAAATTGAAGTTGCGCGATCACTGAATTTCTTCAAGGCGGATTTCAAATCTACACCTAAAAAAGAACCACAAACATGTCTGGTGCTTTATGGTAGAAAACCCAACTAAAAATACTTACCGCTTTGTTTGTATGGTTATTTTGCAATCTTAGAAAACACATGGAGACATTTTGCACTCGAGTTGAGAGCATTGATAAGATTTTCTGGCAAAAGATTACAAATATTATTTTCCCAAAATAAAGAAAGAAGAACAGACAGTGTTTGTACATCTTTATAAAGTCAATTTAAAGAGATTTAATTGTCTTATCTAAAAAATTCTGGTCTACTGATATTGTTGCCAAATGGCACTTAACGTTTTAGTTAAAATTCACCAGTGATCGCGAGAAGTTAGTGAAATGGAGAAGAAGGACGAAAAGTATGACATTCAAAAGTTTCGTGCAGTGATAGAATATCGCAAGGAAAATCTTCAGCCTTCTTTTGATCGCCTCTCTCGAAAGATTCAATGGCACGGCGGCGAAAGAGTTCTGGACATCGGCTGTGGTCCTGGAGACATCACGAGATCGTGCATTCTTCCTTTGCTTCCACAGAACTTTGAGAAGCTCGTGTGCGCGGACATTTCACCAGAAATGCTCGAAATTTGCAAGTCTGAATTCACTGGGGTTGAGAATGTGGAATTCCTGCAAATGGACATTCGCAAGTCCCCCGAAGAATCCCTGAAAGGAAGTTTCAATAGGGTCTTCTCAACACATTGCTTCATGTATGTTTCCGATCAAAAGATGGCTTTGAAGAACGTCTTCGATCTCCTGAAGCCCGGAGGAGATTGTTGGATAAACCAATTTGCTGTTCCTTCAATTTTGCAACCTCTGTTTATATTGGCTGAATCTCCTAAATGGAAGGAAAAATTACACGGATTTCGTAATGTGCATATTTATCCTTACAATGAAGATCCGAATCCAATTGCAACTGGCACTAAATATATGAAATCTGTTGGTTTTACCGACATTTCGGTCACTATCGAGGAATCCTACCTCCAAATGGAATCAGAGATATTGTGCAAATGTAAAGCTTATTTTTTCTACCTTTTCATAAATTTCCTAATGTGTATTTCTTTTTTAAGTTCTCCTTGAAGGCCTTCCAAATCCATCAAAGGACTTCAAAGAAGAAGACAAAGAGGAACTGATGAGGGATCAAATAGAAGTTGCACGATCATTGAATTTCTTCAAGGAGGATTTCGCAACAAAACTCAAAAGGGAACCGCATAAATTTCTTGTGTTTTATGGAAGAAAACCTCAATAAATGCGTTAAGCTTCTGGTTTCCTGGCATAAATGATGAGATTTTGATAGGGAATCTCTTTCATTGGCTTGGTTTCGTCTCTGAATGGTCTTATGATGTTGAAAGAAGACCCAAGATCAACTTGATCATCAACAAGATCGTCCTTTTCGTCCTCTGACAAGTTGTTCGGAAAGTCCGGCAAACACATTAATGTCTCTGGAAATGAAAAAAAAGTTCAAAATTTTGAAAAGAAATTTCTAAGTATCCAAGAAAATCACCTCTGAAGTTCTCAGTTGATGGATAAACATGATTGAAGTCTTCCTTCTCCACGGAAACTTCCTGGAATCCCACGGATTTTAAGAGGTTCTCTAGAGTCGCCACAGGATCGGGATCTTCGCGATAGGGAAAGACAAACACTTCTCTGTAGTGCTTCAGTCTGTCTTTCCATTTCGGAGTGTTCACGAGTTGAATTCCTGTCTCCGTAATCGCTCCTCTGCGCATAAACATAATAACACAATCTCCTCCAGGCGTGAGAAGATCAAAGATGTTCTTGAAGACTTGTTTCTGATCCTGGACGTACATAAGGCAGAAACTGGAGAAGATCCTGTCGAAGGTTCCCTTCAGTGAATCTTCCACGTTCTTTCCGATGTCCATTTGGAGAAAATCCACTCGATCGATTCCGCGGAATTCCAGTTTCGCAGCTTCCAGCATCACTGGCGAGAAATCCGCGCAGACAAGTCTCTGGAAATTGTCCGGAAGCAGAGGAAGAAAGCATCGGCGCGTCACATCACCAATGCCACACCCAATGTCCATGACTCTCTCACCACCGCGCCACTTCAGACTCCCGAAGAGACTGTCCAGGACTGACTGAACTATCTTGCATCTGGGAAAAATAATGATCAGCAAGTGTAATTAGAGGAATATTAAAGGATAAAATTCACTGAACAAACCTGACATCAGAAGAAAAAGCGTATTTCTGAGGATTGTATTCGTGATACTGGAAAGAATTCATCTTCAAAAGGACTTTCTTACTCAACGGCTTCTGTCAAGAGACTATCTAATCAGTCTCACTATAGTTCCTTATATACTCACAAAGAATCCGTTATAAGGCAAGAGGAATAATAATTAATTAATGAAAATTAGAAATGCGACTATTCTGCTATGCAAACAATACATCTTGAGTCAAAAGAAATGCAGCAAAAAGAACTGATGAAGACTTCGTTATCACATTTATTCTGTACGGAAAGACAATAATGATCGCAAGACTTATACAATTGAAGCACACAATCGAACTTTCCTGACTCGTGGCAAAGTAACGTTCGCAAATGAACCGATAACAATAATACCGAAATTCTTAGGTAATCTGTCTTCTTTACTTGCAAAAAATTATTGAGGATATCGGAAATGAATGCACAGTAAAAATCATCGAAATCTTAGAAACAAATCACATGTGATTTATGGGGGAATTCGTATGGAAAATGAGCATTTTCATGTATTTGATAACATTTTTGGTATAGTACACATAGTTCATGTAAGTATATACATTTTATCTTTATATTTGTGTAATCTTGAAAAGCCTACAAGTAAAACCCAATCTAGCTATCAACACATTATTGCTGCTAATCATTTATTATCTTCAGATAAAGTTCAACAGTGATCACGAGAAGTTGTCGAAATGAACGTCAATCAAAATAACTACAATATTGAGCAATTTAGCGTGGCTACAAGCTTTCGTGAACTTGGAATTAAATTTTACGCGGAACGCATTTTAAAACAACTTAAATGGCGCGGCGGCGAAAGAGTGCTGGACATTGGCTGCGGTCCTGGTGACGTCACGAAGAACTGTATTTACTCTTTTCTGCCTCAAAACTTTGGGAAGCTTGTGTGCGCCGATATTTCGCCAGAAATGCTGAAAGCTTGCAAATCTAAGTTCACTGGGATTGAAAATGTGGAATTCCTGGAAATGGACATAATGAAAACACCCGAACAATCAATGAAAGGCACTTTCGACAGGATCTTATCTATGTATTGTTTCATGTATGTTTCCGATCAGAAGAAAGCGCTGCAGAACGTCTTTGATCTCCTGAAGCCTGGCGGAGATTGCTGGATTTTGCAAGTCACTAGTACTCCGCTCGTCTCACCGATTTTCACACTAGCCAAGACGCCAAAATGGAAGGACAAGTTAGCGAACTTCAGAGACTTTTACGTTTACCAGTTTTATGAAGATCCCAATCCAATTGAAAATGGTGAAACATACATGAAATCTGTGGGTTTCACAGACGTTTCAGTCAATCTGGACAGGGTTTATAACCAAATGGAATCTTTGGAGAGTTATAAAGGTGACACCGAACACAATAATGGTTAATTTCATAATTATTTATTATTCGTTTAACTTTACAGTAATTCTTGAAGGCCTTCCAAATCCAGCAAAGTGTATGGAAGAAAAGGACAAAGAAGAATTGCTGAGGGATCAAATTGAAATAGCACGAGCGCTGAATGTTTTTAAAGAGAATTCACAATATGAAGCCACAAAGGAACCTCATCAAATACTAGAGTTTTACGGTAGGAAACCGCAATAAATACTTTAAGCTTCTGGTTTCCTGGCGTAAATGATGAGATTTTGAAAAGGAATTTCTTTCATTGGCTTGCTTTCGTCTCTAAAAGGTTGTATGATGTTGAAAGAGGTTCCAAGATCAACTTGATCGTCCAGAAGATCATCCTTTTCGTCCTCTGACAAGTTGTTTGGGAAGCTTGGACAGCATTTCAGCGTCTCTGGAATTGGGAAAATCTCAGAATTAGCAAATAATCTTAAGGAATCCACAAGAAAATTACCTCTGAAGATTTCAGTTGATGGATAAACATGATTGTAGTCTTCCTTCTTCACGGAAATATCCTGGAATCCCACGGATTTCAGGAGGTTCTTCAGAGTCGCCATAGGATCGGGATCTTCGCGATAGGGAAAGACAAACACTTCTCTGTAGTGCTTCAGTCTGTCTTTCCACTTTAGCGTCTCTGAAAGCTGAAATGCTGTCTCAAAAATCGCTCCATTTCTTAGGATGATAATCAGGCAATCTCCTCCAGGCGTGAGAAGATCAAAAACATTCTTGAAGACTTGCATCTGATCCTGGACATACATTAAGCTAAGACTGGAAAAGATCCTGTCGAAGGTTTCCTTCAGTGAATCTTCCACGTTCTTTCCGATGTCCATTTGGAGGAAATCCACTCGATCGATGCCGCGGAATTCCAGTTTCGCAGCTTCCAGCATCACTGGCGAGAAATCCGCGCAGACAAGTCTCTGGAAATTGTCCGGAAGCAGAGGAAGAAAGCATCGGCGCGTCACATCACCAATGCCACACCCAATGTCCATGACTCTCTCATCGCCGCGCCACTTCAGACGCTGGAAAAATCCCTCCAGAATCTTCTGAATCATTTCGCATCTGTAAAATGCCAATTTTCCCGAACTGCTTTAGCCAGAATCTAGAGAAAATACTAAGAAAACCAACCTAATGCCAGTAGAACTGGCGTAACTTTGAGTGTTGTATTCGTGATATTGAAACGATTGCATCTTCACCAGAACTTCTACTCGCAACAACTTCTTTAAACCGACTGAATTCGTTCTCAGACAAACGATCTTGATAACCTCAAGCAAATGCGTTAGAAGTCACTTTCATTGGATCTGAAGCTATAAATTTCAGTTAATTACCATTGAAATCTCTTAATAAACATTGAGATACATTTTATTGGGACTCCAGACTGTCCAATTCGGAAGCAGGTACAGTATCTTTGCTCAAGCACTCAAAATCTCCATGATAAGGTACAAAATAATTGATTTATTAAACATAAAAAAAAGTCGTTGGATGGGAAAATCTCAATAGAAAAAAAATCAACAAAATTTCAAGAAGGAGAAAAAAGAAGATTCAGATGCATTCGTAGCCTTCAGCCGAGGAAGGACCCGCGTCCTCTTCGCGAGACCTGCGCTTCTTCTTCTTCCGCTCCTCCTTCTCGCGCTTCTCCTTCTTGTCCTTCTTCTTCTTCGGCTTCCGCCGCTCCTCGGGCGTCTCCTCAGCCTCCACTGGCGACACATCCTGGTGGATGCTGGCCGTGGTGGCGGAATCCTCACCGCCCTCGGGAGATCTGCGCTGCTGCACACTGGAATCCATGATCCACGAATCAAAGTCCGCGTCCTTCAGCCCAATCTTGACGATGTTCTCCATCTCGTCGCGACTCTCTGGCAGCGTTTTGATGCCCACGGGCTCCTCGTCATCGTCCTCATCGCCGAACTCCTCCTCGAAGCGCGCCACCTGTGGAATTGCACTTGAAAACCATCAGTAAAACGCTCCCCGAATCACAACTCTTCTGCTCACCTGAGGATTGGCACCCTCTGCGTCGCTGTCAGACTCATTCCCGCCACTCCGGGCATGCATCTTCACTGTGGGCGTCACTGGGCAGTCATCGAAGAAGTCTTTGTCCAGTCCGCCGCCGCCCTCGGGACAGAAGTCCTCCACACTGGTGATTTTCTCACCCTCAGTCACGCTCAGCTTGCTCACGTCCGCCACCAAATTGGCCAGGCTCTTCTGCTGAGGCTTCTTCTCCTGCCCTGGCACCACAATTGGCTGTCCGCCGCCCACGATTATGCTCTTCATGGGACGCACCTCGGGCACACTCTTGGCGTCCGCCAGCTGTCTCCTCCTGCTCACGAGCTGGTCCAAAAACTGTCCATAATCCGAGTCGCCGGACTTGAGGAATTCAGTGATCTCGAAGCTGCAAATGTCTACGTCGCGGCGATTGCGCTCCAGCTGTGCCAGCAGCGTGTCTCGCTGCAGCTTGAGGAAGGGCAGCCCGAGGAACTTGTGGAGCAATCGCAGTCCGAAGCCGTTGCGCATGGAACTCTCGCCGTAGAGAACTTCCCCGGCGCGATCGGCTTGACTCCCCTCGACCAGATCCACAGCCTGGCCGGCGGACACCACGCGATGGTGGTTCATGTCGCAGTGATTACCCAGGATGAGCACGGGGATCTCGGACGGGATCTTAGGCAGCTCCCGCGCGACGTATTCGAACGTCCAGGCCTTGGTGATGTCCATCATGAGCACCACGCCGTGCGTGCCTTTGTACACGTCCAGGAATTCAGCGTCAAGCGCCGGAGTCTCAGCCGCAGGGACGCTCGTCGCCAGCTTGAGGCTCGTCTGGCGTGCTCTGGCCTTTCCGCGATCCACCACGTCCCACACCTCCACCTTCACCACGTCCTCGGTGGCTTTAAAGCTCCACTGGATGGACGCCACCTGGATCTGCTCGGTGGGCGTGTACGCCTCCACGAAGGAGCGCCCCTGGAGCCGCTCCAGCAAGCACGACTTGCCCACATTCCTGTCCCCCTTGATGATGATCTTCATGTTGTACTGCACGCCTTTGGCGAACTTCTTCTGCAGCGTGCCCGACATGGAGTGGCCAGCAGTCTCCGGTGGGCCCGCCTGGGCCTCCGACTTGGCCGTGAGCTTCCGGAAAGCGGAAAACATGCTGGCAAAAGTGTGTCTCTCTCAGCAGATGTTTAACTTTGCATTTCACTGCTTTCGCACTGAAATTCAGGGGTGTTTTTCACTATTTCCACCAGTATCTCACCTCACTGTCCCATTTCCAGGGATTGTGGCTGATTCTATTGATCAGAGGGAGGATTTTCGCAGGAAAATCTGGGATTTTCTGTGGGCAGAAGTGCTTGTGTGGGAGTTTTTGGAGACTTTCTCCAGCTGTCACTTGACAGCTGCATTCGTAAGGTTTCGCGGGAGTTCAGGAAAACGCGTGTTTGTTTTCGCACATCCAGGATGAGTGTCCACACTGCCTTCCGGCCTCTGGCCAGCCTCCACACAGCCGGAATCCAGAGGATTCTCAAGAGTGAGTCCCAAGCACTGTTTACCGCCAGTTTTCCTCTAAGTGTGTATCGCTTTTCCAGGGCAAATCTCCTATGCTGAGATCTCCAGGCGTCGCAGTGATCTTTTCACGGCCGAACAGACTGCCCAGCGGGCGAAAGTGGGACGCATTGAGCGGATTGAGGTTAGATACCTGGGCGTACCCCATGACACGACCCTCATGATGAACAGGAACATCTCCACGCCCTTCAACTGCGCGCAGCATCTCAGCGAGCATCACTGCAAGCGCTCTGCCCTGGCGCTGCTGGACGGGAACGTGCCCTGGGACATGCACAGGCCTCTCCAAGAGTCTTGCACTCTGCAGCTGCTCACATTCACCTCCGCCGACCCGCACGCCGTGAACCGCGCCTTCTGGCGCACTTGCAGCTTCCTCCTGGGCGCCGTACTCTCCACCACGTTCAAAGACGAGGCTCAGCTGCAGCTGCACAGCTTCCCGTCGCCCAACGTGCGCTCCGGGAGCTTCGTCTACGATGTCTCGCTGGCGCAGCCCGACTGGAAGCCCACGCTGCTCGAGCTGAAGACCTTGTCTGCCGAGATGGTGAAGCTGGCGGCCAGAGATCTGCCCATTGAGCGTCTGGAGGTCAGCACAGAACTCGCGCTGGAGATTTTCCAAGAGAACGCCTTCAAGAGCCAGCAGATCCCCGACATTGCCGCCAAGAACAATGGCCAAGTGGTGATCTATCGCGTCGGCGAGCACGTGGACATCAGCCGAGGCCCGATGGTGGCGTCCAGTCGCCACGTTGGGCGCTGCACGATCGCCTCCGTTCATCCCGTGGGCAAACTGACGCGCTTCCAGGGCGTTGCGCTGCCTCCGGACTTCATCATCAACCACGTGGCGTACGGAATCCTGGAGAACAGGGCCAAGAAGCTCAATCCTGCGCGCCTTCCGACGGAGAGTGAAGAGCAAATGCGTGTGAATCTGGCCTGAAAGCAATAAAGTTGATTTGTAGAGTAAATTTTGCGTGTTTGCAAGACTGCCTGATATTGTAATCGGCCGAGAGAGTCGATAAGAAAATTGTTCTTGGCATGTGATCTTTATTTCTTTAGAAGAATAATCTTTTTAGAACGCATATTACTACCTCAGCTTTCAGCATAGAAGAATTTATTGAATTTTTGAGCTTCAGCCTATCAAAGCGTACGAATAATGACTCAGTCTGAAGAAGGTTGATGAAAAAATGCATTGTCTGGTCAATTTGTTGTTATTTCTTTGGCAGGAGAAAGTGAATATCGACAGAAAAACTCTGGGATGCTGCAAAAAAATGACACTATTCGTGATTAAGCAAAAATTACTGTACACGTTAATAATATTAAGAGGAAAAAAGAGTCGCGCGTCACGCATTCATGAAAGTCTGCCGTGCGCGCCAAAAGATAAGCAAACTTTGACTTCTCTTTCAGTCTGAGTCTAGTTGGGAAGCAGTAAACATTCTTCGATTTCTGCTCAGTATCTTCCAAGAAGTCCACTTAGGGGTAAATCCGAAAAACAAGTTGTATGCTAATAGATTTCAAACTAGAGAACCAGATCTTTAGTGAGATGCATAAAAACTGATCATAATAACGTGTAATCAGTGTCACTTGATCTGTGATTGTGAAAAGGTGTCGGAAATTAACTTGTATTTATCTGTAAAAGAAGCTGCGAAATATTAATAAAACTTCGAGAGTTAATACAAAGTTAGTTAATTAGATTATGATCAATAAACTAGAACCAAAGCGTTTTTTCATAAACAATTCCGATTAAACACTCATAAATCAATTGTATTATTTCATAACTGGAAGATTTTGAGTCAGCTAACTGAGACGATGGATTAGACTCTGCAGATAACAAAAAAGAGCCTGAGAAGACGATTCGAAATTACATGTTGCCGAGTGCAAAAACTTTGCGTACAAAAACACACATTCATTCATTAACCACTTAATTTCTTATAACGTCAATCTCGTCAATCAATGCTTAAGAATAGTAACAATAGGAAATTCCTGATCGTCAATTAAGACCCTATAAATGCTTTAAAAAAAACTAATAATAAATCGTATTCTCACTTTTCAGTTAAAGCCCAACCGCGATCACGTAAAGTCGCTGAAATGGAGAAAAATATTAATCAGTACGATATTGAGAAATTTCGTGAAACGACAGAGTTTCGCATATCTTGTATTGACTTCTATTTCCAACAACTACGGAATATTAAGTGGCGCGGCGGCGAAAGAGTTCTGGACATTGGCTGCGGTCCTGGTGACGTCACGAAGAAATACATTTATTCTTTGCTGCCTCAGAACTTCGGCAAGCTTGTGTGCGCCGATATTTCGCCAGAAATGCTGGAAGCTTGCAAATCTGAGTTCCTCGGGATTGAGCATGTGGAATTCCTGGAAATGGACATCATGAAATCTCCTGAAAATTCTCTAAAAGGATATTTTGATAGGATCTTCTCGATATATTGCTTCATGTATGTTTCCGATCAGCGCAAAGCTCTACAGAATGTCTTCGATCTTCTGGCGCCTGGCGGAGATTGTTGGATTATTCAAGCTGCTGGCGCTCCACTGTTGCAACCTCTCTTCCAACTAGCCGAATCCCCGAAGTGGAGGGCACGATTGAAGGACGCACGGAAAATGATGAATTATCCACTAAACGAGCTTCAAAATATCGTAGAAACTTGTGAAACATATATGAAATCTGCGGGATTCACTGATATTTCGGTTACTCTTGAAAATAATTATCATCAAATGGAATCTCAGAAAGACTATGAGAGTAAGAATTGTCCTTGGCATTTTGTTTATGGATTTCTTATCGGCATATTTTGCAGGATTTCTTGCAAGTCTTCCAAATCCTTCGAAGGACTTCAAAGACGAAGACAAAGAGGAACTGATGAGGGATCAAATTGAGATCGCAAAGTCGCTAAATCTCTTCAAGGAGGAGTTCAAGTCTGAGCCCATGAAGGACCCTCATCGATTGATCATGTTTTATGGACGAAAACCTCAATAAAAGTTCATCATTAACTGAAATACTCGACTTTCGATATGACTTTTCATCTCTTTATGTACTTTCAGTGTGATTTACTGACAAAAAGGGCCAGAATCATGAGTGCCAGGCCGAGAAGTGTAAAGGGGAAGAGTCTCTTGGCGCTGTTGGTGCCCAAGTCCAGCTGATCTAGAAGATCCTTTGGTACGTCCACGTAAACTTTGTCGACGCCCACGGAGAAGATCAGCGCGCGCAGTTTCTCCACGTCCACGTGATCATTCTCACTAGACCAGATGGTCAGGGTGACTGTGTTGGTCTGGGCGAAGTCCCTCATGAGCTGACTGAGCTGCGGCAGACTCTGGGCAGCGATGCCAGCACGCACTGGGAAGGTGATCGGGTGACTAGAGCTGGAAATGGCGTTGTTTCTGATGCTGGTGCGCATCAGGGCGATTTGGCTCTCAGTGTAGCTGCCCTCGGTGAAGTCAGGGCCCCATCGTGTGGTCCAGCCGATGGAGAGCACCGCCGAGGGGAATCTGCGACAGCTGCTGAGGAAGACGTTGGGATCAACAGGCTGAGTTCCTGTGTTATCAACCGGGCCACGGATGATGTCAGCGTTCAGCCACACCGGATAGTCCATCTGCCGCGAAAGGTGGAGAGTCAGGACAGCTCAAACAGATGACAAATTCACCTTACGGACGCCCAGATGTCCGACAGCATCGCCAGGGATCCGGTGAACACTTCGGTGGACTTGAAATCCAGCTTCACGCCCTTCATGCTCTGCGAATTCCTGCGATTGTGCTCCAGGATCTGCGTGAGGAATCCCTGGAGGGAGATGTCAGAGGTGTTGGCGGGCGGATGGCCCATCACAGGCAGCAATGGACCGTCAAGATCGCTGACCAGGTGCCCCAGGACGATGTCCGCCTCGATCATGTCAATATCGCTGGCCAGCGTGGCGTCCAGCAGCGCCTGGTTGTTCACCGCGTGCGCCCAGGTAATGGCAGTGAGATTCTCCGCCGCCGACACCATCGCCAGGTGCGACAGCATCCCTAAAACACCCCAAAAGCCCAGCATTAGACGACAGTCAAAGTGTCCGGAAAGCCTCACAACATCATCACGCCAGCCACTTTACCTGCGGCCCCGTGGGCATTGAGTAGCAATAAATAGCGAATTGAAAGAGAGATAAGACAGCTGATAAGGCTGATAATACGAGGATTGCAAGGAGGGGGAGGAATCAGCTGATTTGCTAACCTTGGAGCAGGAGGATTGAAATTGCAGCTATAACAGTCATTCCGGGATGCCTATTGCAACGTCTTCAACAGCTCTACCATGCCTAATTACCAGATTGGTGAAAAGAGTGCCGGAAAAGCCGGAGAATACTGTTGAAATGCGAAAAAAACCACAAAGTCTCACTTTATTTTGGTTTGACGGCGGAAAACCGCAAACTGCCGTCAGCGCTCGTAGTGCTGTGCGAGGGAAAGAGAGAATTGAAAAGTAACGACCACTTTTGGGATCATTTCCCGAATATTCTGGAAATGCTAGAAAAATGAGGAAACTCACCGCGGAAATCTCTTTTCATAATTTCCACTCCATATGTTGCCCTATAACTATCAAATTACTTCATTTATGCTTCATTCACCATCGATTTGTGAGGAATCCATAGAAATTCTTTTGCAAAATCCCCCTAATTTTTGTGTCTAATTCAATTATCCCTCCAGAAAGACTCTCGAGCTGACTGGGCAAAGCTTCTGAAGGCAGTTTCTAGCCAACTCTCGTGTGCAACACTCTGGAAAATGGGAAAAGACGACTCTGAAGTGAGCGCTCTCAAGGATGAGCTGAATTCCTTGATAGGAAAAATCAAGGAAGAGCAGAAGAAAGTCGCTGATTGCACTCTAAATGACAAGTGCGGGGACGTCCCCGGTGCTCCCAAGGTTCACATCACCACCAAGAAGTTCCTCAAGGGACACATTAACAAGGTGAACTCTGTGCACTTCGCTGGCGACTCTAGACACTGCGTTTCGGGCTCGCTGGATGGAAAATTGATCATCTGGGACACTTGGACGGGCAACAAGGTGCAGGTCATCCCTCTGAGATCATCCTGGGTCATGAGTTGCGCCTTTGCCACATCCGGGAACTTTGTCGGTGAGTTTTTGGCTGCATTTTCTCTCCTTCTGAAAGGTAAAACTGAGTGTTTTCTGAGTAAAGCTTGCGGCGGGATGGACAATATGTGCACAGTTTATGACCTCAACAACCGTGACGCCACAGGAGTGGCCAAGATTGTGCGGGAGCTGGCTGGCTATGAGGGATTTCTCAGCTCCTGTCGCTTCCTGGACGATCGCAACATCCTCACGGGTTCCGGGGATATGAAAATGTGAGTGAAAGTGCAGTTGAAGCTCTCGCAAATTGGGCGCTCATTCGCTTCTTGCAGATGCATCTGGGATCTGGAGACGGGCAAGAAGACCTCAGACTTCGAGGCTCACGCTGGTGACGTGGTTTCCATCTCGATGTCGCCGGACGGGAAGCAGTACGTGACGGGATCCGTGGACAAGACGTGCAAATTGTGGGATGTGCGCGAGCAGAAGCCCAGGCAGACGTTCTTCGGCCATCAGGCGGATGTGAACAGCGTCTGCTTCCATCCTAGTGGACAGGCCTTCGCTACGGCGTCCGAGGACAAGACGGCCAGGCTCTTTGACATCCGATCCGATCAGCAAGTGTGCCAGTTCGAGCCGCCCAACAAGACCAGCGGCTTCACGTCCTGCGCCGTGTCGCTGAGCGGAAGATATGTTCTGTGCGGCAGTGACGACAACAATGTGCACTACTGGGACAGCCTGAAGGGAAGCCACCTGGGAACGCTTCCTGGCCATGAGAATCGCATCACGTCAATTTCTCTGGCGCCAAACGGAATGGCTTTGGCCTCGTGCAGCTGGGACAACAACGTGAGGATCTGGGTGTAAAAGAGAAGAGAAGAATTCATACATTTTCCCACTTATCCTCGGATTTATCGCTGTTCTTTCTATGCCAATGGCATTTGGCAATTAATAATAATTTTAGCAAAGTGATTTTGTGGATTTTGTCAAATGAAAGACATGAATTAACCGTTTTATTAAGAAATACACACTCGTTATAATAATAGAGTTCCTTAAAAATGAAGGAAAAGCCTAACTCTCACACCCTTTTCATCATTTATTGATCTTCGTGAGGGACTTTTTGAGTCGCTGCAGTGCGAACTTGGCCGCCCAGGCCATCGTCTGCTCTTGCGATCCCTCGGGCTCGATGGCGAGGATCGCCTCGCTGTCTTTCAATAAGTGGTACACCTCCATGAGCCTCTTGCGCAGCTCCTCGGCGTTGATCTCCTTCGCCTCGTACTGCCTGGTGGCCTGGATCATAATGGGCGCGTGCAACTCGTACATGATCACGCCGCGGAGGCGCGACATACCGGGCTCCAGGTGGTCGACGACGCGCAGCACGTCGCGGCAGTAGGTTTCCTTGGTCTGGAGGTCCTTGGCCGTGAGATCGCGAATGAGATAGCCCTCGAACTTGCCGTACAGCTGGCAGAGCGAGTACTTGGCTGAGATGCTGAGATAGTGATTGGGATGCAGGACGTTGCGGTACTTATCGAGGAACTCCTCGAGGTTCTCGATGCTGTTAACATCCAAGGATTCGAGCTCGTCGAATATTCGATCCACCAGAATGTTCATCGCCTTGGCGCTCACAATGTATCCACATTCTCGACACCTAGGAAAATTGGGAAATAGCAGTAATTAATATAGATCAAATGTGTGTGGCAAATGTGAACCCGCCCGGGATGTAGTTTGAATTAACTAAACTCACTTCCAATCGGCTGTCTGGACGAGAGGCTCCGTGGCCAGGATGGCGCCGCGGGTGCACTTGGGGCAGGTGAGGGCACTGGAGAAGGTGCCGAACTCAGTGGGATCTGTGCATCTCTCGCAGCAGCACCAGAAGAACTTGCCCTCCTGCAGGTGCTCGCGCCTCTTCAGCGTGCCCTGCAGCGTGTAGGCGTAGGTCAGCGTGATGGCCTCGCCCTTCGCGATGGGCGTCGTGGCGCGGATGTGCAGCTCGTGCGTGACCGGGTGATCGGTGTGTGTGGTGTTGGGGCGGCAGTCGTGCGCCAGCAGGAAAGCGGACGGGTACAAGGCTCTGGCGCGCGACTCATTGTGCCCCACTTCGAAGCAATTCACCTCGATGACGCCGCACACGGTGTGGATTTCCTCCTCGGAGAAGTCCTTGAGGCCCCAGTTGTTTCGCAATCGGTTCACTATCACCTCCTGGTTCCTGTTCCACAGCGCCGGCAATTTCCTGCGCACGCCGTTGTGACTTTCCATATCCATGAGGATGGACCAGCGCTTGGGGTCGGCGTCGCGCAGGATGAGGCACCGCAGCGGCAGGATGCACTCATAGATCTGCTTCAGCTCCGTCTGTCCGGTACTCCGCTCCAGCGCGTCAGCGATCCTGTGTTGCCTGAGGAAGGAGCACTCACTGCTGCTGTGTCCAAACTTCTGGCGATATCCTGGGCACTTGGCCGAGCACAGCGGCCAGCCGCAGCCCAGGCACTTGGGCGTGCGCGTGGGCAGCGGCAGGTAGCATCCCAGACACACCAATCCTCCGTCCGTGGCCGGGCCGATGATCAGCGTCTGGTCCTGAATGATGATGTCGCCTGGCTTCAGGTCTCTGGCCGCCACCAGGAAGCGCCCCATTGTGGCGGAAAACGCCACGCTGTACGGTAAGTTGGCGTTGTTGTTCTTCTTGTCGGAATCACTGGAACTCTCCCAGGAGCCAATGGAAGAGATCTCAGTGCCAGAGTCGCCAGAAGTGCTGGCATTGTTGTTCTTGTCGTGATGATGATGCTTGTGGTGTTTCTGCAATTATCAACGAAAAAAATACATCAAAATTCCATTCTGGAGCCCAAAAGAACCTCACAAGATTGCTTCACTCCCAGTGATCGCCCATAAATTCATCCAAGGCATCTCAATTAACTCAAAAGTCTATAAATATCGCGGTAGAGATATCCAACTGAAATTAACTTTTATCGCTCCCTGCAATTGAGAATTGCTCGTGCGGCCAAAAATTAATTGACTCCAAATGCACTTCATTAATTTTTAATTGATACGCGGCCGGAAAAAGATCAATCTTTCACCCCTTCCCAGAGAATCGTGAGATGTTTCACGATGAAAAGTGCACAGATGGGGACCATTCCCTGGGGCTTTGGGGCGCTATTTTCGTCCATTCCAGATGGTGCTCATCAGATGAGAAAAAGTGCGCGAAAATTAGTCGGCACTCTGTATTTATTTTGACGATAATAAAGCATCGCGCGTCCGGAAAAAATGAGGCACGCTCGCGGGAAAATGTTTGAATTGATTCTCGCGAAGAGTGATTGGCATTCTGTTAAACCCGAAAAGCACGCGCTCTCTCACTCTCTCTCTGCATTCCGTTGGAGAAATTTATTGGACCATCGAATGGCTGAAGTGCACTTTTATCATTCTGTGCATAAAAATGGAATATTGAAGGATTTATTGGCACGTTTCCACGCTCAAATTGGCTTCAATGTGTCGTAGAAAATAAAGGAAAAACCCAAAATGATAATTGATTGATTGACACTCTGACAAAAGTCTTGAAAGCACTGTGATGTTTCGCGATCTCAGACTCCCTGGCCGGTTGAGGAATTTCGCATGGGAATGCTTGAGTGTGCGAAAGTGTGACACGGCCTTAACCCTCACCCTCAAACCAAGGGCCAAGAGCGCCATTCTTCAGCCGAACAGCCACAAAGCAGGCTAAAATTAACAGAAGCGCGAGGAAAATGAGAGGAAAACCATCAGCTGTGGACTGATCAGACACTAACAGGTGTTGAGTGCGTAGTCTTTCGTCACTGAAACTCACGCACGCCGGCCAGAGTGACGCAACTTTGGCCAGGATTGGAGAACCGTTTGTTCTCTTCACGAATTTTCCAATTTAATGGATACAATAAAACGGATAATAAAAATATCCTTGATGCGCCGCCCACTTAATTGCTCCACCCACTCGTAAGTAAATGTATAATTATGAGGGCTTATTTGATGGCATAAATTCATCTTCAATTTGCATTGAAATGCATTTTAAGATTTTCTCTATCTTTTGGACTCCTTTTTTCATATCCATATCACATGTCAATACTGATGAGGTTTATTTTTAGGTACAAAATTATTTTCGAAAAATGATTAAGTGTGACTTAATGAGTCATGTGTGTTGTGACAGGACAAAAGTAGTCTCTTTGCACAACGTTTTAGCCATTTATGTTCCCTTTACAGGTCATTTCACCAGAAATAACTCGAAAAATAGAAGCAATAAACATTCCTAAAATTTCCCAGTAAGCAAAATATGAAATAAATTTTCCGGAAATCATGGCAAAACTGTGAATTTTCCCTGTCACAAGCGCGCTCAACCTTGTGCACAATATAATCCTCTATTATTAGTCCTCGACTGCAGTTTACTATTATTTGCCAAAAACCGCCGCTTTGGCTTTGGCTACTCAAGAATTTTTAGTGTGTGTGAGTGTGTGTTTTGTGGTTTTTAGCCACAATATCGCATGCAATTAATGACCGAATGTTGTTGTTTTCACCACAAATTGTGCCTTCAAGCCTCCAATTGGCCGATCTGTCCACGGGACATAACTCTGTGTTTATTGTCTGTCCCCAAAGAGGCGATATCTATGAAAGTGGGTCATAATTTGGCGCGCTCACGCGTGTTTGTGTGTTTTGGCGCGAAAGAGCTTTTATTGAGAGGCTCAACAAGTTGGGAAGTTCCAACTATTTGTCACTAAATCAATTCTCCTCCACTTCGACTGTGCCTTTTCTATATGATCGCGAGACATGGTGAGTGGCGCCTATTTATAGCGGATTCACGTGTGAAAATGCTCATTGTGTGAAGTTGAATGGAAGGCAGTTGGATAAATTCGTGGGCGATGCGAGAAATCACGCTAAACACCTTTGAATTTAGAGAATATTTGATCAGAAAGATGAAGATTATTTAGTATAATTTCGTTACAATTGCTGTGCTAAAAATAGACCTTCAATCGTCAGACTTTTCCCTCACAATCAGTCAATTTATCCGAAAAGTGGCGGGAAATTGTCGGGATGCGAAGCTTCCGGTCACTAATAGCTTAAAAGCGTGAGGATCAACCGCGAGATTCCCGGGAATGATTGTGCGGATGAGATCACTGAAAAGCTCTGCTCGATTTCGCAATTTCTCCTGAAATCTGCGCATTAATTTCTTCTTCTTCGGCGAATTTCATGGGAATCTTCTTCACTTTATGTTGTTAATAATTGTCCTACATTTTTAATTAACGACACACAGCCCTTGATTATTAATATTCTAGTCACGAAAATAGCACATTTATGATCAAAGAGGATTGGAAAGTCACCTTTCGATGAGAAAATGGCACGCAATGGCGACCAAGTCGCTGCAATTAGTCGATAAATCTGTGTGCTTTTGCCGCAAAATATGAATTTATTGAGACATACTTTGAGGATGTGACAAATTATCGAGATATATTTTCCCAAAGTCATGAATTTATACGCCAAGTCGTGTGCTTTGCCTTTGGCACTGATCTCGTGATTTTGGCTGCTGTATTAATTAATTGTGAGAAAAGTGCGTTGTTTTTGTGATTGTTATGTAAATGCATACAATGTCTGGGACAAAAGTCCTCAAGGTTTTTACCTCTACCCGTGAAAAGCCAAAAACTTTTAGATGAAAATTGAGTGAAAATTAATCCCACACATTAATTAAATGTCGTGAGATTTAGCACTTCACGCGGGATTAATTCAGGTTGATTAATTTGAGAAATTGTCGTTGTGACGACTAAAACCTGCTGCTGAAGCACATTTTTCCACCCCAAATGTCGAATGTTCGTCAATTCAACACCAGAATCGCCTTTTAATTTAATGGTTGTCGGAAATATAAAATGCTTAATTGTTCAACTGCGGTCAGGCAGAAAAAAAGATGCTCTGAGAAATATCTGTGGTTTGTGTTAATGTCTTTCTGTTTGGACGATAACCAAAGTGGAATAATAAACATGTTTCACTTTCAACACTGCGACTTCGCGTCTTGAGGAATTTTATCAAAATTGTCATGCTGTCGAGGAGAATTTAAACATTGGATTTTCACCCACTCGCTGTTTAAAAAACAAGAGAAGAAGAGGTCAAGAAATTGATTTTTGCGGGTGTTTGATTTGTATTTAGATACAAGATGATTGTGGTCTTTTTATACACAATCACCGTACAATTAAAAGAAATCAGCTCATGAGACTATTTATAGCGAGTCCGGGTGAAAAAATAGATGAGAATTGGTACAAGTTTTACCGCTTTTTCCTTAGACTCTGCGTCTTGCACTTGGGCTCCTTTTCTGCTCTTTTACAGCCTAGTAAATCACACATATTGCCATCAAGCTGATGGATCAAGTCTCATTCATTGCGTTGAAATTGTTGAAATGAAGTCTTTCAGTATCCTAAGAAAATTCTTGAGACAAAAATATTATGTAAATCTATCACTGACTGCATAAACGATATTTATTTCAACTTTTGCGCCTATTTATTGTTCATCGTCAATAATGAGACAATGATTGGACACTCCAGCGACACTTCCAATGCATATTTGTTGTCATTCTTTTCTTACTTGTGTGATTAAATGAAACTCACTGCAATCTCATTTCTGAAGGCTCAAACATTTTTTTTTTATTAGGCTGCATGACCTTGAAAATTCTACAATATATGAAAAGTAACTTGTTTCTTAAATATATAACACACTAAAAGCCACAAGTTGTAGGCAAACATATTTCAAAATTAGTTGGCAATCTTCTGTTTGCTTAACAATTTTTTGAGAACACCTTTGGAACACAAAATTCTATTGTGTTTAATGAACTTCTAAGGACAGTCCTGTGTCTGTCGTGTGAAATTCCGCAGAACAAGTCCTCATGTAATGGATGGATAACAATGAAATCCCAACTCCAATGGCTATTTCTGATTCTTTCATGGGTCTCTTTTATTCCGATCGTCTGTTGACTTCTCGTGTGTAATGTTTTTCACGATTTTTCATGGGAAAAAAAGTGTGTACTGAGAAATGAGGTTATTTGCAAGATGGTCTTCTAGCTATTTATCTTCCTTCTTATCTGTAGCGATCGTGCTATAAACAATCATGATCTTTGACGTCTTTCATCGTCGTCAATTTTTATTTATTGTTCAATTGGTGAGTTTTCCTCACCTCTTGGATTTTTATGCCGCTTTTGCCATACAAAATGAGACCAAGAATTAGTCATAAAATTCTGTCACAAGCGCACATTTATTTTCTCACTTAGTGAGTAATATTTTGGGGGCGTTTTTTCCACTGAATTCTCACCAATTGCTCACCCCTCGATGGCGTCTTAATTTTTTCATCGGAACGTTTAAAATCATCATTAAATATCTCTCAGCATCGACACATGAGTTTTACGAGTACATCGCTTGACGCAAAGAGCGTTGCAAAAAGGAAATCAAGAAATAAACTCCGCAGTGAATTTGCAGGATTTTCAACGATAAAATCCTTCACGAGCGGCAATATTTATTTGTAAAATAACATAAATTCACACCTGAAAATTTTCAATTTCCATAAATTTCAAGTAATTTTGCAAAATTTACAAACAGTCTCGACGATTAGAGATAAATAATCAAGCTGTATTTCAACACAGAGACAATATAATTAATTATTTCCCTATTTTATTTAGAATGAAAAATCACCGATTTCTCCACTCGTGATTCTGCAATGAAGAACATTAAGCTTGCGAGAAGGTCGCCTTTCGCTAGACCACGTTTATTTAATTTGGCTGATGTGAGAAAAGACAAACAATAAAACTTGAGACATTTTCTTTGCATGTTGCCCATTTTTCCTCAGAGTCGACAGAAAGTGTGTTTGAAGACAACGGATTTTTGATTCTTGGCGCGCGGCGTGTGATAAAAAAATTCCACCGGAATGAAGATAGAGGACAAAGCAGCTGAACAATATAAAGTTTACAGGCCCGTAAAATGCCCGCGAGAATTCCTTTTGGTCACTTGATAAATCGCGAGGGTGCAAAAAATTATAAATAGCTTGGAAGTGTGCTAAACAAATGTTAAGATATCTCTTGATCTCATCCATGCGAACACGTGGATTTCGAAGGCAATTATCAAAAAATTTTTCACAGTTTATTGTAGCGAAATCATGTGTACAATTCTCACTTTATTCGCATTCACATGAAAAATCTCTATACTCTCAATTTCTATCTAACCTTCTTCTTCTGTCCTTGATTCTGAGGCATTTCTTTGGCTGTGTGCAATTTCTTTGTTCTTAATCCAGGTAAATTGTCCGAAATATTGGCATTCGATCACACAAAAAGTCACTTAAGAGATCTTCACGTGAAACTAGACAATTTTCCGCCTAAGCGTCTTCCTTAGTTGACGGTTGGGAATAAACTGAAAGACTGACGACTGAAGCTCAATGAAAATTCACACAAGAAAAGTCTTCATCGAGCATTTTCTACACTGTTAAAAATGGAAATGTTAAATATTCTTATTCAAAAAGTGTCCTATGGTTTTGTTGTAAAACATAAAGAAGGACAAGTGTATTAAATAAGGTATTTTCCAGAAATTCTCTGAAATATCTTGTGAACTGTCCAATGAATATCTCATGATATTCACACGACATTCAGAGTATTTCTATATTAAGACCTTTTCCATTCCTACAGGTTTCAAATTTGCAGAAATATTTATGATTATAAATTTCAACAACTCAAAGACATCCTCGTAAATTTCTCCTGATTCACACAGCTTTTCATCACAACCACTCTTCATCACATTGAACAGTGTAGCAATTATTTCGTGCGAAGTGGAGAGAAATTTCTCATATTTTCCCATGATAATCGCTTTGCTGAGCGATTTCAATGATGCGAGAGCGCCTCGCCAAAAAAATTATGAATGTAGAACTTTGCACGCACTCTTTTTTATCACCCAGAAATGTTTAGACTTTCTCCAGCATTATGATAAAATCTGCATCTTTACGATTCTAAGTATCGCAAGTGGGTTTATTTTTAACCGCGCGGCACCTCAATTTTCCCGCTCAGCATCACAAATTATTTTATCTTTGTTTATCCACATGATCAGCAGTTCTGAGAGAGTGTGAAATTGTCCAGAAAAAGCCAACACTTGGGCCGTTCATTGAGGAGCTGAGATCGCTTTTTGGGGGGTTGGAAGAGGCGCCTTATAAATCACTCAAGCCACTGAACTCATGATCATGAGCCATAAATTGTGGGCTGTTTTCATGTTTATACAAATAAAATCGAATTTCCCACAGCCGAGTGACAATGAGTCAATTTGTGGGCTTCCGGATGTAGCAATAGTGTGAATAGTGACTTTCCCGCCAGAATTAACTTGAGGTGTGATGAAATAAGAGAAAGAATAAATTCGTCTCTCGGTCGCTTTGTGTATATTTTCACCCATTTGATCGTCTCATTACTTGTCGAAGGAAATGCCCAATAAATTGAATTTATTGCTTTTGATTTTTCACACTAGCCAAGAGGCAGATTTCCTCTTCTGGCTTTCCCACCCAAAAAGCCCAAAGGTGGACTTTGCCTAGAGTGTGGCAGAACTCTAGGCTAGAGCAAAGGTTTTCTCTCAATGAATACACAATGCGCGGCTGCACTTCTGTGTACGCGGTTAATAATAGGCGAGAGACACGCGAATAAAAGGGTCCCTGGCGTGCAACGAAGGGGAAAGTCATTTAGAAACTGTAAACGTCTTTTGTGGTTTATTTGGGATTCCTCAAGGGGGAGATAATTTGACTGAAATCTCTACAACAATTAATATTCTACTGAAGGCTTAAATCTCTCTCTTTATAAAACTTTTTGCTCTCAAAACTGTTCTTCTTAACACGAAGAACTCTTAATGATTCTTCTTATTCTAAGAAGTTTCCATTGGGCCCAAAACATTACATTTCCTTTATAAATAAGTATAAAGAATAAGCAGAAAATATTGGCCTTGATGTTGGTTAATTTTATCCAAAATTTGACACTCAATTTCTGGGAAAACGGGGAAAATGCATTGATTTTTACTGGTTTCTCCAAAAAATAATATCTAGGAGAATTTCTTACGCAGTGAAGAGACTTTCCCAAGTCTTCATTGTGTTTTCAAACAGTTCCTCCGCTTCTGGAGATCAGAGCACATCCGCTAATCGTGATATCTCCCCCTTGAGATTCCTCATTCTGGCTCATTGGCCGATGAGGAGCCTCCAAATTTAACCTGCACAAATTGCACGATAGAATCTAATTTGCGTCCAAGCATTCAGCGGACTGATTGATCGCCAAGGGGCCCAACACACAGCCAGAAGATGGCCAGGATGTATTTTTGAAGCACTGTCCACAAGTCAATGTTTCTGCTATTTTTATCGCTTTTATTAATATATTTTTGAAAGTATATTAGTTCCACCTGACATCCAGATATGCTTAAATCATTTTAAAATGATGGCAAAACCGGGGGACATTTACATTTTCATCTCTCATCTTCGCTCGAATCGGCGCTTCGCCCCTCGGCGTCTTTTCTGCGAGGTGTGCGAATGATCGAGGAAGAGCCAGATCTCGAGGAGTGACGATCAGTTCATCCTCGGCGATTCATTGAAGATCATCTCATCTTCAAAGACGCGCGAGCGCGCGTGTCAGTTTTCCCGCTCGGCGCTAAATGCTCAACAATTGAGCACTTTATTGATCGTTAAAAGTGAGCCTTTACGATTGACTGATTGCGTGTCTATTCGCGCCTCAAATCGCTTCGGATTATTTGTGCAGATGATTAATGGTGCGCCGTGTGTCCGAGTGACCGAAAATACCGTTCGCGCCTAATTTTAGCAGGATATCTGGCCAGGGCGCGCAATGGAGGGATCTTGCGGCCTGTGCGGCGCGCCGTGCGAGAAGAAGTGCGCCAACTGCCGCGGCGTCTTTTACTGCAGCGTGAAGCACCAGCGCGAGCACTGGAGGAGCCACAAGAAGTCCTGCCCGGCCTTCAGCGTGTGCAGAGATGACAAGGTTGGGCGCTTCCTCGTGGCCAGTCGGAATCTCAAGTTTGGCGATGTGATCCTGAAAGAGGCGCCGCTCGTCACTGGTCCGTCGCAATTCACGGCGCCTGTTTGTCTGGGGTGTCTTCAAGTAAGCAACGCTTCTTCTCAACACTTTATAGGCATTCGCAAATTAAATCAAGAAAATGCTTCATGAACTAATTGCGATTGCCAAGAATGTGTGCGAATGCAGAAGAATTATTTTTTTAGGGACCAAAGAGTGTATTTTCCGTAAATTTACCGTCAAATTACTCTTAATTTTTTTTCTACCATTTGTAGGAGATCCATGAGAACACCGCTACAAAGTGCTCCAGATGCGGCTGGCCAATGTGTAGCCAGGAGTGCCAGGAAGCTGAAACGCACGCGGAGGAGTGCAGAATCTCCGCCGCTCGGGGAGGCATCACAATCGAGCACTTCATCTGCCCTCATCCCATCTACCAGTGTGTCCTGACGCTGCGCTGTCTCCTCACGGAGCGCTCCTGTCCGGACAAATGGCAGCAGCTGAGCCAGCTGGAGAGTCACAGCACCAGCCGCAAGGACTCCCTGCAGTGGCTCAGCGATCGCGAGCACGTGGCCAAGTTCATCCCCAGGTTCTTCAAGGAGCAGCGCTGGACAGAGGATGAGATCCTGCGCGTTCTCGGCATCGTGTACATCAATGGTCACGAGGTGCCACTCACGGAGCCCGCGTACGTGGCGATCTATGCCACAGCGTCACTCTTCGAGCACTCCTGTTTGGCCAATGTGGCGAAGAGCTTCACGGACGCCGGCGAGATTGTCTTCTGGGCCGCCCAGGACATTCGCAAGGGGGATCGGCTCAGCATCTGCTACACGGACGCTCTGTGGGGCACGCAGCAGCGCCAGGAACATCTTAGCCAGACCAAGATGTTCACCTGCAGCTGTCCAAGATGCCTGGACGTCACTGAGTTGGGCAGCAACTTCAGTGCTCTCAACTGTGAAACTCCTTGCGCAGGATTACTTCTCGCGAAGGATTCAAATTGGCACTGCCAGGTGTGTTCTAGGACTGTGCCGAAAGCCGATGTGGAGAGTCTGTTGGAGAAGGCTGCCCAGGATGCGAGTAAGATGAAGAGCAGTGTGCAAGGATGTCTGGACTTCATCAGGATGCATGAGAAGTCTTTACCGCCCAATCACTTCATCATGATTGACGTGAAGTGCGTGCTGGCGCAGAAAATCGGCGAAGGACATCCTCAGGAGCTGCAGAAGGCGCCCGATGAGTTGCTGGAGATGAAGGCGAGACTCTGCCGAGAGATTCTAGACCTGATTGCCTTGCTTGCGCCTGCAGAAAATCGCTCTCATGGCTGCATGCACTTCGAATTGCACGCCGCGCTGGCCGAGATTGCGCGCCGAGGCGTCGAGAACGGTCTCAACTGTCAGGACTTGCTGGACAAATCCCTCTGGCATGCCGAGCAGGCCGCTCGCTGGCTCTCCCAGGAGCCCTCAGTCCTCGTGGAGGGCAAAATCTGCGCCCAGGCGCGCATCAACGTGGACACATTGAGAGTAGTGCTGCAGAATGGCTTAACAAAGTGATTCGTCGTCTGTATTTCTCCTCAGTAAATATTACATAAAAATGCACTCTTGCGAATATATTAGTTGTAGAATCGAGGATTCGGGAAGTGGGAAATAAATATTTGGGGTGTCAGCCAGTCGCGTTACAAGTCCACTTCAGAGTTGGTCTTTGGCTCCATGTCAGCGTCATCGCGCAGGTCTCACGAGTAGATGGTCATGAGGATCATCTCTTCCAGGGTCAACGGGTTGGCCTTCGCCTTCGTGTCTAGGCTGTGGTAGCGCTCTGAGGGCAGAAGGAGAGTCAGAAAAGCACATTATACCACCAACTGGTAAGCTTCTCACCGTGCGCCAGGTGCAGACGTGCCATGGACATCAGGTAGCCTTCGAGGGTCATTTGCCGGTTGCGGCAGAAGCGCCCCACAAGCGCCTCCAGCACTTTGTTGCTGGCCGTGGCGCCGCTGGCCCACAGCAGCCCGCGCAGGCTGTACGAGGACACGCGCGAGCCCCACGTGCCGCGGCTAAAGGACAGCGCCCCGCCGCTCGAGGGGCCGCAGCGCCGGAACGCGGCCTTCCAGAAGCGCAGCAGTCCCACCAGCGCCGGCACGTGCTCAATGGACAGGCGGCCGCCCAGTGCGGGGTCGCGCAGCGCCAGCAGCGCTCTGCAGAGGTCCAGCGAAGGACCGCCCAGAGGCGAGAGGCCGCGAAGCGTGCGGCCGAAGGAGCAGCCCTGCGTCCTGAGGATGGCCTGCAGCTGGCCAGCGTCGATCTCGGGCGGATAGCGCGTGCGCAGCCGGTAGAGGAGTCGCTGGAATAGACAACGAATATGAACAATTAATGAAAACCATAACATGAGTTTGAGAAGTGTTCAGATCCCCAAAACACTCACGCAATCGGCACTCCTCTCCTCCACAAGTTCCGCCGCGATGTTCTGTATCACCACGTTGTCCTCGTTCACTTCCCACACATCCGCGTGCTGGTCGGCCAGGATGCGCACCAGGAACTTCCCCTCGCGATGCTGTGCGCTGTGCGGCAGCACGACGAAATCCCCGGGCGGCAGCGCGAAGAACGTGGCGACTTCGCGCGTATTCTGCATGGGTGCGAAGTCCAGCGGCATCTGCTCGCTCACGAACTGAGGCGTGACACGCGGCATGCCCGGCGGCACTTCGTAGATGGTGAAGCCAATCTCCGCCTCCTCGTCCTGCCGACTCCTGAAACACTCGTACTTCTGCGCCACGGCCACGACCACGTGCGCCTTGGCCGCCGCTCCTGGCACTCTGATCCTGAACTGTGGATTAGTGGCCGTGGTCTCGGTGTGCCTGTGCGGCCCGCCGGCATTGAAGCCCGGCCGCCATTGACGCAGCGCCATGGCGGCGCGCCACGGCGATCTGGAGTGCAGAGCCGGCTCCAGCGCCCAGTCATCAGGCGAGATGTGCGCCAGCCAGATGACTGAGAAGCGCTGTAGGAACTCTGGAACGGCCATCCTGTGTGCATAGCAAAAAGAAACAGGAAAAGCCGTCAAAATACAGTTCACGAGCAAAAAATTCCCACGAAAGCTGACCTTTCCGCCAGCATAAACTCCCCTCCCTCGCTTTTATGCAATGCGCCAAGCCACAGTGAGATTTTATTGGAGTGCTTCTGGCCAGATTGCCTTGTACTTGAAATCTTTCCCTGTCGGTGGGCTTTTTTGCCGCGCGAAAAAACGCACGCGAGCACGCAAAAGCACTGATGAGAAGCGGGGTAATAAATTGAGGTGGAAATTTAAGTTATACTCATGTTGACGCATTTCAGTGCAGAAATATCGTCGAATGCGCTTCACGCCATAGAGATAAGACCAAACCAGTTCCTTATCAAGTCCCGCTCGGGCACCAAAATTTAATCTATTTGCCTCCTGTGTAATTTCTACTTTCTTCACTCTTAACCAGACAGTCCAACAATCCACATCGCGATTTGTGCCAACTATTGAATTATTAAATTTACAAAACCGCAACATTTGCCCTCTGAAGTGTGAAAAATTTTCAATATAATTAGTTTAAGTGAAGTGCAAGAGTCTCTTTTTTTCACCTCCGCCGCTCATCATTTCATCTCCGCCGTCAGCCAAGCTGTGCCACCAGAGGGGGAGAAAAATTTTTGCCCTCCGAGCCACATAGGCTAATAAGTGACTAATTGCAGGTTGGTGCCCATCCATTTTGGTCCTTCGAGCCGGATAGGCTAATAAGTGACTAATTGCAGGTTGGTGCCCATCCATTTTGGCCCTTCGAGGCAACGCCGTCCAAGTTGCGAAGGCGTCCACCAGCTTTTGCGGTGACCAAGTGCAGTCCACGCCGCCATTCAGCTCTGCCGTATCAATCTTCACACGCCAAGTAAGTTGTAACAGTGTAGAGTGAAAATTTGTGCAATTCCCATCTTTTTTCCTTTCGCTCTCACACTGATTAATTATGACTCTCCTGAGCAAAAGAGCGACACTTAAGGGTCACCTGACTCGCATTGAAAATTATGTTGATTCCGTTCGCAAGGATGAGGCTTCCTTTTCGGCTACAGATATTGCCTCCAACATAACTAAACTTGATGACCTTAAAGCTCAACTCACAATGGTTCATGAAGAGCTAGTGAATACGGGAAATAATTCGGTGACTGAATATGAGGAGCACTCGAGAATCATGGAGCGAATTAGTCAGTTGAGGAGAATTTTGGGTGATGCTTTGGACCGGAAGGATGATAATGATGATCCTTTGCCCATCCCTGGCCCTTCTGGCTCTAATCATCAGCCATCAGCTCAAATTTCTGGTGATTCGTCAATTGCTAATTTAGAAAAAGCTCTTGCCATGCTCATTACCCATCAAGCACAAGCAGAGGTGCGCAATCAGAACTTTTTCGATAGGCTGACCAATGTAGTGGCCCACAGTCCACGGCCAGAATCACACGACGTCAGAAATCAATCCCATTTGAAGCTCCCCGTGTTAACGGTCCCAGAATTTTCCGGTGATTACACTGTCTGGCATCACTTTAAAGACATGTTCACCAGCATTGTTCATCTTAACCCTCGCCTCACTGATGTGCAACGTATGCAATATTTGGTCTCCTCAGTCAAGGGAAATGCGAAGAAGTTGATTGATAGTTTGGCCATCACAGATGCCAATTATTCTGTTGCGTGGGACACATTAGTGGGACAATATGACGATCAGCAGTCTGTTGTTCATCATCACATTGCGCGCTTTTGCACGATGCCAGCACTTTCCACTCCCTCAGTTGATGCTCTTACGGATCTTTTTGCCACCGCCAATTCAGTTTTAAATTCCCTCGACGCACTTGATGTCAAGGAAAGAGATCCGTGGGTCATTTATTTGCTTTTGGAGAAGCTCGACCATGAAACCCAAGTTCTGTGGTCTCGCGAGGTTAAGAGTCAATCACCAACGATGGTCCAATTCTTGCAGTTTCTGAGAGAGAGACTAAAGTCCATCGCACAGTACAATTCTTACCCGGCCAAATCCTCATCTCAGGCCACCAAGTCCACTCCAGCTGGCCCAACCAGCAATAAGAATCTCAAGCCACAAAAAGCCACAGTTCTCTCTGCCACTGCACAATCTCCTTGTCCTGGATGCAAAAAAGAAGGCCACAAGTTGTTCAAGTGTCACAAGTTCATTGCCATGCCCTCCATAGAACGTCTGGAACTTGTCAGGAACAACAAACTGTGCCGAAAATGTATCACCGAGACACATTTGACGAAGGATTGTACCTTTTTCACTTGCCGGAAATGCTCCAAACACCACAACACACTTTTGCACGAAGCCTTTCAGTCTGAGTCATCACAATCCACTCCTGCTCAGCAGCAGACCCAATCGAATGATAGGCCCACAGACACTTCACAGTCTGACTCCACAGCCATTGTCGGCTCCTCCACTGCCTCTCGCCCTGCTGTGAAGGTATTTCTAGAGACGGTTGTGGTACGAGTCTTGGATAAGTTCGGTGTTCCGCAGCTGTGCAGAGCTTTGCTGGATTCCGGAGCTCAAGTCAATCTGATTTCACAGCCCCTATTCCAAAGACTTCGGCTGCCCAAATCTCTGTCCGATGTGTACATTGGGAGGGTGGTTGGAGGTGGAGCCAAGTCCAAATTCCAGGCTGAATGTTGTGTGCAGGCAGTTGACAATCAAGATGTCCATTTTTCGATGACATGCCAAATTGTTCCCGCAGTGTTGGAACAAAAGTTGCCTAATTGGAAGGTACAGGTGGATCAGATCGCCATTCCCTCAGAGATCTCCCTGGCCGACCCAACATGGCATGTGTCTCAGCCCATTGATTTGCTGATAAGCAACGAATTCTATAACGAGATATTCACCAGACAGATAATGAGATTGGGCAAAGGCTTGCCAATTCTCAAAGAAAGTTGCTTTGGGTGGGTTGTTTCTGGCGCCCATGCTAGCTCGTCACAGACGCGACAATCAGACCAGGTCGCGTATGTTGGGACGACGCTGGCCTCCATCGACTCATCGGTCCGGAAGTTTTGGGAAATAGAAGAAGTTTCCACTGCCCATCCTAAAACACTTGATCATGAGATCGTGGAGAACTGCTTCCAAGAGTCCACTGTCCGCGATGACACTGGAAGATATGTTGTGAAGATCCCCTTTCGCCCCAGTTTAGTGCGTCTTCATAACAATTTGCCAAATGCCACCAGACAATTTCTCAGTCTCGAGCGTCGTTTGTCCGCCAACCCAGAGATAAAAAGCCAATATCACGCTGCGATGCAGGAGAATTTCGACTTGCGATTCTTTGAGGAGGTTCCCCCAGATGAGATCACTTCCACTTCTTACTACATGCCTCATCACGCTGTTGCTAAGAAGTCCTCCTCAGGAGTTAAAGTTCGCATCGTCATGAATGCCAGTTCAAAATCCCAAACAGGCCTCAGCCTGAATGATGTTGCCATGGTGGGCCCGACAGTTCAGCCCGACATCGTCGCAATTCTCCTCAGATTCCGAGAACACCCCTTTGCATTCTGTTGTGATATCCAGAAGATGTATCCTCAGGTGCTAATTCATCCCTCCCACAAAGACTACCATCGCATTGTGTGGCGCTTCCGAGATTCGGAACCCATTCGTCATTATAGGGCGAGAGGAGTTTGCTTCGGCGTAAGTTCATCGCCTTATCTCGCGACAAGAGTCCTCATCGATCTGGCGGATAGAGAAGAGGTAAAATTTCCACTCGCTGCTAAGGCACTGAAGGAGAATTTTTATGTGGACGATTGTCTCGCATCATGCCCATCCATTTCCGATGCACTTGAAACTCAACGGCAGTTGAAAGAATTGTTGAGTTCCGCTGGCATGACGCTCGCCAAATGGTGTGTCAGCAGTCCAGAAATCACAGAGGAAGTAGAGCCCTCACAGGTGCGCAGCATCTTTCCTGAACAATCCAAGGCTCTAGGCATGCTTTGGCACCCTCAGGATGATGTTTTCGTCTTCCAGCTCACTCGAGATTTCATTGACGTCAATTCAAAGCGAGAAGTCCTCGCGGCAATTGCGTCACTTTATGATCCTCTTGGTTTCGTCTCTCCAGTGATTGTTATCGGAAAATTGATCATGCAGGCCCTTTGGAAAGAGGAAAAGTTGGATTGGGATGATCCGCTTCCGGAACATATCAGTTCCCAATGGAAACAATTAGCCGAAGGTCTTCCAACCCTTCAGGAGATCAAAGTTCAGCGCCCAATGTCGACTTTGACGTCTCCCAAGTCCACCGAGTTGCATGTCTTCTGCGACAGCAGCTCAGTTGCATACGGTGCCGTGGCTTATGTGGTCACAGAGGATGATATCCATGGTCGCCAGTCTCAGATTCTGATGGCAAAGTCGCGCAGTGCTCCCACATCGTCGATCACCATCCCCAAATTGGAATTGTGTGCCGCAGCTCTAGGCTCTCAGTTGGCCCACAAGATCAGAAATGCTCTCTCAGTCACGGAATATTTCTTGTGGACAGACTCGACGATTGTTTTGGGGCAAATTAGATCAAACCGCATTAAATTTGACGTTTTCACCGCGCATAGAATCGCTGAGATTCTCAGACTGACGGACGTTTCGAAATGGCAGCACGTACCGGGAGCCTCAAATCCTGCGGACGTTGTATCGCGTGGTATGTTGCCCACAGAATTGAAAGGTTCATCTATATGGTGGACGGGCCCAGAGTTTTTGTTGGGTAAGGCCGAAAACTGGCCTCAAGACCCGTATAGTGTCACGCTCATTGCTTCGTCGACTGCCATTATCAATCAGGTCCCAGAAAGTCACATCCTTGATACCATCCTTGAAAGATCCAGCAGTTATCTGCGGATACAAAGAATCCTAGCATACGTGCTAAGAGTCCTGACAGGTTCGCCTAGTCGCATTAGAGGTCCCATTACATCCCAAGAACTCCTAAAATCAGAGCACAAATTAGTATCTTTTGCACAAGCTCAACACTTGGCAGAAGTGAGATCAGCCATTGCCGATGGCACCATGTGGACCAGCAGGAGGTTCGCCCATGTGCGCCACTTGACTCCCTTCATTGATGGAGAGGGAATCATCAGAGTGGGTGGCCGACTGGCTCAATCGCCTGCAAACTACGATGCCCGCCATCCAATTCTTTTGCCCAAGTGTCGCCTCGCCACGATTATCGCCACCCACACACACAAGAACAACATGCACGCGGGACCACAACTGCTTCTGGCCACTCTGCGTCAGAAATATTGGCCGCTGGGAGGAAGAAATCTGACCAGAAACGTCGCTCGCTCATGGGTTGTGTGCTGGAAAACCAAGCCGATCCGACAGGAGCAGAGAATGGGAGATCTTCCCACGAGTAGGACAGATCACGTGGCTCCATTCAAAGTGTGTGGCATCGATTTCTGCGGCCCAGTCCTCACGCGTCCTAGCTACAAGAGAGGAGGTACATCATATAAGACGTACATTTGCGCCTTTGTCTGCTTCACGACGAAAGCCATTCACCTGGAAGTTGTCGGCAGTCTCTCATCCGAGGGCTTCGTCGCTGCGCTGCGGAGATTCGCGGCCAGGAGAGCTGCTCCAAGCGACATCTTCTGCGATAATGCCACCAATTTTCGCGGAGCCAGCGCAGAGTTGGCAAAGTTCCTGCGAGACATCCAGTCATCGCCAGACGTTGTTTTAGAGGCAGCTCCCAAGGGCATCAATTGGCACTTCGCGCCACCAAGATCTCCTCATCATGGCGGACTTTATGAGGCGGCGATCAAGTCCCTCAAACATCACTTAGCCAGAGAAGTTGGACAGACTATTCTCACATTTGAGGAGTTGAACACCATCGTAGCACAGATCGAAGCCATCCTCAATAGCAGACCAATCACGCCACTCTCCGAGGATCCAAATGAGATGTTCGCATTGACTCCTGGTCACTTTTTAGTGGGACGCCCACTGAACGCGCTCCCGGATCAGACGCTCACAGATGTTGCGCCAAATCGCCTCTCCAGATGGCAACTTTGCCAGAAGATTCTGCAGCACTTCGCCCATCGTTGGAGGAAAGAATATCTCCATCTTCTCCAGAAGAGAGTCAAATGGACGCAGGACGCGGACAATTTGAAGATTGGCGATATCGTTCTCATCGGCGACGATTCAATGGCCACACATCAATGGCCAATGGGCATCATCGAGGAGCTTCATCCGGGCAGAGATGGACGATGCAGAGTCGTCACGATCAGGACAGCAAGGGGTAAATACAAAAGGGCAGTTCAGAGGCTGTCCAAATTGCCCATCGAGGGACTCCCGCCCTCATCATCGGCCCCCCCAGGATGTTGACGCATTTCAGTGCAGAAATATCGTCGAATGCGCTTCACGCCATAGAGATAAGACCAAACCAGTTCCTTATCAAGTCCCGCTCGGGCACCAAAATTTAATCTATTTGCCTCCTGTGTAATTTATACTTTCTTCACTCTTAACCAGACAGTCCAACAATCCACATCGCGATTTGTGCCAACTATTGAATTATTAAATTTACAAAAACGCAACATTTGCCCTCTGAAGTGTGAAAAATTTTCAATATAATTAGTTTAAGTGAAGTGCAAGAGTCTCTTTTTTTCACCTCCGCCGCTCATCATTTCATCTCCGCCGTCAGCCAAGCTGTGCCACCAGAGGGGGAGAAAAATTTTTGCCCTCCGAGCCACATAGGCTAATAAGTGACTAATTGCAGGTTGGTGCCCATCCAACTCAAATTACTGTTATCGGATTTTTTAGAGAATGAATTTGATGTAAAATTTAAGGAAAAACATCCCAGAAAAATACAATTTTCTACACTTCTCAAAGTGTAATCAATTCTCGCGTCGAAAAGGCATTCAGAAGTTCACGTTTCCAAGGCTCACAGCAATCTGATCATCTCATCCCAAGTCATTTACTCACTGACCGCCTGAGAGTCTCAATCGCAGTCAGAATGCTTGAGTTGTGTGATAAAGTGATAAAGATCCTCTTGTGCGTGCTTCTGACCACTTGGTCGCCCTGCTCGCGCGCTTCCTCCACTTCCGCCTTCCTGGATTTCGAGACGCTGCAGATGCTGAGTCAGCTGATCGTAAATCTCACTGCGAACGACGCGAATGTGCCCAACATCGATCTGGACACCATGTTTGGAGTCCGCTTTCCAAGACGAAAGCTCCAGGAAGCGTACGATTACGTGATCATAGGCGGAGGACCGGCAGGATGTGTCCTGGCAAACCGCTTGACGGCCGACGGGAGATTCTCGGTGCTTCTGCTCGAGGCTGGTCGACCAGAGATTCCCTTCACGTCGGATGTGCCCATGGGAGCGCCCAATCTGCAATCAACGCTGTTCAACTTTGGCTACACGACGGAAGCGCAGGAGAACGCTTGCTGGGGCGCCCTGGACAGGCGTTGTCGCTTCCCACACGGCAGAGTTCTGGGCGGATCGAGTGTGATCAACTACATGATCTACACGCGTGGGAATCGCCGGGATTTTGACGCCTGGCCAAAGGGATGGAGCTTCCAGGACTTATTGCCACTCTTCCTGCGCTCTGAGAACTCCACGCTCAAGGAACTCGAGGATAGTCCTCTGCACGGCCACTCTGGAGAGTTTCCCGTGGAGGACAATCCCTTCCGAACACCTCTCGCAGACGCCTTCGTCGCGGCAGCCCAGAAAGTGGGCTTCCCGCGGATTGATTACAATTCCGGCGAGCAGATCGGTGTGTCATTCCTGCAACAGAACACCAGACTCGGAAGACGAATCTCTGCGGCCAGAGCCTTCCTGGAACCCATTAAAAGTCGCCAGAATCTGCACATCTTCACCAGCTCACCAGCACTGAAGCTGGAAGTTACGAAGAATCGTGTACAGAGCGTCTCTGCGCTCGTGGACAGAAGAGTGACGAAGATTCGCGCCAAGAAGGAAGTCATTCTGAGTGCGGGATCATTCGAGACTCCCAAATTGCTCACTCTGTCCGGAATTGGACCGAAGGAGGACCTTCAGGAGCTGGGAATCCCTCTGGTCAAGGATCTTCCGGTGGGGAAACTCATGTACGAACATCTCTCGGTCTTTGGCCCCATCTTTACCATGGATCCAACGCACGATGGACTCATCAACTTCGACCGCATCGCCAATGGCAGGTGAGCAAATATCAGTGCTCTATTGACCCCGTCGCGAGTCTCGAGGTGATCGAGCAATAAGAATCATCAGCCAGTGAACCTTCGATTGAGTGCTGGGCTTACGTGCCCAACTCACTTTTGTGGCGTTAATGCATTAATTAAAGATTTATTATATAGATTATGGTAGGAAAAAGCTAATTTATAACGTCAATATATCATAAAATTCAACCAACCATTTGGAAAAAAAAGTTTTCGCTGCGGGAAAAGCCCAAAACTCAAACAAGTATTCCAAGGGGAACTGAACTAAGATCAATTTGATACTATATTGGACGAAAGTGATAAAAGACATATTAACTCAAGTATTAACTATTGATTATTTTAGACTGTACATGGACTACTTCTACGGCAAAGGTCCTTTGACCATCAACGGTATCGAAGCATTGCTGTATGTGAACACCAACGCTTCTACTGAAGGAGATCCTGCGCTTCCGGACATCGAGATGATGCAATCCTTCACGACAGTGGCCTTTGATTCTGGCGGCGGCACGCAAATGGGTCTGGGGCTCAATCAATCTCTGTACGAGGATGTCTTTGCGCCTCTCGAGAACCGGCGGGCGTTTCTTTTCCTCCCAATGCTGCTGCATCCCAGGAGCAAAGGCCATATGAAGATAGTCTCGAGGAATCCTTTCGCCCATCCAAAGTTCTATCCTAACTTCCTCAGCCATCCCAGAGATGTGGAAGCATTCCTGAGAGCCATCAAATTGGGCATGAAGATAGCCGAGCAGGAGGAGTTCAAGAGACTGGGCGTGAATCTGTACATGCCCAATCTCAAAGGATGCAAAGGATATGAGCAGGGCAGTGATGAATACTGGAGATGCTATGTGAAGTATCTCTCCTTTCCGCTCCATCATCAAGTGGCCACTTGTCGGATGGGCCAGGAAGGCGACAGCGTTGTTGACAGTCAATTGAGGGTGCACGGATTCAAGAATCTTCGAGTGGCTGACACTAGTATCATCCCCAAATCCCCGTCAGGGCACACAAATGCCTACAGTCTGGTGATTGGAGAAAAAGCAGCAGATCTCATTCTATCGTCTGTGTCGTCCTCGCGCAGGAAGCGATCGAGATTCGACTGGCAACAGAGTGAAGAGACTCAGGAAGTGGCGCCTGAGAAGAATCCCTTCTGGAAGCTCTTCCAAGAAGTCACAACGGAAGCTTCTAAGGCAGAAATCGTCACCACCACAACTGAGGGCAGTGATCTCAGGTTTATCCTCAAGCCAGACATTGAGGAACAGAAGAGTGGAGTGGAGAAAATCCTGGAGAGTCTCCCGTCGGCCAATGAGGACACCATCAAGAGTGTTACACTCCCCGAGGGTACGATTTATGGAAAGGGCAAAGGAAATCCCCGTGTCATCAGTGAGGCTCTAGATCAGGCAACAACGAAGCTCTTTGACGTGGAGGACGCACAACCGGACAACCAGACAGAAGTGCAACATCTAAGGCCCAGGAAAACAAAGAGATCTTGGGAGTCGGCCAATCAGCAGGACTTGTATGACTTCCGGCAAATACTTTCTGACACCTGGAAGGCCACCAATGACGGATTCTACAACATGTCTGAGTTCTTTCGCAAGTTTGTGGATCCCGGAAAGGATCGTGAGTGGTAAGAGGTGATAGACAATAAAGATGCACTCACCAGAATTCTCCCTCATTCTGCGACCTGGACGCCAGCAGATCCCTGTCTCTCTCGCTGAGGGCGTTCCACTCCCAGCTGCGCTCTGACCAGGCGCCACCCCACATGCCGCCCCACTCTCCGCCCGCCCAGGGGCTCCTCAGTCGTATCAGATTCGTGTCGTGTGTGGCGGCAGCCGCCGGAGCATCTGACGGCGTCGTCCGGATGCGCGCCAGGCCTGTGATGCAGTACGGATGTTCCGCCAGAAGGCCCGATCGCCGGTGCTTCGTACCCTTGTCGGTGTGCGTGATGGCCAGAAGAAGGGTCGATCGTGGCACAGCGCCGCCTAGCAACGGTCCGCTGGGCGGCACGCTCTGCACTACGGCGCCCGTGAGGTCCTGGATCGCCCTGCCGACGCTGCCGTACTTGAGGAAGGCATAGCCGCCATACAGCTTCGCGTACGCCTTCTCCAGCAGCGCTGCCCAGAAGATGTCCGGCTGCGAGGAGTGCATGTGAGCCGGACGATCTCCTCGTGTAGGCAGTCGATCATCCACGCGCACCTCCACCCACTTTCCCCACTGCCAGAAGCGGAATCTGCAAAGATGAATCAAAGTCAGCCAATCATTTTGTCTACATCGCGGCACTTTCCCGCTTTGAATTTTTTCCGTTTCAACACGGCAATTAATCATGTCTCTGGAGACAAAATGAGCTCCAGAGCGGCTCCACAGATAAATGGACTGTCACCAGCATCGTCTGGGAACCGCATTAGGTGGCAACATTGTCGCTTCCCTGGGCTAACAAGCCACCGAGAGATGTGTCTCGCCCGAATGCTCGACATTCCGCGCCCACGTTGGGCTTTGTTCTTGCATCGCCAAAGGGAAAAAGCACCGCTTATCATGCGCTCTTTGTACTAAGATGGGTAATTGAAGAAAAATCCGCGTTGAAAAGTGATTAATCATGATGTTAAATGAAGTAGGATTTAAAAAAAATTAGACAGAAAGAGATCCTATAGAGACACAATAGAAATACAGTTTTCTCATTGTTCTTAAAATGTGTCTTGGGTAAAAAATATGCTTGAAATTCTTTTCTCTATACCTATTCAAAAAATAGATCATACACTAACTGTGCCCAAAATGTGTCTTGACTAAAAATACTAATTGGATATTTTAGACAATTCTAATGTAATTTTAATATAAATCATGCGCATAATTGAGTACTTTGGGGCCACTGGCGCTGTCCTCGTCAATTTACAGATTGCACACACTCAAGTCAATCGGATAAAGAGCTGAGAAACAAATTGCATGGCTAAGTCGTGCCGCTGAAGAGGCCTCGAGGCGACAAAAGAGCCATCAAATGCAATTAATTGATGATGTGAGGAGTCAGTAGGTGTCGGACTGGCGAGGTCACTCTTGCGCGGGAGGAATTGGCCACAGATCTGCACAGCTTGGGTAGAGAATCATGCTGTCGAGTACACAACTCTGGCCACTCCTCGCCAGTCGCTGCATTTTGCATTTACAGCCAACATAAAATGATTAAGAGAGCTGAGCCAATTTCTCTCTTCTGTGTTTGTTTTATGGACACCGAGTTGGAGATTATGCGCAATTATAGATGAGAGAGATGCCAGAATTCCCCATCCAAGGATTCGAGATCTCTTCAGTGTCTCAATCGGACGACGCAAAGCCAGCGGGAGTTGTAAGGTGATGAGTGTGTGCATCTGATGATGGCATATAAATTTCAATTTGCAATTTTGCGCGGGAAACCGTGGCTCGATTATGCCATAAATACCTTGTTACCATCGTAAATAAGGGGCTCCTCGTAAAGTGATCCCCTTTTTGTCTTCCTCACTCCATTGTTCACAGCGCGACACACCCACGATGGCGAGAAGAAATTAATTCCTGGCTCTTCGACTCCGCCAAGCTATCGCGAGCGGTGTATTAAATTCAAATTACACCGCCGGCAATTCACGAAAAGCCACAGCCAGAACATAAAAGCCCCATGAATTGCTCATTGATTGAAGAGAGCACTTTCTTGTCACGTGTTGCACTCTCAGTCTTCCTGGCCTCTCGTGTGGTGAGAAATGAGGCGGAGTGGTGAAGAAGGGACACGATATAAGTCACAGAATTATTGTGTTTGGCAGAAGACTAGACAAAAACGACCCGCATAACAATGAAATGCTCCTCGAAACTATTGTCTTTGCCTCATAAAAGGGTCATTCATTGTTGGGAAAATGACTTGAAAAGTCCATTTAATCAAATCTATGATCTTTTTTTTTTTAATCTGGACGCTCTTTGAGAACACTTTGTCTCACTGCTGAACAGTGAAAGCAGTAAAAGTGAATCATAATTATTGTCTGTGATTGCCTTTTTTGGGGATGACAAGCCCCTGAAAGGGTGGAAATGGTCGTGACGAGGTGCCTGCAGAGCGTGACACTCACCTGAACATTCCAATGTACCCGCTCGCCACGTCGAAGCTCTGATCGGACGGGGCCACGCGCTCCAGCAGTTTCGGGAACTGTGACAAGCAGCCGATGGCCGCCAAGAGATTGGGATCTCCCGGTCCATGAGGCTCAGGAAGCTCCCGCGCCGCCAGCACACATCCACTGGGTGACAGGCGAAACTGAGGGCGAGCACACATGTCCTGCAATAGTGAAATGCACCTCAATTTGGATTCCACACTGACAGACATACACAAAAGATCGCCCTAAATGTGCAGAATTCATGTTCTTCCACGTCTCATTTGTGCTGCAGCCACTTGATGACTCTCTAAATTAACGTTGAGTCTTTCTCTCACCCTTTTTTCGCCTGCACAGCACTTGAAACAGTGTTACAAAAGAAGAGCAAATCAATTTGACAGAGCAAATTAATTGCATTCTCTCGCTTCATTACCGTTTTTGCTTCCCTTTGTGGGATTTCTTCTAGTCGAGACACTTTCTGGGAATAGTTTCAACACATTCTTCAATACTCACGTGTGGTCGCATCCAGGTGATGTTCTTCTTGCGGGAAATCGTTCGTGTCGTGAGGGGGAAGTCAATGTCCTCGTGCAGGCCATTCTGGTTGCGCGTGAGCAAACCATTAAGGGATGTTCGGCCGGACGGAAGGGTGCCATTTCCGTGATGAAACTGCTGCTCTATTGATCGCGTCCGGGAGATGGTCGATGCATGATCGAGGCCCTGAGCTGGCCAAGGTTGCCTCACCTTCGCGCCGTCTGTAAGACCGCATTTCAAATGCAAATTATATCAGTTTCCCGCGCAAAAATCAACGATAAATCTCACGATGACACACTTGGTGGTCAATGATCAGATAGTTTTTGAGGTGTGTCGCATTTCTCGTGAGGTGTGTTGCCCTCTTCTCAACAGCCTAATCAGCCTAATCACATCCGACAACACACTCCAACAGTGCTTATAAATTATATCAAAATCTACATATATTGAAAGAAAAAAATGGGAACACTTTGAAGTGTGTCCCAGCTGAAATGTGTCTTGTGAGCCATTTTTTCCCAGCAAAAGTATTAAGCATTACCATTTGCTAGTAATTGCAAACAGGCGAGCAAAGTGCTTCTTCCACCACAAGATTGTGATCTGCATAATTGATCAAGACATCAAAACATTTTGAGAATAAATGTCTGCATTTTTAACATAATCATGCGCGTGATTTTTCGAACCACTTCTCTCCTCAACTTATTCTATTCTCCTGAGAACAAGTGTTTCTTCGCGTTAGATCTCCAGCTTTTTAAATGCTTCTTTAGCACACGAAAGACACGAGAAATTCATGGACAATCGCAAGATAAGAATCTCTCTCTCTCGCTCGCTGTTCTTCTAATTATCCAACATGAAATTTCTACGAAGAGACACTCGTTTTTCCTGCAATTTCATCCACATTTTTCTTCAGTGTCGAGAAAAATGGCCTTTTCACACCACACTCTTCAACATCACAGCACACACATCTCAATTTCTTTAGTGCGGTGTGACTCGAAAAACTGATTACCGCAGAGTTCAGAGGAAAGGAAAACATTAGGGGTAAATGGGGCAGCTTCAGATTGGGGCAGCTTCAGATTTCTTAATTTTCTCAGAGATTTTTGCATGAATAAATTCCTGGTCTTCACACAATGTTTGTAGTCCTTAAGGACTACAATTGACGAAAATTTGCACAGGATTGCCTTTACTGTTTAGATAAAATAAGTGAAAATTGAAAATCACTCACAAACTAGAATTTTGCTGCCGAATTGATTGCGTGTTTTCTCCATTAAAAAAGCCACAATTCGCGTGAAACACAATCAAAGGTTATTGAGAATTAAGTAGAGATTCTAAATATGCCCGAACTTTTCCTCCTGATCACGGCCTTTTCAGTGGGTGGTGGAAAATGCACAAACACTGCACACGGGGCAGTTTCGGATCGCCACGGACTGACAACAGCGCGCTCTGACAGTCTGACGCAACATCACGGTCGAAATTTTCTTGTGGCAAATATTGAAGATTTTTCACAAAGTGCCGTTCTGTGCTGCATTGCTTCATCACGTTAAACGACTTCTTAGTGGAAAAGTGAGAAAATACACGCGAAAATCACTGATTAGAGCAGAAATTTCGAGCACATTTTGCGCGGAACTTTCGCGGCGCGTCAAGTTGCCACCACTCACGCATGGTGGCGTTGCGATACAGGAAAAATGACGGGCAACTTGCTTTTCGCTCAGACATTTTGACAGTGCGTGCAAGGGTCCAGAAAAGTCGCGAAAATATTACTTTAAAGGCGATTTTTAGGGAATTAAACAGTGTCAGTGCGTAGAATAGATATCAAAGTGATCATTTGCCCGCGATTCGACAATTCCACAATGGAATTTAAGGTAAATATCAGTGAAAATCTGAAACTGCCCCAGAGCAATCCGAAACATCCCCGTGCGGGGCAGTTTCAGATAATTTACAATATTATTTTTAATCTCCTTTAGAGGAAAAACGATCAGTTTTAATGCCCAATGAAAGGCATTTTCTGAAGCTCAATAGACGAGAGTTTATTTGAGCGTTGTGATCATTTCAATATATTCAGCCGATTTTTCAAGAAAAAATCCTAAAGTTGGAACAGCATTTTGAATCTGAAGCTGCCCCACTTACCCCTATATTCTGCGACTGAGAAATGAGATGCAAAATGACCATAAATGATGAAGAGTGTTTCGCTCCAGCGAGAACAGCTCATCTCCACCCAGTTAATTGCTCAAAACCAACAATATTTGTGCTCGATAAATTTTACATTCACTTTACTAGCACGAGGAGTCACGGAGGCGGAAGAGTGACTGGGATTTTGCAGTGTAATTCAATTAGGAGAGATTTCTGCTTTCCCACTGTTTTGGTCTGCTTCAGATGTCAGCTGATTTGCTGCATGAAGATCACCCATTGAGCCTGAATTCGACATTATCCTGATGTCTGCCAGGACGCGCCACAGATGTAGAAATTGTTGGGAGAAACACAAATTTCATAATCCAAGAGCATGGCGAGCGAAAGTAATTGCTTTGAGCAATTGAAGCCCACTCTTTGGGCCTCCATTGAGTGGCTTGACTATGAAAAATGACGATGAGCCCCATTTGGCGGCCCCACAAATGAGCCCCTCATTCGGTGTCTTCATTCACTTTTCCTCACTTCAATTAATCAGTCTCTCGCAACTGATTGACACAAATGGGTTGCGTGCAACCCGGGAGTTTTTCCCTCTTTCTCTCTCTCTCTCGAGTTGGCCAACAGGGAAAAGCGCATTTCCACGAAGGGGAAAGCCATGGCGGCTGAGATCTCATCTCTTGGAGATCCGCTCGATTTCCCATGCAGCGCTCATGCAACACTGTTGCACAATGATGAAGTTTGGCATTGTGGGGCTCTTCAGAGGTTTCATCGCCATTCAATGACTCCCCTTTCAAATGTACACCTCGTCGTTGGGTATTGTTCTTCCTTCGGCAGATGAGAACAACGAGGCATTTTGCCTCATTTTGTGTCTTGACACGCTGCATTGAAATGGCACACAAAATATTCATGCGTGGATGTCTAGGTCTCAATGGCGCGGGAAAGGCTCTTCGGCGAAGCCCCTCTTAATAAGCCTTCATTCGCTCTGGCAAGAGAGATGTGATGAATTTGAAGTTTTGATAAATCCAAATACCATTCTCTTGTAAATGCAAAAATTCACACACACACACGTACACATATATATAGAGATCGCGGAATACCTTCACTTGGGAGTTTCACAACTCTGATAGAATATCTCAACGCTACACTCTGCATAGGGAGTGTTATATTAAAAATTCTTCCAGTCTCTCAAGCGACTTCTTGGGAGAGAACCTGGAGATTTGCCTCATTGATTGGCAAAATGTTGAATAATTTCAATTTCACAGCCACACAGCCGAGAATCCCATGCGAGAGAGAGACTCGTGAAACCGTTATCGGCTAAATTACTTTCAAAATAGCCATTTATAAGACCGTCCACTTAGCACTTTGGCCATGGCCTCAGCCAGAGAAAAACGCGCCGCGCATTTTTCCCCACTTTATGGCCACCATCGCGGGTGAGCAAACTATGGAAAATGTCACGAATGCATTCCGTGCATTTGGAATTCTCACTCGTTGGGAGAAATGACAATCGTAAATATCCAATAAATGCCAATTCGAGTGAACTTGAGGGAATTTAGATGGTGCTTATCGCAATGCCAAATGCCCTCCACAGACTCTGACTCTGGCCAGAAGACATCACTGGCAGTCACAGGTGAGATTCGCGCTAGAGTTTAACACTCGAACTCCTTGAAATGAACAAAATCTATGGAGAATCCATAGATATGCTACAAAAAACCGATGCAACAAACCTATAAAGACTCGTTAAATTTATCTACTAATTATATGCGAATTTGCCCCGCTCTCACCTAATTTAATGATCTTAGATCAACGACAGTTCGCAAGACTCTCTTGTAATTCAAGCAACACTCAAGTGTTAAGTGTCCAAAGCCCAGCGAAAGGCCAAAGACGCCAAAGTCCAATGCAGAGTGTGTGAGCAACATAAATCTCCTAGTGTGAACATTCGACAGGAAATATGATATTTATGAGCTTCCGTAAATGCGATATTGGCATTAAAAGCACTCTCACGGATTCAAAATGTGAACAAACTCACAGCTTGAGGTGGACAATTTCGTGATTGCTAGCCGTTTTCCCATGACAGGAGGGCATCTGGTCTCTGTCCAAAGAACCTGATGGAATAACACCCTAATTCCGGGCCACGGTCGCACTTCAAGTCCCGTGTTGGATTTCACAAATTCAACAGTTATTGTTCTCGTTGAGTTGCTCTGCAGGCGAACAAGAAGAAAGGCATATAATTCCCTCTTGTTAACTCGATGTTTGGCCAGATAAGGCGCGATATTCATATTTTTTCCTCCACATCTTCTTCTCTGACTCTGAATGATTCCATCTCACGTGAGTAGAATTCTCGGTCTGAGATGTTGGACTGTTTTTCTTCTTTCTCCTCACATCTCTCTCTCTCTGTATTTGCGCGAATATCTGTTTGGCATTTTGTGCTAATGAGGGTCTGAGGCTGCAAGAACAATTAATCGCGCAGTGCAGGCAAGTTGCCACGACGGAATGCCCGGGAGAATGAGGTGTTTACTAGGTGCGTAACTGTTTTTTTTCTCCACTTCTTCTGCTCAACCACAGACAATCCATGGATGGTGGAATTCTTCTGATTTATTTTAATTGTTCCCTATTGGTTGCACTTCATTCCTCATGTCTTGGCAACTCTTGTTTTTTTTTTCTGCTCGCTCTTTGAGTCAATAGGACAGGCTTGCAGAGAGGCATTTTTTCCCATGACATCAATGCCAAGAACCCAGACGATCTTGCAGATTGTGTGTGACACATTTCCCGAGGAAAATATGGCCCATTTTCCACCCTCGCAGTCCCGCAAAGCGCCCTCAAAAATCCTGTGGGAACATTGAAAAATTCCTCCGTCCAACACAAATGCTAATGACTTGGCAAACAAGGTTATTGACAAAAATCACTTTTCAAACGGCGCGCGCATCTCACAAAAGGAATTGTCTTATCGGCCGACGCTCTCTTCCATTGAGACAGCGAGAATTCACTTAAATATTTCATATAGTCATAGACACAGTGAAGCCAAGGTAGGACAACTCAGTGATCCTCAAAAATAAGATGTCTTAACTTATATTGACGTTTCGTAATTTGGTGAATTTTATCAAATATGAATTTTTATTTTCAAAATTAGAAAAAACAAAAGCTCTCTTTAAAATTAATTTCTGGAAAGATTGTCAGCATGTACAAGCATCTGGTAAGTCACAAAACCTCGCACTTAGAACTCAAGTATCGGTTTCCCATTAATTGTTTGCCCTCGCAACAATTCCTATCTTTATAGTCCACTTTGCCTCTATCGTGGCTCAGTGACAAATATATCGAATATTTGCCTCAGAACAGATTTGTGAAGTCTTCAATGGGAAAAGAACATTGCTGGCCACGTCCATTCCCGTGCGCACCCGAGCTAATTAATTGCAGTTGGCAACACACAGAATTCCTGGAAGTTCAGTCACTTGACCAGAAAATGACTGGCTTGGAAACTGAGAGTTTCCATGTGGAAAAACAGCCACGCGATCCACGAATTGGCACTTAAAATACAGTGCGTTCTTCAGATGCTATATAAATGCTCGATGTAAGAACGGAAAGTTTATCATTTGAGTGATTTTTTGTGAAAAAAACATGTTCAAAGTCTTTCTGTTTGCTGTCCTTGCAGTGGCTTTTGCCTTTCTGCTCGAGGATTTCGGTGAGGAATAGTGCTTTTGGGTGTTGTGTGCAGAATAAGTGATTGTGATCTATTTTCTCATGGTATTTTAGGGTGCTTTCCAGCAGCTTCTGCCCATCCAGTAGACGTGAGCGATGTCACTAAATACAGTAAGTCTTTTTATTGAATTCATAAGAAATTTTGATGTTGATTTTCACCCTGAAATTTGCCTCATTAGCTTATATGGTAAAGGGACTTCTTGGTAAAGTTACTGGCGACGATCGAAAGTAAGTTTTTCATTATTATTTCAGTACAATCATTCAAAATCTCTTCCACTTTCTTTAGGTAATTCCTCCAACGATGCGGCGTCTGGCAAAGTGATTCACTAAATATGAATAATAAAATTCCTAGCAAAGTGATTGAGTTTTGTTTCACTGGATTTCCTCTTCGGGAAAAACCTTCTCCTCAGTGGCGATTAAACCATTGTGAAGACTAGCGAAAAAAACCTTTGCGATAAGAGTATAGAAAAACCATAAACAAACCATGGACTTTCCCGTTCTCCTACACTTCCACATCCCATGACGTCTGGCGTATTTGCACAGGAAGTGCGATGCAGATCAACAGATCAGTGTCACAAGAAATGCTTCACAATATCCTAAACAGCCCTCAGCGTCTCTACTTCACTGGTGCACGACCAATACTGTCGCTACACTTCTCTGAAAAATTCCATGGCCACCACAAGGGACTATCAGAAGTGCGATATGGAGCCCCTGGCCAGCCTTATCGCCCTGACATCCGCTCGAGCCGTCTGCAGCCTCCGAGCGTTCAGTATTGCTGGACTCTTGGCCAGGAGAATGTTACCTCTCAGTTGTGGACTCCTTGTCGTGCTACTCGCCTGCGTGTGCGATGGCCAGTCACCCTACCGCAGTCGCTTCCCCACCAGGCCGACCCTCAAGACCTGCGAGGCGCCTTACCTTAAGCACGGCTCGATTGTGCGCCGCCAAAGAGGCAGGACAGTGGAGTACATGTGTGACGCCACTTTTGAGCTGATAGGGAGCAGATTTTCAGTGTGCATGAGCGGCATTTGGGATCGTCCTGTGCCACTGTGCGCCAAGGGCGGTTGTTCAAAGCCCAAGCCAGCGAAGAACGGAATTATTGAGCCCGGAGAGGGAGTTTTCAGTGTTCTGCTCTTCTGTCTGCCCGGATTCGAAGTGACCGGAGCCAGAGAGGCTTTTTGTGACGGCAGCACTTGGGATAGACAATTGGGGAGCTGCCGAGAAACGCGAGTAGGCCCTCAGACGTCATGTGATTTTGAATCAGTCACCATTTGCGGATGGACGAATGACGACAGCCATGACGTGAACTGGATAAGATCGAGTGGGAGTCAGTGGAGACAGGGCAGACCGCCCAGATCAGGAACTACACATGATCACACAATAGGAAAGCCCTTACAAGTAGGTTTTTCATACATCATTCAAGCCACGCCTTCTTCTATGCTCCGCCCATAGATTTATTAATCTATGACTTCCCGCCTTTTCAGGGTCACTTCATGACGGTGGGAAGCCTTCGTCATGTCCGATATGGTGGAGGACGCCTACTCTCGCCTGTCTACAACTCAACCTACAGCAGAGGCTGCTTCCGCTTCTTCTACCACATGTACGGAGCCTCCGTGAGCAATCTCAGTGTCTACCAGATGCCTATAAGTCTCAGGCAGCCAGTCACCTTGCTGGAGATCAGCGGAAACAAAGGCAACATCTGGCATCGCGTCGATCTGACTCTCCAGCCTTCTTCTGAGCCCTTCCAGATCATCTTCGAAGCCTCAATGGCCGCAACCTCTACCGATGTAGCAGTGGATGATGTAGAGTTGACAATGTGTGGCAGTCAGGTGACTGAGGAAGGGACAGAGCCCACTGTTTCCACCACTGAGGAGGAGGGAGGGATCTTCTCAGTGGACTCTTGTCGAGACAGATGCTCAGAGAACGCTTCAGTGGCCATCAATGGGAGTTTGGTGAAGGATCAGGCAGATGAAGGCATTTCCCTCAAATGCGACTGTCACTCTGAATGCCTAGACTTGAACTCCTGCTGCCCAGACTACATGGAAGTGTGCCTGGCCAGTGGCAATCCCACCAGTCTCCCAGAGATCGCCACTGCGAAATTCGACCCTATTTATTGGGCCATCTTGGCAGGGAGTGTTTCAGCGATAGGGACTATCCTGGTGGGACTCTTCTACTGCCAGCGGCGCCGGAAGATCCGCCAGGCTCCCGGATGCGGAGATGTGGTGTTCGAGAGGCGACGTGACGGTCAGGAGGAGGACGATAGTGACATCAAGTGCCTAACAAGCATGGATGACGAGGAGTTGGACTTCACCTTAATGAAGGCATAATAAAGAATTCGACACAATGTGCGTGTATGTGTTGGGAAATTGATTTGCTGCACATCGATTGAGAGGCATTCCTGCCCCACTGAATGATGCGTACGACGTGCCATTCAACTATTACCGTAATATTTAATATTCCCATCTGTTTCTCTACCTTCTCACCATCTTGAGGTCTTTGTGCGCTGCGCTTTGGAAGGAGGATCACTGCTCATGATCGCGCGATCAGTGGCAATGCTGAGGAACCTGTTGTGGCGCTCTTACTATTTGTGGCTCAGCAGAAGAAGTCATAAATTGGTGATCTTCAGTGTGATCTCTCAAGTCTACCCATTGATCTTGGCGCCCTCTTTGGAATACCTAGAGACCTCTCAATGGTCAGAGAACACCTCAAAAACAGCAGTTATCTGCCCGTGATCAGTGCGAGAAACACAAAGAAGCTGGAGAGAGAAAAGGCGATTTAGCCCACGGAAGAGGATTATCTTGGATAATTTTGCTGTATTTTGCACAATTTCGCGCTGGAAAAGTGGCGTTGCGGCCAGAGAGTGATAATTGAGCCGCCACACAAAATAATACCAACGTCTAAAGATGATCATTTGAGAACATATGCGTTTGCAAAATTGATGCCTTCTGGTTGCAATTCACATTGCGCCGTGTTTCGCCTCTTTTTCCCAGCTTTTCAAATCCCTCCACACGTGCATATATGTATGAAATTTTCTCTCTATCGGCCACAATTGTACACATGAAAGTTGGCACAAGGGGAAATTGGTGGCAAGTTTTTGATCTCTTTTCTCCATCCCAATGTTAATGACTCTTTAATCGCAGGATGTGAGAGTGGCCACAACGTTTTTCCATCATCATCACCGCACTATCAGTGTCAATTAATATGCATCTAGAGCTACAAATTGGATGATCTCCTAGCCAATTTGCTCTTGCATACGAAATGTGCAGAGTTCCACATTTCTCGTGTGGCGGTTCAAAAGGTTTTTCTTCCGTCTGTGACATTTCCAGCACGAGCGCGCTCGCAGCATTCCTGTAACTGTGTGCGCCCCAAATTCGACCACAAAACTTCTTGGCGTGCCCGCGAGCAATTTCACATTCATCTCTGGGAGTCCAAGTAATCTTTTTCTCCGCGTACACGCAGCATTGAAAGGAAAATCTCATGTTGCACTTTATTGATCTCTACCACGATAGCGATTAGCGGAATAGAATTCGAATTTGGTATATTTCGATCGTGATCTACGCATTTCACAAATATCACACGAAATCCGCGATCACGTAAGCTCTATCAATGGCCATTTGTGCGACACAAGAAGCGCTTGTTTGTCACCCAAAGCATCGCGCAACAGTGCGGCGTTTGTGGAAAAGCGCAAAATTTCACCCGTGAATCCATTTAACGATTACACGCGGTTCTTGGCCCATAAGAAGCTATTTTGTCCACCCAGCAAACCGGTTCCCATCAAACCACCGAGAATCTTTGCTATCTATGGCCTTTTCTCTCCTCGTTTGAGGAGCACACAAGCATCATTAAATTTAATATTAGCCTCCCGACTTGTGACTGACTTGGGCACCGGCCTAATGACGTTTCCCGCGCGTCCTCCTCTCGCGCCTGGCGGTAATTAATCTGGAATTCACTCTCAGCCACAATGTTGGAAAAGACTGAGTGTGTGTGAAAAGCCCAACTGATTGGCACCCATTGCGAAAGGAGGGAAAATTTTTCGATTTCGCCTCCTCAATTAGTGCTCTTCTCGCGATCCATCTTTTCAACACGGACGCGAATCAATCAGAGAAAATCATTAATAAAAAGAAACTGAGTGAGTTCACCGCGGATGGTGTCAAAAGCGAAAGAGAAGAGTATAAATTTAATTATAATTCTACCAAATTGCCTGTTAATTTGAAATAATTGTGCCCACCTTCCACGAGGAATTTTCATATTTGACCCGCGAAGGTGAGAATACGCGGGAAAAGTGATTATAGAAGAGATGAGTAGAGTTGAGAAGTGCAATAAAGACCTATTTGTAGATTTAATGGAATGAAACTGACCTTTTTTTTAAAAAGTGTGAAAAAAACTAAGATAATTTAAAATATTACCCACGAAATTCAATCCTAATTGTTCTGTTCTGTGATTAAAATGTTAAACTATTTGAAAAAAGGGACAAATCACACTTCTGAATTGTAGCAATCCGTCCTTAAACTATGAAGCCATCAAATCTGGGTAGAAAAAAGATCTACTCACTGAGATGGCCATTTGGTGTGTGTGCAGCAGCTGAAATCCCATTTGGACGGAATCCCGATGGCATATTGTCTCGTTCTCTGTGATCTATCCACCCTGCCGACACATAATCACACGCCACTCACAAGATCCACCGGGAAGATACGCATTTCACACCTCAGCTGTTAATGTCCTCTCAGCACGATCGATTGCACTTGATCACTGAACATCTGAAGAGGCAAAGATGGAGTTAAAAAAGGAGTCCTGTCGCTATTGCTGACGCGAAGGACTTCTGCAGCATTCTTCTGTCAGCAGAAGCGCAAGTGTGGTTTCGATGATGGGCAAAAATGCGTTTGTATGGCGATAAAAAGTGGGCAGAAATGTGAGATATTTCATATCGAAATACCGTTCTTTCAACTTTAATCACTTTCCTATTGAGACTGCCGAGTGATTTATTTAATACCACCGATACGTGATGGCATGGAAAATCCGCTGGAGATTTTATACTGAGAAATTTATATGGTGATTTAAAGTGGCAAATCAAGTCAAAATATTTTGCCATATATTTTCTATTTTTCTGTTTTTTTTTCGTCTGCGTAATTGCCTTCGAAATTGGCCAAGTGAGTGTGTTGTGGCGGAATGCATTTCCCAGGCGTGAAGAGAGTTTTCGCTTTTTTATACAATCCAACCGCCGTCCAGCCGTGAAAAGCCGCCCAGCATCTCAAATTGATATTTGTTAATTGGATGATGGGGAGGTGAAAGAAATGTGAGATCACTTCTCAATCTCCCATCAATTTGCTCTAGAATTCCACCTTTTTTTTACCTTTCGCACAACCATCATCGTATCTTCAGTGCCACGGAAACTCTGTGTGCGTGTGTTCATAAGATCGCGATGATGCCCATTTTTTCTCCAACAGCGCGAACAATATCCATTGAGAGGCAATATTTGATTGATTTATGTCAGACTTGGCGAAAAATTATACCTCCGGAGCCTCTGGCATGACACAATGTATTAGATAAAACTGATTTTTCGCCCGTAATTAGAATTATGGAGAGACCATCTCGCGCCAAGGTGATGCACGAAGAAGCTCCCATGAGAGTCAAGGAACTAATGAATTGCCGCTCAAGACCAAAGATGTGCCTCCACAACCTAACTGTCTTCTACGCATTTTTTATCCATTTTTGTCATGACTATTTGTTCACAAGCCCGCGGTAATATTTTATCGGACTCAGAAAGCTGAGAAGAGAGAGAGAGAGAATTCTTTCTTATTGGGAACTGGAAGATGATGCAGAGCGAAGGAGGATCTCTTGATCTGGGAATTCATGGCATCGTTAATTTGGCAATTGGCCATTTCGCCTCCAGAGTCGTGGCTCTAAACAATGTCAATTTATTGCTTTCTAAACTGAAGATTGATTTTGTTCAATATGGAAATACACTTCAGAACATTCAATTTGAAACCTTGGCTTTTCTGCAGTCTCAGCATTCAATAGTTGCACATGCAAATGGGCGGAGTTTATAGGTGGGCGTGGTTTAATAATATAATATAACATTTTATGGCCGGTTAAATGGCAATAATAAGTGCTCATTCTTTATATTGAATTTGGAAATTTGACTCATCATAATATTTTAATAGGTCTCGTGAAATTGTCACACACAATTACATTTGAACATACAAAAAAATTTTTAACTGAATAGCAGCAGAAAAATGTTCTGAACACAAAATGGTAGAGAGATCATCTTCAGTTCCTTAACTGACGATTAAGAGCAAAGTAAGCTTTAACGTTAGGAGAAAAAAAAACTGTGAAACCACTTAGGTGACCTTGCCCTCAAAAACTTGTTTGTATATCGAGAAAAAACTTATAAATGCCACACAGAGACTGGAGAATTGGGATAATCACCGAAGAGAAACCCCCACAAATATTCTAGATCTGCTCTTGAGGCAGATCAGGGATTCTCCCTGCAAGGTGCCACCCATTCCACAAGGTGCCCTCCTTGCACAACAACACATTCTCTGGGATCCCAGAAGAGTTGGCGCACAAACGGGGAGAAACGAAGGTAAATAAATAAATTATAAGCAATAAAATAGAGAAATAAATGCGATAGAGTGGAAAAGGAGTGCGAGAGCCAGAGAGATGCCAGCGTGCAGAAGATGGAGAGAAGCAAAAAAAAACTTGGAGGAAGAACAAGAAAATAATGTACCGTTGATGATGGCGTGAAACACGGTGGAAGTTATGGGAAGTCGGGAAGTTTTCTCATCAAATGCACGCCCGAATTGCAATTCCCGCGCGTCTTTCGTCCAATAATCCAGAAATTATTCATTACTTCGTGCCAGTCATGTGACGAACGATTCTCTCTTCCCCAATTGAATCAACATTTCACATGGAAATTCATTAGATTGCGCCAAAGGAGAGACACACTGAGATACATTTTGTAATAAAATTACCATCATCATTGATGCTTATCGCAATTTGAGGAGTTCAGGCATGAGCTGTGACGCCACACGATCGATTTGCACGCGTCAACAATTGAGGAAAAATTATGATGTTTGCGAAAAAAACACTCATTGTCTTGAAATGCATTCTCAGACCAGAAAGTGGCCAAAATTCACTATTTATCACTATCTTTGCAACAGGACAAATTCGTCTTTTTTCCCCTCTTGTGAAATGATTCTCTACCCGTCAACAATGACACGATCTACGTGCAATTGCCCATCCCTTTGCCGTGTCTTCTTCCCGACCCAACTATTCATGTGGAACAACGAACACGAAGAACACGGCAGAGGGAATTTACGGGTACAAATCATATATTTCATTTATAATTGAAAATTCGTCTCCAGCGAGGCTTTTGCACATTTTTGCCCCTGTTCAGAGTAATTGCCAAGAAGCGCGCATACTTGACGAACACTTCCGCATCCCTTTTTGCAGAAAGATGCATCGCACGTAATCCACTGAAGAGGCGCACTTGTGCAACACTATGAAGATCACGGTCTTTTCACACCAAAAATCACTGTAAAATCCTCATTAGCAGCTCTTGCGTAACAGAAAATGTCTCAGAATCTCAGGTGATTCTAGAGGTGGGAAACGGATGAAAAAAGCGCGCCAAATGAGCCTGACCGCATCGGTTGACACGCAAACACTCACTGACTCTGGGATTCGCCTCTGAATAGTTGCGAGAGACATCCAAATAGACTCTCTCTCTAATGGGAAGTTCGTGCGCCTCAAGAGATTGCCGTCAATTTTAAGAATGAACACGCACACAAACTCATTCTACTACAAAACTCACCTGTTCGACGCGCAGCCGAGACACTCGCGCAGCGTGGACACAGCTCAGATCAGCACCACTCTGAGGCCGCGCACTGAAAGGTCGCAAGGGGTTCATCAGTTACTATATTCTGTACCTTTTACCACAGATACAATGTAGTTCAAATGCCTGCCTAGATTGATTCCTTCATCTTTTTTTGAAAATGCAAGAAACTAACAAGTGTATTCTCAGCCCTGAGTAAATTTAAAGGACTTTCAAACTTATTATCCGGATGTGATACGATTTTTAACCTCAATTATCATTTTAATTCAGACTACTCGTATGCAAAATCGACCATTAAATTGAACAGAATTAATAAGAATAATTTAAAAATTAAATCATACGTTTATACTTCTCCACATTAGTGTCTTAGAGCACTTTTCGAGGCGAAATTTAAAAGATTTTCTCCCATTTTTGCAGCTCTTTGTTCTGTTTACCCACCGAAATCTCCCCAAAAGTCCCAAATTGAGACATGGCGGCAAATTATTTCCATAAATCACTCTTGCGCATGCAAGAAAAACCCCCGGAGAGACGCGAAAACACCTGAAACATTTTCTTCCCTCTCTCTGAAGTAAATCAATCACGCTGCCCCAATTCCTGCCACACTTCTGGAAGGGACGTCCCAAATGGCCCTCACAATCAGTTGAAGGAAGAGTCCCCGGATTCTGCCCGCCCTTTCTCACTTTCCAGTGAACTTGAACTTGAGGGAGAGCGCGAGCTTCCCGACACTCTTGATGCCAATGCGCACAACTTGCAGGTCGATTCGCGCGCTGGACATCGTGGAGATGGAGGCATAAATAGTCATCACAGGGGATGTTTTTCCCTCTCGTCTCCTTGAGGGATTGTTTATATTTCGCAGCGACGGCTCCCCACCTCTCTCATGTCATTATACACTTTCCTTGGCGATGAGGGGTGAAAATTGGCGCGTGCCTCAATTAAATTGTCATACACCACTTTAATGAGCGCGTCTGAGTGGGAAATTCTCTGCAGGGTCTTCAGCAAGTCATGCTGCGCTTCTCACCACATTTTCCTCATTAATATTGCGCTCAATACCCTTCTTTGTCCCAAGAATTCCAATCAGATTCTCTCAAGAGTCTTTTCATCAAGTTGTTGGACAATAAATCCATACAAATCAGACGAAGAGGCGCTTTTGAAAGCACCAATGAGTGGAAAGGGAAAAATACCAGACATTGTTGAATATTAGTTTGAGAAACTTATTATTAAGCTCAAAAGTTTATGCGAAAACAATTTTCATAACATTAAATCGACTCGAAAAGTTAATATGAAACTCAAAACATTTTTCACAGCAAGGTAATTGAAAACTTCACAAAACACTTTGTGTTAAAATTGCATGATAATCATGGTGCTTTTCTCCTTAAGTGTTTCCTTTGCACGCGTTATTTTCACCCATAAAAAGGCTTTTATCTCCTGTATTTCTGTATCGATTTTCAGCATCTTGATTGTCTAAAGGAGAGGATTTTTGTCCTAATCAATCTTTTCTATTATTCATTATATTGCATAGGTGAATTTTCAGTAGTGGTTTAGTTTAGAAATTGTCATATCGCGTGGTGTGTTTGTTTGTTCTTCAATTTAGCAATTTCTGAAAGTTTCCCAGGCATTCTTCAGACACTTGTCATACTTTTCCGCACAGAAAGCGCCACGGAAGAGCGGTGAAAATGTGGGTCTTTTCGGCAAATCACCTGGGAAAGCCAGAGCGGCTGAAGGTCAGTCGGATTGGCTGCCCGAGGAGAATTCCCTCCACTCCCGGACTGGAAGGGAAAAGCGCACGATTTTCCCAGACGCGTCGGAGGGGCGAGAAAGCCTTCGCGAGTGGATTGCGAGCAACCGAGTCAGTCTGAACTCAGCTCTGTGCCCGTGCGGATCCGTCGACGTGTTCTCAGTGGTGTGTTTGCCAAAGGGAAATCCTTGGGGACATATTATGTATTTTCCACATCAGTGACGTACTTCTGAGGCACATTTTCCCCACTGGATACTCAATGGTGAAGCTGTGTAATTTGAAGTGGAACGGTGGTTTCTCCTCTGCACTGAATATTGAAGTCTCAGAGTGAAAGGGATTGTATACGGAAGACAAGAAGAAAGGTGAGAGACACAAACTCACGCGAGACATATTCATCGTCAATTAAGTCTTGGGGGTGAAATAAAAGAATATTTGATAGCTGTGTGGCATAAATTATGCCTCGGTCTCGAAGACCAACCAAATATTTTCCTTAGCGACAGAGGGTTGAACAGACGACTCTAGTCTCAATTGGGGTGCCCACAATATTGATTTTTTCCCAACCTTCCTCTGGCCCATGTGAGCAGTCGAGCATGTCGAAACTCTCCCTTTTTCCCCGTGCAAAATGCACAACATTCCGCCGATATTGCAAGACATTTTCCTCGCCACTCACCAACATACAATTTTATCACCACTCATAATCACAACACAAGCATCAGCATCGACAAAACCCGTGTGCTGTTGAAAATTTAAATCGGTCTCTGCACTTCACAAATATAGCCCCAATAGTGCATTATTGAAAGCTCATGAGAAATTGCGTCGTGTCGTTTTCAATGTCACACAAGCTCTCAGCAATAATCAATTGAGCTTCTCCTGAGCTTTGATGTGGTGTTCAGGCAGAAAACATCTGCAGTGAGGCAGAGATAAGAGTGCACAAAACACCCCTTTTTGCTGCAAAAGACCTGGGATTTCTGTTAAAAAGTCATTTTTGAAAGTTTCACCGCAACTCCAGGGCGGCACAAGTTGCGTGTTGAGATTATTCCATTAAAATGGGTTATAAATTGGGGCTCTAATTGCCCACCCTTTGGGTGTGTGTTTTACTGTGATAACGACCTTATTTATTATTCAAACCCCTTCACAACTCTGGCTTTCGCGCTGCCAGTCTCTGCAGGGCCCGCAAAAGAATCAATTCACGACGTCCTGAGACGGATTTCTTCGTCTTCTTGTACATTTCACACACATACACACCAAACACTCTGGTGGTCCAATAGATAATAGAGTTTGACCCAATTTTCAGTCGATCGACCAGCGATAAAATTAACTTTTCCCATATGCCAGACCATTAATTATCCTGTTCGCGAGCAAAGTTTGTCTGCGTTAATTGGCAAAAGGTGCACACGATTTGGATAACCCTGAAACATTGGGAGTTCAAAGCTCCAATTTAATTAACCCTTCTTGTAATCCGCTTGGCGCCAATTTGTTTGCACTTTTGCCACATCAAGAGTGCAAAAATCTATTTTTGGTCTGGCTGAAAAATTCATCAAATTCATTTTTAATCATCTCCCAATGGCACTTTTCCACCCTTTTCGCCGTGTCGTATTTTTAATTGAATTTCCATCCCACACGCTCGCGTCAAAGTTCAATTGATTATACTGTAGTTTGACATTCTCTCTCGTCCTGTTGAATTTGCCAGTGAATTAAAGGGAAAAAGCATAGAAATGCTCAGCAAAATGACATACTCAGGAAAAATTATCATTTTCCACACATAATAACAGTCATTATTTAATGCAATGACTAAATTCTTCAAATGTCTCATATTTTGTCACAAAATTCACAGAATCAAATGGCAATTCATTGTTCAAATAACCCCGTGAAATTCAAAACATCCTTGTTAACACTACACATTTCTCTTGCTGAGAAATCTGACTTTCTCTCAGTGATTCTAGTCAACTCTTCATTACCCAGAGTGACTCCTATTCAATTACGCAGCACAATAGAGACTCTTTCGAACAAATCAATACTTTGACGCTTCAGTGAAATTTGGCGGGTGCGGGAAAAGCACTTTGCCGTTGAAGTAATCAATGGGAACCCCTTTCAGGTGGGCTCTCAGGACATGCATGGGATCGCATGGAGGAGGGAAGCCATTGCGAGGGGGTGTGCTGCCCAGGAACACCAGTGAGCATCTGCCCGACTGTCCACTCCCTGGACACCGTCAGGGCTCTGCACCAGACTGTTGTGTCCCTGCGAACAGCGTTGGACGACGCTAGGCGGGAGATTGACAAGCTCAAGAAGCAGATTCACGTGCAGAGCGACATCGAGCAGGGAAAGATCTTCCGCGCCAGTCGTCCGGTAAGGAACGCAGAATTGCGGTGTGTAGAGAGTTCAAGTTAAATTAAGCCTTCAAGGGGCAAATGGGAAAGCCCTTCAAGTTGCTGTTACATATTCTAACTGAAACATGAAACAAGTAAGTGAGTTCCAAGTATCCCTAATCGCCCACTGACTTTCAGGAGTCCCCGCAAGAGACACCAAAGAATGAGGCAAAGGCTGCAAAGTCGCCAAAGGAGCGTGACAAAACGCCAAGGATCACCATTGATCCGATTGTAAGTGTCACGGCTGAGCCGTCTGGAGAGGCGCTGGAGGGCAAAATCAGAGGCATGGCCTCCAAGATTGACGTGAAGATCAAGGTGTCGTCCAACATTCAAGTGGACAGCAGCAGTAGCTCTGAGCAGAACACACAGAGGACCTCGCAAGAAGAGGAAGAGGAGGCGCACAAGCCCGAGACTGCAGAGACTGATGAGGGTGAGACCCAAACCATCAAGGCTGAGGGTAAATCCCTCAAGATCAATGTGACTTCCGAGGAGAATCTCACACTGGTGAAGTCAGGCGATGAGATTAACATCACGCAGAACTCCAATGAGAATCTCCACCTGGACATTGACGATAACTCCTCAGATGGGGACAATTCCGTGTTCACAGAGGGTGCCATCACTCCAGCCGAAGCTCCTACCCAGGAGGACGCGGAGGACGGCCAGGAGAAGCAGAAGAAGGACTCTGAGCAGAAGGAGCAAGAGGAAGTGGACGATATTGAGCTGATATTCTCCTCCGATGACAACAAAGATCTCCTGCAAGAGGATCTGGTCTCCATCTCAGACTACGAACCCTGGCAAGCGCCTGGCTCCTCTGGCACTCCAGTGCTCGTGAACTTCTGTTCCCTGGGCAGCGAGGAGCAGCCTCCGGACGTGCCAGACATCAGTCGCAGGGAGATAAAGTCCTGCTCCAGTGTCCTGGAGAAGCAGAACACGGACACTTCGGAGCCAGATCGCTTCTTCAGTAGTCTGGAGAAGGAGGACGACATGCGACGCGAGGAGAGCTTCGACACCTTCGACAACGCCCCAACCTTCGGCAGAAAGTGGACCAACGCGAATGTCCTGATTGAGACCGACATATCAAAGTGCGGCATTGCCGAGGAGGGCATTATGGACAAGGGACGCAGGAACACCTGCCCCAACCCACCGGCTTACCGACCTATGGCCCACCGAGAGGCGCTCCTGCACTCGCGCTACAGCCGCTGCCCGTTCGGCGTGAAGTTCTCCCGCTCGGCGGCACGCAGCCAGCACGGGACGCAGTACAGGACGCCCAGGCCCATCCAGGCGGGCCCCAAGCGGAGTAGCTCGGCGCAGACGGACATATCGGCGCTGCCTGAGCAGTGGCAGTCCGAGACCCACTTGGCGGCCGGCCTCTGCGAAGGACTGTACACGCTGCCGTCGAAGTTCTCCGCGCGGCCAGGAACTTCCGCCGGACGCTGTCCTCTCAGGTGAGCGCTAATGCAATTTGCGGGGCGATTAAAGCGCGGAAATTGAACGGAAGGCCAGAGAGAAAGCAAGTCAAAATTGATTGATGCATCAGATGTTCAATTAAGAGGGAATAAACGGGGTTTGTCATGGGAAAAACTCAAAGTCATTGAAGGGATGTTTGCTTGGAGTTCAATGGTTATTTATAGCCTTAATTTTAATTTAAAAATAAGAACTTTTTACGTGTAAAGTAGGTATTTTTTCAAAAATAGTCTTTAAGCACAAATTAAGCACGGAAAAATGAGAAAAAGCATAATTAACGACGGTGCCAGATTGTTCACTGCAAAATATCTTGAATATTCAAATTAATTTATGAATTACAAAAACTGTGCTTCTCATCTAAAAATGCTAATATGTATAATGAAATATGTATATTTGCTAAAGAACATTTCATGATAGAAAAGAATCTTGAATAGGTTTCAAAGCTTTTTAAAGTTAACGCTTGGCTTTAATATAATATGACTTGAATATAAAGCGTTTTGTTTGAGTTCTTTTATAATTCGACAAGGAATCTTTAAAATTCACATGCTTTCATCAGCAGCATTTGAATTGAAATTTCACTGTGAATTTTCGTAAGGCTCAAGAAAGATAAGAAAACCTCCGCTTAGGAGTGTTTCCTTGTCTTTTTTCTAGCATAAAGCCATCCATCAATATACTCTTGAGGCTTTTCTTCTTGCCACATTCTGGCAAATCCCAGAAACGACAGAGAAAGAGTGTGCGGGTGATTAGTTGAAAGCTTCTCTCCATGAATCACGCAACATTCAATTAAATAGGAATTGGCGGGAAAGCGTGCAAAATCCTTCGAGTTACGGAAATTTAATTGACTGAAAATTCCCCTAATTGAATGTCTCAAGCTGAACTTGATCTAAATTCTCGGCACAGGAGAGTGGATATTTTTATCCCACACAAAAGACAAGGCAAATCAATGGAGATAGTAAAGAGTATATTGAAAGGTTGGTTATTAATGTTGATTGTTGATTTTCCGCCCTCTGAACAACAGTTGGAACATCATGTTTATCAGTAATTTTCCACCCCCACACGAGCTATAAATAGATGGGAAAAAGGTTCAGAGGAAAAACAAAGAGTCGTAAAAGTGAATGAAAAGCGGCTTTTTGGCAAAAAAAGACATCGCGCTAATCGGGGGCGCTTTTTACAGGCCATCGGAGAAGACGCAGGAGGCGCGGAGGGTGCTTCTGAGCGACATCCACTTCACCAGCATGGTACCTGAACTCTCGCGCTCGGCTGACCATCTCTGCCACGAGGGCGAGGCCAAGGGCGAGCGGAAGGAGAACGCCAGCAATCTGTCTCCTGGCTACCACAAGGGCCCCTTCCTGCGCACCCCGGACTACACCACCAGGGGCATCACGCCCAGCGCCAGTCTCAACTCAGCCGCAGCCTCGCAGTGGACGGTGAATGAGACCAGCTTCGGCACGCAAACGCCCATCACAGGCACCTTTTGGGGCGCCACTCGCGGCGAATCCTTCGATTCCACGCGCAGCTACTCCGCCATGGGACGCCATCATCGCTCCAGGAGCGTTCCCTCCGTGCGCTGTGCCATCTGCCGCCAGGCCAGGCCGCTGCGTCCCTCCGAGAGCATGCACTACACGCCCAGAGTGTCCATGGAGCCATGCCGGGGCGTGCAGGGCTCCCTGCCGGACCTCCGGCACGAGTGCATGTGCCCGGCCAGGCGCTATCACGCGCACTCCTTCACCCGCAGCCATGGTGACTCCAGTGGCTCCACGGATAGCCTCCTGGACGAGGCCGAGGACTTCCTGCGACGCTCCGTGGACGGCATCATCCGACACGAGCCCATGCATCCGCTGCCAGAGGTCAAGGCGGTCAACAGGAGGTGCTCAGAGAACGACATTCCCAGAGGTGAGAGAATTTAAACAAGGCGATTTATCTTCCGACCAAATTACGATGATGGAACATTTAATAAGCCAATTTTCTCACGTGGATCATAAAGCTGACAGAGAATAATGCTTTCGCCGTAAAGCAAACGCTCTTTGACCTACGGAAAATGAGCAAATTAATTTTCCCATTATTCGGACGTTTTATTAAATTGATATATTACTTTTAGGGACATTATCACACCTCATTTTAATCCCTCACTTTCATAGCTTTCCTTGTAGCTTTCAAATATCAGAAGTTCACGTAAACTAAGATAGTAACGTTAGTGGTCAATTTAGTTTGGTAATTTCGAATCGATAGCCAAGATTTTATCTGGAGTTCTGAGTGGATTTCTGACGAAATACAGATTCTAACTTGATTGTTTCAAGTTAGTTAGATTGCTTCAAAACACAATATTCTTTTTTCAGCAATTTTAAAAGGTTATTTCAATATGCTCATCCTAATTTCCTGGGTCGATTCTTCTCTTTCAGATTTTGCCCCATCTAAACAGTCACTGCCTTTCCTTCCGCGCACGCCAAAGTGTCTGAAGCCAGGCCACCTGGCCAAGGTAATCATTAAGAATGGGCGCGTGGTGATCGGGAGGATACGCTACGTCGGTCCAGTGGCTTCCATGGATTCCTACATAGATCCCGGGGAGGAGAACACATTCGTTGGCCTCCAACTGGCCACCACTTATGGCGACTGCGACGGCACGATAGACGGCAAGAAGTTCTTCGACTGGTGAGTCCTTCACAGCCATGGCGACAGTCCAACAGAACCTTGACAATGATCTCTCTTTTGCAGTGAGCCACTCCACGGAGTCTTCGTGCCGTTCAAGAAGGTCGTGATGGCGTGGTCGGCTTAGATAAAAGTCCCCCAAATTGCCAATGATCAGCACACTTAGACAACACACCCCCAATTCTGAAGCCCTGAACTTTAAACTGGCATTACTCTCGTAGGGAATAAAATCGAGCTTTAAGTGGCATTCGATGTCCTGAACAATAGAGCAGACTTAAACGGCTATAGATGTTGCTTCAAGAGCATTATGTACCAAAGAACAGGAACCCATTCATGGTAAATTTAACATAGAGTTGGACAGTAAAAGATCCTCAGTCAACTTAATTACACCTTTATTGTCATCATACTCAAAAAGAAGAATTTTAATACTATCCATCATTCGAAGGTCCTTCGACTGAGCGCTAGAAAAATACTCTCGCATACCGACAAACTATTCCTAATTTCTTGCTCATCTACTGCTTTGTGACCATTTAACAAATCAACAATATCTCCAAAAAAAATCAACAATGCAACGTCCTTTCCTTTCCAACACTGTTTGCGCGCCTTCCCCAGAGGTTAACTGTCAACAAAGTCTATCAAATCTAATGGGAACTGATTATACGATAAGTCAATGTAGAGAAGCTAATGTAAACAATGTTAGACCTAAGAAATTAAAAATCTGTGTGACAAAATATCAACCACTAAATGTGTTGTAAATATTGTAATGTCCTTAGAGAGAAAAAAAAATAAAGCTAAACGGGAAGGAATTTGTGAAGGAAAGCTGTCATTGCAATTGAATGTAAAGAAAAGTATAGAAATAAAGCTCAAGACAATTACTTTTCCTCTTTCTCTTTCCACTTTTCGGAATGCATCCTTGTCATGATCATTGTCGCATCGCACTTTTACCCGTCTCAGTTATCGTTAAAATAATATAAATTGGTAAGAAAATTCCAGCACCGTTCAAGCCTTATTAATCTAAGACGACTCCTCTAGATCTTCATGCCCGTGTCCAGGGCGAGCGCCTGCTTCAGGAGTTCGTATGTTGAGAAGGACACGGCGACCATCGGAATGGCCCTCAAGTAGTTGATGGACATGCCACGATAGAGTCCCTTGATGATGCCATTCTCACGGTAGATCAGCGTCAGAGTCTTGAACATACCCATGCTAGACGACGAACGAGAGAAGATTAACATTGTAGATGAGATTTTCATGAAAAAAAATTGACACCCAGAAGCCAAACAACACCAAGACAGCCAAGAGAGGCACGCAAATAACACTCAAAAGCATCATTCACGAAGAATTGTGCGATAAAAGTTCAGATAGGAGAGCTTTAGTGTGATGTTTTGATTAGAATTGATCAAAGTTGGTACAAAACACATGGAAAAAGCTTTGTTATAATGGAAAAAAGTATTTATGTGAATGAAAAGAATGAATTTGGAACGGTTAATAACTTTTTGTGAGATTATTTTAAAATTTTGCCTTTCAAATCCATGGTTTTTCACCTGCATTATTTCACCTGGATCTCAAAATACAATGTCTTCTTCTAAATTAAAAGAATGACGATAAAATCCCTGTGGCGTGAGTTCAAGTCAAAGTCAGGATACATTCAGTCATTTAGCAACACGTTAGAATGAAATCATGAAATATTCTGCAATTTAATCTCTGAGAAAGTCAAATTTTTGTAATATTACAGTGTCTAACTCGATAAAACCACACAAATAATATTCTATACAGCAAAATGTCATAAAGTTCGTCTTTCAGAGTTTTCAACATGAATCTTTTAGCAGCACTTTGACCCACTTCTTGAGAGAGGATGCGAAAAACTACAAACTCATCACTCTAAATGAATATAAAGTCACTTTCGTGTGATTTTTCAACTGAAAAAAAGCACTGTGAATGATGCTTTGTAATAAACTTTCTATAACTCTACAATTTATAAATAGCAAAAATAACACCTTAATTAGCATTTTAATTTCCTTTACCTTCTGCCATTTTTTCGCGAGAAGAAATATATGTAGAAAATACACATTTTTCGTGGTTATTTTGTGCACCAGCACCAGAGATAAGCGCATTTGTTTCGCAAGAGATGGATTTTTGTGTGTGAGCAAGAAAGAGAAATTATACATATATATATATATATATATATATTGGGTGAGTGTTTGGAAGCTTAAGATGTTAGCCAGAAAAGCTCGAGAAAGGGAAATGCAACTGATATTGATTAACTCACCCAAACTTCGCCGTGTCGGGATTCATCATGGCCAGTTGCATTCGTCTTCGCGTCACATCCAGAGGATATGAGAAGGATTGCGCCACGGCGCCGGCGAAGCCACCGCAGAGCAGCTTAGAGGGCACATTGAGTACGAGACCGCCTGGAAGTGGGGAGAAAAAGAGGCATTATATTCTAGTCATTGAGTTATTCCAGGAGCGCAAACAAGACGTCAATCGCTTTTTGCGTGTCCCCAGAAATAGCCACAGAATGGCCTGACCTCTGGCCAGAAATACGCACCGGTGTTCCTCTCTTCGGTGTTGCACGTGAATTGCGGCATGTACTTCATGCACGCAAACTTGAACATCTCGAAGCAGTAGAACGACAGCCCGGCGTACGGCACCATGCCCGTGAGTGTGGGCACAAAGCCGCGATAGAGCGCACGCAGGCCACCCTCGTTGCGGAAGATCGTCGCCGCCGTGTTGGCGATGCCTGAGTAGCGGTGCTCACCGGTGACCTGGAACGCCAGCCTGGCGCGCACCACGTCTAGCGGATACGTGAGCGTGACGGCCGTGAGTCCGGCGCCGGCGCCCGCGAAGAACTTGTCCGCGTGCTTCACGTACATCACAGACGGCGGAAGGACATTGATCAGGTACTGCAGAGAGAGGAAGTGCACAGATTAGAGCCGCTCTCCCACAGCTGATAACACTCATGCCGAAGCGAGAAAACTGTTTACAACAGCAATCAATGCATTTTTGTGGGTCATGCGAGATAAATTGGCGGAGCAATTTTGTGAGAGTTCTTCAGTAAATATTAATGGAAAGCAATTCTGTTGACTATCTCTGATTGCTCTTGCCAACTTTGCATTCATATTTCAGCAATAGAACAGTGAAAGACAATGAATTCATCACTTATTTAAAAGAATAAAAAGCCAAAGCAAAATGTTATGAATCAGATAATAAATTCTAATCTAATCTAAACGTCGCAACTTTGGTTCTATTGCACCTTCAATCCGCATGAATTGGCGACACAATTTCCCAATTTACCAATAAGACCAATATTCATCATTATCAAATGATTGTAAACCTAACAATATTTGAGTTTTAAAATGAAGGTAATTGATCAATTTCCTATTTTGGTTAAAATTTTGTAATTTAAACTCTGAACAGTAAAAACCGAATGAGGTTTTAGAAATTTTAGCCAATTTAAGAGCAAAAATTGACTACGAAAAACCCTGTTTTCCTAATTCAATACATTATTTTTGAAGCATTTGAATGTGTTTTGCAGTGAAAATATTCATCTTTTATCGATCTCTTTCTTATCTAAGGGCTCTAAGAGCCATATTAAATACGATTTTTCTCTATAAACATATTAGAATTTCAATTCAAAGGCATTTAAACAATTTCATTTGCTGTTATATGCAAATTGGAAAGTTTAATTGCAAAATTCGTGAGAACTGTGATTTACAAGAAAATGAATGAAAATTGTGCACATGTATAAACTGATTCAAATGGTAATCCAGGGAATACAAATGATGAGAATCTTGTCCAGGAAACCAGTTCTGAACCCTTGATTGTGACACACCTTTTTGTAGACTTCAAAGGCCGTGAACTGGATGGCTGCATAGGGAAAGATCCTGACCATTTGCGCCCCGTTGCCTTTGTAGAGAGCGAAGAAGGACTCCTTCAGCACGATCTCCTTGAGTCCGCTGAACACGCCCAAGTGCTTGTAGTGCTTCGAGTGTGCCTGGAAGAGGATCTTGATGCGATCCAGCGGCGCCACGGCCGTTTTCGAGCACATTCCCGCCACTCCTGTCGAGAAACAATGGCTATTTGAAGAGTGCGCGCGTCATCTTCAGCCAACAATTGTGCAACTTTCTTCTTCTCCAAAGACACCCGAGCAAAGATTCATTGCGACACACAGCAATTTTCCACTCTTTGGCCAGTCATTCAGGTGGAATCTCGAGTGGTTGGCACTCTTTGACTACCCCAGGCAAGGCCTCAGGTATCGCCAGGATGCTGAGGATTCGCCTGAATTCTGACCGCAGAAGCTCAGCGGAGCGATAAATTTGCTGGGAAGTGTTAAAATTCACTCAAGTCGCTTCATGTGAAATCAATTTCCCTTTCTTTCGCGGTAAAAGTTGGCGAAGAGGAAAGAAATTTCACAAAACGCAGCACTCTTTGCATGTTTAGACGCACTTTCGTGCGCGCCCAATCCCAGAAGGAAAAAGCCTTCCGGAGACTCCCGGACAAACTCACCGCCCGCGAAGAAGTTCTTCACCACAAAGCTGTAGTCCTGCGGCTTCGTTTCCGCCTTGTACGCCATGATTTCCGTCCGCACACAGAGAGTGTCAATAAATGCCCAGGTGAGAGTGGAAGCGCTGAGACTCACTGGAAACTTTCTTTTTTATCTCATGCAATTTGACCGAAATTCCCAACGTGTCATCTTCTTCCCATGCGCCACTCACGATTCTGTCACGCCGCGCACTTTCACTGCACTGCGATGGGATCACCGGATTAACTGGGAGTGCATCTCGGGATGTGGCCTGATCTGCTGACCAGATGATCTGCCCTCCTCGTGATGTCGACACTGTGTGACTGGCTCGTCTTCGCGGAAAAACAATCGGAGCCGCACGAAGCAGTGCGTCGGCAAATCTTCGTCTGGCGATGATTTTGTGCGGGAGATTTGAAAAACATCGCCCAGAATCATAAAAAAATATTATATTTTCACATGATTTTCACACCCTTCATCTCACTTTCTTGCCCTTCTGCTTCATTTTAATAGCATGACTCCCCTCGTGCCTGGAAAATTCAGAAAACATCATTACTACGCTGTGGAATCACATGCAATACGGCATCTTCCTCACCTGAACTTCCTGGAGCTCTTCACATTCGAGATGGCTCTCGTGAAGCTTCCCGTCCTCTTCTGCTTTCGCTCCTTCTTCACTTCCACTTTTTTCTGCTTCCTCTCCGGCTTCTTCACGCCCATGATCTTCAGGGGGAAGTCCCTCTTCATCTGTGGCACGCCCTCCAGCTTGTCCTTGGTCCTGTTCAGGATGTTCTCCGCCCTCGCGATGGCTTTCTTCTCCATCTCCTCACGCACAATCTCATCGTAATCCGGCTCCAGCGCCGTGATGCGATTCTTGTACTTGGCAATCACCTTCGTCGGGATGATTCTCTGCTTCACGCCCTTCTGGGCATTGTCACTGATATCCTTGAGGATCTTGCGCTCAGATTCGCCCACCAGCGAGATAGAGACACCGCCGTGACCAGCTCTGGCCGTCCTGCCGACGCGGTGAATGTAGTGTTCATAAGTCAGCGGCATCACGAAGTTGATCACCGTGCGGATGCCAGAGATGTCCAAGCCACGAGCGGCCACATCTGTCGCCACCAGAATGTCAATTTCCTCGTCCTTGAAGCTCTTGAGCGCCTCTAGGCGTTGCGCTTGCGTCAAATTCCCATGCAATTCGCCCACTTTCAGGGCCAGCAAGCCCAGGAGGATGCGCAGCCGGTGAGCTTGCTTCTTCGTCTGGACGAAAATGATGACATGATCGTGAAAGGTGCGACAAATGAGGGCGGCCAGAAAGGGTTCGCGATCCTTGTCGCTCTCACCACGGATGCGGATGAATTGCTGCTGCAGATTCTTCGCCACAGCCTGATTGCTGTCCACGAACACCTTCACGGGCTTCGTGAGCGACACAGTGGCCAAATCTTGCACTTTCTCCGTCATCGTGGCGGAGAAAAGCATCGTCTGTCGCGTCCGCGAGCAGTGATCGATGATCTCCTTCATCTGCTCGGCGAAGTAAGTGTCCAGCATCCGATCAGCTTCGTCCAGGATGAGAATCTGTGTGAAAATCTCAGTTAGTAACAAAATTCTACAACCAAATAAGAGTTTAGTGCGAAATTCCGGTCAGGAATAGCGTAAATTATCACTCATCTCAGTGTCAGAGCGCAAGGATAGAGACTAATCATCATTCCAAAATTCCCTGGCATGCCCAAAGAATCAAGAAACAATCTCAAAAGTGATTCACCTCAACGGAAGACAGCGAGAAACTTGGAGTATTCTTCAGATGGTCAATTAATCTGCCTGGAGTAGCGATTACAATGTCCGGACGCTGTCTCAACTCTGATTCCTGCTGCTTCAGCTCAAATCCTCCCACCGCCAGACACGTTTCAATCCTCGTGAACTGTCCCAGATCTTTAGTCACTGTGAAGACCTGCACGCCAAGCTCTCTTGTGGGTACGAGCACCAGTACTCTGGTCACCATCTGATTCGAGGGCCTGTGAAGCAATCTCTCGAGCGTGGGCAGCATGTAGGCAGCTGTCTTTCCCGTTCCCGTGCCGGCACATCCACAAATATCCCTTCCGGCCAGCGCCAGAGGAATTGTGGCGGCCTGAATTGGCGTCGGATGGATGAAGCCCAGTTTGTTGATCGCCCTCTCCAGGGGTTTGGACAAATTCAACTCCAGAAATGATGTGATTTGCTCCCCAGACTCCACTTCCTCCATCTCCAGCTTCGCTGGTTCGTTCATCTCCTCAACGATTGTCTTCTCCTCCTTCACGGGCCGCTTCTTGCTCTTGCTCTCCTTCAGCCGAAAGTTATCATGCACCAGATCATCCTCTGAAAGATCCACTTCGTCCTCCTGAACGCCCCCTTCGCTGCGCAGCTTCTCCAGAGCGTCATCCACGTGGGTTTTCTTTCGTCTCTTCAGCGTCTTCATCACATCGTCCCACGTGTCATTATTATACTCAGCAACGGATGAGGCAAACTGAAAGCCCTCACTGAAGGCTCCAGCCTTCCTACGCTTCTGCTTCGTGGGCTGGAACTGGCCAGAGAAGTCGGAAAAGCATTAGAATTGCCTGTCCAGAAAGTTCATGCACAAACTCACCTCAATTTCCTCCTCAGAATCCGTAGAATCTGCTGGATTTTCATCACTGTCAACTGAAAGGGTTTTCTTCAGATCACTCTTGTCGGATTTAAGGCGATCCGATGCCTCTAGGCTGGGTTTCAGGGACATTTTCCTTGCCAAACGAGGAAAACCGTGCACATCAACAAACCACCCTAACCTCAAACTCTCCACGTGACAGCGAAAGTTCGCCGTCAAACGTCAGTCAATTTCACTTTTCGCTCGGGTTGGTTTGGAAAAACACTCAGGGCTTTTTGTCTCCGTTTTTCCACCCAGAAAATGCCCCCAGAGTACCAGTGAAGTCCCCGTCCAAGTGTTAACGGGTGTCTGAGTGAGTGTGTGTGGTGAACCTCTGCGGGAATTGTGCAGGATGACGTCGGGCGAGGGCTTGGAGTGGCTGGAAGAGTTGCTGGCGGAAGTGCAGCTGGAGCAATTCTTACATCGCATCACAGACGACTTGCAGATAACACGGCTGGTGCACTTCAATTATGTGCACTCTGAGGACCTGGAGAAGATCGGATTGGCGCGTCCAGCCATCCGGAGACTGATGGATGCCGTGAGAAAGCGCAGGAGTGTCGCCTGGCGACAGTCGTTGATGGAGAAGATCCTCCCAGGTGGGCGGAAGAAGGTCCCGCCCGTGAGGAGTCCCACCAAGGCGACCAGCACTTGTCTCATCCACGAGCGCGAGATTGTGCTGGCGGACAAGCTGGGCGACGGCTCCTTTGGCGTGGTTAGGAGAGGCGAATGGCGTCCTGGCGGTGGTCCGGCCATTCCCGTGGCCGTAAAGGTGCTGAAAGCTGACGTGTCGATGCCGGGCGTCGTTGAGGACTTCTTCAAGGAGGTGCAGTCGATGCACGTGTTAGATCATCCGAATCTCATTCATCTGCACGGCGTCGTGCTGTCCAAGCCACTCATGATGATAACTGAGCTGGCGGATCGTGGTTCTCTGCTGGATACGCTGCACACCAGGACGCTGCGTCATCTGTCGCTCACGCACATCTGGCGCTGGGCGGTGGAAGTGGCCACGGGCATGTCGTACCTGGAGACTCGTCGGATCCTCCATCGAGACCTCGCCTGTCGCAATGTATTTCTTCATGGGCCGGAGGAGCGCGTGAAGATCGGGGATTTCGGGCTAATGCGCTCGCTGGCGCAGCAGGAGGATTGCTACGTAATGACGGAGCACCGAAGAGTGCCGTTCCCGTGGTGCGCTCCAGAATCTCTGCGCTTGCGACAGTTCAGCCACGCCTCTGATGCCTGGATGTTCGGCGTGACGCTGTGGGAGATGTTCACGGGTGGCGAGGAGCCCTGGCCCACGCTCACGGGCATGCACGTGCTGAAGAAGATCGAGGCTGGTGAGCGACTTGCCATGCCCAATCTCGCCTCGCCGGAAATCTACCAGCTGATGCTGCAGTGTTGGCACAAGGATCCCCAGGAGAGGCTCTCCTTCATCGACATTCAGTGAGTATTTTGTATGGTCACGCCCACTCAAATGCCACGCCCATTCGTATTCAATTGGAAATTTGTGTTTGGTTCTCAGGAAATTCCTAAAGTCCGTGCGTCCGATTCTCGTGCGCGCCACGGTGGATTACAGCGAGAATGAACATTTCTCAACGCGATGCGGCGATATGGTGGCCATCATCGATGATCGACCGCAGTTGAATTGCGTCAAAGGTCAGAATCAGCGTACATTTGTGATAGGGGCGCTTCCAAGGTGAGTCGTTTGCTTTTGATTTTGAATTGATTTATTTCACGCTATTGTTGACTGCATTGTCTCTCTATCTCTCGCTGTGTAGGAATGTTCTGGAGCCCGTGAATGCGCAACACTTGGAGAGATCTCTAAGCCCGGGACTCTTTAGTCTGCATGAGGATCCTTCGAGGGTTCTGCGGAGGCGCACTTTCAACTCGGCGGACTGCCGGAGAGCGGAATCGTTGGTGGTGAATAGGAAGTCGTGCCAGAACTTCGACAGGCAGGCCAAAAAGTCGGCTGGGGAGCACTCGAAGGAGCGCGGATACATCGCGGCCAGGCAATTTTCGTACAACAAGCTGAAGAATGAGAGCAAGAGTGGGTGGAAGAAGGGCCCGAAACCGGCGCGTCCGCCACAGCCGAGAATGGATGGCAAGGTGGCTGAGGGTGACTTGATAGATCTCTCCTCGCCGGACGGAGATGCGCTGTGCGAGCTGAGGAGCGAGGGGAGGTCCTTCAGCGCCGACTGCATCCTAGACAGACCCATTGAGGTGGTGACAGAAGAAGAGGCTGTACAGGACGAGAACCTGCCGTCGCCTGTGTATGAGAACTCAAGAGAAATTGACCACTCGTCCTGGCATTCCGTCATGATGGAGGCTTACGAGGCGGCGGTGAGAAGTCAGCAAGAGGAGTTCGATCCATTCGACACGTCTCACGTGAATCCAGATGATTCCTGGGCGTGCATCAGACAGTTGGATAACGTCCGAAGCCAAACACCCACTTCTGAGGCGGGATTCTTCACGCCACCCGAACGAGTGACGCCAGAGATGCCAGAATTGCCGGAAATGGTGAATAATATTGTCGAATCTGTGCAGGAGCTCTCAATTCAATACTCATCCAATGCTGCGAATAGTGTGAATGTCTATGACACAGTGGAGGAACTCTACTCAGCTCTTCCTGCGACGTATGAGAATGTGCAGGACGCCTGGAACTCGCCCAGAGTATTCCCGGAGGAGCAGAAGCTGCGCCCTCATCGACCAGCGCCCTCGATTCCCTCCTCCTCGTCGTCCAGATAATGACAATGCCAATGTAATCTGTGGATGTTTTTAGGTTTTATTTCATGTGAATATCTGTGAGTCTCACGAGAACGCGACAGTATTGAAAGTCTCTTGAAGAAAAGTGTGTAGCGAATAATAAAGGGAAGATATGAGAATCTCGAAGCGCGCCTTTTTGGTTTCACCTATCGCCCGCATTGGCGCTGTCTTCAGTGCAAATGACAGCAACGCGCGTCCGGAAGCCTGAGGAAGTCGCCTCCGGGAATATCAGTGAAACGGGCTATTTCCGAGCTTCTGCCCCCGTGAAAATGGGTGGAGAGTCGAAAGCAGAGTACATCATAGAGCAGCTAAATGTGAGTAATGCGAAGAAGATCGCCCTGCTGATGGTGCTGGCCTTCATTGGCTACCACGGACTGATTCACTTGCGCTATGGTGAGTTTCCGGGATCGTGCCGCGCGCCAGAGTCTCATTGATTCTCTCTCCCGCACAGGCACGGACTCGTGCAAGTGGCTGCTGTCGAATGGGCGGTTCAAGGGGGACAAGGAGTGGCAGCCGTACGGATGCATGATGCACAGATACTCGCAGCAGGACACCCGGCGATGTTTCCGCTATCTCGCCTTCTGGGGCAATGAGAATCACTTCGTCTTCATCGGCGACACGCGCCTCCGGATGCTCTACGAGGCTCTGATCAATCATCTCCATCCCAACGATGATGACAATGGTTCGCTGGCCGATTCGCCGGCACCGTCAAATCTGGAATTTCTGGATCTGAAGCTGAAACTCCGCGTGAATTACGTGCACGCGTCGGATGTGACGCGAGGCGTGGCGGAGGAGTTCACAGCGTGGCGCAAAGATGAGGATCCGCCCTCGTTAATCGTGGCGAGCTGCACGTACGCTAACTTCCTGGCCGGCAACACGACTGCAGATCTCCTGAGGAGCTTCTCGCTGAATCTCACGCACCTCGTGCGCCCAATGGAAGATGTGCTGGCGAAGAAAGTGCGGCTGCTGTGGAAACTTCAAGATCCCATTGTGGAGGACAAAGCGCCCCGGGAGTGGCGAAGCCTCACGAACGACGACATCGATGGCTTGAATAGAGCCACACAGGGCGTCCTCAAGTACTCAACTGTGCCTATTTGGGCGTCCTCACGACTCATTGCGCAGGGCCTGCTTGACGAGGCGGTGGCGGGAGTGCACCTGGGCCCCCTGGCGCTCCGCCACGACGTGCAGATCCTGCTGAACATGTACTGCAACGACTACATGAACTTCAACGACGGCACGTGCTGCAGCAGCGCCGAGCCCTACACCATCCTCCAGGTCGTCACGTACGCCATCCTGGGCGTGTGCGTGGCCCTCTCTGTGGCCATGCTGCTGCGCCGCTGGACTCTGAAGCTACGCGGCCAGACGCTCTACGCGCCGCTCAACCACACGGCGGACGCCACGTCGCCGATCCAAGCTCTGGCGACGCTGGCCTTCATCATGGCCTATTTCTACCTCTGCGACCGCACGAACTTCTTCATGAAGGAGAACAAGTACTACTCGGAGTTCAGCTTCTGGATCCCCGTGGGCTACGTGTTTGCGCTGGGGCTGTTCTTCACCGAGGACAGTCGCTTCACCAAGGTCCTGCACCGCGACGAGACGGACGAGCTGAAGGGCTGGATGCAGCTGGTGATCCTCGTTTATCACATGACGGGCGCCGAGCGCGTGCTGCCCATCCACATGCACATCAAGGTCCTGATCAGCGGCTATCTCTTCCTCTCGGGTTACGGCCACTTCACCTACATGTGGCAAACGGGCAACGCGGGTCTCGTGCGCTTCTTCCAGATCCTATTCCGGCTGAACTTCATCACCATCCTGCTGTGCCTGTGCATGAATCGTCCCTATCAATTCTACTACTTCGTGCCGCTCATCAGCTTCTGGTTCTGCCTCATCTACGTCGTCCTGGCGCTGCCGCCGCACATCACGGCCGCCACGGTGGACGCCAATCCGTACCAGTACCTCTACCTGGCCGCCAAGTTTGTCAGCCTGCTTGCGGTCAGCACGATTTTCTACATGTCGGAGGTCTTCTTCGAGCGCATCTTCGTCACGCGGCCCTGGAAGGCGCTCTTCGTCACCACGGACGACGACATCCACGAGTGGTGGTACCGCTGGAAGCTTGACAGGTGAGACCCCTTAAAATTCAGATCTGTCTGAAGTTTGAACAAAGAAAGCAAGTGGTGAATGAAATCAAGAACTTGATGATTTCGATAGAATTGTTATATGAATAATTCAAGTCGAGAATGTTCTGAAATCGGGTCATAAGATTTGAAGCAGAAGAAAACAATGTGATTGTGCTCAACCTTCGATTTTATAGATTTTTACAATATAATAATATGTTTAATCGGAACGATAAGAATCTCTTATCGATTGCTCGTTACTTGAAATTCAGCGCAGATTTAAATGTGGATTAATTGCGTGCCAGAGCATAAATTCTGAGATTGATTTTTAAAATCTACCCAAAAGTCACAATTCGTTTGGTGTTTTTTTTTCCCAATTTTGTGAAGAAATTAATAAGCGAAAGTTGTAACGCTACAATTCGCATTTTGGCTCTTGCTTCTGAACTTTGTGTTTCTTCAAATGTTGCAAAACACTAATCTTGGCCTTCTTCGCATTAATTATTTTATTGTCTAGTGAAGATCTCGACCGGAATGTTACTTTGTGCATTTTCAGAGAAGACTCTTGATTTGTTTTGTCCTGACTTTTCCCGGCAGGTACACAATCACGTCGGGAATGGTGTTCGCGGCGGTGTTTCACGTGGCGCAGAAGTACACGGTGTTCGATGACAACAATCACGGGAATCTCTTCTCGCGACGCATCTCGCTGTCCGCCACGCTGGCGGCCGTGGGCGGCGTGGGCTTCTACACCACATTCTCCTTCCTGTGCCGCAACGAACAGGAGTGCGAGGAGATCCACTCATACATCGTGTTCATCCCCGTGATCGGCTACATTGTGCTGCGCAACATCTCGGGCATCCTGCGCACGCGCTACTCCAGCTTCTTCGCCTGGTTCGGGCGCATCTCGCTGGAGCTGTTTATCTGCCAGTATCACATCTGGCTGGCGGCGGATCGCCACGGCGTGCTGGTGCTGCTGCCCGGCTTCCCCACGCTCAACGTCATCATCACGAGCTTCATCTTCATCTGCGTCTCGCACGAGGTGCACCGCCTCACACTCGTGCTGCTGCCGTACGCTGTGCCCAGCGACTGGAAGCTGGCCGCGCGCAACTTCGTGGCCTTCCTCATCGTCCTCATCCCCATCGCGCGCTACGACGGCATGTTCTAGACACAACTCAGGTAATTCCATCTCTTTGCAGAGAGCAACTCTCGCGATTACTCAACAGCTTACGCCGAATTGCACAATTTGATAGTGATTTTTTAGGCCGGCCACCTTTTTACTTTTGAATCTAGTTTAAGTGTTTATTTCTGTGCGAATGACCAAAGCACTTTTTCACGAGGAAGTCACAAGAGAGTGCTAATAAAAATGGGCTTATTCAAAGGTGAGAGGACGGTCGTTTCTTCACCCTCTTCGCAACACACCACTTTCGGCGCCGTTGTTACAAATTCGCGCGGATTTTTGAGTTTTCCATTAGCTTTTCAAATGACTCATTTTCTCAAAATATGCATCGTCAGTTGCAACAGCATTTGCACTAACTCTTGTTTTCCATGTGGGATAGAAAGTGTGATGAAATCGGCGATGAAATTTTGATAAATTATAAGATTTGTCTGGATTAATGTCCGAAATATGAATATTTTATAGCCTTATTTGCATTAATTTCTTCTATTTTCTCACATTCTATTGCATATCAGTCTGGCTTGTAAGCCTTATCAGACACTGGATTTTTTATTTAATTTTGTAAAATTTTTCCATTGAATTTCAGTGATTCCATATAGAATTTCCTTACAAATTTTCTCATTTTTACCACAAAATAGTTCAAATATGAAGAAATCATTGCTTTATTCTAAAGCTAGAATGTTCTAAGCGTGACTGTAGAGAGATTTTTATAATTTCTCACGGATCTACATTTCAATATATTGCGATTTGTCATCCCTAAAATTACTGTTATTGAAAGCATAGAGTTGAGTTCTAGTATTGTGCCATGCAACTGACGATCATCCCTCATTCTGCGTCCTTTTGTCGAGTACTGATGCGCCCCTCTTTTGCCAAAAATCATCTCCACAGACAGATGCGGTCGCTGCCCAATGACGATGACAATGATGAGCCCAAGAGTGCAACTCTGGCTCCGTCGCGAGAGTGAGAGAGAGACTTGGCGACGCGCGACGGAGCTGGTGTGCGATTATAAGGAAAAAGAAAGTTATGTGCTTTTTCTGCCGCACAGCACCATTATTACGTGTTGCGCCCGCGAAGAGAGGCGAGGGAAAAAAAGAAGGAGGATCGACGACTTGGAAGACGCAGAAATTGTTCAGTTCTCACTTTCATTCGGGCCCAGCGAGTCGCTCCAATCAGCCGAACGTTGAGTCATGAGCGCACCACTGTGACTTAACCGTTGCGCGAGATCATTTCATACATCTTGATAGCGAGAGTTTTTATTTGAAATACTAGTGCAATTTGTGGTGACTTTCCTGGCAAAGAGAAGATGATCAGAATGGCGGATGCCGAGTGAGGAAAGGATGCTGTTGATGCTGTTTTGAGCAGTGTTGATAGATTGTGCGCGGATTATGTGCAAGAAAATGAGTGAAGGTGGAAGAAATTGATCCTCGAGAATAGTTATATTTGCAAACAGAGAGAGAGAGAGAGAGAAAGAGAGAAGGATTTTTAGAACGTGGGAAAGTGTATAAGAAACTCAATAGATCACGATGATTCTCAGAATCTGCCTGTCCACAATTCTGTGGTTCACTGTGATAGTCAATGCGGAGGTCACCGATGACAATGCCAATCTCAACACACAGCAGCTGGAGATAAACGCCACGGATTACGTCCCGCAGCAGCGACTGCGCGATCTCCTGGACCTCTTCAATATCGCCTCCGTGGCCGCGTCGTGGCCACGGATCGCTCATGACGTGCGGACGCCCAATTGCTCGCTCCACATGGTGGATTACTTCCGAGGCTTGGCGACTGGGAAGCTGTGGGCCATGAAGAGTGAGTACAGAATTATCCCAGATCAGATTATGACATGCAAAAGCAATGAAAGAAGAGTGTGAAATGCTAGTTGTGTTAGGAAATGGTGTACAGACTGCAGTCACATTATCTTCCCCTTGGCAAGAGCTTTCTTTCGCTCACACTCACTCTCGCGCCAAACCTCCGTGTCTCCACGGCACACAATAAATGTGAATTTGTGTGTTAAATACGCTACGTAAACAGAATTATATAAGGTGAAATTTTTAACATACAATATTATGCATTAGTCTGCTGAATCAGTCAGCATTAAAACACCGTCCGCCAGCTATTTTGTCCGGATTTTGTCTGGCGGGGAAAATCCGCTGCTGGACTTCCATCTGGAGATATTTGAGCTGCAACGCGGCCAGGGAAAGAAAGGCGCGCGCGAGAGAAGTCAACTGTCCATGACCACTTTTTCCCTCCTTTCAAGTTTACTGCCGCCCAAAATTTTGCCACTCGATGGCATTTCAGCGCGAATTCTCATTGCAATGTTTGGGGGCGGTTTTATTGAATATGCCTTCTAAGGGAAATTGGGTTGTGTGTGCACTGTTAAATGTTGGTTCTCTGTGGAACAACCACTCAATTAATTCACTAAGTGATGCAGCAAGAAAGTCCCACTTTCTGCATTGTGGGAATTTACATATGCATAATTGTGAAAAAAAAAATTGTGTAATTGCAGAGGAATGATGAATTCAAGTCTTTACTGTTCTCAAGCAGTCCCAATGCATTGATAAAATGTATGAGAAAAGTGGAAAAAGCAAGGAAAAACTTATAATTTAAACTCTTTTCAGTATGGAATTGAGAATAAAAAGCACTTTTTATGTACTTTGGAGACGATGAGGGCAATGTTCCATGTATTGAAAAATCGATTGCAAGAATTGCAAGAAATTCTTTCAATCTTCTCAGGACATTCCCAGGACATTCCGATGAATTCTCGTGAGACAAGGCGGATTTCTCTCTTTGAGGTTATGTCAGACCTTTCTTCGCAAAGTGCGCGAAATCCATGAACTTGTGCGGAATTAATTCTCAGCATTGTTACGAATAATATTTCATCACTTCTCTGAGAGTAAAACTCAGTGTTTGCCTGACTTTCTCAAGTTCAAGAATGCCTCCTTCGCCATTGTTTGCCTTTCCGCGCGCGCGCGCAAAAAAAATTGTGATCTCAAGAGTCGTCAAAGCGCTTCAAACTGGCGGAAAAAAATGCTAATTACTTGCCTCTTAGGTGGCCTTTTTTGCGGCACACCCTTTTCCAATGTCCGAGTGTCTCGAGGACGAGAAAAGCCTATAGACAAATTAATAATATTTCAAGAAAACGTGCTCACGGGCAATTAAATGTCGTGATTCAGTGTCTTCTTCATTTGTACACTTTCTCTGGAGGTTTAAATGACAAAGAGTGGAAGGAAAAAAAGCAATGTGTAACTTGTAAAAATTTCGCTGATTTTTTGGCGCGCAAATGGACAATGAATATTCCGAGATCGTCGCGCGAAAGCCATGGCAAGTGAAGAAAAAAGTGTATTGAACACACGGTTATGCAATTGGTGGGTCTGTAGAGGTACATATATGCTTTTTTTCGTTGTGTCTTGAAATTTCCCTGCCATGGTTTTTTTCGTGGTCATGCGCGCTCGCGCGATCTCTGGATGATGAATGGCTCCATTTGATGGCAATCTTCATATAGCGATTGAGGGAAGTTTTTTGTGCCTCATCTGGTCAAATTCAATGGGTTTCTGGGTCGAAATTCCTCGGTAATACATTCAATTTCACTTTCATTTGCCATTTCTTCTGCGCACATGTGACGCTAACCTGGCTTTAGGGGAGAAATAACGCCATTTTTAGGCGTCATGTTTGATTTTGTGTGCAACAAAACGATTTTCTGATCTTATGTTCATTTGGAAATCTATAAATTTTGATAGTTATCGCATTGTATGGTGTGATTCAATCACACACTTCTGCGTGATTCTCTGGCCCACATTCACGCCAAACATCGCCTGTCTTGGCTTCCGGAAATGTGCAAAAAGCACTGGTGTTTGCAAGCCGCACGCAATTGAGGTGCTCTCAGGCCATCTTAGACGGTCAAGTATTGCGAAAAACTCGCAATTTTCACAACAAATCGCACAGTGAATTGAATTCATTGCCCTCAGTCTGTCCAAATCTTGTGCATTGTGAATTTAAATGGTTGCTCTTGAGGAGGAAAAAGCACGAAAATTGGGACAATTAGCACGTGCGATTGAAAATAACATCTCTCTTTCTCTCTCGCGCGCGTTTGTCTTGCAGTGGATGACGCAAGTGGCCACTACAGTCCGGGCTTCTTCTTCGGCAACAACTACTGGATGGGCTCGATAAATCTCTGTTCGGCCATAGCGAGTGATGAGGCAGAAAAAGTAATCAAGTTTGGTAATTTACAACCACTTTCCGGGTTACAAGAGCACAAGAGAGATTTAAAGATTCGCTTCACATTTAGGCGAGGCGAAGGCTGGTCTGTCCTCAGCTGTGAGCTACAGACACGATGGCAGGAAGATGAGGAACGATAGGAGTCCATTTGTGCCTGGATTCTTCGTTCTCAAGCTCAATTTTCACGCTAGCAATTTAACACACGCGGTGAGTTGTTGAAATGTGCTTCCCAGTCATAAATATTTCGTGATTAATTGGTGAATTTCCTCAGCCACGCACTCTCTACATCGGACTGTGTTTGCCTTCCTCGTGCACAGAGGCAGACGTCCTGGCCATGGCCAAGAACCTGCACGAGGACAAAAATGAAGGCCAAAGTCATACCACAATCCTGGACGTGCGATCGCCGACGAAGAAGCGCTACGAATTCACCTCAGATCCGACCTTTTACATTCTACTGTAAGCCAATTGTCTCTCCACCTCCATCTCCTCTCCTCATGTAATGATTCTCATTCTCTTTCTCTTCAGCGTGACCGTGATCTGCGTTTCCTGCCTCCTGATCGCCGGCACCATTTACGATCTCATCCTGATCAGGCGGAGCCAAAAGTGCGCCGAGTTGAAGGCCAAATCGAAGGAATTAGCTACTGATCTGTCTTCTGGAGGACTGGGATGCATCACATACGACCTGACCAGCGCAATGCCCAACAGGGAGAAGATGGAAAAGGCTCGAGGACTGAACAATAACAATTCGGATGAGAATTTGGCCGTGGAATCGCTGGATCATCAAGAAGAAACCCGAAGTGAGTCAATACAATCTTCATTACCTTCATTGTAATGTCTGTTCTTGCTATCTAATTTGTTCTGCGTTAATGTAGGTACTTTTCTTTGTCAATCCCTTGAAGGTTCGACCTTTACCTAACATTTGAGCATAGAAATCTCAAGAGCATAAACTTAAATCGATTAACGCACGATTTTTCCCGTCAATTGATATTATTATTACGCTTTCCCATGGAAGAAAATCTTTTTGAAACACACGGAAAGTGTTTCGAAGAAGAAAAGAATTCAAAGAAAATGAATTCTTACTCAACTAATCTCTAAAAATATGCATTTATCGTTGGATAAGTGTCTTTTGAAGATGTCTTACAAGCCAATTTGCAGTCAATTGAGAATTGTCGTTGGAAACATATTAATTTAGCCCCTCTTTTCGCTCATTTCGCAATCACTAGGGCAAATGAGCCTTACAAATGAGCCCTCTTTCACACTCGGAGGAGGAAGAGAAAATCCACGAGCTTTTGATTGCAATTTGGGCCACACACATTTGACGATGCGACGCCAGCGAGTTGCCACAGATTGTGTAAATATTTGGTGTTCTTTTGCAATTGAAAAATGCAATCTCGCACGTTCGCGCGCAATCGCTAAGATAATGAGAGTGATGCTCGTGGATTGGAACGATTTCAGAATAATATCTTTCTCTCTGGTGCATTTCAAATTGGAGAGAGAAGCGACGTAATGTTTTTGTGGTGAGGAGAAAGATTGGTGTTAGATCACTCTGTGTTGTCGTTATTTGAATATAACAACTCATATTGAATGTTGCACGCTCTGATACACTTTGAGAGACGGAAAAGCCTGTTGGATAATGCGTCGATGATTAATGTCATTAATTACTAAAGTAATTCAGGAGACTCACCATGAGTCAGTGGCCCCGATTTTTGGGGCTGTTTTGCCAGTGAAGTGTGTGATGAACTTTCGTCATAGTTTTGCACATTGTGTAAATGATCAGATCTTACGTCATTTGGCCGGACAAAATTGGAGAAGGTCCGATTATAGATGCATATTACTCCACTTGTGAATGTCATTACCTCGCGGGCGATGTGACAAAACTACCTCTTCTGGCCAATGCTCAAGGTTGATGAAGAAATTTGTGCGGGAAAGATGCCCTAAAAAACCAGTTCTCAAATTGAGTCCCGACTAAATCCTTGCAGGTGTCTTCGCTGAGATGCTCCTATCCTTCTCGGTTGTGACCAATTTCAAGGCCATCTGCGATAGCAGCGTGGGAAGTGACACAATATCGTCAATACACGGCTTGAGGGCAGTTTCCATGGCCTGGGTGATTTTGGGGCACACCTGCATCATTGTCTTCAAATACTCAGACAACATGGATCTCAGGAAGACGGTGGAGAAGGAGTTCTGGTTCCAGACCATCACCAATGGCGCTTTCAGCGTGGACACATTCTTCTTCATCAGTGGCTTCCTCGTGGCCTACATTTACTTCCGCACCAATGCCAAAGGGAAGCTGGAGAAGTTGTCCAAGGGTGTCAATGAAGTCACTGCCGGCGCTCTGCACTTTATAGGTCTCGTTGGGTACAGATTCATGCGCCTCACGGCTCCCTATCTCTTCGTCCTCGGCTGCGTTGAGCTGCTGATGAAGTACTTCGAACAGTACTCAGTCTTCGAGCCGCCCACGATGGATCACGACAATTGCCCCAAGTTCTGGTGGCGCAATGTCCTGTACATCAACACACTGTTCCCAGTTGAGGAGATGGTGAGTCCCTGCTAAACTGTTACTATTCCCTTCTTGCACAATCTTGAATATAATACACCTATTTATGAGCATATAAATTTCACTGCGATATGCGAAATTATGAATTATTAATAGTAATTCTCGTGCAAATTGAGAAATCTTCTGCTCGATGGACTTTGGCATTAAAATTGAATCATTATTGTTATGAAACAATACGAAGAACAATTAACTACAATTAGATAGTGCTAATGAATGTGTACAAGATGTGACTTTGATGATTTGCCTGGTGGCGACCAAACAGGGAAGCCAAGAACGTGTTGGCTTCTCGGCGGAAATGGTTAAAGCAAATATTGTAGAACTTGTAAAAGTAAACAACGGTGCATGTTTTTGATTATTTACCAACATTTTTCAACGTCTGTCGCTAAAGATTCAGAAATATTTGACAAATCATCGCGAATTGTGCTCAATGTGATGTTTTGATATCCTTGAAGAGGTTAAAATAAAAGTCAGGACACACTTTGAGAACACTTTCAATTTCATCTATTTTTTGGGTTTCGTGAGGATTTTCCAATCACATTTCGCAACATCTCGCATGCGTCGCGCGACAAAGACGTGTGAAGTGACTTTTATGTCCAATTTATATGTTTGACTTTGAATTTAAAGCGACATTTGCAATCACTTTGATTATCATTTTTCCTCTCAGTTGAGATCAAATATTTGACTTTCTGGGCATTTTCGAATGTAATGAAATTTATTTTTTCAGTAATGCTTGTGCAATATCCGCCAAGGGGCGCGCAAATGTTCATTTTTTCAAGCCTATTGAGTGCTGGAAAGTGAACTTTTGGGATTATTTTTCGTTATTTGTATTGAAAATTGTCTTGTTCAAGAAGACACTCAACACTTTCGCTTTCGCGAGAAAGTGAAGCGAGCACCAAAAGGGCTCTAATTATCACAGATTATCTATAATCTCCGATCTGGTTTGATAATTCCATGATCTTTTTTCTTATTGTTGATTCCTTTATAATTGAATCACATCTTCAAATGTTTGCTTAGAGTAATTGTTTTACTTATGAGAAGGTACGAAAAAGAAAATTGCAAGAAAAACAGAAATGTTTATTAACAACAGCTCTTCTTTGCAATTCTTTGCATTTTCGTGAAATTTGAATTTAAGACTCTTGATTTTCTTGCATCTCTTTTCTGCCTCTTCCTTTTCACTGTTTTGCTGCACTTTTGGAAGTGCGTGCGAAAGTGTGGAAGCTGACTGAAGTTCCTTCTTGTAGTGCATGCTGTGGAGCTGGTATCTGGCCAACGACACGCAGTTCTACATCATCGGCGCCGTCATCCTGATCGTGGCCGTGCGGCATCTGCGCGTGGCCGCAGCCGTGGTGTCGGTCATCATGGTGTGCTCATGGGCGATTACGGGCCTCATCGCGTACAACAACAACCACATCCCCAACACAGACGACCCGCTGGCGCTCTTCGACATGATCTACGACAAGCCGTGGACGCGCATCGGGCCGTACATGATCGGCATGAGCGTAGGCTGGATTCTGTTCCGCAGCAACTGCCAGCTGCGCATGAGCAGGCTCACCGTGGCGCTGGGCTGGATGATGTCCAGCGCCGTGGGGCTGTACCTCATCTACGGCCTGTACGGGCAGGAGCTGAACCAGCTGGGCGGCGCGGCGTACAGCAGCCTGAGCCACTCGGCGTGGGCGCTGAGCCTCGCCTGGATCATCATCGCCTGCTCCACGGGGCACGGAGGCTACGTGAACACCTTCCTGTCGGCGCCCTGCATCTATCCCTTCTCCAGAGCCACCTACTGCGCCTACCTCGTGCATCCCATCGTCATCCGCATCATGGCGCTCAATTCCACGGCGCCGCTGCACCTCGGCACGGACTCAATGGTGAGTGTGGCGCATTTCGTGTCCTATCACGACTGGAAGCACTTACATGCCTCTTCTGCAGATGGTGTACTTCTTCGGGCAGCTCGTCTGCTCCTACTTGCTGGCCTTCATCGTGTCGCTGGCCTTCGAAGCGCCCGTTGTCACGATGCTGAAGATCCTGAAGCGGATATGAGCCTGTGTCGTCGTCGCAGTAATGATATTGTATCTCCCCTTGTCTTAAGCTTTAGCGATAGTGTGAATAAAGTCTCTCCGTCCAGAAAAGTCTTGCGCGCCAATGTTCGACGAAGCGTTGCCATGGCGAGGCGACGTGACAAACGAACTGTCCAATTAATTGCGGAAATACACAGTGGGAAAAGTGCTCTCTTGCCAGATCTCAGACTTTCCCTGGATCGCGGCGGCGAAGAAGAGCGGCCGCTGTGCAGCAGACAGTGAAGCTGAAGTGAGATTTTCAATTGGGGAAACAGCAATCGTCGAGTTTCCCGGTCGCGACCCGTGAAATTGCTGGCGGAATTTGCTGATTCGCATCTTCAGAGAGGCTCCGCTTGAAGATCCGAAAGAGTATTTAAGTGAGGAATTCAATTGAAGGCGTTTTTTACTCGTTACAAAGTAAACATTTGGTAATTGAGCGAGTGGAGAACACAAGGTGTTGTCGAAGTTTTCTGCTTAGTATTGATTAGCTGATTTTTCTTCCGTTGACTCGTATTTGTTAAAGTATTTCTCAAAGAATTCATCAATTCTTATGCTATGAAATGACCCACAAAATTATCTGAAGACTCAAATTCCGCAGATATATATTTGTGAAGTCATCTGGACTAGCCCCTCTTGTTCACCAGCAAAAAGCGCGCCAAGATCTTCAGCGCCCGAGTTCGGCTCTGGCTCTGATCTTCACTTCTTCGCGGCGCTCTGCGGCACCTGTCAGTGATGTTTGTGTACCTGAGTAAGAAGATCGCGATTCCCAACAACACGCGCCTCAACTGCATCTCGTGGAACCGGGAGCAGGGCTATGTGGCTGTGGGCGGCGACGAGGGCCTGCTGAAGGTGCTGAAGCTCGAGGCAGCGGCGCAGGGCGGCCAGGCTCGCGGCGGCCTCGCGGCGCCCAGCAATCTGTCCATGAACCAGACGCTGGACGGTCACAAGGCGTCCGTGCAGGTGGTGACGTGGAATGAGGCGCAGCAGAAGCTGACCACTTCGGACAGGGACGGTGTGATCATGGTGTGGATGCTGTACAAGGGCTCCTGGTACGAGGAGATGACCAACGATCGCAAGAAGTCCACGGTCAAGGGCATGGCATGGACGCGCGACGGCCAGAAGATCTGCATCGTGTACGAAGACGGCGCGATAATCGTGGGCTCGGTGGATGGGAACAGGATCTGGGGCAAGGAGCTCAAGGGAACGCCGCTGACGGGCGTCCAGTGGAGCCCTGATGGCCGGCTGCTACTCTTCAGCGTTCGCTCCGGCGAGCTTCATCTGTACGACAACCAAGGCGCCTTCGTGATGCGTCTGCACGTGCAGTGCGTGAGCCTCGGACCTTCGAGATCGCTCTCCATCGCCTCTTGCGTGTGGTTCTCGGGCTCAGCGCCGGCCAATCGGCCAGTCTTGGCTGTTCTGTACGAAACAGGGCGAATGCAGCTGATGAGGAGCGAAAATGACGACCTGCCCATCATTGTGGACACACAAATGCAGGCCATCTCGTGCCAGTGGAATCACGATGGCGCAATCCTCGCCGTGTGCGGCATGAAGAGCTCAGGGAGCGACAAGGAGTCCAACCAGGCAATGTTCTACTCCGCTTATGGCGTCCACTTGAGGACGCTGAAGATCCCAGGACGTGAAGTGACTTCGCTGGCGTGGGAGGGACGATCTCTGAGGATCGCCTTTGGAGTGGATTCCTTCATCTACTTCGCCAACATCCGACCGGACTACATGTGGTGCTCCTTCGCCAAGACGGTGGTGTTTCTAAACGCTGACGGAGTCACTTTCACCTTCTGGGACACAAGCTCGAACCAGTGCTTCAGCAAGAGCGTTGAGACGCCTCTCAGCGTGGCCGCATCTGTTGATCACTGCGTTCTGGCCGTGGAAGCTCCACGTTTGGCCTCCAGGGACGCCAATGTGGCGGTGGAGAACAACTTCCCCGACCAGGCGATGTTTCAGCTGCTCGTGTGCAACTCCATGAGCACGACAGTGGACTCCAGGTGAGTCAGAAGACACAGTTTTTGGACAATATCCAGGAATGCTATTCTCTTCTTTCAGGTACATCGACCTCTGGCCACATTTCGTGGCCATGAACAGCAGTCACGTTGCTGTGGCTTCGAAGGAGCAGTTCCTGCTGTGGCCCTATCGCACGCCCAAGGGCGTCTCCGCACTGCCGAGCACAAAGGCTCGGAGGGAGCGTCGCTTTCACGTGGACGACACGCCATCAGGCGTAGCGGAAGTGCTGAATGACCTGGACAGGGGCGGTTTCGAGGTACCCACAGCCACTGGCGGGACAACGGACCCCATCTGCTGCATCGCGGCCTCGGACAAGGTGCTGCTGGTGGGCAGAGAAAGCGGAACTATGCAGGAGTACAGCATTCCGCACGTGGCGCTCCTGCATCGGCACACCGTGCCGGGCAGAGCTTACAAGATCGCCGTGAACAGCAACAGCACGCGCGCAGCGGTTATTGACGCCACGGGCGCGCTCACGACACTGTCTCTAGGCGGCAGAGAGGCGCCTGGCAGCCAACTGGAGCGCAAGGATGTGTGGGCGATGTGCTGGGCGAGAGATAATCCGCAATTGTTAGCGATCATGGAGAAAACGCGAATGTATGTGCTGCGCGGAGCGGATCCGGAGGAGCCAATCTCCTGCTCAGGCTACATTTGCAACTTTCAGGTAAGAAAGAATGAGAGAGGTTCCTCGCTTGTGCGTGCAAGTCTTTCGTTAACGCACGCTGCCTTTGCAGGATCTAGAGATCACTGGAGTGCTGCTGGATGATATTGTGAGCGGCAGTGCGACGCCCAACAGTGCAGATCACATTCTACAGTTGCGCGTGAAGTCCCTGAGGGACACTGAGGAGCTGCTGAATCACGTGGGAATTGCGGAAGCGAAGCAATTCATTGAAGATAATCCGCATCCGCGCCTCTGGCGTCTTCTGGCAGAGGCTTGCCTGAAGAAGCTGGACTTAGAGACGGCCGAGGCTGCTTTCGTGCGGTGCACAAACTACGCGGGATTGCAGCTGATCAAGCGCTTGCGCAGCATCCAAAACGAGAACCTGAAGAGGGCCGAAGTGGCATCGTTCTTTGGAGACTTCGACGAAGCCGAGAAGCTCTATATCGACGCCGATCGCCGGGATTTGGCCATCCAGCTGAGACAGACGCTGTGCGACTGGTTCAGAACAGTGCAGCTGTACAGAATGGGACCGGGAATCTCTGACCAGCAGATGGAGCAGGCCTGGGTGGAGATTGGCCATCACTTCGCCCACCTGAGATCCTGGGAGAGCGCGCGGGAATACTACGAGAAGGCGCACCACATCGAGGGACTGATGGAGGCGCTTTATCAGCTGGAGCTGTATGAGGATTTAGAGGCGTGTGTGGCCAGGGTTCCGGAAGGCAGTCCTCTGCTGGCGCGTTTAGGACAGATGCTCTCCTCCGTGGGCATGTGCGACGCCGCCGTTGGCGCTTTCTTACGCCTGGGCGACGTGAAGTCCGCTGTGAACTGCTGCGTGGCGCTCAGACAATGGGGAGCGGCCGTCGAGCTGGCGCAGAAGTACCGAATGCCTCAGATAGGCGCCCTCCTGGCGAAGCACGCCGCTCAGTTGCTCCAGGACGGACGCCTGCCCGAGGCCGTTGAGCTGCAGCGCAAGGCTGGACGGTTTTTGGACGCTGCGCGTTTGTTGGTGCGCCTGGCGGAGGATGAGGTGGCGCGGAAAGCCGACCGGCTGCTCATCAAGAAGCTCTACGTGTTGGCGGGACTTCTGACTGAGGATCACGTGAGCGTGCAGTGTTCTCTCACGGGCAACAGCCGGGCGACGGTGATGAGCCACTTGTCACCGGAAGACGCGCTGCTGATCGAGCGCATTTGGCAGTTCGCCGAAGGCTACCACTTCCTGCTCCTCGCTCAGCGGCAGCTGAAGTCGGGCCTGATGCACAGCGCAGTGCTCACGACGCTCAGGCTGCGGGAATACGAGAATGTGCTGGACGCCGAGGAGATTTACGGGCTGCTGGCGCTCGCCAGCTGTGCCGATCGCTCCTTCGGCACTGCCTCCAGAGCCTTCATCAAACTGGAGGCTCTAGAGGCGTTGCCGGAGCCGCGCAGAGTGCAGTACGAGGAGCTCTCGGTGGCCATCTTCTCCAGGCACGAGCCCACCGACACACAGACGGACAGGGCGTCATGCTTCACCTGTGAAGCCCTCGTGGCTGATTCCTGCGCCTCCTGTCCACACTGCGGCACCAGATTCCCCGCTTGCGTTGCCTCTGGCAGAGCTCTCGTGAATCCCACAGACGCCTGGCTCTGCGCCGTGTGTCACCACTTGGCAAGCCCTGGGGAGATTGCCACGAGGCGTTCCTGCCCACTATGTCACGGCCTGATCGGCGCCACGTCGTCAGGAGCGCGTGACAGCACGGATCTCTGAATAAACAACACTCTTCACCTCACGGACGCTTTATTACTTACTCAAAACCCTCAGGACGTGCGGCACTCAGTTGCGCGCTGACCTCTCTGTCTCCAGGAGACACTCCCGGACAAGAATTCGCGCGTGCACGATGATTCGCTTGAGGCGCTCCGCTGACGAGCGACTGCCTGAGTAGGAAGGCCGGATGTCCCTGCCCATCTCCTCGATCACGGCCAGTAGCTGTGCGTACTTCGACAGGCCGCTCGTGCTGTTGGAGGACGTGGAGTTGGGCGTGATGGCCGAGATGGACGCCACCGAGGGCCCGGAAAACTGACCGTGGCTGATTTGTGGTTGGAAGTGACTCTGCGGCTGCTGAGACGGCCTCACCATCGGAATGGGCGTCACGGTGACATCGCTCAGCTTCGATTCCACACTGTAAATGTCCATGGGCTCCATGCCGAATGCGCCAGGCGGAAGAACTTCCTGGAATCATGGAAGACGGTCAACTAGAGGCATTCAGCGTTTTACTGTGCAATTTCAGGAGTGATTTGTGACTCACCACAAGAAGATGCTGGTAATACTGCTTGATCGGCGGCTTTTCTCGTGAAATGTGCGGAAAATGAGGAAAATAAAGCAATAGAAGAAAGCAAAACAAACCAAGCTGACCGACAGTAAACACCCGGTTGACGAGTTCTCGCCACTGAAGTTGGCTACAAATCAACACCTCACAAATAGCAATTGCGTAGCGGAAAAAGAAAATCGTAATTTATTTACCTTGAAAAATCCATGATTTTTTTCAAAATTACAAAGAGTGGAAATGACTTTAAGCCATCTAAACTCTATTTAACTTAATTTAAATGAATGAAGAAGTGTGATAAGTGTACAGAGAGCCGTCCTTAACGACTGTCGTTATCATTATCTACAGTCTTCATCTCTGCTTACAGGACTCTAGAAAAATCTTCAGATTCCTCTCAACTCTATTGACGTTTCTGCCTCGCGAGAAGAAAACATTGCGGAAAACTCCCTTTTTCACTGGGAAAAACACCTCAAAATGTGGCGAAAGTGCTTCACAGGAGGAACAGTGGTTGTCGCCAGCCTGACTCTGTGGAAGACCAATGTTGTCCTCGCAGAAACCAGGAGAATGAAGGTGTGAAAATGTGGAAAAGCACAGAGGAAAAAGTCACGAGACGAAATATGTATTTCAGCAAGAGAACTCCGTGAAGCTGACGTCCAGGGAGCGGAGATTCATCAATTTTGCATCCGTGGAGATCGATGGGCAGCTGTACATGACACCACAGGACTTCCTGGATTCGGTGGTGGAGCAGGAGCCACGGCCACGGCTGAAGAGAAAGTCTCTGGCGATGGCTGAGATTGGCTTCGTGAAAGATGTCACGCCGGCGCTGCACAAGGGCTCCTCGCAGCTCTTTAGGAATCTCAGAGACAAAGGTGAGCCTCCTGAATGGGAGTATCAAATTTTCCGGCTTTCGAGAGTCTTCGGCCGAGAATCTTATCCATTTCCTCCGGTTGAAGGCCTTTAGGCTGGCTGACCTTGATTGCCAGGTGGTTTTGTGTCAGAACTTCTCCAGATTCCACGTCTCTGGAGAAGACCAGAGATTTTCCCAGTTTCTGGAAGCAGTCAATTTCACATTGCAATAATTTCCGGCACTTTTCTCCTGAGAAGGCTGAGTTTAGATCAACTTTTGGGATCATGTTCAGGGTAATCAGGGCAGAGATGATCTCTGAAACATCGTGAATCCGTTTTTCGCCGAGGAAATGCTCTAGTTTTCTCACATTCTCCACAAATTGACTCATTTCCTTCGGCTCAAGGGAGCATTTGTGGTCAGATCCTTTGAGATTCTTGTCCAGCGTGAAGTGTCGCTCCACAATTTTAGCTCCCATCGCAACAGCGGCCAGAGAAATCTCCTGACCAATCTCGTGACCAGAATATCCGACGATAGCCTTGGGAAAGCACTTCTGAAACACCTCAATGAACTGAATATTGGCATCCTGCACTCTTGTGGGATAGGAGGAGACGCAGTGCAGAAGCCCGAAAGATCTCTCCGCCATCAGAGAGTGGATCTGCTCAATGGTTTCCTGTCTTTGCATGCCTGTTGAGATGATCAGTGGCACTCCTGAATCTCTGGCTTTCTTTATCAGCGGCAAATTGTTGGCATCTCCGGAGCCAATCTTCACCAGAGGCACTCCCATGGCCAGAAGTTCATCCAGAGCAACTTCGTCCATCGCAGAAGCTGTAAAGATTATATCATTCTCTGCGGAAAATCTCTGCAAATCCCGGAAATCCTCAGCAGAAAACTCCAAGAAGCTCTTGTGCTCTCCATAAGTGGCTCCGAAGGAGTTCAGCGAGGTGTAAGGCCGCTCGAGAGCGCTCCTGGTAAACTTCGCACTGAGATTTGATCGCTGGAACTTCACACAATCCACGCCGCATTGTTTCGCCTCCAGTATCAATTCCTTGGCCAGGTTAATATCTCCCTGATGATTCTGACCGATTTCTGCTACGATGAAGCAAGGTTTTCCTTCTCCAACAATTTTATCGCACACTTTAAGAGCCATCTGAAAAGCTCCGACATTTACTTGAGAGCCAGAGATAATCAGGAAGTCAGAGAGGAATTGGGAGAACATTTGTGGAATTCTCTACAATACCTGGTCAGAGAAGTAGAAGCACTTACGTGGAATTTCTTTCCAGGAATTGTTTCTTACACGGAATATCTCTTCCTGCTCTCAATTTTAACAAGTAAGTGAGATTTTTAATAATTTTCACCAATTTGAGGGTTTTTAAAATTGATATGTTATGAATTTTTCCAGAGCCTCATTCAGCATTTCGCATTGCCTTCAACATGTTCGACACGGATGGCAATCAGAGAGTTGATAAGCATGAATTTCTTGTGGTAAGATTATAATTTTGCACACTTGATTGTGCTCAATTTCAATATATTTGCACAATTTTTCATTGTCATTTTTCAATTTATTTTTCAATTATTTGTTTAGATTCGTGAACTTTTTGGTGGTTCCCTGAAAAATAGGGAGTTAGACCCAGAAACCAAGAAAACTGTAGGTTTTATTTCAACCCCAAAACATTCTATATATTTTCCACAAACCAAAAACACATTTTAACATTCTGGCTTTAAACTAATCCCAAATCAATACTTTGTTTGAACAACTGGAAAATGTGATTAAGCTGAAGTAATCACGTGTATTCCCTCAATTTTCTAGATGGAACGCATTTTTAGCTATGCTTGGCGAGAAAAACGAGGCATTGGAAGTGACAAGGAACAAACAGTGAGACACTTTTCCAAAACTTAACGATTTGAAATCGACAAAAGACACCCTCTAGATTAGGATTCGTCACAGTGCGAGGGAAATCTAATTGCAATTCCCTTCCAGGACTACTTAATGGATAACGACGAGGGCCTTCAGAGGCGCCACAAGATTGACACAACGCTGCAAGTGCATTTCTTCGGGTCGAAGGGCAACAAGGATCTCCATTACGAGGGATTCTACAAGTTCATGGATGATCTGCAGACGGAAGTGCTGGAACTGGAGTTCAATGAGTTCTCAAAAGGCAAACCGGCAATATCGGAGATCGATTTCGCCACGATTCTCTTGCGCTACACATACTTGGACGTGGATGATCATGACAAGTATCTGGACAGATTGCTGGATCGCGTGGAGGAGAAGGGCATCACGTTCAAGGAGTTCCGCAACTTTTGCCAGTTCCTCAACAATCTGGAGGACTTCAGCATCGCCATGCGAATGTACACTCTGGCCGATCGTGCCATTTCCAAAGACGAGTTCTCACGCGCCGTGAAGATCTGCACGGGATTCACGCTCACGCCGCACATCATCAAGACAGTCTTCGCACTCTTCGACGAGGATGGCGATGGCTTGCTGTCCTACAAGGAATTCATTGCCATCATGAAGGATCGTCTGCACCGCGGATGCAAAGTAGGTTCTCTTGAACAGATCCCCCTTTGTGTGGAATTCTTGCCTTTGCTAACATACAAATCCTTTTTCCCACAGTCAAATCAACGAGTCGAAGGCTGGGACGCCTTCAAGGCGTGCCTGAAGAACGAAATCCGTCAGAATCGCTTGTAAAAGTCATTGGGTGAATGCAACATTTCTAGTCTATCTTTGATCTTCCGACAAATATTTCACAAATTGTTACTCTCTGTTAATGCAATATTTATTTTGAGTCTTTTTTAAATACTTTTTTCAAAACTCTCGTTAAGACATTTTTGCGTGTGTGTGTGTTTCATATTGTTAAATAAAAAGAAGTCTTTCAACATCACAAACATGCTTTTGTGCCCGAAAAAGAAAAACAGACAGAAATCAAGCAAAGAAGAATCACAGGAAAGACAGAAAAAAGTGGGACATATCAGCATAACTATTTGCGCTTCTTCTTCTCCTGCTTTCGCCTCTGGTGATGTCGCTGCTTTGGATCATTTTGGGGCGTAGAGTGTTCGGAACTTGTGTCGTCACTCTCATCGAGCTGCGATTCACAGAAAATATGGCGTCAGAATCCTCTGTCAAGAGTTGAGAAGGAAAGCATCACTGACCTTTTTGCTCTTATCCCAGCCATTGAAGCACTTCATGAGGGACGTCGGCAGGAAGATGATCGTCGTGAGGCAGATGACCTGGAATGTAGCACTTAAGTACAATCCAATGCGAATAGCCTTGTTCAGGAAGTCCTCAGACGCCCCCAAAGCCAGTGTAGCGTCCACAGTTGACATTCTCCCTAGGCTGAAATGGGAAAAAATGGCCTCAATGCATTTCCTCAGATCCCGCCTACTTGCAAGCCACGCCCAATGCGAAACTCCACAACTACGCCCCTGCGCATGCTTAGCACTTATCTCTCTAATGCTTAATTGGGCTCGAAATGCTCCGAAGACGCAACATTTGGGGTCACATTGACTTTATGACGAGTGAGATTGCCTGATAGTGATTATCTCATGAGCAGTTGGCGTAGTTGAGCGTGGAATTCAGTGGATATCTGCTGTTTTCTGCACAAACACACCCACGCTGCGACTGAGAACGGCTTCAGTTGAGAGAAAACAGACAGTGTGTGAGGAAGTGGCTTCGGAATCGGCTGAAATGGAGATTTCCCTCAAGAATAAGATCATCCTCGTCACAGGCGCTGGCCAAGGTGAGTAAATACATCAAACTGAGGAATCAGTAATGTCAGGAAGCTCTGAAATGTCTCTCTGTGCGACCCCCAGGCATTGGGAATGAGCTCTGTCGACGCCTGTCCACAGCTGGCTGTCACGTAATCGGCGTCTCCAGGTCTGTTGCTCCGCTGCAAGACCTGAAGCGCGACTGTCCTGAGATTGAGACAATCTCTGTGGACCTCAGCGACTGGAAGGCAACTCGTCGGAGCCTGAATCACATCAAGAAGGTCGACGGAGTGGTGAACAATGCCGGAATAGCCGTCGTGAAGCCCTTCGAGGAGCTGACAGAGGAGGATTTCGACCGGACTTTCGCCATCAATTCCAAGGCCGTGTTCAATGTGTCACAGATGATGGCCTCCCGGATGCCCAGCATGGGCGGAAGCATCGTGAATGTGTCCTCTCTGGCCTCCATGCGCTCCTTCCAGGGACACTCTGTCTACTCCGCCAGCAAGGCCGCCGTGGACTCCATCACGCGCAGTCTGGCCCTGGAGCTGGGCCCCAGGAACATCCGCGTAAATAGCGTCAATCCCACTGTCATTCTCACGCGAATGGGCAGGGAGAACTGGAGCGATCCGGCCAAGGCAAAGCCCCTGCTTGACAACATCCCACTTCACCGCTTCGGGGAGGTTTCCGAGGTGGTGGACGCGATTGTGTACCTCCTCAGCGACAAGTCATCCTTCATGACAGGACACAGCCTGCCCCTCGAGGGGGGCTACTGCGCCTGTTGAAGCCCCAAAGGACGCTGTCGCGAATCACTGGCAAACACCCCACAATTCGACACTTTCAATCTGTATTTTCACTCGTCAGGCACAATAGGGGATCTAGAGATGGAGAAGAAGCAAAACTTACCAGGTTCTATAGGCTATTTTCCAGGATTTTCCACCCTTTTTCACACCTCTGTTATTGTTTTGCTTGTACGCAAAATTCCGGAGTCGACGCGGAGCTTTTGACGTTCAGCACGTTGACAGGTTTCTCAGGGGCTCGAGAGCTTTTCTACGGCGCGATTTTGCAGTATGAATAGAAAAAAACATAAACTTTTCCTTCTCTTTTATATATTAATTAATTAAAAGGATATAATAGGGCATATAATATCTAACTACACATTTGTCTCATGTTTCAATCTCTCCTCACGCGCCTTCTTTAGCCCTCTTCTTGTCCTCATCGTTCTCGTTTTTTTTTATCCACTATACAAATTATATTCTCTAGAGATTATTCCTTCAATATGTTGAAGTGCTGAAGAAGAAACTCAAAAGAATTAAATATATTAAGCGAAGAAGAAAAGGAAAATTGATATACTGTAAGTGTTAAATTCTCTCTCTCTCTCTCTCGCTTGCTCGCTCGCCTCTCATACAATCCTGGATATCACATTAATTGTATACAGATTATCGTCTGCGTCCTTTTTCTTTCACCTTCTCTCCCCACTCACACTCTAATCCTTTAATGTAGATCGTTATTAAATAAGGGGTTGATTTTTATAGATAAATAAAGTTCAAAATTGCATTTCGTCTCAATCTTTGTTCCTTCTGAAGCCGATTTGTGTTCTCTTTTTGAAAGATTTTCCCTCTGCAATTTGTCGCAATAAGTGAAAAAAAATTATCACAGAGCTGTGCATCTTTTTTTTCCCACTTTCACACACCCTCGCGTTCGTTTATCATTTATGTGTTTTTCTCTTCATCCTTATTTACCACAATGTTTGAGGAAAAAGAAATATATTTAGTGTACTACAAATCTTCATCGAATATATTGAACAATTTCTCAATTGGGTGAAGAGGAGTGATTATTACTTTCTTTTTGGCGCTTCATTGCTACTCAATGTTCCTCTGTTTTAAATTCCTAAATCCTTAATCTCCAGAACGGGGCGCGAAAACACCAACTTGTAGAGCAAAACAGCTAAACATTTACACACATTCAATGGCCTCTTTTGTCCACCTGTTTTTCGCAATGACAGTAAAAAAGATCGCATCTCAATTGGTTTTCTCCCTCTTTCTTATTTCACACACCTCTCAAAAATATGCTTCATACCTTCCAACAAAAGAAACTAACCGTGAAGAAAGTGATTTGAAGTGAAATCTCACAGGAAGCAGCATTATTAAAGAAAAAGTTTCGCAAGGATTCCGAAGAATAAGTCTCAAACAAAAATTTACAAACTTTGATTAAAATCATAAATAGGGAAAAGTCTAAAAGAACGTTCATCGATGAACGGATGGATTTTTGCAGGGCGACAAATATTAATTTATACAATGCTCTTCCTAGTTATGAATCCTAAATCCTTCTCCTTCTCGACATCATCATCATCATCATCTCACTTCCATTTTATCCAATATTACTTCAATTAATCGTAATTGTTAGGTATAATTATTTGATAGAGTTGATAGTTTTGCATAGTTCTGCCTCGCATAGTCATCGCAGCGCCGGGATTCGACGCACCACTACCTAGTGGAGTCTGGTGTCACCTCCTTGGACGACACGGACGAACTCGTCCGGATCTCGCGCGACTTGCCAGGCACCGCCGGCCGCCCTCGCGGCGCCGCGCTCAGACTTGGTGGCACAACACTCTTTGCTGTTTTTGGTTTCGTCAGCACGCCTCGACTCTGTGGCGGCTCCGCTACGCTCTCCTCGCGCACCTCAGCCTTCCTCTCCTCCTCGCGCGACGCCTCAGGCGCCGCTGACTCAGCCGCCTCGGGCTTCGCTACCCGGAACGCCTCCAGATTAGCCAGCGTTGACAGCATCAGCGCCTGCACAAACTGCGACCTACAAAGAAAGTAGATTTGAAATATCTCGCCAAAGAATGCATAATGTTTACATACTACAATTGCAGATGACGAGAAAGGAGTCAAAGTAACAAATTGACTATCTTAATTGAGGACTTTCTTTAAATTACTGCATGTAAAGCAAATATATTCTCCCAACAATTTTGGCACACGGAATTGATTGAAAAATTGTGCTTAATACATTCACATCAGTTACGCACCTGTCGGCCCTCTCTCGCTCCAGAGCTGTCTGCTCGGCCTCCTCGAGTGTGGGCGTCATGAAGCGCGCCAGGAGGAACTGCGACTGTCCCTGGTGTTGTCCGCCACCCACGGCGGCCGCCACAGCGCTCATCTGCTGCGAGGCCGTGACCAGAGGAGCGTCACGCCCATTGAGTGTCGCCACCGAGATGCCCGCCTGCTGCTGCTGCGACGACGAAGCACCCGCCCCGGAAGACGTCAGACCGTTGGAGTTGGTGGCGCTCGATGAGGAGATCACTGAATGGGCCTGACGACGTGGCAGGCGCTCCAAGTGCGCCCGGGCAGCCTGGAAAGCATCAGAGTCAAGTCACTGTGCACACAAGAAAGCAATACAAAAAGAAGACACTTACGGAAACTTGCTGCCTCTCCAACTGAATCTGCATCTGCAACTGGTGCAGCTGCGACGTCTGAGGCGCTCGCCTCACGCCTGAGAGCTGCGACAGAATCTCAGCGATGGGATCCACGGACTCGCGGCCGGACGGTGACATGGCCGACAGGCCGCCGGAGGAGTTGAAGTGCATGTTTGAGCGACGCGCGCGGGGTCCATTCAGCGCCCTACCCGAGTGCGGGATGCGTCGCACGCCACCATGGCGAATGGCTGACGGTTCATCGTGCACGAGAGCGGTTAAGGAAAAAAAGGACAAAGCTGAAAGAGAGAGAGAGCTGAAAGAGAAGCACACTTGAAAAGGATATAAGGAAGGCGATGAGATCGCGCGGGCCCGTGCGGTGCTCCAGCGTGAGATGGCCGGCGAAGTCATCGGTGACGAGATTGGGCTCGCCGCCTGGAATGGCGGCGCACACGGGGCACACCACCTCCAGACCCGTGTCCGTGTGCTCCTGGCCCACGTGCTCCACCAGCGCCACATCGCTCAGCCCCATGCGCTTGCAGTAGGGACAGGTGAAGCTCTGCGGCTGCTCCGGGCTCAGCACCTCGCCGCCATAGTACAGCTCGAAGTCAGAGCGCGTGAGGATGCACTGCATTGGGTGGTCGGCCGAGTGCCTCGTGCTCGTGGCGTTCTCCTCATAGCAGTTGGCGCACAGGTCGTAGTCGTAGCAGATCAGGCATTTGTAGCGACGCCCGCGGAAATTGCTTTTCAGGCACGAGTCGCAGCTCACAGCTGTCCGGAGAGGAGAGAAAGAACCGCAGTTTAGACACAGAACATTGCAAAAACAACCCCCAGGTTTAACCTTAAATCGTATCTTATAAGACAAGACGAATCTGCTTTAGTTATGAGAATTGGACGAATTGGAGTGTTTTCTTTCTCTCTGCCCTTTAATTGGTCCCGATCCTATTGGAACTTTCAAAGTAATTTTCCTAATTTCTCATATATTATCTCTTAGGAGCACGAATATCAATCAAAGTTATAAATATTTGACATCTAATTGTTATTGGATGACAAATCTCCTAAGTTCGTGGATAAGATCTATGACGTTTTCAATCAATTAAGCAGCTAAAGTTGTCTTCAAAATGACCAATAATTAAATAAGACTGTATTTTCCTATGGAAAACCCCCCTTTCACGCCTCTGACCTCAATTTTCTTGCCACCCAGATGTGAAAAGCCTCTAAATTGGCCTCCCTTGGGTACTTGTTAACCCCCAGTGGCTGAAAAGTGACACAATTTTCATGAATATTCATAAGATTTGTGGTCTGTGCTCAATTGCGCGGCTTTTCCACACCATTTCCTTCACTCTGTGGCCACAAGGCGCCCCCGGGGGACATTTTCCGCGGAGGGTGTCGGTCGAGAAAGTGGTCCACGGGGAGAAAAAGCGACCCGCAGAGTTAGAGAAAGGGAAAAGGGGGGAAAAGTATGTCTCGCATGTGGTATAAATAGATGTCTTTTTCCTTGTCAGGCGAGGAAAATATGCTGAAAATTTTCCCTGACTCGGAAAACGTCACATTTTCCTCACATCTGTCAAGTGACAAAGAAGAAAAATGTCCATCGTCCTCAATTTTCTCACGACAAATACGCACTTTTCACACTCACATTTTACCCACAATGGTGTGCATAATCACAAGAAAACCCCACGATTGACCCTCTCAAGGAACCAAAGAACATGTTTTCATACTTTCCCAGGTCATAATCACTGTCTTTCGGGGTGAAAATACCCTAAAAAGACACCCTTTACGCTTTCGAAAACATCTCTCCATCTCTTTCCACCTCACATTTCGAACATCAAATCATACCTTCATGGCGACTCATTATTTTCACTGCGATTTTCCACTAATTTTGATGTACTCTGGACGCCGATCACGACTTAATCCAGTGGAAAACATCAAGTGGACACACTCTTCTGTACTTTTATGTACAATTTAATACACCACGGACACTCTCAATGCCTCAAAAATGGCTTTTATTTTGTCACACTCGCAAACTTACACAATTTTTCGCGAGAAAATTTTCTATCTAGCCCTCGCATCGGGCAATACCAAAATGACAGGCAAAATGAGTGCGCCTCTCACGGTGAACATGTGCAATAGCAGGGAAAATGTCACTTGATGGCGCTGCCATCGGCAGTCGTGTGTTGAAGCTGGCGTCGACCATTTTAGATTTTTGCCCTCCGCGAGGAAAATCACCTTTTCAGCGCGGATAATCTCGATTTTCTTCACGAAAGTGCTTGCAATCTCATCTAGGGTTATCACTTTGTGGATTGTGATAGAGAAATTGTGGTGAAATTGCATGAGAAGGTTTAAAAGTGTGGGAGAAGTGAGAGTGATTGTGTCGCCAGGAGCCAAGTGACATTTCTCGTATTTCTGAGAAAATTCTCGAGAAAAGGTAATTTTTTCAGGAAAATCTAGCTCAAAAATTGCTGAGGAAGCCTCCTCAAGTGTCTTCTGATAGAAAAATGTGTGAATTTCGGTGGATTTGGCGGCTTTTGAGGGGGAAAAGAAACTCATGGACGCGATGTCGTCTGCAGGAATGTCAACACCAGTAGCAACAAGTAGTAGTTGATTCAGTTTTCTCACATTTTCTGTACAATCAGTAGTGTTTTCCAGCTGGAATCACTTGAAAAACCTTTCGCGTGGCGCAATTCACCGAATCGAAGAGGAGAATTGGAGATTTCTGTGGTGATTGTGCGGAAAAGAGCGAAAGAATGTGTGGAATGCGTAACAATGTCAAGCGTGTTGGCTTCTTTAGGGCTGTTTTTGTGGTCAGGAAGTTGGAAAAACCCACGAAGACCCGCTAAATTTTTGTCTAACTCCCAATTTTGATATCAAAGTGTGGTTTTCTTGTGTCTTTCTTGAGATTAGTCTGCTTTCCGGACGGAAAAGTGTCCAATAAGACTCATATTTGACCAATTTGCCTCTGTTTCTGCTTCCAGACCATTGAGAAGAGTATCCTGAAGTGCGGCGGAAGATGCCAAGATGGGCGTGAGACGAGCGCGAAGGCGGCTGAGGTGAAAGTGTCTGGTTATGGGTCTCCGGCGAGATCCGTCTCTGTCCGGCGGCGTGAGAAATCCCAATCCAGATCGTCCCGCGGTTCAGGCGATGGCCAACGAGCAGCCCGTGACGAAACGACAGCGCATCGAGAGCAAGAATGTCCTGGCGGAGGAGAAGACAGCGCCTCCGGACATCATAGCTTCGCCACAGGCGATTAATGGTGGCAGCGAATCATCCAGCTCATCTTCCTCACCATCTGTGTCACTGGTGAGTGTGAAAACATCCATCCAAACTTGGTTAAGATGTTGGGATTCGGACAAGAATTGTGACTTTAATTTCCTGCTTGATCTTGGTTCATGATTGGATGCAATTCACTCCCACAGACGCATCCCTGCACTCCAGAGATCACCACTCCGTGTTCCGGGGATGAGATTGACAACGTCTCGAGGCGACTGATAGACGAGGACGCGCGGATATCGCCCTCTTTTCCGGATCTGCTCAAAGTGACGCCCGTGGACGGGGATCTGGTGGAGATACAGAGTCACCTGGCGCAGCAATGCCTATGCGGCGTGAGTGAACGCGTGCTGCGGCGCCTGTTCCAACCGGAGGCAGAGAAACGCGGTGCGGCGCTGAAAGAGTGGCCGCCGGTGAAGACCATGCAGTTCCTGTCGAACATTCAGCTGCTGTTTGACGTGTACCTGCCGCAGAATGTGAAGGGTTTCATCTGTAGAGGTGTGGTGAAGGCGAGCGATGTGCTGTTGCGGCAGGAGATCACGTTGGTGGATGAGGTGACGGAGCTGTGTGACCATGACAACAGATTCGTGAGGTTTCTGGCGGGGCGCGTGATGGCCAGCTTCCTGCTGGTGGCGATGAAGAGGATGCACGTGGCCGGTGAGAAGCTGAAGCCCATTGTGGAGAACCTGAAGACGCTGCAGCGGATGGACGAGGTGACGATGAGGCGCGTGGCGGTGAGTGCAGACATCCTGAGGCGGATTGTCGAGTGGAAGAACACGGAAGAGCATCCGCTGGACGAGAGGGAAGATGAGGATGACGATGAGCAAATGCCGCCGCCACTACCGCCCATTGAGAATAACTACTTTGCCATTCACTACAATCCGGAGATGGTGGCGGCCGCCGTGGCGTCGTCTTCGTCGGCGGGTCGGCGGCCTGGGCGGCAGATCGTGAGGGAGACGGAGAGTGGGTGTCGCCAGATGAGGCTCACGGACTCTGAGAGCTTCGATCCGGGCAGCCTGAAGCAGATGATGATCGAGGCGCTGCGAGACGAGTGGGATGGCATCGTGGAGAGTCTAGCGGCGGTGATGCGAGCGTGGCGAGGAATAGCCGGCGCTGAACAGTGCATCTTGGCGGTACTGGGCTTCTGGGAGAGTGTCATCTCGGTGCACGCTAATCTGCCCATCGATGAGACGCTGCGCTTCCGGGAGCCTCTCGTGAAGCTGCAGAAACTGCTCAGTCCTCACCTGCCGGCGACTGTCTACCGGCAAATGCTGGGACTGTTCAACGAGGCGCTCTGCTATGGCTCCACGCTGGCGCTGCAGGACTTCCCGCCCAAGGCGGAGTGCGATCTGGCCACACAAGTGGTGAGGCAGGTGAGGAGTCGAGTACTACTGCGTTCGCTGCCGCAGGACTGCCAAGGGGAGTCGGCGCGGGGACTCCAGGAGAATCCAGTGACATTCATCGGCCAACACGGGGAGAATGTGGTGTACGAGGGCTTGGAGAGCAGAGTGATAAGACGCGAGGGTATCGTGGACAGATCGTTGCTGCAGAAATTCGTGCTACTCGTGCTGAAGTCCGTAGCGATGACGGCGAAGCAGGTGCGCAGTGACTCTTCGGACTCCTCCATGGACAGCACGTCGAGCACGGAGTTCCAGGCGGATCAGGACATGAGGGAAATTGAGAGAAGCATCAGAGATGCCCTGGGAAAGTTGGCGGACTTCATCAAGAACACACTGTCTTTTCATCCAGAGACGCACTTCAGCAAAATTCTGATTCACCTGTTTGCCGATCAGGATGATTACCTGCTGGAGGCGATGCTCTGCACACTGGACGTCACGGCGAATATCAGCTTCAGAAATAAGGACTTTCCCGAGTTGGTGGCCATGCTGAATCCCATCTTCACGTTCGTGGAGTTCCTGGAAGTCATCTCGTACAGCTACATGCCGCTACTGGACTTCCTGCTCGGCAATGAGACGTGCTTCCTGTGCTACTTGCTGCGCTTCCTCAAGTACATTCGCCGCAACTGGGAGCTATTCCAGAGCTCGTGCCAGGATTCCAGCATCGGCAGCCGGTGTCTGGAGCGCACGATGGACGTGCTGATTCAGCTGCGGCACAAGATACAGCAACTGGTGGCCAGCGGACGCTTCCCGTATCGCATCGATCCCATCCTCATGCTCATGGAGACATGCGAGGCGTTCTATGCGGGCGACGAGTTCAGCTAGAGAGAGCCGAATCAATCTTGCCCAGCCGGAGCCAGCAAACTGACTGAAGATGCGCAGTGTACACACAACTAACGATATTTAATAATGCCGCCTCTAAATTAACCAGCACATCATTCCATTGTTCGTCCCTCTGGATTCTGTACAGAACGCGTTCTTGTGTGTGCTTGAGCCGCGGAATGGTGGAGTAATGTAGCGTTAGGGATTTCGCCTGTAGTCCATTTGTAAGGTTTAAATCTACTCTAAGTGCCTTAGCGAGATATCACAGTTATTTATAAGATTTAGGAAAGTGAAGAGCCACAATAAACGACCTTTTTCAATACTCGATCATTTATTTTGTAAATGTGAGGAAGATTGTGATTGGCAGATGAGAAGATCTTCAGTGTTGCTTCAAAGACGGAATCACTTAAAAATTACATTTTATTGGAATAAAACGACAGCATTTGAGCCCGGAAAGACTGATCAATGTGGAGAAGAACTAATTTCAATGCGATGAGCAACTCAAGAGTCTGTGTTTGTACCATTCGGGCGGCCGGAGAGCTGGGAAGGACAGCAGAGAAAGAGAGACTCCCGCGGCGCGCCCTCAGATGTTGTCGTAATCCTCGTCCAGCTCAGAGGCCGGTGGCGCCGCAGGGGCCCCGCTCAGCGGCAAGTAGCTGTAGTCGATCTTCACCACGGGCGTGTTGCAGATGTCGATCTTGAGGACGGGCGGAGGCGCGGACACACTGCTCACGTCGCTGGCCGACGTGACGGTGGACGTGACCAGCGGGCTGGGCAACTTCTGTCGCACGTCGAAGCTGAAGACGGAGGCGTCGCCGGAGCGCGGCGGGGCGCTCTGGCAGTCAAGGCGGGGCATTTTGGGCAGGCGGGAAGAACCTTGAGCGTCCCTGGGTAGTCTCGAGGCTGTGTACTTGATCACCGACTGACTCTCACTGCCAGGGTACACAATGTTTGGTGTGAGACACTTTCCATCCGTCTCGAGGCTCTTCCGGCCCATTTGCGAGAAGTCCATGGACACTGGGCGGCCGTAGCTCCGCAGCCACGATTCTGCGCCTCTTTCTGGCCGCCCGTTCCGTGCACTCCCGCCGTTTGTGGCATCTTCCGTGGCCGCCGGCGGTGGACTTTCCACCTCCTCGGCCACACTGATGTCCGGCACATTCTTCACCAGCTCTCGCAGGAAGTCGAAGCGACTCTCAGACATAATGCACTGCTTCATGTGCGACGGTGACAGCGTCTTGGCGTGACGGGCGTTCGTGATGCGCACTGTCTTGGTGAGGAGGGATTCCACAAACAGCTCCAATGTCCTAGGTGTGCCTATGTTAAGGAAATCACATGTCTAACGACTAAAAATAAAAAATACCAGCAAAAATTCCCTCTACTCGCATCATAACCTCACACTATGCAACCCCCGCATTTGCGAGTGCTTTTGAAAGGATATAAATTATGATTGGCACAGCCTGGGCGACTTTTCCCACCTCCTCGTCCGTCTGCATGATCTTCTTGATCCTCCCCTAGAAGGAAAACGGAGAAAATCAGTTGAGATGATGCCAGAGAAAGGGACACCCTTTCATCGGGGTTTTCTCACTGCCACGGCCGGTATTTCACTCTTTCACACTCACTGGAGGAAATCTGGCATTGTATTTCTTCTTCTTCGATGGCATTCTTGTGGATTTTCACACGATAAGGGGTCCTTTTCCCAGTCAAAATACACCCTCTCACACGTCCGGACACTGACACATTTCCCCTCTTTTTTCGAACATCGGAAGCCAGTCAAATGCGTTTTGGACGAACTTTTCAAACACCACAAGAGTGAGGTTAGAAAGAGGTAAACAAAGTGCGGAGAGAAACTATTTTTCGCGGATTTTTACGCAATTTCTCTATAATTTCAACAGAAATCCCAGTGCAGGAGACAGAAGAGACGCCAGAGGCAGTGAAATGAAAGAAATTTTGGTCATATCAATCGCCCTTATGGCACTTTTCGCTGTGGAAGCGGACGCCGAGGGAAAGCTGAAGATTGGCATAAAGAAACGCGTGGAAAACTGCTCTATGAAGACCAAGAAAGGTGACCTCGTGCACATGCACTACACCGGAACCCTGGAGGACGGTACCGTGTTCGACAGCAGCTTAGACAGAGGCCAGCACTTCACGTTCACGCTGGGCTCCGGACAGGTCATCAAGGGCTGGGATCAGGGATTGCTGGGCATGTGTGAGGGTGAGAAGAGACGCCTCGTCATTCCACCTGAATTGGGATATGGCAAGCGCGCCATGGGCGACAAGATTCCTGCCTCTTCCACACTCATCTTCGAAGTGGAGCTGCACAAGATTGAGCGCAAGCAAGAGCTTTAGAGAGAGAAGGAGAGAATAAAGAGAGATCGTGACACACGTTGGCAATCTCTGTCTCATCTCAGGCCTCCGTTATCAGCTGCTGAACTGCGTTTTGCATCCACGAGGTATTTTGCTCAGAGAGACGTCAGGCGAAAGGGGGTTCGATAAGGTCTTATCACAATGGATTATTGTGGTAAATATTTGAGCTTCCACAAAACTGCCATGCCTCATATCAACGCGTATTTATTGCCTCCACAACTGACGGTTTCCATTACAGACATTTAAAAACACATGATCCATCCTGGAGATGTGCGCCAGAGTGGCCGACGGAGGCTCAAAGGGGTCTCGAGAGGCTCGAGAGATTATCTCTAAATTGTACATTTGAAAGGAACATTTTTGTTTACTCACTCCGCAAGATTCTATTGTTAATTGGCAGCACATCTCAACTCCACTCTCTTCCCGGAAGTACTTAAATAATTGCGACTCAGTGTCTTATCTGCTAGCGATGCAATCTCCATCTTTTTATGAGGTTTTTCAAGCAATCTCATACTAAGCATTTGCTTTCAGAGCTTTATATTGTCGATTTACACAGTATTTAGAGATTTAGGAAATAAAAGTTGCTTTATTCTTACTATAATTCCCTTTACGGAAGACAATTAACGCAATTTACCACGAAAATCACTTCTTCTCTTTCTTTTTTTCCCTTTTTTTTGCAAAAAAACCAATTTAAGCATACTTAATGAGAAGAGCGCACAAATCTTACTCATATAAATTTCAGTCAAATTAGCTAATTTAACTAAATTTTTTGTGCTCAAAGTTGAGCGGTTTTTATTGCCAAGTTAGACATCATACAAAAGTATCATTTTTGCAATGATCGCCTTTTTCTTAGCTGTTTTTTTCCCCAGCGTTTCCATTATATGCGACGCAGTCTCGCAGTTTATAAGACTTATCTCAGGAGTTCATTGGCCAATTTCGTCTATCTGTTCACGAGTGCCTTATTTTTTTGAGTCCTCTCGCCATTGAAAGCCCTCGCCGCCCTCGCCTTATCAACTCTATAGTGCTTTGGCGTCGCCCGCGCGACTCTCAGCTCAGAGCCCTCCTTCGAAAGCGCACTCGTCACGTGACGCGCTTGGAGATCGTCCAAGAGACAATAAAAATAGTCTAGCGAAGCTCTCCGGTCAGTGCTGAGCCACCTTCCGGGCGCGTCTGATCGCAAGTGTTGTCGAGAGGATCAGGAATTGCGACGCGAGTAAAATGGACACGCTGTTCGTGAGTAAGAGAATTTTCGTGGATGGTGAACTGATCGAAGGCGGGATCCTAGTGTCGGATCAAGGTAAAATTACAGATATTTTAACCAGGGCAGGAGAGGTTAATTCCTGGATATATCAGAATGGATCTGGAGAGGTGATGCCAATTCCTAGTGTTATTTCTTATCATAAATGAAATACTTTGCCGTCTGAATTCGCGAAAATCAGTAATTTATGGTCAAATTCTTGGTTGTAGATTGTGGACTTTGGCGATCTTATCATCATGCCTGGCCTCATTGACTCGCACGTGCACATCAATGATCCGGGAAGGTGAGATTTCATTATCGTGACACGCTCATTATCACTGTGGGTGAGATTCTGCACGACACTCTCTCTCATGCCTTCCTCAGCTGTGCAAATGCGCCTCTGTCGCGTCCAGAGAGCAAATATTTTGTGTCTCGTGCTGAAAACCTCCTTTGAACATTGTTGTTTCTAAACATGCCCAGCCTTATCATGCATAACATTCGACCTTCACTACTTTTTCTGATTCACAGTTTATTGGAAAATCAAAAGCGATTTATTAATTGAGACATACTATCTAGGACAGAAAGCAAAGTGTGCACTTGTTAAATGGCTGTTCTTCTCAAAAACTAAAACTGCAATTTCAGCATCGAGAGAGACATTTTGAGAGGATTTCTCGCTCTTTTAGCAGCGCGTAACTGTGAAATCACTTCCAAATTCTCTTTCTAAGCTCTTACTAACCCTGATTTCCAGACAGCGGGGCGCTGAGCGCCTCTGCTTGATGTGCAATCGTGTGTCCAGCAAAAAATGCCATGTGCTCAATTGTACGAATAACGCTTCGAATTATCTTTAGCTATAAATAGAGCATGGGGAACTTAATTGTCGTTTCTGTTTTGAATATTGACTTCCTCGACTTTCGATGTCGCAGGGGCAAAGCCATAAATTTGCATTTTATCGAATATATGTTCGAATCTTTTTCAAGGATCTAAAAAAGTCCATGGCAAAACAAATCCGAGCTAAGCTGAGCCGTAAGTGCAAATGCGAGAACGCGTAAGTTTGGCGATGATCAAAAATTATTATTTAAAGCAATTAATCTCAATCCCCATCATTGCAGATGCGTATTTTTCTCACACTCAAATTTCACACAAAAAAAATTTCAACAAAATCACGAAAAATCCGTGTTGAAATCAAATTTGATTATTGCACTTTTTGGCAAGTAGTGTGGCGTGTGTGGGGAAATTTTGGGAACTTTCTCAGGCAATCTCTTGGTCCACTTTCAGGTCAGACTGGGAGGGATTTGCCACAGCCACGAAAGCGGCCGCGGCGGGCGGTTTCACCACCATTGCCGATATGCCACTGTGAGTACAACTGCGTAATGATTACACACGAACGTGCAAATTGATGACCGAGGTCTTGCAGAAATTCCATCCCACCCACTACCACCGTGGAGAATCTCAGGGTTAAGACGAGTGTGGCGCATGGGAAAGTCTTTGTGGATGTGGCCTTCTGGGGTGGCTTGATTCCCAGCAATGCTTCTGATCTGCTGCCACTCGTGCAGAACGGCGTCATTGGCTTCAAGTGCTTCCTCTGCCCGAGCGGAGTGCCTGAATTTCCGCATGTCAATGAAGAGCATGTGGAAGAAGCCCTGAAGATCCTCGAAGGCACCGGAAGTCTCTTGGCGGTGAGAAATTCTTTCTTGTCTCTGTTAAAAAAAAAGATGTCTCCTCAACGGACATTTTTCTGCAGTTTCACGCCGAACTCGAGTGCGGCTCCACCAGGATGGAAATCATGGAGGAGAACCCAAAGAAGTACTCCACCTATCTCCACTCCAGGCCGTCAATCATGGAGGTGAAGGCCATAGACATGATCACGCGCCTCTCGGCCAAGTACAAGTAAGATTTTATCGATTTTACGTTTGAAACTTGACGAGAAATTTAAATCCACTGTAAATGCTTTTTGCAGCGTTCGAACTCATATTGTGCATCTTTCGACGGCCGACGCTCTGCCCATGATTAGGGAAGCCAGAGCCAATGGCGCTCAATTGACTCTGGAGACTTGCCATCACTACCTAACACTAACAGCTGAAGAGATTCCTGATGCGCACACCGAATTCAAGTGCGCTCCGCCAATCAGGAGCGCTGAGAATCGCCGGAAGCTGTGGGAAGCTATTCAAGCGCGTGATATCGATATGATAGTGTCTGATCACTCGCCCAGTACGCCAGGAGTGAAGTTGTTGACCTACGGCAAGAGTCGCGGAGACTTTATGCGCGCCTGGGGCGGAATTTCCTCAGTCCAGTTCGGGCTGTCGCTCTTCTGGACGCACTGTGAGAGTCAGGGGCTCACCCTTGTGGATCTGCAGCGTCTGCTGTGCCAGGAACCAGCCAAACTCCTCGGCATCGATGGGTTCAAGGGCAGGATCGCCGTGGGCTACGATGCCGACTTCTGCGTGTGGGACCCTGAGGGCACATTCACGATCACCAGTGATATCATTCATTTCCAGAACAAGGCGAATCCGTACATGGGAAAAGTGGTCAGAGGAAAGGTCCATGCGACTATTCTGCGAGGTCTCACCGCATTCCAGGACGGAGAGTCCTTTGCCAATCCCATGGGCAAACTCATCCTCAGGAAAACCACCAAGAGGGCCGTTCAATTCCACTGAATTCACAAATGGGCGCGTAGAAAATATGTACATATATAGAGAAAAAATTGGGTGATTTTCGGGTGATTTAGACAATAAATATGTACAGGTTATTTACACAAATCTTTACTCAATCTTTATGTCCTGGAATGTAAGGAAGATGGCATCTGCGGGGAAAGCAAGAACTCTCTTCTTTTTGAACTGAGATTCATCAATATTTGGGGAAAGCTAGTCCTATTCAGGAGAACATCCCTTATCACGCCAATCAGTGAGGGATCAAGAGATGTAAGAAATATTCCTGGACAGCCAATAGTGCTTCAAGTACTTATCCTCATTTCATTTTATTCCATCTAAGCAACATAGTAAATTAATCAAATGATGGCATAGCTATTAAAGTCATCAAAACACGTTCAATTTTTATTATGCTTATCAAATCTCCCTGAGTTCAATGACTAGAGGTTCTTCTGATATAAAGAATATTGTACTTTTCTGAAACACAATTTTTTGTGGAGTTTTCTTGCAGAAAGACAAGCGATATTTAGGCAAAATCGTTGCCAGAGCTATCTTCACTTGAATTGTTCCAAAGCGAGATCCTAAGCAATTTCTAGGTCCCAGTCCGAAACCTAGGAAGGCTCGTTGATCGATTGGAGGCTCAGCGTCAGTGGCAAAACGTTCAGGACGAAAAGATAGAGGATCAGGAAAGAAGTTGGGATCTCTTTGGATGGCAATTGTTGGGATGTACACTGGTGTCCCTCGCGGAATGGAAGCATCATGAAAAGGCTTCAATGAATAAGACTCTGAACCATCAGCTGGCTGACAAGTACGATCCAGAAAGAGGAGGCTAGGATACAGTCGAAGGGTTTCTAAAAAGTGAATTTCTAAGTTAAATTACAATAACATTTTTTAAAATAAATAATTCTTACCTTGAAAAACCATATGAAGATACTCTAAGTTGTTCAGGTTTTCATAATTCATCTCCTTCCCGCTCTTGGCGAAGTCCATGAGCTCGTTCCTCAGTTTCTCCTGCATATCTTGATGCCTGGCCAGTTCGTACAAGGCAAAGGAAAGCACTGACGATGAGGTTTCATATCCAGCGGCTAGAAAAACTGCCGCTTGAGCAATGAGACAATCCGTGTGGAAAATCTCCTTCTGTGTGTTCTTCATCGTTATCAGAGTGTCAATCAAATCATTCCTCTTCGAACCACTCTTCTCTCTCTCTTCTATCACTTCCAGAATGGCTGTCCGGAGGAATTTTTCAGTATCATTTGAAAAAAGTTTTAATTTGAAGACACTGGCAAGCTCGGGGAAGAAAAAACACGTTCCAAACTCAATGATTTTCTTCAGATCTGTTGGACACACCATCTTCTGGGCCTTCTTGAAGAAGTCACAATTTGGATTAAGGAAACAATTGGCTTTCACTCCAAAAGCACATGACGCAATCGCCTCGACAGTATAAAATCCAGCGAATTCCTTTAGATTGATCTCCCCAGAGCCTCCAGAAGGGATTTCCTTGGCCAACTTAACTTTCATATCCTCACAAACATCTACAAGTAAAGGGAAAAAGTTCTTCAGCTTGTGCGCAGTGAAGACTGGAGTTATGTGATTTCTAATGATTCCCCAAGTTTCGCCTTTAGCATTTGGTATAGTATTTATGCCAATCGGGTCAGTCTTGGGATCTGTTGCCATTCGTCGGTCCATGAACTGGTTGAAATCCTTCACCAGAATTCTCTTGATGAGCTCCGGATCGCGGATCAGAAGGCAAGGCTTGTGGAAGAAGTAGAATCCAGTCACGGCGTCTTTCCTTGTCTTCGGATGATTGTAGAGATCCAGGAATAATTGAGCGAAACTCGTTTTGTTTAGCAGAACATTCTTTATCACGCCAATTAGTGGCGGTCCAGCGATGTAGGAAACCTTCCTGGAGATCCAGAAGTATCTTAAAAACGTCTTTAGGCCCTTCCAAAGGCACAGAAGAACTAAACACGTACACAAGATCACTTCAAAAGCACCCATCGTTACACTTTTCACAGAAAACTGGCCAGAAATCATCTTTTCCGTCTTTATATAAACCTTCTTTATCTGCACAAATTAAGCACGTTTTACACCCTTCAATAAATATAAAATTATTTCATTTGCACGCGAAATTTATGTCAAATGGCGTGATGAGCAATTTTTATCATTTGACATAGAAGTGCGGCATGATTGGAAAACTTTCAGTGCATGAATTTCAGTACAGAATTGGAAATCAATAACAACAGAACAATTTTCAAGAAATGAGCAATTTAATAAAAATTTGTAAATGTTAAGCTGTAAGTCAAATTAAAAGAGCCAAAGTAAGTAGTTGGAATGTGATGTAATTGCAAATTCAATCTGGATTGACTGGTAGCCTTTCTTCCTCATCAAATCTCCCTGAATGTGATGATCAGGGGCTCTTCTGAGAACATGGGCACTGTTTTCTTATTGAACACTATCTTTTGAGGTGTTTTCTTGCAAAAAGACAAGCGATATTTAGGCAAAATCGTTGCCAGAGCCATCTTCACTTGGAGCGTTCCAAAGCGAGATCCTAAGCAATTTCTAGGCCCTTGTCCGAAGCCTAGCAGTAGATTATGATCAATACGAGGCTCAGCGTCGACGGCAAAGCGATCCGGGCGAAAAGATAGAGGATCAGGAAAGAAGTTGGGATCTCTTTGGATGGCAATTGCTGGGATGTAAATCGGCATTCCTTTAGGAACAGAGAAGTCATGAAAGGGCGCCAATGAATAAGACTCTGAACCATCAGCTGGCTGGCAAGTGCGCTCCAGGAAAGGAATACTGGGATACAGTCGAAGGGTTTCTAAAAAGTGAATTTCTAAGTTAAATTACAATAACATTTTTTAAAATAAATAATTCTTACCTTGAAAAACCATATGAAGATACTCTAAATTGGCAAAATTTTCATAATTCATCTCCTTCCCGCTCTTGGCGAAGTCCATGAGCTCGTTCCTCAGTTTCTCCTGCATATCTTGATGCCTGGCCAGTTCGTACAAGGCAAAGGAAAGCACTGACGATGAGGTTTCATATCCAGCGGCTAGGAAAACTGCCGCTTGAGCAATGAGACAATCTGTGTGGAAAATCTCCTTCTGTGTGTTCTTCATCGTTATCAGAGCGTCAATTAAATCATTCCTCTTCGAACCACTCTTTTCTCTCTCTTCCATCACTTCCAGAATGGCTGTCCGGAGGAATTCGTCCGTTTCCTTGGAATAGAATCTCAACTTGAAAACACTGGCAAACTCGGGGAAGAAGAAACACGCTCCCAACTCAATAACTCTCTTGAAATCCGATGGATCGACAACTCTTTGAGCTTTCTTGAGGAAATCGGAATCCGGATTAAGGAAACAATTGGCTTTCACTCCAAAAGCACATGACGCAATTGTCTCGACAGTGTAAAGTCCTGCGAATTCCTTCAGATTGATCTCTCCAGAAGTTCCGGAAGGTATTTCCTTGGCCAACTTAACTTCCAAATCTTCGCAAACATCCACAACCAACGGGAAAAAGTTCTTCAGTTTGTGCGCAGTGAAGACTGGAGTTATGTGATTTCTAATGTTCCTCCAAGTATCTCCCTTAACATTCACCAGTGTATTCATACCAATCGGGTCACTTTCGGGATCGGAAGCCATTCTTCTGTCCATGAACTGGTTGAAATCCTTCACCAGAATTCTCTTGATGAGCTCCGGATCGCGGATCAGAAGGCAAGGCTTGTGGAAGAAGTAGAATCCAGTCACGGCGTCTTTCCTTGTCTTCGGATGATTGTAGAGATCCAGGAATAATTGAGCGAAACTCGTTTTGTTTAGCAGAACATTCTTTATCACGCCAATTAGTGGCGGTCCAGCGATGTAGGAAACCTTCCTGGAGATCCAGAAGTATCTTAAAAACGTCTTTAGGCCCTTCCAAAGGCACAGAAGAACTAAACACGTACACAAGATCACTTCAAAAGCACCCATCGTTACACTTTTCACAGAAAACTGGTCAGAAATCATCTTTTCCCTCTTTATATACTCACTAAACTGAACTAAATAATGTTTTTTCGCACTGCAATTAAGTCTAAAATTACTCTTCTTTTTCATCACGAATTTACCCTAAAACCAAACAAATATTGCCCTTCTCTGACGACTATTCATTTTTATTTACGCAATATTGCAACTACATCTCTATAATTTTTTTTATGAAAAACGTCTAAAGCGTCACAAAGAAGACGCAACAATTCAGATGATAGAAAAAATGTACTTCAATTAAGATTAAATTCTAGTTTACGCGAGGCTGTGTCGTTAGGTTTTCTCCTACATAAACTGTCCAGAGCCCACGTCCATCTGCTGCATCGGCTCGTACTCGCCCTGAACCTGAGGCGTAGCCAGAGACTGAAATGAGAGAGAAGGGCCTTTACATCTGGTCGGCAGGTATTTAATCGTATTGTTTAATTCACCTGGTACTCGTCTCTGAGCTGAGGCGTTCTGTCTGGCTCCTGAGGCGGCGGCAGAACCGACGGCGGTGCCAAATCATCCAACGAGAGCTGCGTATTGAACTGATCCGGCTGCTCAGGCTCCTGTGGCGCCTCCAGTTGCTCCTCCGACTGCTGCTCAGGCGTGGAATCGGAACGTCTCACCAAATCCAACATGTCCAGCATATTGCGCTTCACCGTGTTCTCATTGGCATCCTCCACAGTGGCATATACACTCTTGCGCTCGCACGCGACCATGTGCATGGCCAGGACATTCCCATCATTGCCACCGAAGCCGCACACGCACACGAAATCGCTGCCCAGCGGAGCCGCATTCTGCGGAGGCGCTGAGCACGCGTGACTGTGATCGAGATAGGCGCGAAGACAGCTCGTCTGGAACTTGTTGCACTTTGAGCACTTCATCAAGCCCCTGAAAAAACACCGATCAAGCCCCTTTCAGTAAAATTGATGAGATGTCAAGGAAAGTGCACGAAACTTACACAATATGATTGTCCTCCTCAAAATCATAGTCACACTCGAGGCATCGACGTCCAGTGGGAATATTCAGAGTGACATCCTCGTAAGAGGGATTCACTGAAGCCGGACGAGTGGGCAGAACGTCAGCTTTGGGCTGGAAAAAGAAAAAAAGGAGTTGGAAGAAGGCACAAAAAGGATCGCCCAACGTGGGGCTCGAACCCACGACCCTGAGATTAAGAGTCTCATGCTCTACCGACTGAGCTAGCCGGGCCATGCATGAGAATTGCTTCAACTCGAACCCTTGCTAAAGGCGTAAACATTCTGTCTATATTCAGGAGAAACAACTCACACCCCTGCAAGGCAAAACACTTCGCCGCACACTCGCAAATCACATCACAGAACTCAAGCAAAATACTCGATTTTTCGCCCTCATTAGTAAATCTGGGTTTTATAAATGAAATCTCAGCGCTATTGTGTTCTTATGTGAATCAAATATGAGTTTTTCGACAAATTTTCAGTTCAATGCTGAGCCGCGACGGAGCTCGTTTTGACCGAGTAATCATCAAGCCCGGCTAGCTCAGTCGGTAGAGCATGAGACTCTTAATCTCAGGGTCGTGGGTTCGAGCCCCACGTTGGGCGATCCTTTTTGCCCTTTTTTGCTTCCATAATTATCACGGGAATTTTTTGTTTCTTTTCGTTATTCATAGAATACTTTCATCTTCTTGTCAACAGTGAATTGATCATAACAATCGTGGAAAGTCTCAGTAATGTCTTTCCCTTCAACGCTGACCACTGAAAGCCATGATTTTTATCTACCCACAATTCAGATTCAATTTAAGCAGTCTTCAAAATCGCCGTCAGCTTCTTGATCGTACTCACCTTCGGCTTGGAGATGTGCGTGATGCCCTTGTTGACCGGCAGCAAGTCCTGCTGCTGCCACGAGTGCGAAATGTGCGCGTACGTGTTGTGAATCTTGAGTGCAGACTTGGAGATGAAGCTGAGAGCGCAGCGCGAGCACTTCTTCGTCACCGTCTTCAGCATGTGCTTGCGCAGGTGCTTGAGGAAGGCCATGACATTGGCATAGTGCACCTCATCCGCACTGGCGGCCACGTAAATCTTCAGGCAGAACGGGCACTGCAGCATGCCGGACAGCTTGTGCTTCGTGTAGAAGTGATCGATGGTTTGGCGCAGAATTGAGCTTCTGTACTCGCATCCGCCGCACTTGTATGGCATCTCTGATGTCACGTGACGCATGCCCATGTGCGTGACCAACGTGATGAGATTCGCGTGTCTCTGCTCGCATATCAGACAGTTGAAGCCGCCACCCTGACTCATGTACTTCGTGTCGATGGGATGCGCGAGCAGAATGTGGCGCGTCTGGCCGTCCGGCGAGGAGAATCTGTCCAAGCAGTAGCGGCAGATCTTCCTGCCAACGCTCGTTGTCACGTGCGTGAACAGATGATCCATCAAGTCCGTGTTGTTTGTCACCACCTTGTCGCAATCCGGACATTTGATCTCGAAGTTCACCATCTCTCCGGCCTCCACAGTCGTTCCCTCGCCCTCAAAGACGCCATAATAGTAGCTCTCCAGCGCAATCTTGTCCGCCGTGTCCTCTTTCTTCGGCCGCCCCACCTTACCCCCACTGGAGGGCGCGGCGGCCGGCACTGGTGGCGACGGAGCCGCCTGGCCACGCCTTGTGGACGCAACAGCCAGTGGCGTCTTCTTCTCAGGCGGCGTAATCGCCTTGGGTGACTCAGCAGCCGCTATGGGAATCGCCGATGTGGCTGGCACTGCAATACAACCGAAAAAGTGACACTGTAGGACACCAGAAGCTCCGCGCCGCCCCTCCAACATTCCCCAAAAGCTGTCTCGACTATGAGATAAACATCACTTTATTTCACGCTTCTTCGGCTTGGGAAATGTTCGAGGGGGAGAGCGAAGGTTGTACTGATTTTGGATATATGTAGATTCACATACTTTTGCGCTTCCCCTTAGTGTTGGTCACCGAGAAGTGCTGCCAATTCTGGAATGGATCCGCCGCCACCTGGAAATGGAGGAGAAAATTGCTCAATGCTGCAGAAGTAGAGCCATAAAAATGACGCCGCTCTCACCTTGTTCAGACGACTCGTGAGTGACGCTTTGTGATCCAATCGCGTCTGCTCCGCCAGATGATTCACGATGTTGTCGAAGGCCATGCCTGGAGACGTGCCATACCACTCTCGCCACACCAACTCATCCAGGAACTGCTGAATGATGGCCCTGGACAGCAGTGAGAGCGTGTTCTGGAACATCCTTGGCACGATGCGCCTCAAGTAGTCCATAATGGTGGCATTGCTGTTGCGACTGGAGTCCGACGGCAGCGCCTGATGGACAGTCTTGAAGCCCAACGTGTGCAGACAACTCTTGTCCACTGTCAAGTCCGTCAAGATGATGCTGTCGCGATTCACCCACTCGCGCAGTGGCTCCAGAATCCTCTCGAAGCGCTTCCTGTTGTTCTTATCCGGTCCAGTGTAGGGCTCAATGGCGCGCAGACGAATCAACTTGCCCTCAGGATCGTACACGCCGAGCACCTCCACCTTCACCTGCCTCTGCTGGCCATCCTGGGTCGTGGTGCCCAGCGAGATGACGCCCACCTCAATCTTCTTGCCCGCACCACCCAGCAGAGTGATGTGATAGTACAGAGCCACCGTGCAGACGGCGCGCAGGAAGGTGTAGATGCCCTTCACGTACAAATTGTCCACCTTCACCCACTGCACCACGTTCGGGACGTTTGTCTGGCACGCCCAGTGATAAACGAGCTTCAGAATCACCGATGGCGGATGCACGGACCCCTCGAAGATCGAAGCGTTGAAGACAGACACGTATCGCGTGGGACAACACGAGCTTATCCACACGTAGCCACCGGAATAGGGAAACTTCGAGCTGTCTGAATACATTCCCAGCTTCAGGGCAGTGTCCGGATGCAGTTGACACGTCTGGGCGCTCCTCACGAGGCCCTGCTGGATGAGCCACTCGGTGAACTTGGTCGTGGGATATGTCAGCACGCTCTTCACCTTTGTGTCAAGCGTTCCGCGGTCAGACTGCGCGTTGTCCTTCACTTTCAGTGATGGCCTGGCCACAACCACGAGCGATGGATAGGTTTTGCCTTGCAACTTGTTGAATGTGATCTCTCTGCTATCCGCTGCGGCCTTCCCACCATCCTCCTTGGTCAGGTCCACCACTTCCTTCGACTTCCCCGCTGGCGAATCCTTCGCCGCGATCTGAGAAGCACTATTCAAAGACAGCCCGCCAATCGAGGTGGCCTCAGATGGTCGCACTTTGGCCACCACAGCGGGAATCTTCACTGGCGTCTCGGCTTTGGGGGATTTCTTAGTCGCCGGAGAAGAAATATGCGACTCTCTCTTCTTCTCCTTGTTCATCAGCGCTTTCCGCTTCGCCAGCGGCATGTAATCCTCATCATTGTCCTCATCGTCGTCATCATCGTCGGCTATCTCGATATTCTCAGTCGGAGCATTCGTGTATCGACCCGACTTTGAGTAGGACTTCTGCACGGACGCCCTGACCTTCTTCCCTTCGCTCCGGATGGCCGACAAGGGCTGCGCCACATCCTCAAGCCCAGTCACCAGGCCCGTGAGCTGATATGCCGAAAACACATTCCCGGTGAAGATATTCTGTCCAGTGCTGTCCTTCAGCACATCAGACAGCTTCTCCCGAATGTCGTTGTGCTCCTTCTCGGCCTTCTCATATGCCGCCAACTGTACCGGGCTCAACTCGTCCTGCCAACACTCCATATCAAGGGTCACAAAATCAGGCATTTCGGCGGCCGCTCCTCAAACTCCACTTGAAAGACCTTCTTGGGATGCTCAAGCACAATTTGCACCACTCTTCCACCGGGAAAATACACTACTTCACAGGGAAAAAAGCGAAAAACGCCGAGGTAAACACTCACTCTGCAAACAATTCTGACAGCAATGGCGGTGAAACCCTTCAACTGTGGGGCTTCTCGAGCTTTTTCGAAAAGAAACATGGCGTCCGAGTTTGGTTTGTCGAATCTGAGCAATTTGGCGAATATTTTTGTTAATTTTACGTGATGCGTGATGAATAATAGTAAAATATGTACATAATGAAATTCCGTATGCCCTGAAACTGTGCAGTTTATTCAAAACTATTTAAATAAGAAAATATTGCCTCAAATTCGTTTTCAGAAATTTCTACGCCACTGAATCTGGGTCGCTAATGTGGCAACACTAATTTTCTTTAATGGTGTTTTGTTGAAGTGGAGCTCGAGAAAAAGTAAATTTTCACTAGGAAACCAGAGAAAATTCTAGGTAACTACTTCAAGATACTGTTTTAGAGTTGCTTGAGGTTGATTTGCACGTGTTGGTGAGCAGGAATCCGCAGAGATGCCTTTGGAAGACGCGCATGACGATTTGGGCAGTGCGAGTCAGAGGCTCACGAATGATGACTTCCGGAAGCTGTTGATGACGCCTCGCACGGCGCCAGCGTATGTGTCTGCATCCAGTCGTGGTGAGACACAGACCAAGGCGTCCGCCACGGCGAAGGTGAGCAACTCTGAGCGATACGAGGCGCGGCGGAAGAAGAAGAACTTTTACGCGGCGCTGAAGAAGCAGGAGGATCACAAGATGTCCGAGCTGGCGGAGAGATATCGCGACAGGGCGAGGGAGAGGCGCGATGGAGTGAATCCCGATTACCAGAACACCGATCAGACGGGAAGCTCGAGCAGTGCGTACAGAACAGTGGCGCCGGACGTGAAGTCGGGCATCGATGCGGCGGAGAGGAGGCGACAGATGATCCAGGAGTCCAAGTTCTTGGGCGGTGACATGGAGCACACTCACTTGGTGAAGGGTCTGGACTACGCGCTGTTGCAGAAGGTGCGCAGCGAGATTGTTGCCAAGGAGCAGGAGCAAGAAGAGGAAATGGAGAAGATTGTGGATGAGCAGGAGCCGCCGAAAGCCCCGGAGCCAGAGAGGCCGAAGCGCGAGGAGGAGTGCAAGACGGTGATGGGACTTAACATAAAGTCCCTCCTGGCGGCGCAGAAGTCCAAAGTGGTGGAGCGCAATGAGCTCTTCCTGCCCGGCCGAATGGCGTACGTGATTGAGCTGGAGGATGAGAATGCTGAGAACGACATCCCGACCATTCTCATTCGCTCCAAGGCAGACGTGCCGGTGTCCAGTGTGGAACTGCAAACACTCACCACGAATGACATCGTGATCAACAAACTGTCTCAGATTCTGGGCTATCTCAGGCAGGGCGGGAAGAACAAGAAGAACAAGAAGCGCGACAAGGACAGGCCGCTGTTCAAGGAGACAGACAAGAAGGCGGACGTGGATGCGATCTACACGCGAGACGAAGTGCACGAAGCTGCCAAGCACGGAGAATCCTCGACCGCTGGCAAGGCGGCGATCTTCGGGCATCCGGAGGCTGGTTACTTCGACAAATCATCCAAGGAGATGACCAAGGGCTCCAAGAGCGGCGGAAGCTGTGAGTTGATAGGTCAGGGAGTGAGAGATTGCCTCTATGTAAAGCTGCTTTGTATCTTTCAGTCCCCAAACCGCCGGTGAAACTGCCCTCGGGACTTATCTCGCGTCTCACGGCAGAGCCTGAGGGTTATGCCGAGTGCTATCCGGGATTGCAGGAGATGAACGACGCCATTGACGACTCGGACGAGGAGGTGGACTACACGAAAATGGATCTGGGCAACAAGAAGGGTCCCATTGGGCGCTGGGACTTCGACACGCAGGAGGAGTACTCGGACTACATGAGCACGAAGGAAGCGATGCCCAAGGCGGCCTTCCAGTATGGCGTGAAGATGCAGGACGGCCGGAAGACGCGCAAGCACAAGACGGACAAGTCGGAGAAGGCGCAGCTGGACAGGGAGTGGCAGCAGATCCAAAATATCATTGAGAAGCGGAAGGCCAAGCCGTCCGGAGAGGCGCCAAAGGCGAAGGCCAGCAAGTACTGAGTCAACTCTTCTGATAAATGCCCTGCACAAAAGTGCGTTTCACATCCACGCTCTCCTTCACGTTCACCGTCTGGCGGTGGACATACGCGTTCTGCTGAGTGGTAAATCCCGCTGCCTGGAACAAGTCATGCGTCTCTGAGTCGGAGAAGAAGTAGCTTCTGCAAAGGACGTGCTGTTAGTTTCCCGGAAGAGATTTGTGGGGGAATAAATGTCACCTCGTGCCGTCCTGGCGAGCATAGAAGTTGTCTGAGAGTTTGCAGGAATCTCTGAAGCGCCACTGCGCCATGTCGTTACGCCCGTAGTCACGGAACAGCACCACTCCGCCTGGCTTGAGAAGTCTCTGCAGATTGTCCAGCACTTTGGGGAATTTCTCCGGGTGAATGGCCGATAAGACGAAGATCAGTGTGATAATGTCCACGGAATTCTCCTGGACAGTGGTGAAAATGTCATCTGTGGTGATGTCACATGTGAATCCCTTCATGACATCCTCAGAATATAGAGGATTCTGCCGCAGGAGCTTCACAGCCTCGCTGGAGAAGTCACAAGCGTAGATATACTTGGCCTGACATACTTCCAACAGTGGGAAGATGAAATTTCCCACGCCACAACCCACTTCCAGCAAAATCTTCGTGTCATCCAGACTGAGCAAGTCAGTGAATTCCCGCGTTGTCCAGTTCCTATCCTTGAAGAACTTGGTCTTGTTCCTCTTATAGAACAAATCCCAGTTCTTTTTGCACTCCTTCTCCAACTTCTGGGACTGGAATGAGGATTCAGCACGGAATCCATGTGAAGAGATCTTCTGACGATTCTCCATCGCGCGATTAATAATAACAACAATGATCCCTAACCCTACTTTTATTGACAACTGAGCTCATATTCCTTCTTCGGAGGATTTTCATTTCTTTTTCAGCATCTTCAAGTACTTCTGAGAGCTGAAGGAGTCTTCGAGTTCGTCATACACTCGGATCTTCTTCTTGGGCTTCCTTCTGTCCAGTCTCATCTTGCGCTCCTCCTCGGAAAGGGTGCTCAAATCCAGCGGAAGCTACAGAGGGAGATAGATATTGATAAGAATGACACCGGTCTTGAGGTTCTCTACTGACCCTGATGATTTCCCTGGGCTCGTGGTAGCGGATGTTGAAGCTGGATCCATCAGGAAGCACCACAACCGTCGGATTGTACATTCTGGCGTACACACCGCGATGTATTTTGGTGATTCCCGCTGTCGTGGAAGAGATGCTACGACTCTGTGTCAGGAAACTAAAGATCCTGGGCAGTGACATCCCGAAAGAAAGATGATCCCTGGTTTCTCTAAGCGCAGCGCCCTGAAGTTTTGGCGAAATTTGACATTTTGCCATGTCTGAAAATCAGTGAAAAAAGTACTGCCAGATGCGCGTTCATTCTTCAATCTGTCAGATGAAAAGGGTGTTTTTGTGTTGGAATTTCTATACGGCTGATTATTATTTCCTAATTTGATTACAAAGAAGCACTTTGCTGGCCACCAGACACAATGGAGGCGGTTCCGCGGCTGCCGATGTTGAGCTTCGACATGAAGCAGAGTCACGAGCCCACCTCCTTCAGCAGCCTGAAGCGCGTAAGTTTGTCGATCGCGCCCCATTGGAAAATCAATCACGATGACTCACGCTTTTCCTCTGTTTCTCTCCCTCAAGTACATCACTGAGTTCTATCACGAGGACCCTGAGTCGTATGCCAAGGAGTTCCATGCGCTGGAGAGTCTGCGAAACAGCGCCGTGCGCCCCAGTCACGACATGGACGGCTGCTCCACCATCAAGAGGTACTATTGTCAGCTGCACTCGCTTGTGCACCGCATCATTTGCCACACGGGCGACCAGGTCCACCTGAGCTTCGCCTGGAAGGACATCTACTCCGGCACGGCGGTGACTTTCTCGGACATCAATCAGGAGATGGCGGCGGTCATGTACAACGCTGGGGCGTTACACTCTCAGCTGGGCGCCGAGTGTGTCCGGACGAATGACGAGGGCATGAAACTGGTGAGTGTTTTCCCTGTTTTAGTGCCCGTAGGAAAATTTGGTTAAGGCATGATTTCTACCCTCGCTTCAGGTTTGCACGCATTTCCAGTGCGCCGCTTGGGTGTTTGGTCACTTGCGCGATAACTACAAGGGTATGGAGATGAGTGACATGGGCAGGGATCTGCTGCTGTTCATGCAGCAGCTCTCCTTTGCTCAGGCGCACGAGTGCATCCTGGAGAAGAGCCTGACAGACAATAGGAAGGCCGCCACAGTATCCACTGTGGCCAGTCACATCATCAATTTCTACGTGACAGCTTTGGGGGCGCTCACGACGGGCGGCGACGATGGTGTGGTGTGCGAAATGGTGGGCAGCAGAACTTACAAGGAGTGGAAGCGCTATGTGAAGTTCAAGATCGCCTACCTGAGCGCGATTCTGTATCTGTACCAAGGGCAGCAGTACGAAGAGATGCAGAAGATGGGTGAGCGCGTGACACTCTTCCAGGCGGCCTTCGATAAGCTGGAGGAGGCGAGGAAGGAGAGCAAGGGAATGCAGGGCCAGGAGCAGATTGCCGAGGCATTGGTGTTCACCAATGATGTGATTGAGGCGAAGAGGAATGCGGCGAAGAAGGAGAATGAGTACATTTACCACGAACAAGTGCCGGAATTGTCTGCCATTCCGCCGGTGAAAGTGGAGAAGAAGCTGATGATGAACGGGATTGGATTCAATCCGTCAGATCCGGAGTACGTGAACAATGATATCTTCCATCGCCTCGTGCCGTTGGAGGCGCACGAGGGCAGTTCTCTGTACAGTGAGGAGAAGGCGGCACTGCTGCGTCATGTTGGTGCGCGCGTGGAAGATAAGGATGCGGAGTTGAATGCTTTCGTGAGTTCGCTGAATTTGGATCCGCTGCAGTTTGACAACAGCGTCAAGTTGCCTCAAGGCATTGTCGATCGCTGTGCCGCTCTGCACGCGCGTCCGACTGCCATCAGTGACTTGGTGGCGTCGATGTCGAGCCTGGCGGAGTCCTGCTCGGACGTGGAGTCGATGCTGCAGGAGATCAGGGATATGCTGGAGGAGGAGGACGCTCGTGAGAAGTCGTATCAAAAGACAATGGGTGCACGACCGAGTCAGCACTTCTCAGAACTGATCAGGGAGTTCCAGAAGTACCAGGAGGCACACAACAAGGCGGGTGAGAGCAATGAGACCCTAAGGAAGGCCATGGGACTGCACGTGTCGAATCTCAAGACGCTGGCACAGCCGCTCAGCGACATAACAAGTCTGGTGCCGGTGAACAAGGAGGCGACGGATGAGAAGCAGTTTGAGAAGCTGAAGCACTTGCTCGCCAAGGTGAACACGATGAAGACGCAGAGAGCGGGATTGGTGCAGGAGTTCAGGGATGGCGTAACAGCGGACGACATCACGGGGAAGATCGTGACGTGGGAGAAGAAGCTGGAGAAGTTGTTCAAGAAGGAATTGGCGAAGCACGACAAAGTTGTGGCGCTGATTGAGCAGAATCTGGCGGCGCAGGGGAACATCATCAAGGCACTGACGGAGGCATATGCTGAGTGTGCTCCAGACATGAAGGCATTGGTGGAGACGAAGCACAAGAGGGAGCACTTCTACTCCTCATTGGCGGCCTCCTATGACATCTACGAGGATCTGCTGGGCAAGAGTGCCAAGGGATTGGAGTTCTACCGGAAGTTACAGGGCAATGTGCAGAAGCTGCTGACCAGAATCAAGGCGGCCAGAGATGTGCAGGAGGAGGAACGTCAGCAGCGTCTCAAGTCGACCAGTGTGACGCCAACACCCGAAGTTGTCAGTGCGACTCCTGCCGTGACTGTGGCCAAGAGTGGGCCGAAGCTGAAGGACTACCTAAAGTCCGAGACTTCCTACATTCCGCCCGCGGTGAGGCCAAATCCCCTGGGATCAGAGAACACCTCCGCCTCCACCTGCGCGACGACGACCAGCTCGGACAAGTTCATGTCTCAGACGGTAGCCGGCGGCTATCAGGGCTACTACTTTGCTCCGGAGGCGGTGAGTCAGTATTACGTGCAGCAGCAGACGTCACAGACGCAGTCCGGCTACACGAATCCCATCTACCAGTCCCAGTACTACTACACAACAGCCCAGGGCAGTGAGGCATTCACACAGCCCGTGACGCAGACATCCAGCAGTGCTTATCAGGCGCCGCAGCAGCCCCAAGTCTCCTACAATTTCTATGGGGAGCAGCAGATGACGAATGGCGCTTCCTCGGTCAATAGCTATTCGGCTGGTGTCCAGCAGGCGCCACCGATGACTACACATTCCACCAGTAGCATTCCTGCCGGTGGTCACATGTCAACGTGCGTGGATCCTCAGCAATCGACATTCTACAACCAGTCCGGATACGGTTATCAGACATCGTACGCCACAGCCGACCAGCAGAGTCAGATGTACTATCAACCAGTGCCGTCGCCGGGTCCGGCGCAGACCAGTGATGCTTCCGTGGCTAGTCTGACGCAGCAAGTGAGCGGAATGAGCATGAATCAAGGCTGGGATCCGATGACTTACGGCCAGAATGCGACGAGTGACGCTGCGGCATCGGTCGCTCAGACTCCGTACGCTTATGGAGGACAGATGTACGGACAGTACAATCAGCCAGATCAATATGCGCAGGCCTACAGCACGCCAGACACTTCGCAGATGCCGCAGAACTACCAGCATCCGATGTCCAGTCAGTATTCCATGGGCCAGAGCCAGTCGTACGCCTCCCATCCGGGCTATGTGTACAATCCGATGACGGGCGAGTACCAATACGCCAGTGGGTATCAGATGGAAGTCAACACCACGGCGCAGTACATTCAGAATCACTACACGAACGCCGGCGAAGCTGGATATGGACAGACGGTGGCCAGTTCGACGGTTTACGCCGCTACACAGGCCTACGATTCCTCCCAGGTGAGCATTCCGCCGATCTGGCGGTCAATTGCAAGGTGGTAATAACTCTGCTCTCCTTCCAGTATACGAACCCTGTGATGCAGCCTATGCCGCAGGTGCAGGGCCAGATTTCCTCGCCACAAGTTCAGCCCGGAACACCAGCTGCAGGTATGCCAACTGCTTATGGGTTGTATTTCATTGGGTATTACTATTACTCCGTTGTCATTCGTCGCACTGTCTTCTACTACAGGCAGTAGAAGATGTGTTTCTTAACTAATCTTTGCTTTCTTTCCCCTTGAATTTCTTAAATTAACAAAATGTGAAATTGAAATAGGCTATTGGAAATGTCGATGAACTGAATTGATGAAATTTTTAGGGAGTGAAGTAATAAATTTTCCCTCACTTTTCGCACCTTCTTCGTAGCTTTTGTAAAATGTACGAAAGTTGTTTATTTAGTGAAGTGTGAATCCACGGAACCAGAGCAGGTATCGCCAAAGCCCTTAAGTCTACAAGAATTTATGATTGCATCTAGTTTACACTTTAGTCAAACAGTGTAATTCAACAAGTTTTAGTGCAAGCCACTCCCCTTTGGATGCTCCGCCCACTTATAGGGAGATTTAAACTGTTTGGCTAAAGTAAAATGTAGTAAATAATATGAACTATACTAACCATTTACCAGATTTGTTCATTTTATAACGTGTGAAGTGAGATAAAGACAGATATTCTGTTAATCGTTTCTTTAAATCGTCTAAGAATATCTGTTAATTCACGCTTTTGTAGTTAGACTAGACTAACCCACTAACCACTGAGCCTTAAAGTTCTGTCAATCTTCTTTCAGATCACTTTATCTAATGCTTTATTTCACTTTAAATGTATTCCAGTTGAAGCCAAGCCTGAAACTCCCGCTGTCAAGGCTGAACCGTCAGTGGCGCCTCCAATTAAGGCGTCTAATCTGGATCTCCTGTCGGGAATTGACTTCACAACTCCAGACATTCCGGCCACGCCACTCTTGCAGCCCAAAGTCGTCTCGGCGACAGCCAAAGAAGAGCCTGCGAAAGTGGAGACAAACGTGGACATCTTGGCGAATGTCCTGGTGCCGGAGAAGGAGGTCAAAGTGGAGCTTGTGGAGGCGCTTCCAGTCAAGCCTGCTGCTCAGAGTGGCGGTTTTGAGAGGAAGATGAGCGGAGAGAATGCGTCGATTCTGTCTCAGCTGGATTCTTTGGAGCAGTCTTTCAGTGAGACGTCATCCGTGAAGACGGAGGACTTGGGCGTGAGCGAGGCGATCCTGGGGAAGTACAAGGATGCCCTAGACGATCCCAGTGTCCTCAAGTGGTTCCACAAGGAGGTGGAACGAATGGAGAAGTTCATCGAGGGTGTCAGCATCAAGACACTGAACGGATCCACTCCGTTGGACACAAAGTGGAAGGAGTTGCAGGATTTGCTTGTGAAGGATGAGTCTAAACGTTCCATCACGGTGGCGAAGTGGTTCTACGAGAAGAATTGGAAGAATCTGAAGGAGGATTATGTGCCGTACGATCACTCAAGAGTGATCCTGCCGACAGAAACGGAGGATTACATCAATGCTGCTTACGTGAGGGTGAGTGAAAAGAGTTAGTTTTGGTGTGTGGATTTGTAATGTTTGGCTCGCTTATGATGTTTATCTTTCAATGATAAAGATCCCAGCGGATGGAACTGTGGTAAGTGGATGAAGAATCACTACCATGGTATTTCCCTCCTGCAAATCTTCATGATCCTCGATCACTGCTCATCGTAGAGATTGTGGTATTTTTGTCTCCGGATGGTGTCTAAAGTGTGTGTTTCTTGGCCATTTCAGGAACTCGGGCCGGGTTGTCCTCAGTTGATTCTCGCTCAGACACCCAAAGCGACCACCTTTAAAGACTTCTGGTTCATGGTTTGGTCACAGAAATCTCAGCTTGTTGTCTGTTTGCATCCGCCAACTGAGGTGAGTTGCGTTGAAATGAATTTCACTCCAGGATTGCTGGTGAAATGCCTGCTTTTGCAGATGCTGGACACCTTCTGGCCGACTCAGGTGAACGCCGAAGTCACGCACGGGGATTTTTCCGTTACGCTGCAGCGTCAGTTTGATCTGTCGCACTGTCTGGAGCTGAGTTTGAGGGTAACAATGCTGGGCAGCGATGCCATTCACTACTTGAGTCTGCTGCAGATGAAGATGCCGTGGGGAAAGGGATCTTGCGGGCAGATCTTGGGCATTGCCCAGAATGCCATTGACACGATGAGGAGGCATCAGGCTCAGGACGGACCGGGAAAGTCCTGGCCGCTGATCATCAACTCCCTGACCGGGGCCGATCGCTCGGGATGTCTGGCTGTGGCCATTACAGCCATCCTGGCGGCGCAGTCCAGACGCCCGACTCTCATCAATGTGGTGGATGTGTGGTACAGGATCTGCTCGCAGAGGAAAGGCGCTCTGGAGGATGCTGAGAACCTCTTGCTGTCCTACAAAATTGTCCTCTCTCACGGCCATGAGCTGCTGAACAAGCGTAAGAGTTGCGTGGGCGCAGTTTCTGGGGGCGAGTCTTCTCATCGATTTCCTCTCCTTGCAGACGGCATTATGACGTCGTACCAGATGAAGACGGCGCAGACAGCCACCGTGGAGGCCAAGCAGGAGACCATCGATCCACTGAGTCAGCTGGATCCACTCTGGAAGCTGAAGTGAATTCCTTGTTGAGTTTTTTTTCTAACACAATAATATTGATATTTGTGGAATTATTTTCAGTTTATAGCTCAAAGTTTATCTCAATATTTAATCGTGAAAGATATAAAAACATTTATAAATGAGAGTCTCTAGTGTTGTTCACTTGTCGGCCAGGAGGAATCTGTAGTCTTCTGTTGAGTCGAGTTGAAGTGCAATGCTGGCGCTGGAGAAGATGCCACTTGTCGGATCCTCGCTGATGTTCTGCATCGTGAGAATCTCCTCGGGATTCTTCTCATCCAGAATCCTGATAATGCTGTCCGCCTGGGGATTCACTACTTGACTGAGCTGCTGCTCCTTGGGCGGATAAGTCGCCACGAAGATGATCTGGCCATTCTCCACGTCGTCACCTTGGTTCAGGATCTGATAGACTATCGGCATGTCCGCTTCGGGGAGAGTTTTTGGCTCCTCACTAGTGCTGACCGCCGGCGGAGCAGCATCGGCGTGCTGCTTTGCGTGCTTCACCATGTTTGAACGGTCGGCGAACGTCTTTCCGCACGTGACGCACGCGAAGGGCTTCTCGCCAGTATGCGTGCGTGAGTGCTTCTTCAGCGCATACTGCTCGGCGAAGCTCTTCTGGCAGATGTCGCACACGAAGATCTTCTCGTTACGGTGGCGGCGCATGTGAATCTTGTAAGATTCCAGCTTGATGAAGGCCTTGGTGCACATCTCGCAGTGCCACGGGCGCTCGTTCGTGTGCCTCTGCGAGTGCATGCGACACTGGGACAGCGTCTTGAAGGACATTTCGCAGTGCTGGCACTTGAAGGGCCGCTCGCCCGTGTGGATGCGCACGTGCTCCTTGAGGATGCCGCGCTGCAGGAAGGACTTGCCGCAGTGCTGGCACTTGAAGGGCTTGTGGCCTGCGTGCCAGCGATAGTGGTGCTTCAAGGCGGCGTTGTAATGGAAGCGCTGCCCACACAGATCGCAGCCGTAGCGCTTCTCCTGCGAGTGGCACAGCGCGTGGTACTGCATGTGTGGCTTCGTCTTGAAGCGCTTCCTGCACACGCTGCACTCGAACGGGCGCACGGCGATGTGCACATTCTGATGCTTCTGCAGCTGGTGCTTCTGCATGAACTCCTTGTCGCATTTGTTGCATGCGAAGCGCCGCACACCGCTGTGCTCCGTCTCCTTGTGCAGCACCACCACGGCCGGATCCGTGAACTTCCTCTGGCACACGTCACAGTGGAAGGCCGGCGGCGTGCGATGGCTCGTCATGTGGCTGCGCAGCTCTTGCAGGTATGAGAAGGCCATCTTGCACAGACTGCACGTGAACTTCTTCGTCGCCGTGAAGGTGGCCTGCGTCTCCAGAGTGGGATCAAAGGCCAGATCCAGCTCTGGGATGTTCATGAAGTCCTCGTCGATCTCACTGATTTGCGGCATCACTGTCTTGTCATTCTGCAGATCGTACAGCGCCTTGGCTGCCTCCTCAATGGCCGAAGAGTCCGCCTTGGCCACCTTTACACTCTCCACAATGCCTTGACCCTTGTGACCGCTGTCGCTCTGGTGCTCCTTCAGCTCCTCCCGCTTTAGGAAATGCTCCAGGCACTCTGTGCACTCATAGCGCACATTCTGATGAGTCGCCCGATGGCTGAGGAATCGTAGCTCCTGGGAGAACGTCTTGCTGCACACGTCACACATGAATCTGGTCTTCAGCCTCGCCACGCGTCCCTTCCTGTGAAACTCCACCTTCTGTGTCACCACCAAATCACTCAACACCACGCCGTCCGATGACTTGAGATGCCCTATCACCTGACTCCCTCTACCGTCCTCCTCCGTGGCATTCTCGATGATCTGCGCACTCTCTTCCGTGTCCGACACGCCAGTCTTGTCAATCACTCCCTCAGCCACGTACACCTTCTCCAGTTCCTTGCCCTGCACCACGCCCTGGAAGCGAGCTGGGGCCCGGATTTTGCGCTTTCGTCGCCCATCCTCGCCTTGCTCCTCTCTCTCCTGCGCCTCCTGACGCTGCTTCGCCAGCAACTCCTCTTCGGCCCGCAGTCGCTGCGCCTCCAGCACTTCTGGCGATGGTTTCGGCGGCCTGCCGCGCTTCTTGCGCGGTTTCTCAACGCCCATCGCCTTCAGTGACAGCGTATGATTAGTAGGAAAGAGAACACTCTCCAAATCCTGCCCAAGATCCTCATATGCGATGATTGCAGTGCTGTTACTCTGCTCTTGACACAGCCACTCTTCTCTCTGCAGCTCCCTGAGCTTCTCCTGACCGCGGATGATCAAGTCGAAGAACTCCACAGTTGTCTCCACCTGAATATTGCATCCTGGACAGATCCACCGGGGAAACTTCCCGTCATCCTTGACCTTAAAGTGGAATGGGAAGAAGTAGGTCAACATGGTCACTAAGAAAAGTGCCTTTTCTCCACTCACCTTCACTGGGAGGTACTGATTTATGAGATTGCTGAGTCGAGAAGATGCCTGGTCATCCTTTGGATCGAACAATTGGTATCCACTTGAGTTACTTTCTCCGCACAAACGACAAATCCGGGCATCGCAGAGAAGCTCTGAACCCTCCATTGAACCGCCTGATTTCCACAATTCTGCATTTATGAAATATCAAGAGTCATTTGTTTCACCTTTTCTACTAATTTTGAGATTCTTTCACTACACTTTTAGATGCTTTTTCAGAGGAAAAAGACTAATAGCAAAAGAGCGCAAGTTTCGCTGCGAGAACGTAAACAAAACTGACATTTGAACACATTCCACAGATTTATGATTGTGGAAACAACGAGAATTCCCGAACATGCTCGTGAAATCGACCACAATTGACAGTTGACGTGCATTTTTGCTGTCTCGGAGTGATTTTCCTGTTGAGGAGGAGTTTTTCAGTGATTTTCACCCCATTATCCAACCCATAAACGATGGTAAGATATCCCTGTCGCCTCTGTGAGTGTCAGAGTTGAGATTGTGATGTGATTTTCACCCTTTGCAGGCTTCCATAACGGAGAAATTTGTGAGCTTAATGGCTCGACCCGGTCAGGACAATGTCCCCAAAGATGACGACGTCCCGTGGTATCTCAAGTACGGCGGACGCGTTCTGGGCATCGTGGGAGCCTTCTGTAAGTCACCAGATTGGGGAATGGGGAATGCTCAGCTTTTGGATGGCGGGGAAAAGCCCAGAAATTGCACACGCGTTGCGAATTTGATGACACGACATGGGGAAAAAATCGATGCTCTTCTCGCTATCATGTCGCTGTTCTTTTGCTTGTGTGAGAATTGTGGGAGGATTCCGGAAGTGATTTATCTGCGCTCGTGCGCCCCGCCAAGAGCTGAGAGGAGGGCATCTTTGCCGTCAATCTGGTGAGAGAGTCACTGATATGGCTTTGTTTTCTCCCCCTTTTCAGTTGCCATCCTCTTCGGACTATGGAACTGCGTTGGTATCCTGCTGGCCGACGTGAGCTGCCTGATCTCTGGCATCCTGCAAGTGTGCGCCGGGCTGCTGGTGATGGTCGTGGAGGCGCCCTGCTGCTGCATGTTCGTCGATTTCGTCCAGAAGATCGCCGACTTGGCGGATTCGAAGCCGCATTACTACCGCGCTGGCGTCTATTGCGCGTAAGTTGGTCTTATCTCGTCAGACTTGGCTGGGTAGTTGCGCTCCTATTCCCTCCCCCTATCCGTTAGTGGCCACTGAGTCACGGCGGCAAGTCGCTCAGGGGTCTTCCGGGGCTGATACAGCTTTAATCTACCTGACTTGTGGACGGTTTTTCTGCCTTCTTCTTCACTTGGGGAGGAAGATAAGCGTACACTGCGTGGAAGCGCTTTATCGTGGCTCATTTCAACGGTTTCTTGGCTAATTATTTCATTATCGGGTGATAAATTGAGGAAAAAACCGTGAAGGATTGTAAAAACCTTCGACAATTGCGAATCAATAGAAAAGCCATAATATTTACCGTTGCTAAGCTTTCGACATTGATAGTAAACAGTATAATTTTTGCATTTCGCAGCATTGCGATTCCCCCAATCATCATCTGTCCAGGCTTGGGCAGTATCTTTGGATGCGGCCTGATCTTTGGCACTGGCGTTCTCTATGGCATGATGTCGCTGGGCAAGAAGTGAGTATTACAGTTCAGAAAGACTCTCCTAAAATCACTTCCCACTAATTGACTTAATCCACCGCAATTGTGCGTGTTTACTAATGATTCTGTAAAAATGCCATCCTAATGCAACCCAAAGGGGATCACGTCAAGACATGGCGGCCATAGCATCGCCGAATGCAATGTCTCCTGGTCAGGGACCGACACTGGATCAAAGGTCAACATTAATGGAGGATCCAGACGTCTGGCGTCCGACATAAAGCGCTAGATCCTCTAGTTTGCTAGCCCAAAAGAGCACACACGAACATTGAAACACTCGACACAAGGCATTGCCATCATATATCATATCCCATAAAAGACACACTCTGAGAAAAAGAAGTGGCAAGAGAAGATATTCGTATATAGTATATATTTGAGAGAATCACAAGCCACAAAAGTCACACAGAAACACAGATGAAAAGTACATTTTGCAACACCTTTATCTCTTCTTACTTTTTCAATATTATTTCGTCGTTCAACCTTTCTTCGTGAACTCATCACTGACTTTTTCACCATCAAGGATCGCACACTTAATGCAAAATCCATTCATAAAGGCAACTAATCTTTTTCTCTCTCATATTATGTGGTGTGAGCTTTGTGTGTAACCAAATTGCATGGAATTGATGTAGTTTTACTGCTCTGGTGTTTTGTGAGAGTTCTTTGGAAATGAAAAAAGATTGAATGCTGAAATTTTTTTGTGACATTTCTGAAATCTTAGATAGCCTGGATATTGAATAGAAAAGCTTCGTCCTGTTTGCCTCGGAAAATTAATAAGGATTTTTGGTTTTCGTACATTTAACTATAATGCAAAAGTTTTTAGAAGGGAAAACATGATTTTTCTGCACTATTTTCATTTTTTTTTTTACTTTCTATTTAGCATGTCTGATCCGGTGTTATAAATTCACTGAAAGACGTGCGGTTTGTCATCTACTAAGAATTTTCTATAAAACTTTTATTGCTTGATTTCGATTTTATTCATTATGAATTCATATGGAGAAACCATTGCAAATCATCACACGTTTGCCTCGTTCCAATCAAGAATCGCGATGCACCGTTTAGAGCTAAACAATTGAAGATATTGAGTTCTTTGTACTGGTTGTTTACAATCATTTGCATGTTCGTATATTTCACTTGAATAGCAAAGAGCATCACTTTGTGCAATTATTCGTGTGTATTTTCTCGAAACACGGCAAAAGATGTGCAATTTTGATGTGGCGTAGATTTTGTTCAGTTGCATTTCCTCTTAGTTTTCCAAAGATGGGGCAGCAGCGAGAAAAAAGTGGGGAAATTGGTGTGCGATGATTAATTGAGGTTTTTTTTCATGTGTTCATCATCGCCTTCGCGGGAGAGCAGAGCATCCCTTCAAGAAATGCGAAACGCCGCTGTTGCATCCGACAATAGCAGACCAATTCAGACAACCTCGGGCATGCGGTCGAACCTCGTGGACAATGCTCAACCTGTCGCATTCACAGGCCCACCTGCGTATGATAGCAACGTTTGATAAAGTAGCCAATAGGGGAAATGATGATTTACCTGTTAAAATGTGGATCGGAGTGCTGGAGCAAGGACTCAAAGAGGTAAAGCGAATTCACTGAACAGTTGCAACACACATACACTCATTACAGATAGAGAGAACACTGAAAAGTGTGAGACGTTGAAAGTGAAGAAAAAAAGAAGAAGTATATTTTAATGAGAAGAGTAAAAAATGCAAATAACGATTAACTAGAAATGTTGAACTTAATGTTATTTATTGATGATTAACTGAAAGGAGAAATGAAAGTAGAACAATTATAGAGACGAAATAATTATTGAAAATGTTGCTGAAAAGAAGTTTACATTAGAAATTTTACAAGACTTACACAGGAAAGGAGGTGAGAAACACATGGAAATTGATAGTTCTGTAGATTGATCATTCATTTTTTTTTTCTTTTTCTTCTTCGAATCGTTTCACGCTTTTTGTGGAAATTATATAGACTTTTTGATTTCTTAGCCCATATTAAATTGTAATATTTTTCTTCCTTTATTATGTGATAAAATTATCTAAGCAAATATAAATCTTGTTTGCTTATTAATTGTCCTTTTTTATTATCTTGTGCGTGATTTGAAAAATGTTTTATTTTCATCATGTTTCTATTCATGGTTGTAGGAGGAAATGTGAAAAATATATCTTCCCAATGATTTTCCCTATCAATTTAATTTTCATATCTAGAAGAGAAAACGTAATTTATTCACAAATAATCTTATTCTGTAGTTTAATTTGCATGCAAGTGGTATTTTTTTAATGGTATATTTTGAGTCAATTATATGCAGTTTATTAATTGCGAATTGTGTCGGCGATAAAGAGTAAATTAAAGCAAAAGATTCGTATGATATAATCACATAATTCCATATGTAATAAATTATTCAAGTTATATGAAATCATTAAAAAAAGGGAAGAGTAAAAGCGAAGAATTGAGAAATTGATAGATTAATAATTAAAAGACAGACAAAAATGTTGAAAATTTTAGACATAAAGGTGGCAAAAAGTAGAAGGAAAGGATACAAATATTGCATTAAATTTACATCGTATCACACTATTAGAGATATCATGGATATTAGATAGATATCCGGATAATTTATCAGTATAAAATGCAGGGCAATTTCGTAGCCGAGGAATCACGTTATAGCCGTGTATAACAGACTGTTATACGCTGGAAAATTCGCGGTAAAAAGTCATTGGAAAGGCATGTACAAATGTGTCTAACAATATTTTTCTGTATTTGATACATTTTTATAGTCCGTTTTCTATGATTCTCCTAAAAAATATCCCCTTAATTTGAAGTTTTCATGAAATTTTGCACCCTGAGAAATTTGCGAAAATCCTGGCAATTAAATTACATTTAAATTAACGAGTGTGTCTCTGCGAGAGACACTCTTCAAATGCAATGAATTTAAGCACACCAATAAACGTTCACTGTATGCAATTAAATTTGATAACGACTATCTTGAGACACTCTTTGTTTGCCTTTTCAATAAAAGTGCCGTGAATTGCACGTGAACTTTTGCGGATTCACGACACAATTTGCCGAGAGTATGAAAACATTTGAGTGATTTCTCCTCAGGCTAAAAGGATTTGTCTCTGTGTAAGGGCAATTAGGAGTATGTGAAACGTATAAAAGTAAAATAATAATCATTGAGGTGAGGAAGAGTGCATTTTGAAGGCTTCATTAAAGCATTTTTGGGTTTTAAAGTAGTGCAGAAAATGAGAGATTATAAAATAAAATTTAAAAAGAAACATTCCGTTGCAATTTAGAAGCGACTTCCACGGTAATGTTCCATTATGATGTAATTGTGAAGACATATCGGATGAAAAAAAAGACATGAGAAAATCATCAAATTAATGCTAATTTATAATAGAAATTCCTCCGCGATGCACTATAAATTGGCCACTCATGAGAAAATGTGCTTGAATTTAATTTTAACAAACAAGAGAAAGATTTGCTCATTAAAGTCTCTGTGAAGAGGTCGACAGCTTGTTTCTGTTACGAAAGCGCGATTCATATAATATTTGGAAAATTCATGCGTGAATTTTTCAAGAATATATCCGGAAGATTTCCGCTCGATGTCGAGCGAAATGTTGTGCAGAGATTGTTCTTTTCTTGATGTAAATGTAATGTACTAAATGTGTATAAAATATATGTATATACGATAACATTACAGAAACTTTTCATTTTGTCTGCCGTGCATTTCGGATGTCTCGATAAAATTAACCCCCAACAGTGATGTGCAGTGAATAAAAGTGCAGTGATTTGAGTTGTTCGTGCGCTATTGGAAAATCGACCCGAAAGATATTTTCAATGAAAAAGTCTGTGTAAATTTAGACAATGTCATCAGAAGCCAATTAAGACGAAAGACATTTGGCAAGTTACGAAGTGCACTGAAAAACGTGCTTCACGAGAAGATAAGGTTAGTATTAAACGTGTTTTCAGAGTGATAAAACGAGTTCAATTTTGCACCAAATGTTTTGTAAATTGAACCGTGTAAGCAAAATTAAATTTAAAGTGACATAGAAATCATTGTTTTACACATTTTTGATAAGATGAATTGATGGTGTGATTTTATTAAAACGAAATTTGCGTCTGCATTTATGGCACGCGACTGTGAAGCGCGCGATTGAGGAAATCTTGATGGGCGTAATTTAGGAATTTTATTCACTCGCCGGAACTTTGTTATCTCTGTCGGCAGATCGGGCAGTGGAAGTGCAGTAGGACCCGAAAAGGGTGAGTTGAGGGCAGATTTATGGGCTCGTGAGCGCGATCAATGCAGTGAAAAGGCACACCAACTGCTGCGCTAATGAGGGTATCGCCAATTTGCCTTTTCAACTGCCACAAATTCAATTCGCATGGGTGCGAATTCAGGGGGTCGCAATGCGACTGGACGACAGAAGGCAAATCAGATGTTTGAGAGCAATTTCACTCGCATTAGCAGAAATTTATCTTCGATCTTGACATGGATTTATCACAGAGTTGTCAGCCTTCAACTTGAATTTCTGCCGCGTCAATGGCAATTTCCCACTTGATTTGCGTGCTTCTTGCTCGGGTGGATTTTTCACGCTGTGGCGTGGGAAAGGCCGCTGCAGCTCGGGAGGAATCACAAAAATGCCCCATTTTGATAAGACACAAGTGGAGAGAAAGAGGAGAGAGAAGACAATGGTGAGAAACTGACCCATATCTGCTAATTCTCCTTCAATTCCTCACACAATCTCTCGAGTCCCAACTAATGAGAAAGTGTGCGATACCGAAGGAATTTCAAATATTTACCTTTTCATGTGTATCCTTGTCTCTTCACCTTCTTCTTCGCCTCTTTGACGGGCTGACTTGGGGAAGATTTACGATGGCTCTTGGCTGGGGAAGCACGGAGTGCGAGAGAGAGAGAGAGAGAGAGAGTAAATGTGTGTAATTCACATTTCCTGTATCTCTGGCTCAAGAATAAAACTCCGCCACAATTGTTATCAATTGTCTTTTGATAAAACAAAGTCTCTTTCATTTTGCAATGAGCAGATTTTCTGATCCAATTGCTGGCAAAAGACACGTGCTTCGGCATTGCTTAAAAAGTGATTATATACTATATTATTGCATTTCTGTGCGCGATTACCTTGTACGAAATTGGAAATGAGTTGAGAAATTTACGGCATCAAAATACGCAGCAATTACGTGTGCAGAGAATTGATTATCATTTTGATGAGTCGCGTACGTATTTCCATTCATATTGGTTTAAGAATATAAATACAATAAATTTGATTTATTTTTACGCATTTGTCGAACTACACGCAAAATCTCTGTTTCACTCTTTTGCGCTCAACAATGTTGCAAATGTTGCATTCGTGCGAGAATATTAGAACATTTCACGCAATCTGTAGGTCAATATTTCACTTCAACATCAATTTGAAGTTCGATTGAGTGATGTCGTTTTAGATTTGAGTCATCTTTTCAAGGGCGTTTTTCCTACACCACACATTTTGCAATGTTTTCTCCGTGTCGCATTGCATCCACTCTCGAGCTCACTTCCAACTGAGCAGGGGGCAAAAAGGGCGATTCTCGGCGCATTAAAAATTCACAGTCACATTTTATCCCGACCGCCCTCGGTTGTGCCTTTAGAGTGCACAGGCACTTCTGGGCAGAGAAAGGCGAGCAGTTGAAAATGTGTCACGTTCCGCTTCCATTGTTGGCCTCTCGGTTGGGATTCAGGATCCAGGACATTAGGTAATGTGGAAGAGAGCGACCAATTAGGTAATTTATGGCCGCCGCCTTTGTTGTCCTTCTGGCCCATGGCTTCTGCCTCGTGGAATTTGTATGGCCATTGAGGAAGATCACCATTAAATTGGCTAAAGAATGGCCCTGTGAGCGTCACATTTTTTCCTCCCGAAATGCCAGGATTGCCAGGAAGCGATTTATTTATTGTCACTGTAAAATGCGAATAAACAACCTAAATTTGTCAGCCAATCTCATCATTCTTGCATCAATGCGATGATGAGCCTCATGAAAATTATTTCATACGCAACGCATTTTCCTACACTCGTCGGATTAGCAGTGCGACGGAGGGTTATTCTTTTCAATTAAATTGATTAAACTCACCCATGAAAGGCGAGAGGAATTATGCTCGTCGTCGGAGCAGCAAAATGCCAGAGCGCGAAGGGGATGAAACAGTGCTGGATTGTAATAAATTTATTTAAATGCAAATTCGTGAGGCAATTCCGTCGCATTTGATGGTAAGAGGGCCAGAGAGACACCCTCCGTCGAGGGACAGAGGCAGGAGCGCGTGAATTTCATCATTTTTCCGGAGATTAATAACGCCACCGCCCTGTGGGATGCCAATAGTGCGGAGGAGTGCAAGAATATCCAATTGAGGGATGCTGCTCAACCGCTCCCATCCCGCCGCACATGTGAGTCAGCCTCCGTGGGCGGGGGTGCTTCTGAACCAGTAATCAAAATCCAAGAACCTCTCCCGGGCCCCTTTCCACTCCTCCGGCCCTCGTGCGGATGCACTGAACAGCAGAGGGTGCAACTTTTCGGAAAAATTTGTGTAGGGCGGTGAAAATGGTTCAAGTTCTGACCATTAATTGATGTTGTTAGTGATGTTCTTCTGTTGTTATAGCAGTTATTTATAAAAACAACAGATTGGTTTTTGATAAAACAAAATCACGTGGTATTCACAAGGATATTTATTATTATTTCACCTATTGCATAATTATTGAATAATTAATAGTCAGTTTTCGTTTTATTCCTTTAAAACAACACACATTCTAACAATTAATAAATAAATTTTTATAAATTTATTTATTATAAATTTTATAAATTTATAAAAATAATAATAAATTCTAGTCAGAATTTAGAGAATAATTCATGTGTGATCAGACCTTTAGAACGTGTTTTCTTTACAAACATTAAATTATATAAAACAGGATCGAATTTCATAGGTTTTTAAATTGCTACTTTCTGAATGGGCGGAGCAATAGAAGGGGCGTCACTTCTATAATCTTGCTAAAGCATGAAACATTCCACTGAAACTTTCCACCTGCTTCGCCGCCCTCGCCCTCAAACTTCCCGCAAACGTGCTCAGCTGAGGGATTGAGAGATGTGAGCGATATGCAGAAATGTTAATGCAATAGAAAATAAGGAGAATCATGAAAATTGCGAAAGTGCAGGAGTGTCAGCATTCGAATTATTGCCCTGACGATGCGGCACAAAAGGAGGGTGGCCGATAAAATCCTCCGCATCGACGCTCAATGACGATTGCATTAATGGAATTTCTCATCCTTGCGCGCCTCGACGCCCTATGCGGAATTGCCCGGCAACACGGGAGGACAAAACGGTCTTGAGGGTTAAGTGCGAATGCCGGGGGTGAGCGAACAGTTGATTTAAAATCAAAATCCCTCAGACTCATGCGTGACAATGAGAAATGCGGCCCCGTCGAGAGACAATTGCACATATGCCACGAATTGCTCGTGATGACGAGGGCGAGGGTGGAAAATTATTGCAATTCTTGCCACGTTTCCCGAGCCCTCGCATCAGACGCCAAAAGACAACAGCATAAATATGTATTTGGCGGTGTTGAGGACACTTTTTCGACGTCCCCTTGGCGGGGGTGTGCAACAGGAGCGTTATTGGAGCAATTTGGTGAATTGTTTGCTCAGGCGGCAAAGAAGTGGATGAGCGAGGGTGGCAAGTTTAACTGGAAGTTCTTCAACCAGTGATTCTCATTTATCAAGGCTGCCAAAAGTGGAAAGAATGGACACTTCTGACCATGTTCCCATACTTACTACTCACTTCGACTCTTCTGAAAAAATGGACAACGCAACATTGTGCAGTCAAAGTTGTGGCGCTCTTTCGCAATCTTCACTGGCAAAGTGTAACCTATTGAACCAAATTCTTGTCGCTATTGCTCAAAATGCTACACTTTAATCGGAAGTGCGTCATTTGCCATTTTCCGCCTGTGTCGAAAGTCAGGAAATCAATCCGAGTCCGCCTATTTTCCGCCAACTTTATCACGATCAGTTGCGCTCTAGTGTCTTTATCACGCCCGTGAAAGCTCTGAACAGTGCACAATTGATCATGAAAATGCGAAAAATGCACCGTCTTTATTCTTCCTTTGCGCGTATTATTGCGAAAAATGGACAAATTGTTTCGTTTGATGCTGAAAATGCTACAATATTTGCTCTCATGCGCGAGAAAACGCCTCTGCCGGTAGTAATAGAGCAAACAAACAAGAGTCATTCACTCACATTTGGACACCTTTTCGTGTTGAGGAAATTACAACAGAGGTGAATAATTTTTATCCGCGAGAAAAGTCATTGTTTGCACGTGGATTTCTGGGTCTCAGAGCAGCCGTGTGAGTCATCAAGTGACGAATTTCTGGTCCAACGGAGAAATTGTATCATTTCTCGTGAAATCCATCTGCTCAGTGCCGTAGTTTTCACACTAATGACTTGTTATTCACCATTTTAGTTACTATGCCTGTTGTTCTTTGATGTGAGTGAATCAGATGAATCTTTGGTGTTTTATTCAGCAAAATCAGGGATTTTCTTCTTTATTCACTACTTTCTATAAATTGTCTACTGTGGAATTTTTGTTCATTAACCTTTCATCACGTGTTGTTGCTCTAGAATCCTCTGTCTTTTTTGGAGGAAAGGCATACCTTCTGTAATGTTGGAGAAAAGTACAATTTTACGTATTTCTATGCATTCTTGCCACGTATAACACTCAATATTTTCCATATTTTTGAATACTTTCCACGCCACTGTCTTCAATTGATCTTCCGCGATAAATATTTATCCAAATGGCAAGATGAAAACATTTCGAGAAAATTCCACGCTGATGCATCAAATTTTCCCGCAAAAACAATTCACCTGCATAGCGTGGAATCAATTAACAGTTTGTGTGATTGGGGAAAACTGTGAGATTTTCCCTTGGTTTCCAACATTTTCCCCACACAGCTGTATCCATAAATGGTAATTTGAGGGCAGAAAGTGCTGAGGTGAACGCCTCATCCCATGTTCCACTGCGAGTCAGTCTATTTGCATAACGAATTTCACATTTTAGCTCCAGTTTCCAGGGCGTTCTAATTTAATGAATGGACTGACAATCATTGAAGCGATGTTTGAATTTTCACTGCGAAAATTACATATTTGCACCTTCTTTCCGTTTTCAGCCCCACAGTTTCGAGGGGCGCGCGCTCTCTGGGTGGCCAATTTGCACACGTTGCGTAGATACGTCTCGTTAAACGCTTTCGCGCAACTTCATTTCATTCTGACACGGCATTTCAGTCGGCAGAAAACTGGGCAATAATCATTTGGTGCTTCTTTTCATTGCAAACGATCTGGCATTTCCACTCTTCAATTTCAAATTTCCCCAAATCCCGATTGCTCACTCACAAGCGTGAGAAGATGTGATGAGAAATTTGAAAAAAAAATTTCTGTAACTGTAACACTTTTATACTTGGTGCTAAAGCACAAGTTAATGTTTGGTCTGATCATTAAATTGTATTCTGTTTATGTCTATTTTTGCGTTCAAATTGTGCCTTAAAAACAATCATTGCGCAATCGGCAAAAATAAGTGGTCTAAACAGGAAAAAAAACTCAATTCCTGCATGCTCTCAAAAAGTGATATCATTGCGATACGCTATCATTCTATTTCTGCCTTAAGACACCTCTTTTTAGCCACCAAAAATTCAGCACGTTTCCAAAGAGGCCTTCACATATCAGCAAAATAATCGAGTTCGATCCAGACAAATTCATTTGTTTGAAATTCAGAAAACACCACTCTTCTTGCTTGCTTACCAATCCTCGTGTGCAAAGTTCTCTTTGCGAGAGAGGGAGAGAGAGGCTCCAAAACATTCAATTTGCACGGAGAGCAAAACTTCTTGTCACACTCTTCGTGGATATTTCATAAGCCGCGTTTCTTCATCGCTCTTGAGCATTGTCTGCCATACAAAGTCGATTGTCTCTGGGCGGAATGCCTGGGCGTGCGGCAGAAACTATCTTCTCAGGTGCCTTTATTGAGCGACAGCATTGCAATTACGGATGAAAGAATCTCCCGGGTGTGTTTTGCCGCGCGAGTTTATTGGCACATGCCCGACGCTTTGGTGTGTTGTGTGACTCCTAAAAGTCGTCTCGATACGCAATTCTTCGCAGCCAAATCGATCGCCCAAGTGATTAGCGGCGTGTGACATGGTTTCACCTGTTGAGAATAGCTCGGGATGAGCATAGAAATTCGCGCGGCGCGTCACGCACAACAGCTGGAATTCGGCGGGGACGCGCGCAATTGAGCAAATTCGAGGGCTGGAAAGCGCTCTATTTCGCAATTTCGCGAATGTTCCAAATTCGGTTTCCAAGGCACATTTTCTGGCGATCGTCAAATGAAAATCATGAGATCGGTTGATTGTGGAGAGCAAGGAACGCATTAAGGTGACAAAGATGCCTCAAATTGTTCCCCGCCATCTCGTAATTTATCTCAGCACAGCGTCACGTTCACTGAGACGCTCTGGAATAGCTTCTAATTAAGATATTTCGATGTGTATCAAATGCATTCTTGACATTTCGCGGTGCTTCTGTGAAATTGTGTCGAAAAAGAACAAGAATGAGAGTTCATTGCTGTTTAGTTGTAGTTGAATCATAGAATTTATGCTCCCTCAATGTTAAGAGCATTTTTCGTGAGTTGCAATTTTTCTTACAAACTGTGGAAAATTTGTATACCTTTGTTTTCGAGCACAATATTATAGAGAAATGCAAAAAAATATACACGTCAAGAAACTATAATGTTGTTATCATCATGAAAAGTAGTGAAATTAATCCTTGGCTAAGGAGAGAATTGGCTTAAAAAATGTACAATTATATCTAAAATATAATTTTATTGCAAACGTAAACAAGACTATCTGTGGAATCATTCTTGTTTGTCTCATTTTTACCGTTTAATTTCGTCAAGCCATTAAGAGACTGAAAAACGTTTATTTTTATTACAAAAGTTGGGCGAAAACAATGTTTTTTCCTCCTCCAAAATGTGGTTTTCTCCGGTTTCCTTCAGTTTTTCTCCTGTCTCATCGCATTATGAGGATTGTGAGTCAAATTGGCAAATGTCGCTTAATCGGAGGCTCATGCGAGAAGTGCACGGAACGCATCGCAATGCTCGAAATGCCAAGTGACTCCTCGTGAGCGCGAAGGAGCGCTGGGAGAGTGTGAGTGAGTCACCCCTTGGCTCCGGCTGAGTCTCACGGCGCGCCTTCAGTTCATTCAGTGCCGAGACACCGGACCGAGTTGAGGTGTTGCGGAATCGCTCTCCGGCGAGAGTGTCGAAGGTTGTTCGCTTTAGCATTGTGCTGCCTAATTGCTCTCGACAATCAGTGTGGATTCTCGCCTTCGGCAGTTTGCGTCACTGCTGGCTTTTCGGCTGTTGTGTGCACTTGAAGGAGGAGGGCTCATTGTGTTCGATTTGTGACCAGGTGTTGAGGAAGGTAGACAATTCCAGCGATTATATTTGCACGGTGCGCAACCAATTGAAGGTCAGTGGATGGAGACCGTGTGTGACGATCTGGAGAATGAAAAACGCGCGCCAAAACACACTTGTGACAACCGCGAATTCGCAAACTCTTCCTTATGTGCTTCTCTGCGTGCCTCATAAATCATAAACACCCTCTGTGCGCAATTTGGTGAATTCTTTGAGTGCTCTTTTCCTGGATTTTTTCGAGAGAAACTCAACTGTCGCGGCCCTTCAATTGTTGTGTATCTCGACGACCGCATATCGAGTGCTGTCGAGCTTAAGAGAGCTCAACGTGTCATCTTATCAGCACACTTCCTGGTGATTGAGAGATGAACAGACAGTGAGAGTGCGGCAAGGTCCCGAGTATTAGAAACAGTGGTGGTGAAAAAAACATGCTGGACAATTTCGAGTCGAAGATCACCTTTGAGATCCCGTCAAACCTGGACTTCCAGACGCTGGCCATGTCCAACAACTATACAGTCCTGCTCACGGGCGTGGGCGAGATGGACCTCAGCTCCACGCTGGGCGACTCCGCCATCAGTGGCACGCGCGGCGGCCTGGCCAGGGATGGCCTGCTCACCGGCGACGCGGAGTACGACCGATTCATCGGAGACGTGTGGGTGGGCATCCTGCTCACCCTCATGATAGTCTCCTCAATCTTCTGCATGTGCGCCTGCTTCCTCTACCACAAATTCCTGCAGTGGAAAACAAGCCGTAAGTCTCTCTTGCACGCCACTCAAGACTACAAAAGGCGTTTGAAGTGGATTTGTTCTGCGTATTTTTCCGGCAAACACTCCAATGATTACCGCTGATAAATTGTTCGATTGATTAAAATTTTCCCATTTCACTTTACTCAACAATTCACATGAATCACCTCATCGAAAGTGTGATTTTAAAGAGGTTTTCCACTGAAGTTAGAAGTTTTTGACATGGGCGTAGAGTTGTTATAAAACTGAAAAGGAAAAACCAAGGGAAAAACATAGTGAAGGATTAATTCTTATTTCTTGGGATCGTACATCTTCTCAACTACGTCACTGGTGTGATTGCTTGAAAAACCCTCCTTTTAATGACTTCAACTCGGCACAGCTAAAAGAGCATTTCACATGGGAATTTCTCTCGATTTGATCTTGAAATCAATTTGATTTATTCTCAGTCGGAGTGACTTTAAACTTCATTTACCATTGACCCTCATCATTGGTGCGCCTTCCCTCAGGCCAAAGTCGGTAAATAATTAATTTCTCTATCTACTCGTCACTGGATTAATTCCATGGCTTAGGTTCGTTTGCTTTATCCATCATATCGACTGATTGTAAAATCATTTGGTGCGATTGAGATTTTGGGGCATGATTTAAAGTGACACATGGCTCAATTCATGCGGGTTTATCATTTATTATCGTTTAAGGAGGGATTCTAAATTGCGCAGAATTTGATATGGAATTACAGAACGGCGGCATTGTGGGTGAAGGGCTATTATCAAGATCCAACACTGATACGAAACACTGATAATATCTTGCGGGAAGCCAATAAACCTGACTCTATTGCGCTCTATAAAGTTTATTAATAGTTTTACGGCTTTATTGATTTGATGTGTCTTTTCAAAGACTCCTGGACGACTGTAATCAGGAATAAATGCGACTATTAAAGTATGATTAGAGCTCCTTTGTCATTTGGCTACAGATGAATCTATAAAGCTGCACCGGTTGTAAAGCAGCAGATTGAGCAGTAAAAGATTCTTGCACAATTGCTGATTTGTCATAATTGTGTTGCAAATCCCGTAATCCATTGTAAATTCCATCTAATCCCATAAATAAACTGTAAACTCGGAAGAACCTCATTCGATTGACAACTAAAAACTACCATCAGTGTAACATGATATGCTAAATTTGCCGAAGCACCTCTCAAAGAGCGTCCCTTATTGACACGTCTGGGAAAATCCCGAGTGGAAATGGTCTCATCAAGCGCATCATATCTTGATTGATCACAGAAGTTGAGGGCAAACACGAGTCGAGGGGCCCGCATGTTTGAGAAAAGTGGGGAAAGTGTCGAAAAGAAGTGATAAGATAGTCACAGACTTAGTGAGACTTATAAATAGAGATGAAGATTACGTTCCGTATTGAGTCCAAGACTCTGATATTAATTCTATTTTGGCACCTCTCGAGAAAATCGAGGGAAATGGCCTAAGGGAATTATTCTGGCCCATTTATGCCCAGCACAATTGAGAGCTTGAGCGCGAGGAATTTGATTAAATGCACAAATGGCAGTTTGGATTTGAGTGGCTCGTAAGCCGGTGACAAATCCTTTCGGCAAATACAATTTCCCAAGCCAGAGCATGAAATAACAATATCAATTGTCGCCATTGATGGTCACAATGGACTCCTGAATTCATCACGAATGACAAATATTTGCTCGGGATCAATCCGTGACAGATGCTGGAGAGAAAGTCATACGAAAAAGGTGGTTGGACAGTGTGTGCCATTCATATCTGGGAGTTCAAGATTGAATTTCATCGTTTCTCCTTGGCCGAGGCTCTTCACTGTCTGGGACTTCATGATTGTTTAAAGAGCGTGTAATCGTGATCAATGAGGATAAAATGCAGCGCGAAACGCACTCTTTGTCGGCGTTGTTGATAAAAAGTCACTTTTGAGAGCCTTATTTGTGGAATAAAAACCACTGAGTTATGGAAAGTCTTGGCATATTTCTCAGCTTCCTCAAAGCATCTTCCGCGACTTGCAATGGCACAGCCTTGAAGGTGTGTCCAAATAGAGAAATCACAGCTATTGATTCCCCCAGCGCAGCCTTTGTGCTTTTGTACACAGATTAATGTCTTAGTGGAACCGATTTGAAGGGCAGAATAACTCAAGAAATGTGGAAATATGACAATTTTTCCGTATAACAAATTTTAAAAATTGAGTAAAATTTTATATAAATTACTCTTTACAATACATTTATGTATTTGAAAAGCAATTTTTTAATAAGGAATAACTTTGTAATTCAGTGCAATATAATTACCGTGTTGTTATTCGATATTTAGTGCGAAATTATGCAATGAAAGTTTCATTTATCACCACTTAAAGCACATCTATGGTAAGCTAGAGCCATTTGCCACCCTTGACATTGTTGTTTTTTTCCACTTCTTGCACTCCACCTAAAACGCATAGACACTCGCGAGGAAGATAAACAGCAGCCGCCCCATAAATAATGGCCGCAATTGAAGGTTTTCGTGTGTGATTCTGAGGAAGATCACACTGATGAGGGGGAAACCGAAATGTTAAATAAAAATAATTAGTGACTTTTCCAATTTGTGGGCTGAATTTATGACCGGAGCGAGGCAAGTGGCATTCGCCTCATGCTCATCTGCAAGTCTTCATATAAGGAAAATCTCCCCGTGAAGGCGAATGCAGCATGTTAGGCGACAGAGAGAAGAGAGGCGCAAGACAAATTGTTAAAAAACAAACCACAGATGGAATTTTATCATTAATGACAGATGGAGCATCATTTTCCTCTTAATTATCACTACCTTCTCCACTTTATTTACTGAAGGAGTTATTTTTGTAATTGATTAAATCCACCCGGTTCATATGACAAGATCATTAAGACAAATATTATTCGTAGAGATGGAAGAAATGGGAGAAAGTGAGTGAAATTCAAGTCAAGATAGACCTCAAATTGACCGTGAATTCCCTGAAAATGCTCAGCAGAGCCCTTAAGTGCGCCTTTTCGCTGCATTTTCGATCCCTTCGCCAGGTAAATTGCAATAGCGTGCAGCTGAAGATGAAAAGATCGCCTAACAAAAGGTCCATTAAAATCATATTGAATTTTGATAATTTCTCGCATTCTTCTCGGCCGTCTTCTCGCCTGCCGGGCTTCTCAATGCAGGGGAATGAATGGTCGGATGTTTGAAGGGATGAAAATCAAGACTGCACCAGAAGATCATGATCCCAAGATAAACAGTGAAAAACGAATGTGAAAAGAGAGATCCTCTGACAACCATATGGTTTTCGGTACAAATTCTCAATGGCAGAAACATTTTTTTGTGCATTTGCCCTCAGGAAAGACCCTTCTTGTGCCTTCGTCATGATTCTCTGTTGCTCTGGATGAGAAAGAGTGCGTTTCGTAACATCTTATTTCATAAATTCATGCGAGCATTTCTGCATGAATTAGTAACTCGCTAGATTAGCATTTGGTGTTTATCTGCCAGGAACCGTTTGATTAAATTACGATGTCCCAGTTTTAGTCACAGATAAGAGCTTATCATGTGATGTTTTGGCAAATTTTGTGCAGAATTATAAATAGATTCTAAGACACAATAAGAATTACATAAGAATTTTGCATTCTGGAATATAAAACATATTTAAGAGTATACAAATTTTCCGAAATTTCTTGAAAAATATAGCCAAAATCCGTTTGCAAATATGATTATTTTTGTGCTAGAGTGACTTTTCATAGTTTCTGCAAATAAAATTCACTTTCCTTCAAGAATAACATTCAATGTTTATGTGTTTCCAAAACCACGATTTTACTGTAAATTCACTTTTCATCACCTTCAGCCGGTCGTGCTCTATAAATCCCAAGCGCTGGATCAACACTTGCAACTCGATCTTAAGCCAATTAATTGCAATAGGATCATCGTTGCAGGGTCATGTCGGTGTCGTGTGGTCTTTAAAGACCGTCGCGAGAGTTCAAGTGTGGCATTCCGAAAAACTGCCCAAAAGACCCTCGGCTAGAGGTTAAGTTTTGGCCATGTTGACTTTCTCTTGTAGCTTAAATTGAATTCTCAACAGCAAGATAAATGCTGTTCTATATTTTTTCCACCATGCTTTGTTCCATGTGATTAGCTATGAAGAAAGTCCATTAATAGATTTTGCAATAATATACTACAAATGATCTTTTTATGGTCATGCGGTTGTAACTCATTGGCAATCGCGTAAAATGTACACAATTCACCTTGAGACACTCCAGAAAGACAAACAAGACTTTTTTTATTTATCCATAGTGGAATAATTGTGGTCTGATGCATACGTGTGCAACACTTGTATTTCTGTCTATGATCTCGCTTGCTAAAACAACACACTTTGCCATCTTCTCAATGAATTTGCATGACCAACGCAGAGGAGAAAACGTGGAAAATTTTCCACAGACTGTATGTTAAGTGTATTAGAAAATTCGTGTGACTTGAGGAATGTCATCTCAATTTCCAGAACGGAGCGAAGCAAGAACACCTCACGTGCTAATGGAGTTCAAATATTTGCGCTCAAACTCCAAATCCCGCTCGAAATGATGTTAATTGAGCCACAAGTACGGTTGGTTTGACGGTTGGTGGGTGAGAAAGACGTCGCCGAGTGCACGTAAACGATCAATTTAATTATCGCCCTAATTGGAAACCCTAATTTTCCCGTGTGTGAACTTCGCAACAACTCAAATTGTCACGCCGCATCGCGATGACAAATGCGACCTTTTCCACAGCACTTTTCTCGAGTAATTTGCATTGGAGCTCTAATAAATGAGCCAAACATGAGCTGTGAAAGCGTGTAGTTTTCCAACACGTCCAGAATCGACCGGGAAATTCCGCTAAAGACTCTCATTTGATGAACACAAGGAAGTGTCGAGAAATTCTATTCATTATAGTGATTATTAAGCGCCGAATTGATCTTCACACAATTGCAATGAGATTTTTCTGTCTCAAGTCAATAGTTCTTGTCTTCTCAGCAGGAGATCTTCAAAACTTCCTGGAAATTGCCATCGAAAAAGACATGAACAAGTCTCACATTTCCGTTCGATGGTTTTTCCTTCCTTCGCCTCACTCTGGTGGGAAACCGAAGGGAGAAAAGATTTATGCCAGTTAGGAAAGAAGTACCCTCAAAGGTACACTTAACTTTGTATTGGGAAAGGTTGTGCAGAAAGTCACATTTGAATACTTTCCATTGCAGTCTTGATTGTATGTAAATCTTTGAAAATTCTCTTAAAACTCCGTTTTATGGATTATATACATGATTATGACCGAAATGAATCCCCTTAAAGACAAACAGAGGAGAAAAGTGTCGACAAGATGATGTTTTTCATGAATACTGGCTTGTGTTTGAGCACTTCTGCAGGTCAATCAAACTGCCTTTCCACACTTTCGTCACTTTCATCGCATCTTTGGGTCATTTGAGGGTGTTTTTCATGAGAAAACAATAACAATCTCGAGCTTCTCATGAGATATTTGCGTTGCGGAGGCACATTTTGTGTTTGAGTGTTTACTAAAGTGCCATTTTCACTGCAATTTCCTGCCGTCTTCTGCACAAAATCAACCACTTGTCAATGGATTTATTGAGAGACACTCTGGAAGAGTAATTAGGGCAGGGTTTTGTCTAAACAGATCCGCTTCGTGGGCATTGAAACTGTGGGATCTTGGCGGGAAATTTGATCTTCAAAATTGTAATTTTCCCTCCATGCGCCACTTAATCCCTGGGAAGGGAAGGATCTTGAGGTCCTCAGAGAAAGAAGGAGAGTGAAGGGAGAAATGCTCAAAATGCTACACCCTAATGGAATGCGAGGGGTTCGCATGATGGCAGAGAGATTGAGGGATATGTGAAATGAGTTGGAATATTTATAAATAAATATGATGAAGTGGATGCGCCACAGCGAGGGGTTGAAGATGTTTTGGGAAGCCACAATAAGGTGGATTTCTCTCCCTTGTGCGGATCGTCATGTGGGAAGAAGTTTGGCTGTTTCTCTAATTGATGATTGCCAGCCAAATGCGACACTTTTGCATTTCTTTGCGCCCTTCCGAAATGGAATGATGGTGGATATTTCCCTCCCGATCAATCATCGAAATTCTTCTCGCTGGAGATGTTTCTCCCCTTCAATCGGCACCACATATCGCGTATTATCAACGCATTATTATTCTTGCAACCCCACTGACGCCCACGTCATCGGCAACGACCCCTAAAATTGAAATTGCCTGCCGGCAATTCCGCCTCGCCATTCAATGGCCACGATAAAAGTGTGGGATTTCGCCTGGGAGACGCATTGAGATGACACCTGTAAGGAATTGGGGAATCCTCAACTTGTCCCCGGGGGTTTTTCCTGGAAGGGCGGGATGATTTCTGTGGGAGAAATTGAAATATCTGCCTGTGGATTCCACACTTCTTTTGTTGGAATATTTCTCATGCTATTCCTCTCGATAAATTTTATTTATTGCTGCGCTTGAAGAACTCTCATGTGATCAAATGGTCAGAAATATCCACCTTTTCTTTTAGACCAGAGGAACAAAAGGAAACAATTTTTGTGTTGAAGATGAAAAGGATCGCCATTGTTTAGGCTGTTATTTATATCATGGTGAGACAGCAATAAATATTACAATCACATTAAATATGCATTAAACGTTTTAGTAAAAAAATATATCCAAATTACTCCATTTCATTACCACCAAATTGCTTCAAATTCAGTTCTATTTGAGAGCGCGAATAATGATGATCTCGTCAATTTTCCTCTTCGTTTTATTCACTATTTCGAGTGCGACAATATTTAAGGGCTCATGTCCTAAAATACAGGAAGAATTTCATGAATTTCCAAACTTTTCCTATAATGTGATCCTTCTGATGTCAGGAGATTCAGCAAAGAATCACATTTTCCGCAACTTCTTCGGTCACACGCCTGAATGTTGGAACTTCGAAACGTACAATGAATTTGAGTATATGTTCCATCGAAGGATCGAGGCTTATCCAATGGCTGATACCAGTTCATGCTCTGAAGTATCTGTACTGAACGACAGAATTTTTGTTACTTTTACAGAGGACGGACAAACCAAATTTTCGTCCTATCGCAAGAATGTTTTTAGTCATCCCTTGCCACTGATTTGTAACACCGAAATGAACTGGAGATCAAAATTGCAGTTCAAGGCGTTTGCCAGTGATTCACAAAATTTTATTGCTGAGGAGAAATTTACTGTTTTTTGGACATGTGAAGACCTCGAAGGCTTGATGGATTTAGGAATCATCGTTGGATTTAGCTCAAACCTCATAAGTTATCCAGATTTGTTGATTTATGAGAGACAGAGGATCTTCGCGGAAGCCCTGAAAGCGGTCAAGACTCTTCCCTTTGCCATAAACTTCACCATGAGCGATTTCCAGAAGGCTCATCTTCATGATGGTGTTACTTGTAACGTTTGTGATCAATTTCAGTGCAATTAAATTACGATAAATTAATCAATCTCTTTAAATTCGCAATCAATATTCACACAAGATCGCCAGCGACAAGGAAGATTGCTATGCTAATAAGTCAGATGTTTGCAAATTCCATTGCTAGCATAAAAAGACTATTGTTCAACATTTTCACGTCTTCCGCGAACGCGGCCTAATGACTCTGTTTTTTTGTGTTCATCCACTAAAACAGAACAGTTACATACATTTCCTGTCGGCAATTAATCCTCAGCCTCTTGAATTGGGTCGTCATTTGTTTGCATTGAGGATCAGGACAAATTTCAAGTCCACTTCAAAAAAAAAAAAACAGAAGTCATCTTTTCTCTTCTATCAGTGGAATATTTTTTCGGCTCGAGATCACTTGAGAAAAATCTAGCCAGATGCTTAAAAACACGCGGTTTTCCCCTCTAAATAAATTCACGCGCTAAACATGGTAATAAAGTAACGTTTTCTACGTTTCTTCTTTCATGTTTTGACTATACTATGAGAATTCTAGCAAAAAACATGGACATGTTTAGCTTGGTTTATGTGGAACTGGGATTTTATCATTAACTTTGAACTTAAACTTTAAATTGTGTCTTCTACCATTTTTTCGGCTTGCAATTGCTTTAATCAGACCTCATTATTGGAGAGCAGATAAATAATATTTTTCGTGATTTTACTTCATATAAGTCACCTAAGTCACTGTCTTCTATGCTTAGTATTCTGATTTAAGACCATAACCAATTGTGAACGATTACAGATAACTAGAAAGAGTTAGAAACACTATTATAAGTTTTCCTAAATATAACTCTTGAGAAGTGCAAAAAGTTCTTTATCTCCTCTCGTGTCTGAGTGCTAATTTAATTAATTAAGAGACAATTTGTGCGGATCGAACCATTGACGTTCTCGAGTTGATCACTGAAGAAATCACCTGTTTCTAAGTCAATATTATTGTCTTTCCTTCTAATTTTAGAAGTTAGATCTTTGTCCCAGAATTTTTCTCAGACGCTTCAGACTCACATTTTTCCGGTGCAATTGAACTTGGGAGTCTTGAATGTTGCACTTCTTCGCTAAATGATGTCTTGAGAGTGAATAAAATACCTCCAATCTTCCTGACCAATTCCTTTCATTCATTTGCACGTAAGCGCGAATTCATCAATTATGACACCGCAGTTCAAGCGTTAAATTCGCGAAAGCTCATCAACCTTGATCGCGCAGAAAAATTGGCCACCGCGTCTGCCCGAAGAATCAATTTCAAGGCTCGATGAGCCCACTTTTGAGGCATTTTCCAGACCAATTTCATCAGCCGGTCGTGCCTTAGAGACGGATTTGATGCAATCGCGCCGATGCATTCCATTGTGCAATAGCGAAATGTGTATCAATTGATGTCATTGCCAAGAAGCCAAGACGCTCCTCAAGAGGCCACACATTTTAGTGACCACTCGCGAAATGTGCCTTAGCGTGCCAGGGAGAAGCCCACAAATGGCGTGCACGGCAATTATCTAGCGACTGACCCTCAACAAGCCTCACTTTTGCACCTGCTCAAGACACACTGTTTGGCTGCAACGCGATCACCTCGAGATCATTGCTAGCTCATCGCTTCCCGCGCGTGATCGTGTCATTTAGATGAGGTGTTTCAGTTCTCAATATGATCTGAGATGATCTTTAATTGTCAAATTTGTAAAGATGGCGTAAAATGGCGAAAGATCTTGCAATTAACTTCTTGTCCTCTTTCCCTCTTTGCAGTACACCAAAGTCATCAGGGAGCGAACGACAACCTCGAGGCTGGCCTGCATCACTTTGACAGTGACTCCCTGCCCAGCTACACCCTCGTTTCCGGGCTTCCCAGCTACGATGACGCCCTGGAATCGTTCCGATATCCAAACAGCGCGTCCACCGCGCGTCCCTCCATCATCAAGCTCTTCGCCTTCGAGCCCGATCCTGCGCCGGCCAAGGCGCTCGACTACGGGCCGCACAAGGACTACAGAGGCGTGCACGAGGAGGCGCCCAGCTACGACGACGCCGTGTCCGATCACCAGACGGCCCGCAAAGTGCTGCAGTGCCGCGTGCCGAGCTACGAAGAGGCCACGCGCGCGCCCAGACTCTGCGTGAACCTGCCGCGGGCGCTGATCGCAGGCCGCGAGCTGGCGCAGCTGCACAAGGTGCCCTCGGCCGGGGATGTGAGCGGCCACACGCCGGATTCGCCGGGTGCGGCCGCGCGCCACAACAGCCTGCCGAGGAACTTCAGCCGCCGGCCGGAGCTGTGACCATTGACTGTGATACCGCCAATCCATAGCAATAGATCCCAATTGAAAGACTCTGGGCCGCGACGGAGGTCGTCGAAACATGCGACATGCTGTGACTTTTATGTAGAGTTGAAGAGCTACAAGATGATATTTTTATTTAATTGAGAATAGTGAATTTTTGCGATGTGCCGGAAGATAGATTTATAGTGTGATTTCTCATTGCAAAATCCAGAAAAATGGTGCTCTTGGATCGTTGTATGAGAAATGCTGAGACAGATATTTTTCTCTGTACGGAGTCAAAATAGTCAATAAAAACCAATATATTGTACTTTAAGAATACGAAGAAGACTTTTATTTCAATGATTGTGTCTTCCATAAGGATTTTCAGCGATATTACAGAAGTAGAATTATCTCAATATCGTGTCTGATGTAAATCCTACGACAAGTCCGTGTTACAGAATAGACACTGCCTTATCGGGGCACCAGAGCTTTTCGCCATCTTCGCCGCCAAAGTGTATGAAAACAGACGCGAAGACTGCGCGGAAAAATTCAGAGGGCAGAATTTCTCTTATTTACGTGGAAAGCAAGCATTTCATAAGTGTTAATCTACTGTCAATTCATGCAAGAGCGTTGTTTTAAGTGTTTTTTACTAAAATCTCCTTGAATATCTCTCAGGAATTTGTGGTAAATAAGCATACAAAAGTGGTCCAGATCATAACCTTAAAATGGAGGGTGTTTACAAAGGAAAGATTCGATGCGTGATTGTGAACAATTTCATGTGAGTTTCCTGACAAAAACCGCCTGAAGATTACCACTGAGAGATGTCCTATCTGATTTTCAGCACCTACAATGCAGTGAAGATCTACTTTGGACCCTATTTGAATGTCATCCTGGGCCCCAATGGCTGTGGCAAGTCGACGATTGTGGCTGCAATTGTGATTGCAATGGGCGGGAGTTGCAACACTTTGGCGCGTGGGAAGCAGCTGAAGGACTTCATAAAGAACGGCACGAACAAGGCGGCGATTGCTGTGGAGATTTACGAGGATGACGCGCAGAATACTGTCGAGTTTTACCGCTCCTTTGATGACCAAAACAATCTGAGATTCAAAGTGAACAAGAAGAAAGTGTCACAGAAGGCCTACATGGAGCGCGTCAGGGCATTCAACATCCAAGTGGACAACCTGTGTCAATTTCTGCCGCAGGATCGTGTGCAGGACTTCTCTAAGCTGAATCCACAGGAGTTGTTTGTTAGCACGCTGAAGTCTGTATGTGATGAGGAGATGCAGCAGATGTATCAGGAGCTGCTGGCGATGGAGAAGCAGGCAAGTAGTTCGGGCACGGAGTTGGGCAAGTGGCGAACGGATCTGAAGGAGGCGCAGACACAGAATGACCAGCTGAGGGTAAAGATTGCCAACATGGAGATGCACTCGAGGCTGCAGGAGATGGTGCAAGTGGGAAAAATGAAGAAGCTGCACTTGCAAGCGGAGGAACTCACCGGGAAGATGACAGACTGCAAGAAGGATTGTGAGACTGCAGTGAGAGGACTGAAGGATAAACAGAAGCTGCTGGAGCCGATTAAGAAGGAGAGTGAGCAATTCCTCCAGCAGATCAGGAAGCTTGACGCTGATATCACTACGCATAGGAATGGCAAGGAGAAGATCAGCGCGGAGCTGTCTAAGCTCGATGCCGAGACTGAGAAGATCGAGGAGGAAGTCCGTGAGGCCAGGCAGAACTTCCGGAACGCCAAGAGGCAGAAGGAGAGTCAGGAGGAGGACATAATCAACTGCACCAACATACTGTCAGGCCTGGTGGGTCAACTGCAGGCGGCTGCGGAGAACAAGCCGGAGATAGACAGGCAGAAGAGCACTCTGCAGGCGCAGGTTAAAACATTGCGTGAGCAGGATGAGACAATGATGCGCGAGCGCCTCGATTTGACCGAGAGGGTGGAGAATCAGATCCAGACGGAGATGCAGCGAATGACGAGGTTGATTGCCATGTGTGAGACGCCAGAACAGCAGCACCTGGAAGCGCTGAAGCTGCGCCATCCGGACATGTACAGGGCGACAATGTGGCTGCGCGAGAATCGCCAGATATTCAGCGGCCGGATTTATGATCCTATCGCGCTGGAGCTGAAGGTGAAGAACAAGGATGACGCGAAGTTCCTGGAGAACACGATCAGCGTGCGTGACTTCACGGCATTCCTATGCGAGAAGACGGAGGATGCGAAGAAGCTGATCAAGAAGTTGACGCACGAGATGAAGCTGAAGGTGAATATTGTGCAGAGCGATACAGCGACTCAGGTGAACTACAAGCCGAACATTCCCATTGATGAGATCAGGTGAGTGCAGATATTTTGGGACTTTAGAGAAACTCGTGCTTATTGTCTTTGTTCCACTTCCAGGCGCTTCGGTTTCAGGCAGTATCTGTTGGACATGGTAGAGGGCCCGTGTCCGATTCTCAACTTCCTCTGCCAGGTGTACAATCTGCACAACATTCCCGTAGGCGACGACAGCACGGATGAGAAGCTGGATGAGGTGACAGAGTGGGGCAGGGTGCAGTTGCTCTTCACGCGCACTCATCGCTTCTCTCTGGCCAAGTCGCGCTATTCCAGCGCCACGACGACCACGTGCACTGAGATCTCGGGCAAGGGCTTGCTCAGCACGCCGACGGATCAGTCGAAGCTACGCAGCTATCAGGAGAAGCTGCAGGAGTTGACCAAACTACGCGATGAACAGCGATCGCTGATCAGCCAGTACGAGTCACGGATGAGACACAATGCGGAGACGACGAGGGAGTTGCAGGTGAGGCTGAGGGATGTTGTGGCGAAAGGGGTGCAAATTGGGCGACTGCAGCAGCGCGTGCAGGAGCAGAAGGAGCAGCTGAATCACATCCAGGGATTGGTGATTGATCTGGACGTGGAGAAGCGCAAGTATCAGGGTGGCGTGAAGGCATCCCTGAAGAAATCGCTGGCGCTGCAGCTGCAGAAGGTCGATAAGATGGGCGTGTGGAAGAATCATTCCAAGCAGTTGGCGTTAAATCGGGAAATGCTGAAAAAGGTCAACGAGAGCAACAGTGATCTGAAGAGGCGCCTTTGCGATGCTGAAGGCGCTGTGGCGAATTCGCAGAGTCTCGTAGATCAGATAAAAGGTTCGCTGGAGGGAATCAAGAAGAGGATCGTGGAGAAGAGGAATGAGATTAAGGCGCTTCAGGTGGCGATGTTTCCCGCCGACATGAAGTACGAAGAGCACGAGCATTTCCGCGCCTTCGCCGCCACGATGGACCAGTTGGAGGAGCAGCTGGATGCGCTGCAGGCGCAGGTGGATTGCATGGAGGGCCACAATGAGGCCGTGATTGCGGAGTACGAAGCCAGGGAGAAGACGATCGAGGAGTTGCGGGAGAAGATCAAGAACAGCAGTGCTCAGCATCAGGACATGCAGAAGAGGATGAGTGAGATGCACAAGAAGTGGTTTCCGGCCATTGAGGAGATCATCATTGGGAAGATCAGCCGCAAGTTTTCCCTCTTCCTGGCGTCCATGAGCTACGCAGGAGATTTGGGGCTGACCAGGAAAGATGATGTGAGTAACACATTATTCATAAGAATGCTTTAATACGACGAATAACTCACTGCGTTTCGCATTTGCAGTATCAATACTCGAGCTATGGCATCGAGATCATGGTGATGTTCCGCAACACGGAGACTCTGCAGCGGCTCAACAGATTCGTGCAGTCGGGCGGCGAGAGAACCGTGGCCATTGCGACGTTCACGCTGGCGATGCAGCAGCTGAACCAGGTGCCCTTCCGCTGCGTGGACGAGATTAATCAGGGCATGGACCCGAAGAACGAGCGCAAGATCTTCGAACTGCTGGTGGACGAAACTGCACAGCCCGGAATGTGCCAGTATATCTTCGTCACGCCGAAGCTGCTGCCCAACCTCAGGGCCAACGAGCACGTGACCTTTCACACAGTGTTTAATGGGCCGTACATCCGAAGTGCCATCACGTTCCTGCCGGCCGACCCGCGGACCATCACGCAAGCGCATCAGGGAAATACGGCGAACTGAACTTGAGGGGGGTTTCTTAAGAAGGTGAAGTAGAAGGGAATGTGATGGGATGAAATAGATTAAGGCTCTAGGATTTAAGACGTTGTTTATTATGAATTTGAGAAGTTTTGAGCAAAGAGTATTTAAGCAAATGGGGTTTGAATAAAAATCACAGAGACTGAGAAGTTGAATATCGTTAAGTTTTCTTCATACATATTCCTATGTTTTTGTTCCATGAAGTGAAATGAATTAAAGACTGTTACTGAAGTAAATCTTGGGCCTTTTAATGGAATTACAAGGTGACTGCTTAAACGGCTAGAGTTCAGGCTAAAAGGGTTGCGGAGTGCAATAAAGGGATTAACTCGAAATGACCTACTTTCGCCTACCTGTGATCATCGACGGTTACAGATTTGGTGTATTTCACGTTCAGAGCAAGTTGGCCGTGAATCAGTTTCTGAAGCAATCCCAGAGAGCATGGACAGTTCGGGATCGGATCTCTCCTTCCACTCGGCCACGTGGAGCCCCATCAAGCGAACGCCCACGCGAAATCCCCTCGAGAGACTGAAGAGCAACGCACGGAGGAATCTCTCGCAGAGCTTCGAGGATTTGCGGAAAGATTCGGCGACGCTTGACATCGAAATGCAGCTGAAAAAGCTGACGATTGGTGGAGAGAAGGCGGAGAAAGGAACGAAAGCGGCCCAGGAGCTTCCCCAGTGGCTAGACTGTGCGAGTGAAGACGTTCTTAACACCGAGACACGGAAGAGAATCAGGATGTGAGAGAATGTATTATTAATAAATTGTTATCACGAGGTAATCTCTTCGATTTTTATCCCTGTGGAGCATTTGATGTCCAGGATGAAAGGCCCCTCTTGGCCGGGCAGGAAGGTCGTCGGCACGAGCGTGTACACGCCCGCTGGCAGGCTCTCCAGCTCCAGCATGCAGTAGCCCGACCTGTACACGCCCGAGCTCTGCCGCACGAAGTTAGCAGTGACCTGCGGATCGGCGCACGACACTGTGCTCACCTCGAAGCCCACTTGGTAGACTTTCGGGGCGCGCAGCTCCACGAGGAGCGTGCACTTCGCCTTGGGCCCCACCGTCAGCCGGTACTTGGGATTCTTGCCGTGCGTCTGCGGATAGTTAGAGCAGCCGCCGGCAGACTCTCCCTCCCACGCGCCATTCACTCTCTCTGTGTGCGTGAAGCCACTGTCGATCTTGTGCAGCTCGAAGCGATCGCGCGAGTACGCACGGAGCGTGTAATAAATCGTGGTGGATTTTTCGTACTGCGAAATGGCCAGCGTGATCAGGCGCGTCTTCTGCGGATCCTGCCGGATTTTGCACAAGTAGTGCGGACTGTTGATGCGCACGCCCTCGTGAAAAGGTTTCGGATCGTACGGATAGTACACCTTCCTGCCCTCATTTTCGTACGCCACCAGAGCGATGTATTCCTTGTTCTGTCTGAAATCCTCAATGGTCGTGATGTGCCGCGTGAGCAGAATCCACACTGATGCCGAGCCTGGGCCAATCTTCAGCAGAAATTGCGGATTCTCAGCTATCGTGTACACATCCTTGGTGGGTCCCACGCCCGCGCGCCACATCTGGTGTACGCAGTACGTGTGCTGAAAGAGCGCCGGATCCCAATTCACGTAGAACACATCGAAGAAGTGCAGCACGGATGCATAGTCGATCCAGAACACGCCGTTGTCCACCTTCGACGCCACGGCGGGATCGTAATTCAACTCCTGCTGCAGCTCTGGCGTCCAGTGAGCGGTGTCCAGCTCGGAATAGTTGCCCTTCCAGCGCAGATGCGACCAGGGATTCTTCAGCTGCAGCAACTTCACACCGTCCTGCGTCACGCGGGCGTCCAGCACGGCATAGGCATGCGTCGCGACCAGGCCAGTACGCTTCTCCTCAGCCTCCGCCAGATCGCCGGTGGCGGCGGTCACGAGGCACCGACCAGTGGACATTCCCGTGCGCAGGCGCTCGAACACAGCGTCGCCGTCGAACGTGGCGTTGTCGATTTTTATGGCCACACGCTCGGGAATCCAGCCCGTCAAGGCGTGCAGGTCGATGTTGCTATTGGAACCTGGGAAGTCGTAGCCGCCCATGAGCTTCATGTACGCCTTCTCCAGCACAGACACCCAAAACTCCGAGTGATTGTTAGAGTAGCTGCACAGAAGCTGGCCGCGTCTGCCCACCGGCAGGAAGTCGTCCACCACGATTTTGCGCGGGATGCCGTTCACGTGCAGCTTGACCATGTACTTGCCGCTGGGATTGAACACGGGACGCCCAGATGAGCTTTTGGGAAAGAGGATGGACGTGATGAGCGCCTTGCCGAAGCGCTTCTCGTACAGCGCCGACACGGCCAGCGACGCCACAAAGCTGCAGTCAGATACGATCGTCTGCTGGATACTGAAGTAGTCGATGTTCTGGTTCTGGATCATCTTGGCGTCCTCGCTCAGCTCGCTGATGCGCTGCCACGACGCCAGCTCGGAGCGCTGCTTGGGCGCCAGCTGCAGGAGCCCGTCTGGGTCGGAGAAGGGGATGGCGTAGAGGAACTTGTCCGCCAGATCGATGCTCATGAAGGGCACGAAGACGTGCTTGTTGATGTGCGATGTGTGCTCCAGCACGATCTTCTCCTCCTTCGTGTAGCCCTGTGCCCCTGCGCCGCGCGGCGACAGTGCCGGCTGAGCAGACACCTGAGCCACGTCCTCAGTGCGGGACTCCGTGCGACGCCCCTTGATCTCCTCAGCCCTGTCCAGAGCCTGCTTGGCCAGCGCCTGCAGCTTCTCCTTGGAGGCCTTGTTTTCAATTTTCAGCGTCAATTCCACGAATTTCGTGTACAACTCCAGCGCCTCATCTGCATCCCCGACCTCGTCGGCATCCAGCGCCTTCTTCAGCACATCGTGATACTCACTCTCGGACATTTCGCGTGTGGGAAAACACTTTGTCTTGAAATGAGCAAAGCGTGAGTCACTTTTTGTTTGGGTGCTGTGACACGGCGAATTCGTCAGAAATCTCAGCGATGGCAATACTGCTAGAAAGGATTGACAGTGCTCCTCCTTCCATGAAAAAATAAATATTCCTCTATTTTGAGTGATTCCTCACGTAGGAAGTCGCAATCGCACTACAGAGTCCTTCCTGGTGGACATACAATGGAAATGAATGGGTTGGTGTGTCGGGTTTGCATGCGGACGAATGAGAAACAGACGAAATTCACACCTCATCTCATCGATATGATCGAGTTTTGCACCTCCATCGATGTGAGTTTGTTTGCACACAGGTAAGAATGAGTCCTCCAATTCATACTTTCTCTGCTCCTCTGTGCAGATTGTGGTACACGAAAAACTGCCCAGTAACATCTGTGACCAGTGCGAAGCGGATCTGTATGTGGCTTATCGCTTCCGGAAGACGTGCGAGCAGTCGAATGAGAAGTTCTGGGAAATGCTCTCGACGGCAGAGGACGACAAGGGATCATCCGCTGAAGGGGGCGACACTCAAGAGGACTTCGTCAAGGACGAGGAGATTCTGGGGAACACAGATGAAAAAATCCCAATTGTGGAGGTGGTCACAGAGCTCACGACATCGTCCAGGAAGCGAGGCAGACCTCGAAAAGGCCCCACGGCGGGCGAGTTGGGCGCCAAGAAGAACATGAAGCTGTTCTCGTGTCCGGAATGCGGACGAACATTCTCCAAGCAGATGCTGCTGGCCAGACACCAGACCAGTCATCGCGTGAATGCGAAGGAGAAGAAGACTGGCAAGAAGTCCCGCATTCGGAAGGTGGCCGCCAAGCAGGAGGACGGCGAGCGTCCGTGCAAGTTCTGCAAGGAGACGTTCTCGGGCCGCAAGGCGCTCAATGACCACATGAACGAGCTGCACGTGAACGAGAGGCCGTACTTGTGCAGCGAATGCGGACTACGCTTCGTGCGGAACGACTATCTGGTGATTCACCTGCGGCGCCACAAGGGCGAGAAACCCTACACTTGCCGCTACTGCGGCAAGGGCTTCCCACGCGCCACGGATCTCACGGTGCACGAGCGCTATCACACGGGCGAGAAGAGTCACCTGTGTACCGTGTGCGGCAAGGGCTTTCACCGGGCCTACAATCTGCTCGTGCACACGCGCGTGCACACGGGCGAGAAGCCCTATCAGTGCCCGCACTGCGACAAGAGCTTCGCTCAGGGCAACGACCTGAAGGCACACGTGAGACGCCACACGGGCGAGCGTTTCAAGTGCGACTTGTGCAATGAGGGCTTTATCCAGGGCTACCATCTGACGCAGCACAAGCGCCAGGCACACGGAGTCATCGTCACGTCGCACATCCGGCGAGTAGAGAAGTTTCTTGCCAATCCAGACGGCGAGGCGCTCCAGGAGGATTCTGGGGAGGCTATGAAGGAAGAGGAGATTTGGGAGCAAGTAATGTAGAGGAGGGGAGTATTACCTCAATAAAACACTAGAACAACGACTGCAAGTGCGTTTTCCGCTCTCAACTCATCATTTCTCATCATCTACCGCCTTGTACCATCCAGAGGAATGGTGAAAGGTACCCCAATTTTCATGCTCTCTTTGAAATTGCCGCCACTTTCCACCTCACGGCGACTGTGGCGAAGAGCGGCGAGCGCAGTGGTGAGATGGAGTGGTGGAGGCGACAGGCAATGGCGACTGCTAGAAAAGTGGTGAGTAGTCCAACAGGGAGACATGGTGAGTGAGGCAGAAAGTTGGAAAAATTTTGTGGAAATTTGTGCGTGAAAAAGGCTGCAAGAGCTAGTGGAAAATGTTCAAGCGTGTGTAGAAGGAGGCACAGTAGTGATTTTATTGTTCGACAGTGTGACTTTCTGTGTGGAAAGTGGCGAAAAATTGTTGCGAAAATCCTTTTCAAAATCGATAACTTGCTTTTTGGAAATTCTCTCTCACGCACACACACACTCCGCGGGTTGGCAGGAATTGAGAGCGCACTGAGGGCGCTGCGAGACTGGGCGGAAAGAGTGAGAGGGCGACAAGAGACTTTGCAGTGTGGAGGACGGTGTTGAATTGTCCAGTGAAGAAGATGATAGCAAATTGACGGTCTTTGTGGCTTTTGACTTGAGAACAGCCTTCGAGAAAAGGAACACCAAGAGCGCGCGCGCCCTCCACAGAGAGGGAGACGAGAGCCCGACTGTAGGCCGGGCACTTTGACACAGAGGCACACACCGCACACGCAGCAGCGAAGCGCCCCAGGGACGCACGCACGCGAGGCTCCGAGGGCGAGGACAGACTTTTCAGCGAGACACCAACCATGAGCGGACGACCACGGACAACTTCCTTCGCCGAGGGAAAGCAGCCGCCGGCGAATCTGGTGCTGGGCGGCGTCAAGATCAGCAGTAAGTATCCCCTGTAGCGCCCCACGCGTGCCCCACAAATCGCCCCTGAAAAGTGCGAGAAAGCCCCGCGCCACCAGCGACACTCGGTGGCCATCTTTTTCTCTCTCTCCGTGACTTTTCAAAGATGGACGACTCGGGTTTTTGTGGCTGCAATGCCGAGAGATGTGTCAAAATGCTCTCGCCCGATCAGGCGGCACAATCTCGCGACAGTCGCGGAAGAAACACAGTGGGCGACATGTCGCGGGAAGAGGAGGAGAATGACAGTGACTCCAGCTGTGACTCCAGTAAGACACCCGGCCGCGGGGCGCGCTTTCACCAGCGCTGCGGCGCAGTTGGCGTGAAGTGTGCCCCCCCGGAATTTGTACGTGAAGTGTGTGTGTATGCGGAGTGTGATGGCCAGGAGTGGCCTGAAGCACTCCGCGTTGCGGGGCTCTGTGCGATCGATTCTCTGGCACTCGATCGCACGCTTGTGTGGCCAGGAATCCTCACAAGAACCCCCATCGGGACAGAGAGAGCACTCCACACGACAAGATACTGTGCAAGGGAGATTGACTGATAAGGCACGATAAGGTTTATTGTCTCACTATCAGTGGTTTTTCGCGGCGAATCAGTGACAATGGCCAAGAGAAGTGATTTCACACATTAAATTCCCGCTGTCTTTGGGAACTGCCGAAGGAAAAACACATTCTAATTGTCATTACGCGGATTCGTGGCCGCTCGAATTTTCCACACAACTTAGATTAGGCCAGAATATTGGGTGGGAAATTCTGCAGTGACAGACAAGAGTTGCGCATTCCTCGCGTCAGGGCATTTTTACTGGCAACTAACACAGGAGAAAGAAAAACTGCATAAATTGGGGACAAACACACAGTTTAAAGGGTATTGTGGAATTATTTTGTTTTCAGCGCGATTTCCTTATTATTTCTCAATACAAAGTCACAAACAGTTCTAAGAGAGTTGCTTGAGAAGTTCGTGGGCTTTTTTTGGAACTTTTTATTGTCTAATAAATTCATCTCAATTTTGCTCCTTTAATTGAGATTACTTTCACGATTTACAAATTGACTCAACAAGAGTTTAGACATCATTTTTTGAAAATATTTTGAGTACAACTCTATCATTAGAATCCTTAAAGTTCTTTCAGTGCAAAATTATGAACAAATTGACGAAATTAAAAGCTTTTTCCGTTGTTGATTTCCTTTATTTTATTAGAATTTAACATATGTGAAAATGAAAGTTGAATTGTAGGGACATTTTGTTGAAATGTTTCACAAAATGTACCAAAATAGTAACAACTCAGAAACGCTGTAATTTAATTACTTCTCTACAACAATGTCGGATGCAAGAGAAGAACAATATTTAGGTTGAAGTTTATTAAACAAATTAACATGGTTGTTTCATCGTTTAAAAGGGTAATTTTACTGATGATAAAATAGATAAACCATTGATTTCTTATTAAGAATATCTTCATATTTGCCTTAGTGTTTTTAAACAGTCATACTTATTATTAATTGCTCAGTTAATGAATACACAAAGATGATGATAAATTGATCTCTTCTTTGACATCAGATATTTTAATTCAAGTCACTTCTTTCATTCCAAACACTCCAAATGAAGATTCCTTCGATTGTTTGCTATAACTTTAGAGCTGTTTTTTTTCTGAGAGATTCTGTTTACAACTCGTCCTGTGCGGTCAATTAGGCAAAATGATGAGAAATTAGCTACGAATATGAGTGTTTGGAGCTGACAAGAAGAGAAAAAACAGGTAGTTTGTCCAGGAACTCGCGCATGGCATTTCAAAATGATAAACGCCTTTTAGCGAAATTGCACTCTGTGATTTATCAGTTTGGTGCTGACGTTGAACAGAATCAAATCGCAATTAATCCATTCCCTGGTGCAATTAACCCGTAGAATTGATGTCGCTGAAGACGCTTTGGGAATTTCTCAGGGGTGGCGACAGAGGTGAATGCCTCAAGTCGATGCCATGGCGAGGTATATGTAGTGACGTTGATCTCTTGTGTCGCGCAGGCAAGGATGGCTCGAAGGTGACGACGGTGGTGGCGACGCCGGGCCAGGGGCCGGACAGGCCACAGGAGGTCTCCTACACGGACACGAAGGTGATCGGCAACGGTAGCTTCGGCGTGGTGTTCCAGGCCAAGCTCTGCGACACGGGCGAATTGGTGGCCATCAAGAAGGTGCTCCAGGACAAGAGATTCAAGAACCGCGAATTGCAAATTATGCGACGATTGGAGCACTGCAACATCGTCAAACTCAAATACTTTTTCTACTCGAGTGGCGAAAAGGTAAGGAATGCCTCTTTGCACTACTGAGTGTGTGTGTTATGTCTTTTGAATGGTGATCAAGAATGTTTTCCTTGCACCGCAAAAGGGTGGCAATTTGATTGAATAACCGCACCGCGACGGAGTTTATGAGAGAGCGCTTGGTAAGGAAAAAAAAATCAATGATGTCAAATCAAATATAAGCTGAAAATAGTCGATGACCAGTGCCAAAAAAAACCATCGATATTCTTTCTCCTGTCACACACCTTCCCTTTCATGCTCAAATTGTTGCTTCTCTCGCCTCGTGGCTCTGCAATTAGGCGCCAATTGGCATTATGCACACATTGCTTGTATTCCACTGGGATTCTAATGCGAAGGCACAAGTTTGCTAAATCTTGTCCGACCTCATTTGAAAAAAAAAGCTCTTAGCTCGAATGATTTGGTTTATTTAACAAACGAAATATGATTGATATATGATTGATTGGTTCTAAATTTATTCAGTATAAAAATACAAATTTGAACATTTTCATTAATGGACATTAATTATTTATCAATATAAAATTGGGACCTATTCATCAAGGATAAGCCAAGATATGCTATACAATATACTATAAAATACGAACTCTGCCTTAATATAGAAAACTGTAAAAGGGTTCCAATGTAACTTGATAATGAAACGTCAAAATCGCAGATTTTATTAGCATTGTTAACTCTTAAAATGGTTAAATTTTATATGATATGAATTCTAACTACAAAACTACATATATAATGTCGATACTAATCACAATGAAGTACTTTTAATATAAATTTGGAATTGCTGAAAGATGCCTTTTAGGCTAAAGATGACTCGATTTGAGATGAATTTTGTCAAAATCATGCGAAATATCTGGTAAATTGAGAATTTGTGGTTTTTCCACAGACTTTTGGTACATTTAACACAAAAAGTAGACATTTAAAGCAATGAATGTGAAGCAGAATTAAATTCTTTAAAGATGCACAGAATGTGAATTGATGCATGCTGCAAAGCGAAGGTACACAATTTGTCATTTGCATGGATATTGCAGCATGTTTTTGCAGTGCGTCGTGTAAAGCTGTGGAATTTCTGTGCGAGTCCAGCAAACTGTTTATTCCAATTTCTGAAATGATGGGACTTTTTTCTGTTTAACTGATGATGAATTTTAGCGTGAAATTGCGACGAAAGTGGCGGAAAGAAAATTAAATGAAGTGTACTTTTTCCCTTGGGCGGAAAATCCATGCACAAATCCTCTGGTTATCAAATATTGTTTACTGCAGGACAGTGAGAAATTCCTTTGGCATGAGTGATTTTTCATGATGGTTGTGTAAGCGCTGAAGAGCGACGCAAGAGAATGTGCTGTGAGAAAGTGTACAATATTTTCCAAGAGAATAGAAAAATGTATATTTGTTCGAAGGCAAAAAGAGAAGACGGAGTATTTTTCACGTCTCTTTTCCCTGTGCAAATGATTTGTCTAAATTTACCACACATACTTTTTAGCACTTTAAATTATAATTACATCTTCTTCTCTTCCCTTTTCTACGCCTCGTCGCCGGACACGCTGTTGGACCTCATCTCGCGCCTCGATGTGTGCTGCATCCAAACGTGCGCCATCGCAGAAGGATGAAGTCTATTTAAATTTAGTATTGGAGTACATCCCCGAGACAGTCTACAAAGTGGCCCGTCAATATGCCAGAAATAAGCAGACCATACCAATCAACTTCATAAGGGTGAGTGAGAGAAAGAGATCCTGAGGATTGATTGTGTGTTGCCGCGGATTAATAATTGAAACTTGTGTTCTCTTTGCAGCTCTATATGTATCAATTATTTAGGAGTCTTGCATACATACACTCGTTAGGTATTTGTCATCGTGATATTAAGCCACAAAATCTGTTGCTGGACCCTGAAACGGCTGTGTTGAAATTGTGCGACTTTGGGAGTGCTAAGCAGTTAATTCAAGGAGAGCCAAATGTCTCATACATTTGCTCACGCTACTATCGTGCTCCAGAACTTATTTTTGGCGCCATCAATTACACTTCGAAAATCGGTGAGAGAATATTCTCTATCGTTACATTGCTTTTCATATTTTCTCCATTTTCTCGCTGTTTCGTGGTGTTGTGCTATAAATGCCTCTCTTGTAGCACAAATATCTATGCAAATCAGCTGATTTTACCAGCAATTCTCATTTATATGGCAGAGGACGTGAAAGAAAAAAGGGTTATGAAAGAGGGGCGGCTTTGGATGCCCCATTAGGTGCATTGAAATTTCTTTCTGTGTCTCTAAAGGTGTGATGATGTATAGAACAGCATTTTGATGCTAAGACATTCCAAGATGCAAGGTTAATTGTGATATAATTGATTAGCAGTCACGTGAATTGGGTATTTCTGTGGGTTTTATAATGTGTATAGGAATTAAACTTGATCATTTTTCTCTCTCTCTCTTTCTTTCTTTCTTGAATCTTGGCGTGTATTGTGATTTGCATGTCAAAGAAATATTGCAGCATCGTATGTCAAAGATGGAATTTACCCTGAGAGAAAGGTAGAAAGGATGGAAAATAGAAAAGAAAATGCCAGAATTTAATTCATATACTACTACTTTCATTCTACTTTGAATTTCTCAACTTTATCAAACTCTCACAAAGTTTAAGTTCGCTTTTCAATGTGTTTTCTAGAGATTCCTCAACAATATTGCCGAGGTCGCTCAAACACATTGCACATGTGTTGTGCAATTGCAAAATGGGGGAAGAATCGTAAAATTTTGCAAATATTGTTAGTAATACATATAACAAGAGTTCCATGAATCCCCATGTAAAAGTCTTTGTGGCATTTGAACCACAAACGACGCAATTCTATTAAAAATGCCCAAGAGGGAAATTCACTGGTCATTCATTACAATACACACACACACCAACATTCCTGGTGAAATTCCTGCGAGAGTAATTTGTGTTTTATCAAAAATGTGACTTTTTCTGCAGAGAGAGAGAAAGAGAGAGACATTTGTAAGCTGTCCATCCGAAAGTGTATCTCATAAGTTATTTCTCAATGAGATATGATTACAACAAAAATATTAGTTTATAATGTTTATTTTCTCGCAACGCTTGGCTTGATGTTGTTTTCCAACTTGGCTCATTAATTTTTTTTTTTGTGAGCATGAAAGTGTATGTTTTCATTATATGTGTGTTGGATTCACTGTGTTCACAAGTAGGGACAATTGAGCAAATGCTACCAAGTGAAATGTACCACTGGAAAATGGTCTATTTCTGTGGAAAGCGCACATACATTTTCCTGTGTCGATTTCACGATTGGCAGGAAGAGAATTGCGAGAGGAAATGTTGTGTTGATTAAGATGAAATTGGTGCATTCTTCAAAGTTATGGCTTCATTTGCTCAGCGGAGATTTGAATTGATATGTGGGGTTGAATTTGACGAACAATCTGTTTGAGGATAAATGTGCAAAATGAACATTTGTCTTTGCGCTTTCGAAGCTGCAAACCAGTGAATGCAATGTTCAATTAATTTTCGCCATATAGCAGAGCACGCAATAGTTTGAAATTACTGTGAAATAGTTCATTAGATGTCTAATTTCTAATACTACAGTTTGTCTCTTCATTCAACATTCTGACATTCTCAAAGCAGGCAAAATTATAAGAGACTGTGAAATGTTAATTCAATTAATGTAGAAATACGACTGAATTCAACTTTGCAATCTTATCTTATAATAACAGATGTAAATATATTGAATTGAAAACAAGATTTGAAAAGACAGATCTTAAAATCCAAGTGAAAGGCAAGAAAATCGTTAGTAATTGCTCTAATTACTATATTTCTACTTCTTTATAAGTACAAATTAATTAAATTTTGCTCAATTAAACGCATTTAATTGTAGAAAATTGCCATTATAATTTCATTACTATTTTCTTAATATTTATTATGTCTCTACCGTGAAACTTTTAAAATTGCATGTAATTCATTTGAAAAATTTGAGGAAATTGAAGAAATTTGAAGTTAGAAACAATCCTTTTGTGTCTTTATGAGGTGGAAAATGTTTTGAGAACTCCAAATAAAAGGAAAAATGGGAAGTTCTGTGTTAAATCTTGTAGGAAATGTTTTAACTTCAGAAATAAATGGAATTTAACAAATCACAGCAAATCTCATGCAAATCTTATCATTCTGTTATAGCCGGAAATGCTTTTTAACTGCTTATTATTTTATCATATCGGAAATCTTTTGCGACAACAATGAGTTAAGATCGTTAAGATGAATGATGTAAAATTGCATAGGATCGATAATATAATTTAGTGTTATTGTGAAGTGAAATTAGTTTGTGACTTTCCATTAGAGAGTCTCGTCAAGTCTGTAAATGTGGTAACTTTGAATTGTGTATTGATTGCTTCTGCTCTTCTCCCCGTGTCAATTGCAGATGTGTGGAGTGCTGGATGCGTGCTGGCGGAGCTGCTTCTGGGCCAACCGATATTCCCTGGCGATTCGGGCGTCGATCAGTTGGTGGAGATTATCAAAGTACTGGGAACACCGACTCGAGAACAAATTAGAGAAATGAATCCAAACTACACAGAATTCAAGTTTCCTCAAATCAAAAGCCATCCATGGCAGAAGGTGAGTGAAGAGTTTCGCTGAGTTTGAGTGGGGTTTTTTTTTCTCTCTACATAATTTGCATCTCAGACAGAAGACAACAAAGTCAGTTGAATGTTGTTTAAGGATTCCACACACAGAAAACAGATGAAGGAAGTTCAGGACAAAAAATTGTTTATTATCATTTTACACTGCTCAAGTCACAGGGAGAGAGAGAGAGAGAGAGAGAGAAGAGGATGGATGAATAATTTATCTCTTTTTGTTTTCACTCTTATCATTGATAAGATATTTTCATTTTTGTATTTGTATTTTTACCTTTTTGTTTTCTCTCTTTTTCTATTTCTATCTGACTTCTTGTATCCTCAAATCAAAAAAAAACACGTGTATCTTATTCAGGACGACGAAAACCAAGAAAACAGTGAAATCAACACTCATTGCTTAAACGACTTAACTTCGTTTCAGCTGTTACTTGAGCAAATGCAGCTAAATACACCTCCATCCACTGAACAACAGTGCAAGAGAGTAAGAAGTTGGTTTTTTCATTTCTTTTTCACGCGTTTCATTTACTATTTTTCCTAATCAGTTTTCTTCTTTCTAAAAAAAAAAACCAAACACTGATCGCAAACTCACTGACGTTGTAAAAGTGGAAAGAGTTCCAAACTTCACATTTTTGGTTGTTATTTTTTTTATCTGCATTTTTTTCACAACCGAGAAAGAAAAAAGAGAATTTTTGAGATAGTATTTTTTTTGTCTTTTTACCAGGAAAAATGTGGCAGAAAATTACTTTTGACATAGATGTTTTTTCTCTAATTAATCTACTTAAGAGCTAGATAGGACTAAAGTGCGATACAGTTGATTAAAAAAAAAGAAAAGAAAGGGAGAAAGATAGGGAAGAAGTGTGCCAAAAGAAAGAGAAAAAATCAACTCACCAACAATCTAACAAACAACTTGTACTTGTCCAAGGAGTTTCTGTTTTATTTTCTTTTGCGTTTGCAAAACCGTGGCAATGTTGAAAGGATGAATGAGTGTTGAGCGTTTTTTTCCTGGCATTTGTTTTATTTATTTTTTTCATTTTGTGTACAGAAAGGATAAGGAGAGGGAGAGAAAGATGGTAAACATGCTGAGGAGGCTGGAAGCAAAAGAGGAGATTCCTGTGACAGTCTGTGATGTCGTTTTGCATGGGAAAATGTTTGATCTACTGACACAATTTCTTTGACCCTGTTTTCGTTGTCTGATTCTGTTGTATAATGTGTATAAAAAAAAACAGTGGAGAGAGAGAAGGAAAAAAAAACAAGGAAAGAAGAGATATGAATTATTTGAGCTTTACTTATTTTCTTGCCAATTGTAAATGAGATGTGCAAATGAGAGAAAGACGCTATATATTTTACACTGAGAGAGAAAAAAAAGTGAAGTGTGGGTGAATATTCAAGACTCTGCAGAAACAGCTCAAGTGATGAAAGAAAATATAAAATATGTCTTATGACATGAAGATATAAAATAGTTGATCAATTTAAATATTTCACTATGTTTTGCTAATTTAAATTCTTCTTCTTTCTTTCCATTCATTGCCGTGCACGCGAAGGTTTTCCGTGCTCGCACACCTCCGGAGGCGATTGGCTTGGTGTCGAGATTACTGGAATACACTCCGAGTGCTCGCATTACGCCTCTGCAGGCCTGTGCGCATCCGTTCTTCAACGATCTAAGGGAGTGCAGCCAGCGACTCCCCAATGGAAATGAGCTGCCGCCTCTGTTCAATTTCACAGAACACGGTGAGTACAATGGAATCAAGTAATTAGCTCACCTACTCGAGTCAATTTAATATCCGTGAAACAGCATCTCTCTCTCTGTCCATCGAGAGTAAACAGCGTCTATTAAGGATTGACCCCATTTGCTAATAAATGCGATGAAGTGGAAAAGGAATAGTTAAGGCTTTCATATTTCTCGGATATTAATTCTATTTATATTGGAGACTTCAGTGTAAAGAGCACTTCTTTTCAGGGATTTCAGCTTTTTAATCCCTGAGCGTAAATGCACATATTTCTATATGGACTAGTTTATATTGGATTTTAATCATCAATTCGCATTGTTCATGGGTTCCGAGGAAAGCTATTGTCCTTCTTATGCTTAGCATTTTAGTAAGTTGATGCAATTTCTGCTGTTGAAGATAAACTTCAATATTTTTTTTTTAGTGAATTGATGAATTTTCTTTCAATTGTAATAGAACTTCACCTAAAATTCTGAGTTTAATGAAATCAGATATACAAATCACACTTTTTTTTAACGGGGTTGGGTCATCTTTTGGCTGAAAGATGTGTTTTTTTATGCTCTTTAGTGACTCACATTTTTCATTAGTCTGTGACGTTACGTTGCATTTTGATAGAACATCAGCATATTATAGACCAAATTGCACTAAGAATGCCACGTCGATGGCATAGAATGGGAGAAAAGTATTGCGATGATTCATATTGAGATATTTCTCAGATTGTTCTGAATGAAGCCATAGAAGAGTGTAGAGTTTTGCTACATTTCCAATTGTTCGTTGTTTATCTGAACATTATGGGTGCTTTGCGGTGTTTTTGACAATAAATGTGTGGTTTCATTAAATTCCACTGTGCGTCGTGTGGGGAGAAATTCAAATGAAAATGCATTGCCAAACAGAGTGATCAAAGTGTTTTGTTGTCCTTTGCAGAGCTCTCGATTCAGCCGAGTTTAAATGCCCAACTGCAGAACGCTCAGCCGCAGCAGCAGGCTATTGTGAATGACCACGGGGCCGTGGCGACGGGATCGAGTCAAGTGGCCGGCGGCTCGGCGCTGCCGCAGGGTGAGAGCCAATCGATAGCGCAGCACGTGACGGCGTCGAGTGGCGGCGACATCTCCGCCGCGGTGGCCAGCGACGGCGCAGCGTCCAGTCAAATGGGCATGGCCAACATCCAGTCGACGACACTGGGTTAATGCGGCGCTCTGGAGGATGTCACGTTCGCGCGGCGATTTCTGTATGCGTTTCTCTTTTTGTGTTTGAAACTTTTAAACACCGTGTCCACGATGGAATGCTGTGGGGCGCTTTTAACTGATAGAGAGGGTGAGAGAGAGAGAGAAAGTGAGGGATGAAAGAGGGGAGAAATTGAGATTCGTGTTTATGGCAGAAGAGGAAACACTGTGTAGACAATGTGTGGAGAATTCTCCTCTCACAGCACTTTTAAATGAGAATTCTTCCCGGGCGCGCGTCCTGTGGGCTGAGAAGGAAGAGGATGAGAAGGAGGGGAAAGGAGGTGAGGGAGTTTTGAGAATTTAATGATTTAGAGAAAAAGAAACATTAGGGTGTAAAATGCAAATTGTAGACGAAGTGTGTGTGCGCGTGAATGAGAGCGAAAGGTGAACACAAGAATATGTAGATTGATTAATCAGTGGTAGATGAAGAAAAAGTATGTTATATTCAAAATTATTTTTCATATAAAACCAAGACATTGAAGGGGGCACGCAAAGAAAGGACCCGCAAAATATTCATAGCAGCTTCAAGTGGTGAAATCTTAATGATTTTTTTGATTGCGAATGGGAGAAGTGTGAAAATGGATATTGCTGAGAGAAAGAGAGAGAGAGAGAGAGAGAGTAAAAGATACATAATTACTAAAATAGTAATGAATACATATTATGGTAACGTAAAATTGCGATAATGTGACAGAGAGAAAGAGAGAAGTAATCATGGAATTAGCTCCAAAAGATGAGATAAAAACAATGCGTGCTAATAAACTGTAGTAAGTTTGTTGTTATAATTGTAACTATTATACTTATTGATCAGATATGATAAATGAGAGAAAGGTGGGAGAGGGAGAGAGAGAGAGAGAGGAACCTATATAAATATTAAACGGAAGGAGTAAATCTAAAATTATAGTCGGTTTATAAACGAGAAAATGTGGACAAAAATAGTACTTGAAGAGAGAGAGAAGGAGAGTTTATTAGTTTGCTTCTTCCTATACTTTTTCTTTTTATTATCCACCCAATTAGACTTGAGCAGTCCTTGTAAGATGAGAGGATAAAAGAAACTAATTTAGAGAACAAACCATAACTTGTATGTCGGCGTAATTCCTAAAAAAAAGAAAAAGAAAACTCCCGTTTTACACATAAAAATTTATATAAATATTAAAGAAAATGAAAAGCATATAAATATATTATGAAACAAACATTATTTGTATATTTGTTTAGTGAAAGATAAAACAATGGCAAAATTAATCTCTCAAGTAAAATTAATACACTTTTAGAGGATAATAAAATCACCCAGAAAAAAAGTCTCCCTTTTAATATCACGGACAGCAAAGTAGAAAAGATATTAAAGAAGGAAAGAATGTGAGATGGAAAAAAAAATATATTTAACTTGAACAATATTTTTCAAGGTTTCTTTATATCCATTTTAAGGGTTTATATTCTAATTGTTGTGTAAATTATTCAGTGGAGAAAGAAAAAGAGGATAAGAAATTATCTTGAGAGAAGTATAATTGATTATATTATGGAGTTTTGTCTCTTAAATTGTAAATAGAGTTCTTTTCTTCAATTGCAGAAGGAGTATAAATCGTAATTATTTGTATACATTAAAATATATTTTATTTTAGAAGTATAAAAAAAGTGGGAAGAAAACACAGAAAACCAGAATGGGAAAAATAGTGAATGTCAGACTAAGAGAAAAAATAAAAACAAGATGTTGTATTAATCATTTTAGACAAGAAGTGCGTGGCTGCGGAGAAGAAAAGAAATAGATTATAAATGTGTTAGATAAAAAGAAAGTATATTAATGGGGAGAAAAATTTATCAATATATTCAAATGAACAAATTATCAAAATGGAATGTCCGTGCTTTTTCTCAATATCTTTTACTATATATTTTTTTTAAAGACACTTATATTTTGTGAACGGAAAAACGGTCAAAACCATGGGAAACATTTCGATTTCTTTAATACTTTTTTTTTAAATAGTGAATAAAAAGAATATCCATTAAAAGATAGGATAAAAATAGAGATGATGAGAAAAAAGATGTGACAGAAATGATTGAATCGGTTTAATAATAACCCTTTTAAGTAAATTTTAGAGAGGGAGAGAGAGAGAGAAAAAAGAGAAACAAATTAGGTGACCAAACACGTAAATTAAGTTGTAAATTTTAAAGTCATTGAATCATTGTCTCTTTAACAACACAAGATTAACTATGCGTGTATGAAAAACATGGGGGAAAAACTTATTAACAAGATAAAAGAAGGAAAAAAAATGAGTGGAAAGAGAAACCAAAAAAAATGTATGTAAACGAGACGAGCAGGTCTCAATTATCATCAAAATTAAGTAAACAAGGAAACAAATTATATGGTAAAAAAAAAAGTACTTTAGTAGAGAGATGTAAAATGATGAAAAAAAATATCTACTTACGCAAGATTTGCATGGAGATAATGGAGAAACATATAGCAAAATTTCTGTTGTAATTAAATTTATAATGAAAGATAAAGAAAAAAAACCAATCTAGATCAAATGAATACTCTGAACAGCCAAGAGGTTTGCCGAAGGATTCATGAGAGTGCGAGCGATCCTCATTTGGCACACTTCTTCTTCCTCACTGAGTATACGGAGAATGTGGGAAGAAAAACAATCATGGCGAACACTTTTCCGGGCGCTTTAGTTTCTCATCGCAGCACTCAAATGGGCGGAGCATTTAAGTGGGCGGAGCTTCAGATGGTGTTTTTCTTGTCCCAAAATATTCCACTAAAGAGAGAAGGAGTGACTCAAAATCAAATTGTGACCGTTGAAGCTCCGAACAAATCACTGATCAGAAACAAATTTGATTCCAAAGAAACCAAATATTGGATGTAGAATCACAAAGCTGTTCTGTTCAATTGTGAGCGCTGTGCAATGGGAATAAAGTCGCTAAAAGTAATTGTAAAAAGATATATAATATTTTTGAAGAAAAACAAAAACAGCAGTAAACAAGCATCCCCTTTTAAGAAGTATTCTCTAAAGAAAAAAAAAATACTAGAAAAAAGAATCACAGAACAACTAAATGTATAGAGAAATTATTTAAAGAAAAGTACTAATTCCAATTGATATAATTTTAGTAAGAGAGAGAGAGAGAAAAAAAGGAGAAAAACGGTAGAAAAATTGACATCTCAATGTAATAAAGAGATAACTTTTATCAAATAATATTTCGCACTGATGAAAAGGCGAAGAGAAGAGAGAATTTATATACAAAAAAAAGAGAGAGAAATAAGAGATTTCCTGATTTCTTTTTCGAAGCTTTTTCAACTCACATGAGATCAGTTTGATGCAACTAAGAAATGTTATCGCACGCCAATTGCATGAGATTTATACGATTAAACAGTCAAGATCTTATATTGGTTTTCTTTTCAAGCCCTCCAATTTCTTCAGACTTGACGAAAGCCAATCTCTGTTTTCTGCTCTGTATAAGAATGAATCTAAATACACTCTAAATAGTAAATACAAGAAACCATTAGATATTTGTGAAATTGTAGACACAAGAGAAGAAGAAGAAGAAGAAGAGAAAATTTACATTTTTGAAAGCCCTTTAAGAAGAATAACACTCAGATAAAAAAACACTCCCAAGTCAGTTTAGGAAGATACAGAGAAAGGATAACTGAGAAAAAACACGCGGAAATAAACAATTAAGAGATATTCATAGTTAAGGCGGAGAAGAGAAAGTGAGGGAGAAAAAGCATGATGTGAAAAAGAGAGAAAGAGAGAAAGCAAAAAGGGAAGAAGATCCTTTCAGATTTTTTTCTTATCTCTGTATATAAAAAAAGGAGGATAAAACGTATGGAAAACAGATGAAAAAAAAACGGTGAAAAAAAAGCCCAACAAAAAAAAGTATAAGATATGATTAATGACATAAAATATTTATATTTCACTTTAGTTATTAATTAAAAACAAGAATAATAATGCAATAAAATAACGTTATCCGTTTCATCATTTTGCCTCGTCTTTCCCTCGTTCAGAACACCGCGCGCGCGACACGAAAATGGGTTGAAAGTCTGCTGATTCAGTCAATCAAATTGAGCCTTTATTGGGATTTTACTCATCAATTATTTAACTTTGGCTTACAAATAGAAAAAGTGGTAATTGTACACACAGCAACTTGAGGAGGAGAACAGAAACAAGAGCAAAAATGTCAAACTATCGCAGACTCGCTTAGAAAAGTCTTTATACAAAAATTGCACTATCTAAAGCCATTTGGGATTCCTCACGTGGCGACGCTCTCGCCAAGCGCCAAGAGTGCGCTCACGCTGAGCAGGAGGGCGGCTGGCGAGACGCCGGCGGCCGGGTTGATGGCCGGCCGCGGGTAGATTATGTGCACCGGTGGCGGCTCGTTAATCTCGTCGAAGTTGTGATTGAAGATCTCACTGTGCGTGCCGCCGATGACACCGTTCAGCAGATTCTCCACGTCTGAGTACACCAGAGAAGACGATCTCCACGGGTAGCTGCGGAAGAGACACGATCAATCTCGAGGAACTTCCAAGAGAACGAAGAAATTGAAGCATTTTGCGTGAAAGAAAACTCACTTTGAGCAACTGTGGACATTCTCGGCGCTGTTCGCGTACACGCCGAAGTTGATGGGGCCTCTCGTGATGTCCTGCAGCACGTGCACGCATCCCGTGAAGGACTCCCTGTAGCGTCCAGCCGTGAAGTTGGCCACCGCCGGCACTCCGCCGATGTACAGGAAGCCGGGCAGAAGCATCGTCCTGGCGCTGCCGCTCTTCGTCTCGTCGTAGTCAATGTAGTTGTCCAGCTCGAGGCTGCCCTGATTGGCGGCGCGCTTCAGGATGGCCACGTGCGGCTGGCCGTCGTCAATGCGCACCGCGCTATTACGGATCCTCGCCTCTTCGCCGTCCAGCCGAAACACGAACTCTAGCCGCCCTCCGACGGCCGCCAGTGCGATGAAGTCGCCGCTGCGCAGCGCGTCCTGGCGCCTCTGGCCGTGCCACAGCAGCAGCCCGTTGGCCGCCGTGGTGGAGAAGATGATGGCCAGCGCTGTCTCCTCCTGGACAGAACTGTTGCCGCTGCCCGCGAAGTAGTCCAGCTCCACGAAACCATTGCCCGCCATCTGCGCCGAGAAATCCAGCTGCAGCTCTGCAGGAGGAAATAGTCAAGTCAGCAGCTATTCAAGTGGCAAAAATCTGCAATACGCCTCGGCTTCCCTCCACACTGGCTGCAAAGAAACTCAAAAGAACAGAAATTACTCTTCAAAGAAGTGACAAAAGAAAAAAAAACGATGAAAATAACCAAAAAAAAAAGAACCAAAACCTGCTCTTTAAGCCTTTATTTCTCCTTCCACGCATCTTTCCATTATATTCAACTCAAATGTTTTCTCATCTCTTTCGCATCGCCTGAAAGTCTCCTTTCCTCTAAAACCACTTATAAGAAGCATTTGTTATTAAACGTAAGGAATATTACTTAGAAAAAAAAATTAAAAGACGCGCAACTCAAAGGTATAAAGTGCGAGTGAAAAAAAAATTAGTGAATAATAGAGACAATCGGGCAGATTCTTGGGCAGTTTTGTGGGCAGTGCGGCTCAGTAGCCTCCGGGATTCCTGACCGGGTACTCCCTGTGCGGCCGGTGGCGCCTCCTCCGATACTCACTCTTGATCCTCACGTCAACGAAGCTCTGCGTGATGCTGCCGTTGGGCAGCAGCATCTCACAGATGTACCTGCCCGCGTCGCTCGGATGGATGTCCGTGAGCGTGAGGCGGCCATCGTGGAACTGCGCATTGGACGTGATCTGGCCATTCTCGCGCCTCCAGTGGAACTGCACGTCCGTGACGGGAGCGCCCTCCGGCAGATGACAGTCCAGCGTCACCTTGTCACCCTCGTATACTTCCTGCAGCTGATTGTACATTGGCTGACGGTCGACGATCTCATTTCCTGCCACACACGAAAAAAGGCTTCATTAAGCAAACAATTACGCTTTCAGTGGGATTCGAAAGGCTCTTAAAGGGTTCAGAAGAAGTTCAAAAGCTTCATCACTCCTTCTTCACTCAGGATAACAGAGTTATTCCATGTCCGCGGCGTGTTAAGGTTCGTCTCTGTTCTACGCATTGAAATCTTTCTCATACTCACGATTAACGATAACTTCCGCCGCCTTGGTCACATTGCCGTTCGCATTGGAGGCTGTGCAGTAGTACTTCCCGGCGTCCCTCTGCGTGATGGGCGCGAATTGGAGGTGCGGCCCTTCGGCGCGCACGGCGTACGGAAGCGGTGTGTAGTCGACGCCGTGCCAGAACACGTGAATGGGACCCTCGCCAGTGGCATTACAGAAGATCACGATGTTCTCGCCGGAACGCACGACGATGGGCATCGGCGGCGAGAAGGTGATGATGGGCACATCCACGACCACCACCTGTGCCAGGGCGATGCGATAGGACTCATCATGGTCCGACATCACGCACTCATAGCGTCCGGCAGCGTCGTGTCCCGTGCGCTCGATGATCAGCGTGCCGTCGGAAAGATTGGCGTTGCGCGGCAGCGGATGGCCGTCGGTCCTGCGCCACGTGGTCCTCTGATAGGGGTTCTCCACTTCGCACGAGAGCTGCGCACGCTGACCCACGTTCACCGTGTACGTGTGTTGGGGGAAGTCGCCGGTGTCGCCGTACGACGGAGAGCCGTACGTGGTGCCCGGGCGTCCGGGATAGTCCCTATCGTGGGGCCCCACATCTCCGCGCTTGCCCTTCACGATCACCCTGATGAAGTGTTCATCTTCGCCGGCGCTGCTCTTCGCCAGACACCTGTACATGCCCGCGTGGCTGGGCTTCACTTCGTACACTTGATACACCACCGGAGTCTTCTGCAAGCCGCGGTTGTTGAACAGCCCCGTGCTGCCAGAGCCTGGCGGCACGTCGGGCAGCACCCACTCGACAGACGGCGCGGGATGTCCGCTGGCGCGACACGACAGCGTCATCTCGTCACCCTCCGTCAGCTCCAGCGTGTCCATTCCGGGCTCAATCGTCACTTCCGGCGGCTGCTCCACATTCAGAACCGCCGTGGCAGACGTGCTGCCGGCGATATTCTCACCGAGACACTGATAAGATCCACCATCGCCAATCGCCGCATTCCTAATGATGATCGTGCCCGGATATTTGTCGTCCACATTCGTCGGCAGCGGCTTATTGTCCAATCTCACCCAGCGAACGACCGGAGTTGGAATTCCGGCGACACTGCGACAACTCAGCATGGCAGATTCGCCCACTCTGATGGTCTGCGGACCCTTGGGATGTAGCTCCACAATCGGCGCTTGGCGTTCTTGAGAGTCAATGGAGAAAAAACACAGATGAGAATTGATTTTGGAAAAATGTTTAGTAGTCAAATCACTTGAAATTAATACCTAATTTCCTTCCATTGATCTCTTAGAAGCATTACAATAAGATTAGTGTTAGTAAATCAAGGGGTATTATGTGCTCTGGTGAAAATACTCACGGTCAATTTCGATAATTGTGCTGATCTGATCGGTTCCTTCGGAGTTTTCTGCCACGCACACATAAACTCCTCTGTTGTATTGCTTCGCGCCCAGGATTCTCAGCTGATTGCCGACTTGCTGGACATTGGAATCGAAGGAGTCATGCAGCTTCGTCCACTTGACCGTTGGCAGGGGACTTCCGGTGGCATCACACTCCAGATACAAGTCAGAGTTCTCAATCACCAAGTGATTCTGCTCCACGGGTCTGATCTTGGGATACGCTCTCACTTCGTGCTCAATGATGGTCAAATTGGCCACGGTCGAGTGTTGCTGCCCAGTCGACGAGACAGATGTGCACACGTACTGGCCAGAGTCCTCCTCGCGGGCATTCTCGAAGCTCAGGATGTGTCCCTTCACAATGGCACTGGGCGGCAGCCACATCGTGTACTCCTTGCGCCACGAAATCACACCCTCACCAATGCACCGGAACTCCACGGCGTCTCCCGGACGTCCCGTGAAGCTGGGCGGGAAGATGGCAATTTCCGTGATCGGCGGCGGAAACACCTGTCGCTCGCGCACGCGCACATTCAGATACTTGCTGTCCTCACCGTCGCGATTCCTCGCCGTGCACCTGTACTGTCCCTCGTCCGACTTGCGAATGGACACGAAGCGCAGCACGCCAGAGTTCTCCGGTGTCAGCAGCACCGTGCTCCTGCCCAGACCGTCAATTCTCTCCCACACAATGATCGGAGCTGGACTTCCTGTCGCCTCACACGTCACGTGAGCCATTGTTCCCTCCTCAACATCCAGACTGGTCGGATAGAATTGCACTTCGGGTCGCCTTGAGTAGCTGACAGTGATGGACACGCGCTGTTCCATGTACTCCTCATTGTTCTCACCGCGACACACGTACACTCCACTGTCGTCCACTTGCGTATTGGTGATGATCAGCGTGCCACGATCAGCATGAGCGCGCTCTGAGAGACGTCCGTCCAGCTTGAACCACCGCACGACAATCGGCAGGTTGGAGATCACATGACGACCCGTGCAGTTGATGTATACCGTCTGGCCCACTTCCACAATCTGCAGCGTGGGCGACGTGACCACCACGGAGATGGAAGGTGTTTCAGGGATATCCGGTGTGTCGGGGATGTCGCACATCTCGCCACTGAAGCCCGGCCGGCAGTGGCAAGTGAGTCGTCTGTAGACGTCTTCACTGCACGACTCGGCATTCTCTGAGCACGGGCAGCGTCTGCACGCGCCCAGACGACTGCCACTCGTCTCGCGGTAGTGCATTATGTCGCAGGATTCGCAGCTGGAGCCTGAGTATCCTGGTGGGCAGCGACACATCTCAATGTGGTCAGCATTGCCGAGAACAGTGCGCTGTGTCACGGCCGTCTGCAGGATGATATCGCTGATGTGGGTGGACGTTGTGGCTTGCTTCGTCGTGGCGCGAATGAGGACGTACTCCAGATTAGCCAGAGCACTCAGGAGATCCTCCCTGGTGGCGATCTGATAGCCATTGCGCCACTGTCCCACCAGGAATGGCACCACCACTGACGAGTGATCCTCCTGCGGATTTTGCCACGTCAGCGTGAGTCCATTGCCTCTGATGATCACGTCATTGTCCTTCACATGCGCTCCTCTATCCTCCGTGCTGAGCTTGTAGGACAGAGTGCCACCATAGGAGTAGATCTGATTCCCTGTGAACTGCTTCGGCAGACTCCAGTACACCGTGCGATCGTCAAGCACTTGATAGGACACCGTGTTGGTGGAGATGTCCGTGGCCAGTTCCTCGACATCGGCCACCAAACTGTTGTCATTCGTTGTCACGCGGAAGTGATCATTGAAGATCACCATGGGAATCTCCTCGCGGAACAGTCTCGAGGTCGTGCAAGTGTCTGACACGCCGAAACAGAAGCAACTCGTGCATCCCTCGGGATTTTCAGTCTGCAGATCGAACGTTCCCGCACGGCATCGATCACACTGGCCGCCAATCACATTGTTCTTGCACTGGCACTGTCTGTCGCTGCACGACACATACCCTCGTGAGTCACACTGATCGCATCCGGTGAAGTTCTCACCGCCGAAGCAGTCATAAGGTGTGCCAATGGTGGCATTTCCGCGTCCATCGATGCACAATTCGCAGAAATCGCCCTTGGTGTTGTGCTCGCAATTCTGCAAAGACACAAAACATCACTCAAAAGCCCCCCCAAAACTCTTACTAATTAACTCACATTGCACACGCCAGTCACTGGATCGCAATCGCTGGAGTGTCCATGGCATTCGCAGGGCTCGCAGAGGCCGAGATACAATCCCTCGTCGCTTCTCTTGTAGCCAGGAGCGCAATCTTCACACGACAAGCCAGTATATCCTTGCGGACACTGGCACATCTCCACCTCATACGCTCTGCCGCCGGTTTGCACGCTCTTCGGCACAGCAATGTCCAGAGAAACTTGAGACAAACTGCAGAGAAACCCTCAATTAATATCTGACAAAGTGTCTTCAATTCTTCAATTTCACTCACGCTGCCTCATCCGTGGTCGTTGTGTACGTCGCCTTGATGAAGATGTACGAGACATCGGCCAGAGCCATCAGAAGGTGTTCTCTGTTCACCTCCTTGCCGTCGCTCCGCTGCCAGTGCTGCTCAATGATGGGCACAGAGTACGATTGCGGCGCCGTGGGACGAATTTCATCCTTGCGGAAGTGCAGAATCGTGATGTCGTTCTCAGACTTGATCACAACATCAGGTGCACTGTTGCGCGACATCGCCGATCCCGGCTGAGGCGTGAAACGCACGGTGTAGTTGAGAACACCGCCATAGGAAGTCACCTTGTCGCCAACGAATCTCGTCGGCAGACTCCAGTAGTACACTTCGGTGTCATCGTGCTGAACATTGCGGAAGATTGTCTCATAGCTGGACACCTGAACGCTCTCGCGATCGCCCAACTGAGGATCGTCGTAGTTGAAGATGATGTCGAAGTCACTGCGATCTCTGTACAGTGTCGATTGGATCTGTAAAATGACGAAAATTTGATTTCTAATCTAATCCAAATATACTTTCGCTTCTTCATTGAGGAAATATTAATCATATCAACGCTCAATTTTGAGTGGCAAATGTTATGAATCAGCAATGGAGTGTGCATTGAAGCGACATTCATTAACTGATCATTTTCACAGGAATGGTGTGAGATGTCGATGTTTGCTTGGCAAACAGTTGACACTGTGAAGCAGTGTTTAAATTTTAAACAGACCAATAAAAGATAAGAGAGCCCATTTTGCAAACTTTCAGTGATTCTGAAACATATTTCCCTAAAACCAAATATTGAATCATGATGATTGTGCCAATATTTGACCAATCAAGTGGGCAAACAAGTGAAATTCAGCAGAGTGTCACCTTCAGCAACACTCAAAGACACTCACTGAGTCTCTGTAGTAATTGCTGCTCATGCACTGCCTGGCGACACCCATGCAGAAGCAGTGGATGCATCCGTTCGGTGTGTCCGCATTGAGATGGAAGGCATTCGGGGCGCACTGGTCACACCTCCTGCCCACCACGTTGTTCTTGCAGATGCACCGTCCGCCGGCGTCCACGGTGCGCGTGCCCTGGGCGTCACAATCGGCGCTCGGCTGCTCTCTGCACACATCGCCCGGCACCAGTGGATTGCCCGTGTATCCAGGCGCGCACTGTTCACACTTCCTGCCGGCATATCCGGGCTTACAGTAGCACGTTACGTCGCCATCCGATGCCTCGCTGCACGAGTAGCCGTAGTTGGCGCCATACGGACCTCCGGGACACGGACAAGTGATGCACGAAGAGCCACCGCGTGGCAGATAAGTGCCGTCAGGACATCTCTCAGGCGCCTTCACGCAGCGTCCTAGCCAATTTCCGGTCTCCTGGCGCACATAGCCACTGGCGCAGGCCTCGCAGGACAAGCCAGTGTAGCCAACAGGACAGCGACACTGTTCCACGAGAGTAGCAGAGCCCAGACCGCGATCAATCGTGGCCGCAGAGTCCATCTCGATATTCCTCAGCTGCACCTCATCCTGACTCTCCACATACTTGAGCTTGATGAGGAAGTTCTCAATGTCCGCCAGCACCATCATGAGCTCCTCGCGTGTCGCCTGGCGTCCGTCCTCCTTGTACCACGTGCCCACGTGGAATTCCACCTTCACCTGGTGCAAGGAGCCAGCGTTGAGGGGTCCTCTGATCTTGTGGGTCAACTTGTAGCCATTGCCCAAGAGTAGAACATCAGGAGCCTGATTGGCCGGTCCAGCCCCGACAAATTCCAGATCATAGGTGAGGAAGCCACCGTAGGACTTCAGCTGGTTCCCAAGATACTCGCTAGGCAAGGCGTAGAACGCCGTCTCGCGCACCGTGTCCGAGAGTCTCACTTTGATACCGAACTTCGTGGCAATGACATCGTGCGCCTGATACTGCGACACATCAATCTCCCGCTGCCCCGTCCACGGTCCCGTCACGCCCACAACGTGGAGCGAAGTGACTGGCGGCGGCAGAGAATATATGTAGAGATCGGCGCTAGAGCACTGTGTGGACACGCCGAAGCAGAAGCAGTTGATGCAGTCCTCCTGGCGCGTCGCCTTGGAGTTGAAGTAGCCGCTGGGACACACTTCTGTGCCATCGACCACGAGAATTGTGTCCGGCGAGGCGAATTGCGTGCCCATGGAGTTGATCACTTCGCACGAGTATGCGCCAGAGTCACGAACCTCCACACCAGGACACGTCAGCACTCCGTAGCCATTCACGCTGGTCGTCGTGCACTTGTCCGGAATGTGACCCCAGTTGAGACGCCACACAACCAGCGGCACCGGAATTCCCACGGCGCGGCACGTGATGTTGAAGATTGAACCCGTGCTGAGATGCATCCTTGGCGGCGGCGTTTGCACCACTGTCGGCTTCGAGCAGCCAATCTCATCTGAGTTGTCAAAGCAATCAGGATGAGCGTCGCATTGGAAGGACTTGGGAATGCACTGGCCAGTCTTGCACTGGAACTCGTGGAAGCGACACGGAGCATCGGGGGCCGTCGTGGCGCATCCTTGCTCATCTGAATTGTCGCCACAGTCATTCTCACCATCGCAGCGCCACGTCTTGGCCACGCACTTCCGATTGGCACAGTGGAATTCGTTGGGTTCGCAGCTGTTGGTGCGACTGCAGCCAGACTCATCGGAAGCATCCGAGCAATCGTACGTGCCATCGCACACCTGGTTCTTCTCGATGCAGTCGCCATTCATGCACGTCGCCTTCTCCGGAGGACAACCGACAGGCGCATCCAGAACAGGATTGTCTGCGGAAGAGAACATTTCCCAGATATTTTTCCAGATAGAAATTATTATCTAAAAAAAATCTCATTTATATATTAAGAAATTAATAAAAGGACTTTCACTCACATCTCTCAACGGTGAGATACACATTAGTCCTCGAGCCTGGATAGGTCTGATAGCCGACAGCTTCGCAGTAGTATTCTCCGGAATCGGATACTTGAACGTTAGAGATCTCGAGGCGACCATTGATGTCCTTGGCATTCGGCGGAAGTCCGTCGTGGTTTCGTGTCCAGCGAACACGAGCCCGAGTGACTCCTTCATCGCGACATTGGAAGACAACCTCGCGTCCTGGACAATTGATTGGGAAGAGAACACTTTAATGTGTCGTCCAGACGCCACAAATCCTGCAATCCTCACCTTCCTTGATGATCTGATCCGTGGGATAAGTTCTGAGCTTGATGTCAGTGTGTGAAGACCAGGAAGGCTGACCACTTTCCCCTACCATAGGCGGCCTCTCGAGAGGCCTCTCGGGTAGCCTCGGCGGCGGTCGCGGGCAGTTGTGTTCATCTGATCCGTCATAGCAATCTCTGATGCCGTCGCATCTCTGTGACTGGCTGTAGCATCGATAGTCAGATTGACAGTAGAGTTCAGGGCAGAATTGCGGGAATTCGGGAGCAGGCTGAGGGACACTCGGCAGTGCTGGTCGCTCCGGTTCCTGGCAATTCTGCTCATCGCTCGCGTCCGTGCAATCCGGCGTGCCATCACACAGATAGTTCACACTCAGGCAGCGACCGTCGCATGGGAACTCATAAGAGGCGCACTGGACTTCCGTGACATCTGCAAGAGTAGCGAGGAGAGTTAGTGAGCACCTTGGCAGGAGATCCAGAGAGATGCATTCTCACTGTGTCTCCCATCGCAGTTCGCCTCGTCGGAGTTATCGTAGCAGTCGCGCGATCCGTCGCACACAAAGTCCTTATTGATGCACTCTCCGTTGAAGCACTGCCACTCGCTGGCTTTGCATGCATTGGGTGCCAAGTTGAAGCCTTCGTGGGGAGGAGAACCGCACAACAGTTAATTCAATCGATTAGCAATTAGGCGGAATTACATACTACATCAAAGTCTTGCCGTGGAAGGTCTCAATTTTCACTCTTGTTTACATTGGAATCTCCTTCGGTATCAATTCCTCCCTTCCCCATCTCATTCATCGACAATTCACCCATATCGCAAGTGTAATTTCTTGCCTCGCGTGTCGCTCACATTCCGAAGGCACACAGAGCAAAAATACCCGCTGGGGAGCGAGCATTGTCGCGCTGGAGAATGATATGAAGATTGCAGAAACTTTAATATACGCCTCACAACAAGTCTCACCAAACTATTTCGTATTTCCCCTTGGAGTAATTAATTTAATAGTGAAATACTGTCTGTGCTATTTTTCCCTCCGCCCAAACTACATATATTCCATCGCGAAGCTATTCTCAGTCGCGATCAGGGGAGAAACCGCACAAAGTCTGTGCCTACAAATTAGGAAATTCATTCATTTTTAGAACATTTTTTTTCCACATTGACATATTAGTGTCATCAGAAGTGATAGAATGCATCGAATGCATTCTGGAGAGACTAATTAGTTAAACCTAAAAGTCACCCTGACACTTATTAAAATCTCCTTTTCTTGTCTCTGCACAAATTGTGAGCCTAAGAAAAATATACAAACTTCATCAACTGATGGAGAAATACATAAATCTCAATCAGAGTTGAATTGATAGATAGGAAACTCTTATTAACCCATAAGAAATGCAAACTAATTGATCATTATATTTATCCTTAGTAGATAATTCAGTTCTGTTCGGAAATTCAAAAGAGAAACAAAGTTCCTTTCAAGTCCTTCGCCCAGTTTCTTGGTGTCGTTAAAGACTTAAATGTGTTTTATTTGGTGTCTGTTCCTAAATTTCCCTTCACAAGCCTTGTTCTTAATTTAGAATTATCTCTAAATCTCAGAATGATAGCAATTATCACAGTGAATTTATTTGCTGAGCGGCTGAAAATTGAAATGATCTTGTAAATTTTTCCTCCTTGACCATAATAAATCCCACTATCTCGGCCGAGAGACAGTGTTTTCATTCACAAAAACATAACCGAGATTAAGTGAAATACCATCAGCAATTGTGCAATTCCCTGATAATAAAGCACTATTCGCGCACAGTAATTCATTGCTCGAGATCAAGCTGAGGGTGCTTAATTGCGCGAAATGCGATAGAGTTCATCTGGCGAAAGAGTGGGCGCACTTATCTCAAATCTATCGCCTTGGGAGTCTCTCAACTCGCGACGCAGGGAATTGAGTTCCCTTTGATTGCTAAAAATAAAACACTCACCACAGTCGAGTTCATCGCTGAGATCGACGCAGTGCTGGCGCTTGTCGCACTTGAAGGCCTGCTGGATGCACTCGCCGCTGGTGCAGCTGCAAGAGGACACAACGAGAGATAGAGTTCACAATCTTTCTGGCCACAGCGCGGCTCACTCACTGGAAGGCATCACCCTTGCATGATTCACACTTCTGCTCGTCACTGCCGTCCGAGCAGTCGTCGCGACCATTGCACCGATCCTCGCCATGGATGCACATGCCGTTCTCGCACTGGAACTCAAAGTGTGCGCACAACTCATCGGGCTCATCCGGATCCTCGTCATCCCTGTTCCCGTCCTCATTGCACTCCATCTCGTCCGTGTCGTCCGGACAGTCTGACACGCCGTCGCAGCGACTCTCACGCGGCACACAGTTTCCATCGCCGCACGTGAACTCGTACACTTGACAATTGTCCAGCGGACACTCCGGCAGGTCCTCGTCCTCATGGTCATCGCAGTCCGGCACGTTGTTGCACTTCAGCTCAGCCGGAATGCATTTCCCGTCGTTGCATCGGAACTCGTAACTCTCGCACTCTGCAAAGCACACAATGTGATGGAAAAAAGCGCGTTTTATTTCCAGTGTGTGGAAGAAAGTGTTGCACGCTATAATGCATGGAGGAAATTTTATTTTATCATCCCGCACCAGAATTAGACACTTCCTCCCATCGGACTTTGTAATTGTGTTACTTAATTGCCAGTGACTTGTGGGAAACACTGTGTCAACCTCAGCAGAAAAAAAGGACGCATGATTTCAGGACAAACTCACGATGAACAAGTCAACTTTGCATTGCTGTACAAACGACACAATGTTGCTTGCTTGTGGTGGAAATAGAGCGGAAAATTATTGATAATTTCTGCACTGACTTCTTCATATATTTCCACATATTTCATTGATATGCATAAGGAGAGAATGAAGCTGTGCTCTGGCGCTCCATTGCAAAATAGGTCATTACCATGAGAGTTTGTAATAATCCCAGAGTAAAGCCACGCGATTGGAGAAAATATTGATGAGCTCTGCTGTGGTTGAATTTTAACGATCTCTCTGTGTGATTTTCTCATCACAATTCTCAACTAAAGTACAACTATAAAAATTCTAGAGCACTCAGAAAGAGAGTGAGAGAAGTTGAGAGTGTGTTTTGCATCACCATCTGAAAGTGTTCCTTGACCGAAAAGTGGTGAAAAAGCCAAATTTCTCATCACATCCCGCTTGAATAAACATCTTCTCTTTATACTTCTTAATCCTCATGATGTCAGCTTGAGATTTTTCACATGTGAAATCATTACATTCAAACGTGCCCAACGATGAAGTAATATACAATCATAAAAAAAATAGTGACTGAGAAATAGTTTCTTTTTCATCCTATATTGTCAACATTCTCAGTCTAATTGCAAATGCATCGCCTTCAGAATATAAACAATACTGGTTGCTCAATCGCACACACTGAATGAAAAGGGGAGGAACGAAGGAATGTCAAGAATCCATTCTTACCGTAGCTTTGAGAAGTGACTGTTGAGTAATTCCACAGAATTAGGCAGAAAATGAGAAAGCAATTTCTCCTAAATGGAATCATTGCTCCTTCGACTCTGTGAAAAGCATTTTCCCCAGTGAATAAATCATTGAGAGTATTAACTTTGTTGTCTGCGTGTGTGTGTGGAAAGGTAATATCTTCTCCTTGTTTTGTCACACAACAAAATACACACAATATACAATTCAACAATCCTGTGATTCGCAAAATTTCCCACACAAAAACCGGACACCGCCGCGACTATTCATTCAGCCAATAAATGCAAGAATGAGCAAAAGTTTTTATGTTTATTAAAATTATCGACTAAACATGATAATTTTGTTAACTTTCTGCTGCTCTTTTTCTTCACTGTCTCGCGCTCTCTTCGCCCAAAAACTACAATTCTCATTTGCCTTCTTGTCCGCCTTATGTGTTGTCCTCATGAGAAAAAACACACAATGTAATAATAGACATTGAAGAAACAATACTAAACAGAACACACACACCAAACATTCGGGAAAAAGTCTTGTGTGTTATTTAAATTTAGAACAATAATTTATGGGCTTTCGTGTTAAACAATTTTCACTGCCAATTTCCGTGCAATCTCTGTGACTTTCTCCACGCGTTCCTCAGGAATCACACACAAACACTCACACACATTTTCATCATGTTAATGAACATTGAACAATTGCCAGAACATTGCGAGGCTGTAAATTGATTTTTATGTATGAAATTACTACACGACTCAGTCTTCTGGTCTCTCACTATTTCACCAAACAGCAAAAATAGATTTTATGCTCGACATGTAGTGAAAAATGCATTTTGAAAGCATATCTTTGTTCTAGCAAATGTAGAAAACAGAGAATTAGCAACTTTTCCTGCTAAGTTCTTCTTCTCAAAATAGTTACAAGAATATTAAAAAACCAGGAAATGAATTGAATATCAAAGAATATTTTGGAAGGAGCACTTAAGATCAACTAACAACAATTTTTCAACACAAAGTTAGACAAAATCAACGTTTTTCCTTGAAAAATGACTACGAAATTAATGCTTAGAGAGAAATATATCAAAAATCATTTACAACTGACATAATGAAGACTAAAGATTGATATTTTATGTCATTTTGAATTGATTTTAATAGAGATTTTACTTCAAAATGTCCTTCAATTACTGATTCTTAATTGCGAAAGAAGACTTTTCAGTATAAATAAGGCGTCTGAGAATCAATAAAGCAATCTAGAGTTAAAAATCTATATAAGAACGACCTTAAGTGCGAAGATCTTCTGAAGGGTACATCAAATCACAGACGATTCGCCCTGACACTCAATTCATTGAAACAGATTTTTCGTCTCGGCAATTCAAGTTGTGAATTCAGCCGGTTGAAATACGCTCGCATTTTTCAAGATTAAAATTGACAATTATTTACATAACATTCGGCTGATTTCTTCGGCCAGTGTTGAAAAAGGCACTCGCAGAAGCTCCTCGCTGATGTCAAAATGTGAGCAGTTCAAGGAATTTGCGATTGTAATATGCTCATCACCGAGATAAGGGCATTAATGTTATATCATTCGCTCAACTAACTGCGGATCTTCTTTCGCCAGCAGTCTCAAGGAAAAATTGTGCTGACTCTGATGGAGCCGCAATTAAAGCGATGGTGCAAAAAGTTGGAAAATTCATCTCAAGATTGTGCCGAAAGACACTGAGATTAATATTGGGATGTGTGAGTGTGTGGGATTTACAATTGGGGAAATTGTGATCACTCTTTTGTCCACATCAATACAAAGTTTGAAATTGCGTGTTGAGAGGGTGTAATATTGCGTCTAGTTTCCAATTCATCTCATCTTGCAAAGGGGTGTGTTTCATTTCCGTCCCATGGAAAATCACATCTTGAACTTCTGCGACGGAACGCGCTGGAAAATTGACTCCCGCTGTGGAATTCACGAGGATTCACTATGAAATTTTCATGCTTTTACGATGATATATAGACTGTGGACCACCCACTTTTCAGTGTATCTCCTCTCTCGACCCGCTTTTTTTCCCACAATCGCGCTCCGCTCCCTTCGCAATGGGTGGACGACTTTTTTCTTCTTCCCTGCACAGACACACAACAAACTCTCCTTGCAGCACGATGGCATCTATTTTCCCAAACTCATTTTCATGTAAATATCATCACCAGCACCCCCCCTTGAAGAATGGCATCCCACCATCCGCCCACGGAGCTGAAAGGACACTCAAGAGGCAATATAGCGCAAATATCCTATTTCTTCCGGTCGGCATTGCCTTACACGACTCAACACAGAGGTCAATTGAATTGAATTGCCAGGAGAACGAGAGAATATCTTTCCACACAACATAGTTTAGAGAAACTCTCAGCATTCCAATGTACCAACTCTGGATGCTCTCAGCACAAAATCCTGATAATTGCCAAACACTATATATTCTCCGATACACTTAAACAGTCATTTTTTTCCCCAAAAAACACCCTCTTTGCTCGTCACTTTTGCTCTTTTTTGGCCACCCTTCTGAAACAGCCAAATTCCACCACTAAATTAAAAAAAAAACACACACGAAGAAGCTGTGCACACGCGGAAAATTCGTTAACCGCCCTCTTCACACCATATTCCTCATCACCACCTTTGCGAGTGCAGCAAGAGAAATTGAATTTTTCCTTGGGTGAGATTGAATAAAGAGGGCAATTTTTGCACAACTCTATCGAGGGAACACTTTGTGGCACTTTCGAGCGCCTTCTCCACACAATATGCTTCCAACTCCCCTTCTCGCGAATGACTGACTAGAGACTAAGACAACTGACGACGATAGACTCCATCAGAAGAGAGAGAGACACTTTTTTATCGTGGCGAGAGTCACACGCCCGGAATATGAGCAATATAGGCGGCCAAGATATAGCTCAATTGTGTGAGCCTCTCTCAGTCACACATTCCTGACCAATCCTCTCTTGCATCCTCCTCCTGGTGCCCGCCAAGAGTCCGCAGCAATACACGCTCAGCCACGGTCGTGTCACTCCGTCGACTGAGACTCTCAACACGACACTTTCTGTGCGAGATATGCACAGAGCAAAGGATGCTCTGCCATTGAAAACACCACTAATGAAATCCTCGACGCAAATGAGGATGCAGGAAATTGACTTTTCCCGTGTATCCCATGGAATTATGCACATAGCATGGAAAATCTCTGTGGAAGCCAGAAATAGACATAAAAATGCGTGGACTGAGAGAGTAGTGGTTTAGTCACTGTGCTCAAAATTAACACACAAGTATTTTGATCTGCATCCTAAATCTCTAATTTACAAAAAAAAACTATTGTGTGCTTTGCATAGAAAATTTCTTTGGATTATTCCAAATTCACAGGAGTCAAGTAAACTTTTTACACTAATTTACATGTCAATCTAAACATTCAAGAGAAGTTTAAGAATTGCTCCTGAAGACTTCAATGCAAGGGTGAGCAACACTGACAGATTTCTCCCCAGACATTAAGCATTCAATTCTAGATGATAAAATGATGGAAAAGGCACGATTGTAACAATTACTCGCATTTTAATTACGTTTTGTGCCTTAAATAAAACCTCTATGTCTAAAGAAGAGTATTGAGAATGATGTATTTTACTGCAACATCACATTTTTCATCCCTCCTTTATAATTATGTGAAAATCAGAGGGAAAAATCATACGCCACTGACCGAAATCTCCTCAATTTGGCACACACTCCTTGTGTGATAACTCAAACAACCAATTGAGAATTTGGACATGAAAAAAATCACAATTTGACCTTCTCAATCTCTCTCGCTCTGCCTCAAGATAGCCAGTGTTTTTTTGTCGTCCCTCCGAAGACGCGTCAAGAACGATAAGATTGGGAAATTTGTGCTGTTTTTTTTTCCTCCTCTTTTTCTCTCTCTCTCTCATCCCAAACGAAACATGGCCAACAAGGTCAAGAAAAAATTCAACAGATCTGATTTGATGAATGCACAGAGAGCAATTAAGAGAGAATCGCGCACTGAAGTGCATTTTGAGGGCAACAAATGGGGGTGGTTTTGGGGGTTGGAACTTCCCTTTTGGGGTCAAATTGCGTCGGCGCAACACTCAAAAGCCAGCTATGGATTCAAATACCGTCGGCAGGCGACTTACCAGTCAAACTGTGGAAATCCAGACGTTTATTCTGGATGTTCAGCTTCCCAATGCGATGATAATTGTTCACCTGACGCTGCAATTCACTGTCTAATTTCACCACAGACACCGGCTGTTCCGCCACAATGTCCGCCTCAACGCGAACTGTGTGCAAATCATGATCCGGCACGACTCTCCGCACATTCACATTGATGTGATTCTCATCGTCCACGAGGACATCGTTGAAGAATCTGCCCAGGGATTCCGTGGCATTTCCCAAGAGAGCTTTGTAAGCTGACGAAGAGCGTTTGGCGTAGTCTTGATTCCATGCTTCCAGTAATGTAAAATTCAGGAAGACTGAAAAATGCCCAAGAATCACATAGAGATTGTCCAGAAATAGATGCAAAGCGAAGAAACTTACACAGTCTGTCTCCAGTGATGTGAGGCATTGAGCCAGAGCCAGAAAAATCGCCGTCCTCATCGTCATTTTCCCTGAAATGTGGAGGAAGAGCATGTTTATCAGAATAGAATATAATCTCAGCGAAATGTTTACACCGAAAGCGCGAGAAATTTGGTTGTGTCGATTGGATAAATGCACATGAGAATCACACACTCTCTCTCTCTCTCATCTTTCATGAACTCCACCAAAAACACGAGTGTTTATTGTTTCTGATGGATTTCAAAATCATTTCTCTACGCATTGCAACAATCTTTCTCCTTCTCATATGGCATAGAATCAACAAACCAATTTCATGCAATCGGAGAACATTTATGTTTTGTGAAATTTCCCTCTTTGAGAGGCTTCGCCAGGAAAGTTTTACTCAAGGAAGCCCTGCTGAAATTGATAAAATTACCTTCACTTGACCTTTAGTGTTTGTGTGGGTAAATTTACCTCAATTTTAATTACACAGTGGAAGGCAAAGGATTGGGAAATTGGATCACACAGAGAGTGAGATTTTTCCCCCCAATAAGAATTGCCCGAATTGTATATCTCAACATCTTTTAACACATTTCCAGGAGGAAAAATATTCTCTAAACATTTATAGAGAATCTTTTTTTCCCCGGGGGAAAATAATTTGATATACATTTGCAAGGATGTTGATCTTTTTGGAAATTTTCACTCATCTCATGAACAAATTACACAGAATTATGGCGCAAATAGTGACTCAAATCAAGTGAAAAGCATTTAGAAAATGAACATCTTCTTTGCGTCTATATTAAGCACATATTATTGTCTTCCTTTCCATCTGCAAGGCAGTGAAAAGCGTGTTATTTTTCTCCGCACATCCTCTGTGTGCGAAATATCAACCGAAATCACCCAATGTTATTAATAAAAAGAAATGACCTCAAATGCCCACCAAGTGTTCAAGAAATCTCTGGAGATGATCAAATTGATGGCCAGCGAGTGATTTCTCAATCAACACCAATCAGGACTCAATTGACAGTCAATAAGTGGGAATTGGAAGGGCTCAATCACGAGAATAAACCACAAATTTCCTCACTGGCGCGCGCGCGTCCCATAATGTAATCTAATGGAGTGCAAACAAGGGAGATGGTGAAAAAGCGTCACTTGTAAAATTGTGTGGCATCATCGGAAATTGTTCTCCATCAGAACTACGCTCATCTCTGTCACTGAGCCACTCAGCATGAATATTAAAGGCGTGCAAACAAATTGACACACACTCTTCAGCCACTCACCCATCGTAGAGCGACTTCTGCCTCAGCACTCGCTTCTTCGATCTCATGTTGTCCATGAGAGGCAAGAAGGGCGCCGCACTTTTCGTTTGCCTCAACTTCTTCAGGTTCTTGAGGCCCTGATTCGGGACCTTCTTCGCCTTCTTCACCTTCTCCATCAGCCTCTTCTTCTTCTTCCGCAGCACACGCCTTCGCAGCTTCCTCAGCTGCCGCTCCTCCTTCGTCCTGTTCCTGCCCACCTTGTGCTGATCTTCCTCCAGGATTTGCGTGGCAGGACTCACGGGAAGGTCATCGAACACAATATCAGAATTCACATTGTCCTGCAATGACGACAATTCAGCAGTTAAACACAAACGATAGTGAGCAGCAGGAAGAAAGATTTCGCGAAACATTTCCGGGTGGCTGAAAAGACGCTCTTATCACACCCCATTTCACTCCACAGATATGCAAATTTGAGAAAGTGCGAATTTGTAGAATTACTCATAAGATTGCTCGCTAAAAATTACAGAACTGTTAACCCATTCACGAAAAAGAAGTGCGAAAAGCAACAAAAATCAAGGAAAATTATTATATGGTGAAAAATGATGTAAAACTCACTGGAAATGTTTTACAAGTGCTGGCAAATGCTTAAACAGATTTAACAATTTTAAGAATTCAATGTTTTAAATAGATTTCAGATAGATTTTCTTGGTAAAGCAAGAATACTTCACTCAATAACTTCTTCGACCTGAAAGGGTTAATTTTGGGCGCCGATCTAAGCAACATTGAAAAATTCCCATGAAACTAAAGGCAATATTTCGCCAACGACTATTCAGCATAACATTCTTGCATGCGGAATGCTTCTGGGCAGCAAAAAGACGTTATCAGGCTAGAGGTTGAGTGTGCGAAGAGGTCAGATTATTGCCTCTTTGTGCTGTTTCTTCAAAATTCCCCACTATCACAGTCACTTTTATCATCGCTCGCGTATGTACGAAATTCTAAAAATGACCACATAATTCGGTCAGAGATCTCACGATCGCCCAAAAGAGTCCAAAAGTGCCTTGCACACACATAATTTTTGCCGGGAAGAGTGTGAGAGAGGGAGACAGAGAGTGTCTTTGGAATTCGCCAAAGAGACATTTGAGATCGCTGGAGAACTAGAGAAGAATGGACATTTTCGCTGATGTCACGGAAATTGGAAAGACTTCCAGACAACATTTCGTGAATTTACTTTGAATATGCGATTTGTGTGGCCAACCCAGCGAAATCATCATCCCCGTTGTAATGCTATTCTGACTCTGTTGAGGAATTTTAATGTGTAACAATTATCGATTTAACAAAGTGACTTTGTGTCTCTTGTCGCCCTGTTTTTGTCAACCCTTTCTGCCCATTAATTTGTGGTTTGAGAGCGAGAGCGAGATCGATTGACGCTAATTTGTGCTCGTATATTGATTGTCGCTCGCTCTTTGGCTGCAAATTCAGCGAGTGAGAGATGGCACAATTTAAATTCTGCACTGAGATGGCATTCTGAGGATGGCTCCTTCATCACACCCACCCAGAAGGAGATGAGGAAGTGAAGAGGAAATCTCTTTGGTGCACGATTTGAGGGGGTTTGAGGGTGTATTTGCTGGGTGAAAAATCGTGTGTTGTTGGCGAGGGAAAAAATAAAAGGCAGAAACGTGTCCAGAAGTGTTAAAGATGTGGCGCGCGGAAGTTGCCAGAGCGAAGAGGGCTGACTTCGAGAGGGGATCAAGTGGCATCAAGCGTGTAAATTACCTTGTGGGTGGCGGCAATTTGGCGGTGCCCACCATGACGAGAGGATTCCACGGCAGTCACATGATGTTTATCGATGGCGACCACGAACAGGCACACGACAATCGCCACACTGGCGAACAACTGGCACATCTTGTCCATCTTCTCTCCCTCTCCCCATCCAAGGATATCACACACTCTTCAGCACTGTCTCTTCTCTTGCGCCGCGCGAACACCCGCAAGAGCTCCTCATGCACACCCACAAATCATCAACTCCTCACCAGCACTGCCCGCACAGATATTCTCTCCCCTGGAAGAATGCCACGCGAGAGTCGAAATGCCAGCGATTGTCCGAGAATGTGTTTCCACGCTTAAAGCCGGAGGAACACTGATCAGCGCGCGTAAAATATTCACCATCATTTGGCAAAATTTTACAATATAAGCCACATCAGAGCCCTTTTTTACCACCCATTCATCCATTCCGCTCGCTCGCGAGACGTGTTTTAGTTGGGTTTTGAATATTCAAAGGCATATTTATATATACATTTAAAAAATCATACATCTCGCCTTCTCACTCTATCCATGAAGTCACTTCTCGCCCAAAATGCCTGTGTGTTCGCCACTTTTACACACATCTTACATCATTTTACACAACCAGAAGCAGAGCGAGCACCCAAGATTCCGCCACAGAGCATATCATCGCGCGCGCTCTTTTTCCACCGCCAGGAATACAGCCAGATGGAAAAGAAAAATTTCCCGAAAATCACCTCCCCGCCCTCACTTCTCACTCAAGCACACTCTCTCGCGCGCTCTCTCGCTTCTCCCGCGCTTCCACAGCATTCTTAGACTCCGTACCAAACTCCAAAAATGTCTTGGTATATATTTGCATTAGACATCTCGCGCCGCGAGTCGCGATGCATCGCGAATTTCTAGCACAAACAGAAGATCCGCGGCATTTTCTGAGAATTCACAAATCGCGCTCTTCGCAATCTGTTGCTGAAAATGTCCAAATTCCACCCAAATTTCATTCTCTGGAGCATTAAAATATTGATTTTGACAATAGAACTGATAAAAGATGCGAAGAAGATGCAATTTCTAGTTATTCACTAAGGATTTGCCTGAATATTAGACACTCAATCTCAGTAGAATGCTACAAATTGAAGGCAGAGAAACAGAGAGACGATTAACATAACAGAAAAATTAGGCGTTTTGCAATGATATTCCTAAAATAACCACTTTTAAAAGCTTTAGAATTACCGTTCAATTAATTCTAATTCCATCATTTGACCAGAAATTCAGACATTCTCTGCCTCAACAAACATTTCTAATTACAATTTTGAAAAATCCGCCCTTATTTGGCTGAAATATTCATGTTAATTTGCCCAAAATCAACTAGAATTGGACAATTCTTATCATTTTTCGATAAAATCATGTTTCATCTGCTTTGTTCAACGTCTCTGCAGCTTTCGACCTCAAACACTCGCTTCAGCATCATGAAGAGCGTCTTAACTTATCTCACCATCGCCTCTGAGAATCGATTCAGCGAGAGATGAGATCAACGCGTTCATTTCGGTGACATAATGGATTTTTCAATATTTGTACACGAGTCGAATGCAAATTTCTCATTCTTCGCAAATTGTGAGAAAAATCTCAACAAGCACAAATTCATTGAAAGTATTCTTGTCGCTTGTTTCACTTCTTGGACACACCTCTAAAGTAAGCAAAGAAAGAAAAAGAGGGAGGGAGAGATTAAAGGGCACCTAAAGACTGAGAGACTAATTGTGCTAAACGATCTGCTAAAACGACGGAAGAACGAAGGTGAACATGTTCATAAACGCCTCGCAAAGTCATCGCGCATCTTTCCATGTGTCGAACATTTCTAAACAGAGCGCATTGATGTTATGGATGAAGCGTGTTAAACAGTGCTTTACGAGTGCTGATCGCGCTTCTCGCCACTCCTGAGAATATCAACGGTTGGCTTTTGTGTGTGAGCATGAAAATCGCACAGAGATTGACTCTCTCAGAAGTCTTTTTGGCTAAATATAGCCTCACAATTCATGCTTCTCTCGCGCAAGACTCTCGAGAAGTGATCTCAGCATAGCTGAGCATAGACATAATGGATATGATGGACATAAAATGTATGAAATTGAGTGTTAACCTGTCTGGGAATGGAAGTCCGCGTGACATTTTATTTCTTCTTTCTCTTCTTCACTTTCTTCCTCTTTTTCCTGGACTCCTTTCGGCGCTTCCGGGATTTGGCGTCTGAACTTGAATCAGAATCTGTTGATTCATCTTCTGAAGATTCACTCTCAGACTCGTCAGAGCTGCAAAAACCAGCCAATGAAGAAGTTAATGGCGATACAAGAATATTTTCCTTGTTGTAAAATACCTCGAGGACTCAGAATCTGTTTCTTTCCTGGACTTTCGTCTTCGCGAAGACTTCTTTTTCTCCTTTTTGCTCTTCTCCTTCTTCTTTTTCTTCTTCCTCTCCACCTCTCGCTTCTTCTCCACTTCCTGCAATTCCTCCTGCCTCAGCTTCTTCAGCGGGGTCACATATTTATCATCGGAATCGCTGCTAGTGCTGCTCACGTCCAGAAGAATCTCCCTTTCCGGATCCAGCTGTAAACACAAATTAAGGTTAGGGAGGAAGATGCATTGGAAAGAGAGAGAAGACTGGCAAACCTTGAGGAAATTCCTGCATTGATATGTGAGATGTCCTGTGTAGCCGCATTTCTTGCACGCCGACCGGCTGGTTTTGGTCACATCCATGAGGAAAATGCAGAAAACTGCCCGGCGAAAACACAAACAAACCAACTGCAAAGGAAAGCTGGCTTACAATGTTCACCACCAGATGACCTTTCCGCGCGATGTGCAGCCAACTTCACTCCGACCAATTCAAATCAAAGCTCAACTATGCAGAATCTTGACCAGTTCCAGACCAGCGCCAGTGAAAAGCTTATTTGGGGATCTCTTGAGGGGGCAATTAAGCACTGTGCTATACAATTTATTCCATCTCACAAGCATGGACACAGAGAGCAGTTCAGGCAGACAAATCTCCGTGGTCGAACAACGCCTGATCGTACAATTGCGCCTGCACGAGCCGCCCGCCAAAGTAGCGCCCATGGAGCACTTCTCTCGCCTTGAGCGCCTCCGCGGACATGGTGAACTCCACGAAGATCTTCACAATCACATCCGCCTCCTCGTCCTCCTCATTGTCTGTCTGTTTCTCCTTGTAGATAATCACCTGCTCCACCGTGCCGAACTTGCTGCACTCCTCCTGGATCTCCTCCTGCAGCGTCTCGTCCACATCCTCGGGGCCCACCATGTTGCGCAGGATCACCACACGGCTGTCCGTGGGGCGCATCAGGCGCTGCATCACCAGATGCCTGGCGCTCTGCCCCTTAATTGACATTGTCTCCTGCTGCTGCAACGTCTGCGGCTCGCCCTCCTCCAGCAGCTTCTTCTGCAGCTCCTCCTGTTGTCTCTCGTGTGCCTTCTTCAGCACGCTCTCCGCATTGTGGCCCACCGCGGCCGCCTGCGCGGCCAGCGTCGATGTAACCACAGCCGCCGCGGCCGCAGCTGCTGCCACAGCGGCTGTCTTGGGCGACGAATTCACGACGGCCGCATTCGTCACGGCGCCCAGCACGGGATTCACTACCTGCGGCGGGTGCAGCGACGCCGCGGTGCTCGCAGGCAGGGTCACGACGCCAGGCGGCGGCAGCACAACTGCCGGAACAGTTGCCATGGACACGGGATGCTGAGCGGCGGCCGCCGCTGCAGCTGCTGCCGCAGCGGCCGCGGCGGCGTGAATGCTTGTCACGGAGACGGCCGAGTTGGTCGTGAGCGCCGTGACAGATGGGATGCACGTGGGCGCCGTCATGGAGGGCAAAGATGAGAGGCCGAGCGAAGGCGCCGCGGCTGAGAGACCTGGAAATGTGCAGGCAGAGTTCTTATTGAAAACACAACATTTGCAAAGCGACACGTGCAGGTGAGCAAAAGCATTTCACGTGAAATTAACTAAGCTCAGCACAAAGAATTATATTGCGACGGATGAAATGTGAATAAATGAGTTTCCAAATACCATCCGTCAAAATAAAGCTTCAGCGCAAGTGCTGGTGGAGATCAAGAACTTACCCAGAACAGCATTGGTGGCAACGGCGTCCATCGCTTGAATCTTTGCCGTAGCGGCTGCTGCAGCCACGGCGGCCGCCGTCGGCATGGATGAATTGGGCGAGGGTCCAACGAGAGCATTTGGAGGCGTTATGGATCGTCCAACTCTGCGAAAACAACCCGGATCAGTGAGAACGAGACCGACAATGAGCAATTCTTACACATTTCTCACCTCAGCAATTGACCGCCCAAGTCGAAAAGATTCATGCTAGAGATTGCTTCGTCCGCCGCCACTTTGGTGGCATACTCAATAAAGCCGTAGCCCTTGTGCGAGTGCAGAGAGCTTCCCTGCGAGATGCGGCAGTAGATGATGGGCCCGAATGCCTCAAAGACACTCTTCAGGTCCTCTTCCGACAAATCCGGATGGATTGACGCTATGTAAATACGATTGTAACTCTTCGCCTCCTCCTGAATCTCATCAATCACTTGCTGCGCCTGCGGCATGTTGCTAGGCCTGCCGACCTGTGGGGAGAATGAATTAGGCCATTGGTTAGTCATCATTTTCTTAGTGTAGAAACATGGCGTGGAATTCACTGAATTTTTTACCTTTATATTCCGCCCACCGAGCATGGCGCCGTTCATCTGCTCCAGCGCCAATTGAGCGCCTTCTGGGATTTCATATTCCACAAAGGCGAATCCCTTGTGCTTCTGTGTCACAGGATCCCAGGACATGTTGATGGACTTGATGGGCCCAAATGGCAGGAAAGAGGCTCGAATTGTGTCCTCCTTCAGCTCGAATGAGATGCTGCCCACGTAAACTCTGCAAAGAGAGACAGAAAAAGAAAGAATCTCCACTCAATTCTTGTCTAAATTCCTGTTCATAAACGAATAAGGACTCTTGTCAGATCTTATTAGTTTATTTTGTTGTGGAAAATCATGAAATTGGAAGCCAGAGCGGAATGTGTCACTCAACACTCTTGGCCTCTATCTTATCAAATTCCTTGTCGCTGTCATCATTTCAATGGAAAAAAGATTACAATAAAATTTGACAGGAATCAAGGACTCGCCAAAAGTAATTTGTTATCAGCATCGAAATGATGTCAAAATAACGTGTTTTAACTACTAACATTTGCAAGAATTTGTCCTCAAATCTGACTAATTCACTTCACGGATTCATGGCGAGTCCTTGATCAAGATAAACAAGAGGATATTCTCACCTGCACATCAGAGCGAGAGCCTGTTGCCGCTGAACCTGAGTTCTCTGGCTGGCGAGTTGCTGGAAAGGCAAGACAATGTGTGAATTATTATATTGTCCTCACTGGCAAACTTCAAAACACCTTCAGCACTCACTTGTTGCTGGTGCGCAAGTGTCTGCTTCATCAGAACCATCTTAATACTCTGCTCCATGGCGTACTTCTTCGCCCGCGTCACCGTTTCCAACTGCTCGGACGACAGGCGCGGCAGCGCACCGCCCAGGATGCCCAGCAGAGCCGACCTGGCGCCCGGTCCAAACTTCACATCGCCAATCTGTCGGAGTTCATAAATGGGAGTCGCAATAAAAGGCATTTTCGGTTGCCAAGGGCCTAAAAATCACCAGCAAACAAACATTAGTTATATTACCAATCACTGTGCGGCATTTGGATTTTCTCTTCTAATGCATTCTTTTTTTTATCTTCTTCTTCTTTTCAGATGAAGGATGGAGGAATTATTTTTGATTTTATTGAGGGGGGCTTTTCGTGCTGACTTTTTTTTTCCCCCAATCTTAGCGCGCGCACACAACGCTTGTAAGTCTCCTGAGACACACTCGGAGAGAGATGAAAGAGAAAAGAAAATATAGAGACACATTTAGTGGCGATTATGTGAAATTATTCATTAAAATTTTTGTCGCCTTGTCGGCCCTCCACAGAACGTGTGACTGATTGTGTGAGTGTGAGTGGATCTATGGCTAGCCGTTGGACCACACAGGACAACTCTCGAGGAGAATCTGACACACTTTTGCACACATTTTTATCTCTGAAAGTGAAGAAACAACTCCGAGAAAAGAGAAAAAAAGAACATAATATGAAATTAAATTACAAACAATACAAAAACAACATGTCTCCTTTGAGAAACTCTCTCTCTCTTTCTTTCTGCCTAAAGTAATTGCAATAATGGACATTATTTGCCAGCTGTCGGACGCCCGTTTTTGAGTAGCAAGTCTCTTGTTGGGAACACGCTCACTCTCTCTCTCTCTGTGCAAATCAATCGCTATTCAATTGGTTCACTCGCCATTTGGGAATTTCTGCCTTCAAATAACAATTTCACATTGATAAACCAGAGATGATAGCGTGAGATTTTCATATGACATTTAGTGCATTTTATATACATTTTCAGTTAAGCATTTCATAGACAGCAAATTATCAGCTCAATGCAACTTTACGCCAATTTCTCATTAGACAAAGATTGATAAGGATTTTAAAGTTACATTGGAAGAAATGCAAAATGTCAATCCTTCAGTGATAAATTAATTGAATTCTCATTTCCTCGATGGAATTCTCAGCAATTTGTAATTTATTCTTTTGCCTTCTGTTTTGAAATCAGAAATTGAATATCAGACAATTCAAGAACATAAATCTTGCATAGAAATTGAAGGAAAAAATGGGTAAAATTGCATATCGCCGTGTAATTAGTATTCTCACGATATCATCTTGCTAATTTGCATTGTGACTCATTTCAGCAAAGAATTCTCTCGCACAGAATGAACAACACATTTCGACATTCTCTGTTCCGCAAATGTGTCACCATGCAAAGGAAAGCGCTCGCAAATGTGCTCAAGAGAAAAAAAAGGGTACGACGAAGAAGGTGATGACGAGCCGCGTCGCGACATCTGAAATGACACAAATAAAATACAAACCCAACAAGATTACAGTGAGAAATCAACTGAAAACTATGGCTACAATCGTCCTCGCCGTGGCATGAGGCTCCCCAATGCGCTCTCCCCAAACCCAGCAGACATTTTCAGTCGTTGGCAGGTGTCGCGAGCACACCTTCGGGCCCATCTCGTGGGAGAGTGAAAAGAAAGAGAGGAGAAAGAGAGAAAAAAGAGAGATATGGATTAGAGATTTCACAGAGATCAACTGGCGGGAAGTGTGGCATGTTTTTTTTTCTTCATCTTCTTCTGAATCATCTTTTCTTATCTTTGGCAAGGGTTCTCTGTCTCAAGGGTGGGTCATTAATTTGCCAGTTCCCGCGCAAGTTACACTTCTATCGCTTCTATCTTGAGAGATAATGAATTGCGTGTGTGTGTGTGCATGATTGCGCCTCGAACCATGGTATCTTTGAGGGCACAGAGAGCGAGCTTCACCTCATATGAAACCACATCGTTGGTTGATATCGCCATTCAGCGTGTGTCATTCTTGAGACAAGTCCTCGGAACAATGGTCTGCAAAATCTCAAGCAGAACAAAAACACCGCGAAATTAGTCAAAAGAGCCCACACAACACCCCTTGGCAAAGGGGGGCGCGCACAAAATTCTGGCATTGCACTGTGCAGGTGACATTACACCATCTCTCTACATTTTCCACAGCATTTTTGCAAAACAGATCAAATTAGAGGAGCTCTACGTGTGGCCTGCACAGGCGTCATAAACATCATCATTTTCATTGGACAATATATATATATATATATATGTAAATATATTGTACATCATTCTTAGCAACTAAGGGCAGTTATATAATCAAGATAAAAGGAAATGTTAGGCAAATCGTTTAGAAAATCTCTACACAGACACCTAAAGACACAGGCTCTCTCCAAGCGCTCATCCACCGCTCTCCGGACACTCACCTGATCCTTCCTCCGTCTTGGCCACCTTCGGCTCCGGAGGCCCCATTTCCTCGTCCGGCGCACTATCCTCTGCCTCGCCCCCGTTCGACGCCGGCGGCGACTTGTCCACCTCGTCATTTCCCTGCAAAACACCAAACAAGATCAGCTCACAGCGCGCACACAGAGCGCCCTCGCCCCATGGGCGCGCGCGTTGTTTACGGGTGGCCCCCAAACAACCGCACACATCCAAGATGGCCGGCGAGAAGCGAAGATTATGCGAAATTTTCGATCAACCACAACACTCACCATCGCAACCACGCCGTTCATCTCCACTGACTAATCGCTTAGTGACACTCCAGAGAACAATTGTGAGGGGTTTTTCACGCGCAATTCATGGGATTTCCACCGGAAAATAAGTGCAGAATAGCAGAAAATCGCACGCTTCCACCATCGACCGATTCACAACTCACGCGATGCTTACCAGCGTTGGCGCGAGATGGCGCAGCAGTTCAAATGTCAAGGTGTCCCAAAGAGTGGGACAGGCGCCAAGATTTGAAGACTGACTGAAACTTAACGGTGGCAAACAGGTGGAATTATTAATTAAATCCATCAAATCAAATGTATGTGCATTGTGTGAAATGGTGTCTACATTTTCTCAACGGGGAAAAACAGAGTACCTATTCTCCCCTTTTCATGATGCTTCTCCTTTGTCTTTGGCTTTGCAGGAAAGCTTGGCAATTTTCTCTGTTCTCGCGGAATGTAAAATTCATAACTTCGGTTTTGTTCAATGCATCGACATCATCTATAATGTGTTGGAAAGCTGATTAAATTCTCTGGAAATCTCTTGAATATCCTAAGAACATATGGAAAGTACTTCTGTTACTAAAACAAAGAGAAAATTGCTCTAAATGTTATATGAGATTTTTCAATTTGCCTTTGTAAATATAATATTGAGAAATGCATAATAATGATTGGCAATAGCTTATTTAGTCACAAAGTGGCACAAATTGACCCACTGAAATAGAATACAATCCATAGAAGTTAGGCAAGTTCATCGCAAAATACTTCCTTGATGGATAAGTCTGATGATTTTGATTATTATTCCGACTTGAATAAATTGAGTATTTTATTTTAAATCATTTCTCAGAACACAGCGCCTATTTAAATCCAACATAAGCTCTATGGGCTTAGAACGTGGGGGTGGAGGATGGTAAAAAACGCCCATTCAAAGGATTCATCATAATCGATTATATTGCGAACAAAGTTCTCCGGTTTCTGAGTGAATTATCTACGTCACTGCCGGCTCTTGTTCGGCTTTGCATTCAACCGACTCTCGACGGTGAAATAATAGTAGAAAATGTGGAAAACGCAGCCTTATATAAAATTCCAGAAGGGGAGGAAAGTGCTAATATCGCCAGACAGGAAAGCGAAGTCTCAGCTTATGTACAAAGCTTGTACATGAACACAGTATTTAGCTGTAGTTGGATTAATATAATATGCCGATTGGAGGGCTGAAACGAGGTGTTGAGACCGAGACTTGCCTGCCTATTTGCTGTAATCCCACTGCGAGTTTATATTTCCCCCTTGAAGTTTTCAATTTGGAGAACCTCAAAAGTCAACGGCTCGCGCCGAGCAGGGGTGATTTGGCTCCTGGGAGTGCGACAGGAGGCTTATCTCCAGGCAGATTCATCGGTTGCAGTCTGTGCACACGGATGTAAACAAGGCGGGAGAAAGAGTGGCGCGAGGGCGCGGCCGATGAGGGCACAATCAGCAAACAATGGCCTCGCAATGTTGGACGGGGTGGAAATAATTGTAAAACAGCAACAATGGGATTAGCCCAGAGTTGAGGGTGAATCCGCAAAAATTGTTTAATATCTAATGACGACACAAATGCACGCGGGATGAACTCTATTCGGCATGTCACGCGGCGAAGGCTTAATTTGGCGCATCTCGCAATGATATTCAGGTATTTTGCCGAATGGCAATTAATTGTGGAAAAAAGGAACGGTTTTTCCCTCCGTGTGCAATGCATATAAATTCACTGTGTGACAAAGGGTGTGAAAGTGATCCCTGCCGATTTGTGCCTCAAGAGTCGGGGAGAGCGCTAAATTCTTCGTGGTGGGTTAGTTTCATTCACAGCACAGCGAAATTCACCGCCAGAGAATATCTGTAGGGTAGCGATGTATATAAATATAACAGACTATGCGCTCTCTTCACTTTCCTACACATTTATATGGGTATATTGCGGCTCCATTCCATGGCTCAATGTATACTTGTCCTAGATATTGTATAGTTATACAGATTTAAGTATATACAAACAACTTCTTCTGTCGCAGGGTGGAAGAACCTTTTTTTCTGAGAATCCAGCCAGAGAGCAGTTGTCCTGCAATGAGTGGACACAATAAATGCTAAGCACCACTCTGAACCTCCTTATATGACTTTCCGCAAGTCTCCTTCACTCGGCGTTAGCGAAGAGAAAATGTTGACAAACCATGACTTTTAAGTAAAACTCAAAAAGAGAGATAACTTTCCTTCTTATTAGCGCATGTGAAGGAGAGAGATAGATCTCGTGGTTTAGGATTGAGTGCAATTTGTGAAATTTTCATATCTTTCTGCAATATTCTATTCCAAAGATTATCATATTTGTGATTAGCTGGGGCAATTACTGCGTTCGCTGTCTGTAAATTGATTTTTAGTGTGTAAAGCATTGAATAAATTGAAGAGATCCAACAGACAAAAAAACATTCTATGCATATTTATTTAATTTTCTATGTGTTTCTACAAGATTAAGCAAATTAGATCTATTTTTATCTCTATCAGTGGGTCAATTCGAGTTTCTCATCATTAATTAAACTATTGTTTTCCGATTAAAATAATTTTCAGCAACAGATTGAAAAATTCTTTAGATGAATCGCAGAAAATCATCGAATTTTCTTGCTCTCTGTGTTCACCAGTGTCTCATTTAAAATTACCAACGACCAACATAGAGTCTAAAGGAAAACTTGTCTGACCGAAAGCATTCGTGCATTATGTTGACCTTTATATCTTTTGCGCTAATTAATACCCAAAAGAAGCACAAATCTGTTCGTACAACTTTGTGTGACTGTTATGACTGATATGAAGGATTCTTATCGTATTCCAAAAACACTGATGCTTGAGGCCATGGCAGAACGTCGTGCGATGAGTGAAATTTTCGGAAAGTTTGTGAAAATTTCGCGTCTACGACAGATAATGGCGCGGAGCGAAGATCCCTGAACTCGATTGTTGGTGTGCGTGTGGCTTATTTCATCCACGTGGAGTTGATGCGCCCATGTCAATTTCCGCCGTTTGCACGCTGAATTCGGGATTTCGTGTTCAGCTGAACCGAGGGCGGGTGAGCGGAGCTCCGGAGGGAATGAAAGACACAGGAGGAGGGCATAAAAAAGAAGATATAAGAGGGCATTTTTGGGTTCTCCACCCGACTTGAACACAATAATCATGGAGGAGAGAAAAAAAAATCCATAAAGTGTGTGTGTGCGCCGGAGAGCGGAAAAGGCGGGCGCGGGAGGGCGAAAAAACGATGAGCGAAAGAATTGAGAAATACCGAACCGTATAGTTTTTGAAGCGACATACAAGATCTGTGGTGTAGAAAGAATGTTTTGTTGGGAGTTTGTGCACTTTTAACTTGTCTTTTACATTTTCTTCTCACTTGTCTGCGTCCATGGGAGATTCTGGTGAGATGCGTTCGTGCAAATGTTTGCTGAAGCGGCAAAAAAGGACTCTCTCACATGGTGTATTAATTCCTTAAATGGCATACAAGAGATGGGAGAATTTTACCACGAAGTGAACGATGAAATCTGATGAGAAAAATTCTCTTCGCATGGGCGAGAGACGATCATTTTCGTGGAAGCAACGGGAAAAAAAATCTCTGATGATTTCATGCTGCTCTCCTTGACAGATTGGGCTTCTTCTTAAGCACAGCTCTGTGGCGGGTCGATATTTGTAAGTAGTGTCCTAAGGTAATATGGAAATTCCCTGGAAAAATGTGCCCTTAA